TGTTGTGAACCTTTTGGCTTCACCGAATCACAACCCTAGTTACCCTACCTTCAGTGAACCCTTGCAGAGTGTGGTTGATACGATTCGTCACAGTTCCTTACAAGTTCAATAATTCTCTTAAAAATCTAAAATAAATCTTCTAGGTTAGAATAGGTAGATAGAAAGGCCTATCTATCTATTTTTCGGTAATACTTTAAATATATATTGGTTTTAGAGACTTTTTCTATAGTAAATCTTAGTCTTTTTTTACTTCCTTAAGCAAATGCTAGCCATATGTGAATATTTCCTTGTTCTCCAGCTGTTTTTTCACGACTCTACTTACCCCCACAAAACTGGTCGGGGTGTCAAACTCCTATCAGTCTCCACTTTTGATAAGTGTTTGACCCCCCAACCAAAAATTTAGCACCCCCGGTCATGTGTAAACCCGCATTTAAGAGTCAAACTCAGAGACAAACCCTTCTGGTAAGGCTGCCTCAACGGCGATACCTACAGACCACATCGAACCCAATAAGAAAAGGGACCCGTGACACTCGTCGTCGGTGCGACGCATATCAACCAATGAGAGGAATGGTCGGCCACATGAGTCCCTGTTGTTGTCCAACTTGTTCCCCATATGCCCATGCACACACCCGAGGAGCGGCAAGACAACTAGTGGCCGGCTTGGCGGAGACCGAGCTCCTCGGGGTTCGGATCAACTAATAAGCAGTTGATAACTTTGCAGAAATTCGCAACCGCCAGACCTCTGCCTCTCCTCGCACCTGACCAACTCCGCTCGTCTCATCGGTTCTGGCGTGCCGGCTGCTTCGGAAGCTGCGGTGATAAATATTTACCTCCGGAGGATGAGTCTATCTCCGCGACACCCATTCGTTTCGAAATGTTGATCCATACAGGTTCTTCCCTCAGGTCATTATCCGGTTTTGCGAAAGGGAATCGGCATTGGCCCTCCCGTCCGAGCTCCTCGGTAGGAGAGAAAGCGGGGATGTTTGGTGCCCAAGCGGTTGGATTTGCAAGGGGAACGCCTAGAAGGATCAAAATGAGGTGCTCACTTCGCTTGAGACGGGGCTGGTGCATTTATTCACCCCAACAAGACGGAGCGACCGGCTTTCGGCGGTTGGAATTCCCCAACTCCACCGATGCATGGAATCTTTGCCTGAGAGCCCGCTTGCCAAGAAATCAGCATTCCCGAAACTTCGGCATGGTGCGCCCCGAGGCCGAAGGGTTCAACTGGTGTCAGCATCATCAAGCTGTGGAAATCGGAAAATTGTGAGGTTTTGAGGCCCGGGGTCCAGTCTTGATCACGTCCGACTCACAATATTACTCAACACAATGCGGATGGCTACGCGAGGCACAGGTTTTACATTCGTACTATGTAGGTGTCGGGCTTCCTTTTTCTTCGAGAAGGGGTCGGTGGGTGTGGCCGGATTTGGATGAACACCGCTCGGATTTGGTCGTTTCCACCCTCCGCGGACATCGCTTGCAAGGCATGCATGCAGGATGGGATCCCACAAGGGCTGCCCATTCCACGGAGTTAACAACCGGCTTTCCCAAGGCGGTGGACGTTGGGACGCGTCCGCAGTTGAAAATGATGGTCCATCCCCCCTTCTCATCGGGTGTTGATGACCAATACGCTTGAATGAGTCTTCCGGTAAGGCTCCTTCAATACGACGACAAATCATTTGGGGTCCAGGAAACACGGAATTCCTAGGTGTTATGCTCCCAGGACCATATTCCATCTCAGTGGGGCATCGCGCATCCGTCGGCTCGGATCGGGATTCGAATCGAGCTGCAAAATAAGGACCGTGGGCTGTGAAGGATGATTATCTGCCTCAACACGTCCCCCAGAAAAGACAATTGTCATCAGGCGGTATAAGAGATAGCCGGCCCGCCTTCGATCGTGGAGGCTCCGTGTTGTCGAGGAACTGAGTCCACATCCCGGGTTGTGCCCAACTTCACACCAGGAACGCCGTTGCCGCCGTGAAAGCAACAAGACGCTGAACATGGCCACCGTCCAATCTTCCTCTTCCTCTTTGAACGCCAAAGAAGTGACCGTGACTTCCGGACCGGACGTCGAGTCTCAACAAAGCCACAGCCACCCTTCACACTGGTTCCTAGTTCGCCGCCCAGACGGTGTCACCGATGCGGTCCTCAACTACCAGTACCCTGGCGAAGGGACATCCGAGTCGCCATACGTCGTCGACTTCCTCCCTGACGACGGGAGCAACCCCATGCAGTACTCGCCGATCAAGAAATGGACCGTGATGATGCTCATGGCGTTTGCCACGCTGGCGGTAACGTTCGCCAGTAGCGCATACTCGGGCGGCGTCTTTGCGATTATAGAGTACTTCCAGGTGTCGACAATTGTGGCTGTCTTGGGGATTTCGTTATATGTGCTCGGCTTTGCCATCGGGCCGTTGCTATGGGCGCCTCTTAGTGGTATGTTCTTCGACGGTGGGATTCGTTGAAAGGATTACTCACTGGGATGATACTAACTGACGGGGGCATACAGAATTCAATGGACGGCAAATCGTGTTCATCCCCACCTACTTTTTCCTTGTCGCCTTTGGCGCCGGCGCTGCGGGCGCCCAGAACATCCAGACGCTTATCATCCTCCGATTCTTCGCCGGCGCGTTCGGCGCATCACCTCTGACCAACGCCGGTGGTGTCATTGCGGATATGTTTAGTGCCAAGGGTATTTCACGGTCTGATCTATGAATCAAGATTTGGATGTTATCGCTAACGAGATCTTGCTACAGAACGAGGCCTTGCAACGAGCATCTTTGCGATGGCCCCCTTTCTTGGCCCAACAATTGGCCCGATCGCTGGTGGCTTCCTTGTTAGTGACCCCCAAACCCCGCAACAAAACTCTGGGACCGAAAGAGAAAAAAATAAATGGGATAAACATAAAGATGGGAGCCATAGTGACTTGTGCTGACATTGATGTACAGGGCGAGTATGCTGGCTGGCGCTGGATCGAAGGCCTCATCACCATATTCACCGGCGTTCTCTGGATCGTGTGCTCGCTATTCGTCCCTGAGACGTATGCGCCGGTCCTCCTGCGGCGCCGAGCGGCTAAGCTGTCTGAGCTGACGGGCAAAGTGTACACGTCTAAGATGGACCTCACCGTCACCGCGACACGATCCGAACAGATCAAGAAGACGCTTATTCGGCCGTGGGTCCTCCTCTTCAGGGAGCCCATCGTGATGCTCACCAGCATTTACCTCGCCATCGTGTATGGCACACTCTACCTCCTCTTCGCCGCGTTCCCAATTGTCTTCCAGGTCAGCCGTGGCTGGAGCGCCGGCATTGGCGGGTTGGCTTTCATCGGTGTTGCCATCGGGTCGGTTATTGCCGTGGTGGCGTCCGCCTGGGATAACAAACGGTACGCGCGCGTCGCGGCCGCATCGCCCAACGGCCTCCCGCCCGCTGAGGCCCGCCTCCCGATGGCCATCGTTGGATCTGTCCTGCTTCCGGTCGGCCTGTTCTGGTTTGCGTGGACCAACGGACCTGAGGTCCACTATGTGGTGCCCATCATTGCGTCCGTCGTCTTCTCCACCGGCCTGGTCTCTGTCTTCCTCTCGCTGCTGGGTTACCTCATTGACAGCTACACCGTCTATGCCGCATCCGTGCTCGCCGCCAACTCGGTGCTGCGCTCGCTTTTCGGGGCCGCCTTCCCCCTCTTCACGAGTTACATGTACCAGAACCTTGGCATCCACTGGGCCAGTAGCGTCCCGGCATTCCTTGCTCTGGCGTGCATGCCGTTCCCGTGGTTGTTTTGGAGGTATGGTGCGCGCATCCGGCAGAGTTGCAAGTATGCTGCTGAGGCCGCGGCTATCCTGCTGAAGATGATGACACAGCAGGCGCACGGCCAAGGGCAGCCATCGACGACGCCGGCGGTTGGGAGCGGAGAGCCTGAGAGGCTTGGTGTGTTGAGCGAGGACGAGGGGACGGTGGTGGATGAAAGTGACGAGACGAAGGAGAAATCAAGCTGAGGGGCTCAAGGGGTGGGGAGAAACACTTTTCCTTTTTTTTTTCACTTTTTTTAAAGGGGGTCTTTTTGGCCACCGGTCCTCCTAGCATTGATGCATTTTTGGATATCGGGTAGATTGGATTTGCATACTTCGTAAGCGGGCTCCTCTCGAAATTTAGATCGAAGTTCTGGATTGTCTTGTTCTTAGTCACGACCAGGGGAGCAGCAGGTTCTTTTTGGAGATGTCGTGCAGCGTCAAAGTAGTTAAAAGGTTAATCACGACCACGCTAGTTTCGTTGCTCATGCTTGTGTCATCAATGAAGGGCCCGGAAAGGCCGAACCCGACTGCTGCTCAGTCGTGTTTCGCGATTCGGGTCCATCTACTTGGGCACGAATCTTTCTGCCTATCTGCTGCTCACGAGACTTCACTTACACACGCCAACGCAGACGGTGATCCATTCTCGAAGCAGCATACAATACGTCCCTTGTCGGCGCTGAATAATCGCCGGGACTAGACCTTGACCCGACCCGCCTCGATCTTTCCGCCAGAACGTCAAGATAACCAGAGGCCAAAGCTTTTTGCCCCAAAGGCCCCGTAACATGGCGCACTTAGATCCTTGGCAAAAAAGCTCGCATCGCCGCATTCGGAATGCGAGGGTAACGGCTTCCCCACCAAAAAACCAACGATGTCATGTCCATCATTCATCATTGACCACATCAGTTCCACAACCACCAAAAAAAAAAGAGATCGGCGAACACTCGTCGCAAAAACGCCCACGCAGTCTCGTCTTTTGTTTGTTTCGCTACCGTTACCATATGCTGACGAACTGGCGGATACACTACGCCAAGAAAAGCCAATTACGACCCGGGGCCCCGGTATACTCCATTCGCACGTTTCGACTTTTCCTCGCGTTTTCGAAAAGGGAGATCGAGCGCGAGTTTTTCGCTGCCTTCTTTCGCGCTTTTCGATCGGCTCGCCCCTATCTATACTACCCCCCCTTTCACCCCATCTCAGGCTCGTCGCGGGTGCCTGTGCCTGAGGCGACGGGGCTCGCAAGACTAGACCAAGAGAGATCAGATCGGAGGGAAAGGCGAGCGACCAGCAAGCAGCCACGACCCAAAACAGAAAACGGTCGGAAACAGGTGAAGGTGTAACCCGTGCCAAGATTGCTTTAGTCATTACCACCTTGTTCTATCGTACCTCATTTAGCCCTCTTTCTCGTGATCTTGGCTTTTTTTCGTTTAGGCTTTTACTATCTTGCCCATTTTGCCCACTTTGGACCCATCATTAGCCCCCTTAACTGCCTGGCTTAACCTGCCTTTTCCCCGTACAGTCGACACGAACGAGGGCGGCGCGGCGGCGGGGAGGGGAGGGGTTTCGAGGAAAAAGGGCTAAGAAAGACGGGAGAGAGGGAGAGAGAGGGAGAGAAAGAGGGAAGGAGAGGGAGAGTGAGTGAGTGAGTGAGTGGCAGTGGGACTCGTCTCGCGGCTTCGTCGTTTTGCTTTAAAAAAGCGAGAACCCAACCCGACCCGACCCCGAGCGGACGTGACGGGGTCCTTCGCATTCCACATTGTTTTTTGAGTTGTTGGGGTTCCATCCTGTTTTGTTTGCTCGTTCGTCCGTCTTGGTTCTTGTTCCGAAGAGCAAAGGCAAGGGGGAGCTTTTTTCTCGATCTCGATCTGCTGTCGTTTGTTGACGTTGGCGAGTTATACATCACTTTGAATTTTTGTGGTTGTTGCGTATGCATTTGCATGTGCCCACTTACATACACCTCCCTTACCGCCATACCAAACCTACCTACACTACCTGGACTCCCCTTTTATCCATCTATTTTTCGACCTTACTTCCCTTTACAGAGAGTTGCCGGCCTTCACCTGATCCTACCCGGATGTCAACCAACCCCCCTGGGCGCGTCGCTTTCCGGACTTGGTATATTCCTTCCTCCCGGCTGTCCTTGCTATTCGACAGTTTACGACACTTTCAGCACACACGGACCGACCTAGCCTGGTGTTACCTGTCTTGTCCCCCCTTTGGAGACCAGACCAAGAGCGCGCCAAACACACCAATTACGCTACACCATCCACAGTGACCGAAGGCCAAATTTCCTGATTATATCCGCTTCGTTTCCTTCTGGCCACACACCGCCCCTGGGCCATTTGCACACCCCTGGACCGGACTGAGCCGTGTTTTTTGGAATCCGCAGAGTTTCGGCACCCAGAAACCCCCGGGCCCTCGGCCGGTGTTGATAGCTAGCAGTAGCGGTAAGAAGACCGAGATTCTTTGAACCTCCGGACGAGGATGATGGCTTCGGCTCCGGGTTCGGCCCCTCGTGGGCCGACCATGTTTGCGAACACCTTTTTGGTTGCCAACCATGGTCAAGGAGGGCCGTCTTTGAGAGTTGTGGGGCCGCAAGAGGCCCGGAAGAAGAGGCCGCATCGGGTATGTTTTCTGTCCTTCCTTTCTTCCTCTTCCCCTCTGTTTCGGGTATTCAGTCTTGGTTGTACGTGTAAGTGTAAGGAGTGGCACTATGTGTACTACTGTACTATGTAACGGAGGTGGATGAGTTTGAGTTCTGACTGGACTGGGATCCTTGTCCTGGGGTAAGATGGAGCGGATGGGGTTACATAATAATCCCTGGGCTGGGGGATTTGGGATTTACACGGGGGTGAACACAGCACACTACAAGTGGGATGAGCATTGACATTTTGTTTTCTCATCACAGAAATCGAGACTCGGCTGTATACGCTGCAAGCGGAGGAAGGTTAAGGTATGTGTGACCCCCTGTCTTACTTTTAGTCTACCGTCCTCACCCCCCCCTACATACATCCCATGCTGTTTCTCTCACACCATTTCTTGTGTTCCCCCAGCCGAGAAGGGTTAAAAGGGGACATGTGGAGTGGGGAGGGGGTTCGCCAATAATCACTAATCACTAAACCAACTACCCTCACACTACACTAACTAACACTGCGCGCCCTTCTCTTCACAGTGTGACGAAGGAGACCCGTGCAGGAACTGCGTCAAGCGGAAAGAAACGTGCGTCCGGTTCAGCCCACCATCACCCCCGGCCCACGGTAGCGGGAACGCGGGCGGGAACGGGACCGTCAGCAGCAGGGATGGAAGGCCACGAGGAGGAGTGGGAGCGCGGGGGGCTTCATCCCCACGCTCGATCTCACAGACCTCTCCTCCCATGCAGGCGGCTTCGCTCCCGCGTGAGATGGACGTGTGCCCCCTGTCCGAATCTGTCAACTTGCTGCATATGGAGCTACTGCATCACTTTGAGCGGTACACCATCCCCACGCTGCCGTTTAGGCCGGTGTGGCCGGGGATTATGCAGTTGGCCTTTCAGGTATGTGTGACTTCCCTTGTCTTCTTTTATTTTTTAACTTTATTTTATTTTATTTTTATTTTTTCCTTTTTTCTTGTCAAGGATCCTATTCACTAGCGACACCCCTTTCCCCTGTCCCTACATCTTACATCTAGCCTTGTCACATAAGCCTCTCCCATAGGAATCACATCACTATGCGTTCTTACATAAGAGAGTTTAGGGTACTAACTCGAGACAGTCCCGAAAACACACCTATCTCATCAACGCGATGTTGTCGACGGCTGCAGCCCATCTCGACTACCTGAACCCGGGTCACGCGCAGTACCACCGGGCCAAGTATGCCCTACTCAACAAGGCACTGCACGACTACCGCGAGACGCTGTCCGGGCCGGTAACCGCCGACAACTGCGATGCCCTTCTGGGCACAGCCAACCTGATTCAGTACCTCATGTGGTGTGACCTGAGCTTCATGGAGGGCCAGATGCCGGAGTCAGCTACAAAGCAGCCGACAAACAAGTGCCCTTACTCAACCGCATCCTCACCCGGGTCATCATCACTAGCATCACCACCCCACGAATCCTACTCGGTCTCGTCACTACCACCACCATCACCGCCACAACCCCTCGACCTATCCGGTGATCGCCTCTACTTCCTATCCACCGGCGTGCGCCAAATCTTCTTCATGGCCTGGCCGCTGTTCCAGTCACCCCAGTCAGCCTTCGCCCACGTCAGCCTGCTAGGTCCATGCATGCGACTCGAAGACGCGGCCGAAGCGAGGGGCCTAAACTGGCAGCGAATCATGGGGGCGTTCATGGCGATATACGACAACCCGCGGTATATCGGGGATCGGGGTCGGGCGATGTGGGGAGGAGGTCAGAGCAGGGGGACAACAACAACAACGACCACAACAACGGCCCAAGAACAAGACACAACGTCATGCCCATATTCGTACCAAGACGCCTACCACGACGAAGACGACGACGTGGTAATGGCAGGTACAGAACCCGACTACATCATCAACAACAACGCAGCACCCTACTATCCAACCCCCCAACCCTCCAGTCCCTCCTACACCTGCACCAGCACCACCCCAGGCAGCTTCGGCAACACCACCATCGCCGCCAGCACCACCACCACCATCAACACCACCGACCACGCCACCAGCGGTTCCTTCCTCGAAGGCCTCCTCTCCAACAACCCACCCGCCTCCCCTTGCACAACCGCACCAGGATCCAACTCATCCCCCCAACCCTACCACATCATGACCCTCTGGGACAGCTACAAGGAAGGCGAAGCCTACGTGCGCAGTGTCGGCTCGGGCCGCCCCCCGAACGAGGCCGCGACGCGGGCGGCATTCAAACGCCTCGCGACACGGCTAGCTGTGGCGTTGGCCGTGGCGTTGGATATTCAGAAAAATGGGGATAGCAAAGGGAAAGGGTTGGCAGAGGTGCGGAAGAGTGATACGGTGCGGTATGTGTCGACTTTCCCGATGATGTGTTTTGGGCCGTTGTTGGCATTGATTGGGAGCGGGGACTCGAGGATGTTGGTGTTGTTGTTTCATATTTATCGGGTTGCGGATTTGTTGTTGCCGGAGGAGCAGCAGTGGTGGTTGAGGAAGAGGGTGGTGGTTATGCAGGAGGCAATTGCGAAGGAGTTGAAGGGGAGGGGGTTGGAGGTGTGTTTGAGGGGGTTGAGTGTGGTGCCGTGATGGGGGTTTGTTTTGATGTGTGTCCATTAAGGAGTAATTATTTGTATTGTGTTTTGGGAGGAAGGTGTCATTTGCTCTTTGCTCAAAAGTCTAGGCTGCCTTTTGATTGTTAGTTATAGCGCACGGATTGGGATGGGGTGGTTGGCGATTTGGAATTTGTTTACGTTTGTTGGCAATATATGCTCTTTTTTGGCTTGCCTGATGGTCATCGTATATCTTGATAATTTCTGAAAGGACGTCGCCGATGCATCCCGGTATATCTCCTGACGACGTCATATCTCCGCTCCGTTACTGGGAATAAATAGTCTCTGATCGCCGGTAAAGGAGGGTGGAAGATTAGATGATGCGGGTGAGTTAACGAGTAAATTCGGGCACAATCTCGTGTCTACTGTCAGTGCATGAATACGGCTTCAGACACGAGACAACCAACGTTCCAGTGAAACAGTGACGGTTTAAACACTCTGTTATTTCCCTTATGTTCCAACTTCCGGCTAATGGTATGCCAAGGAAACAACTCTAACGCCAAAAAGAGTCATGGAAAACCCGCTGTTTACATACAACAGTTGGACATCTCGTCATAATGATAAAAAAAAAGGGAAAACCTCGCCCAGACCACAATAACCATGTAGAGAGTACAGATGCTTTGCTTTGTTTTTGTTTCCTTTTCCCTTTCGTCTCCGATCTCTCTCCCTCTTCTTACAAATACTTCTTCGGGGTCGTCTTCCTCCTCTTGTAGTACACATACGCCCCCAACACGACCACCTGGCTGCCCACCACGATCCAGATCAACCGCGTGTGCGTGCTGTGCGCATGCGACCGCACAACCTCGTTCCGGTCCGTCACATGCTCGCGGATGCTCGCCTCCGAGTCCCGCAGCCGGCCGGCCATCTCCTGGCGCGTCGACCGCATCTCGCTCGTGAGGTCGCGGATCCGCTGCTCGAGCACGTCCACCTTCTCAAGCCGGCCCATCAAGCCCTTGAGGTCGTCGATCATCGACGAGAGCTCGGCGTGCCGCGCCTCGTCCGTGTTGGCGTTCTTGCCGATCGACCGGAAGATGGTCGACAGGTGGTGGTTGACTGATTGCAGGCGGTTGTGCAGGTCGGCGAACTGCGCCTTGGAAGAGACTATGTCCTCGGCTTCTTCGTCCGGGATCACATTGTCGTAGGGGTCTTCGGCGACGGTCTGCCCGCTGCGGCCAAAGACCATACGCGGCTTCTTGAACTGTTTCTGGTCCTGGTCCTGGTCCTGGTTCTGCTGGTCTAGGTGTGCCGGCCGTGTCTTCCGCTGTGCCTGCTGCTGCTGGTTGTTATCTTCTGTAAGCACGGCAAGCTTGAAGACCTCAAACGAGTCCGGGCTGTCGGCAGAAGCCGCGGTCAGACCGAAGTTGTACCCGCTCGGAAGACGGACCTGGTCGGTCTTGAAACACGACCGGCCGGCGACCTCGACGCTGAATTCTTTTTCCGTGTGGCGCAGCTTGATCTGGGTCGGCCGGCCCAGGTTGCGGTACGTGAAGCTGCACTGGCCGAACGCTAGGCTGTCCACGTTATGGTGGTTCCGGAAGTCGGTTGTGCCGTCGTTCAAGAACCCCCGCAGCATGCCGCCCGACCCGCTGTGCTGATCGACGACCAGGCCCAGCCCTTCGAAGCGGCCCGCCGAGTAAACACTGTCGGACCCAACAGAGCTGGGACCATCCCGCACCAGCCAGATGTTGAAGTTGCCGCCGCCACGCTCCGGGCCGCTAGCGCGGAACTCGACATCGGTCACCCAGTTCTGGTTCTGCAGTGTCTTGTCCGCCCACACTGCGCCGCGCTGGTTGCCGGGCGCCACGGGCGTGAGGATGACGCGGTCCGAGAGTAATTCGGGCACGAGCGGGCGGCCTTGGAGAGCAAAGTTGGGTATCGATTGGGAGCCTTCGGGGCTTATCCTGTGAGAGGGTGGAAGACAGGCGTTAGTGGAGTGTCCCCACGTGCCATAAATGCCAGCGTACGGCGTAGCAAAAAATTCCGGGAGTTGTTTTAATTTACCTCGCGCCAGTGCCGAAGCTGATATCGTTGACGAGATACTGTTGCGCCTGGGCCAGGCCAGCTGCTAGCAGGGCATAGCTCGTCGGGAAGCGCATCTTGACTTCCCAATTGTTTGTGGTCCCTCAAGTTCCCACAGCTCGACTTTTAGGAGGGGCTCAAGTGGATGCAACGTGAGTGCTGTGTCCTTGTAACTTTCGCGGGGGGGCACAAGCTTCGAGCCGCAATGGGGTCGCAAAGTCGCAAAAAGGAAAGCAAGAACAGCAGGCAAAGAAAAGAGTAGACGTCGACAAGAAAAATCGCAACACAGGGGCAACAAAGCCAGTTATTATTTATTCGTTCGGAGCTCGGCTCCCCGGTACTAGTTTCCGGCAGAATCGCTCGGAGCTTCCGTTGTGTAGCGCTCGGGGAGTGGTTGAGGACACTTTGCAGCTCTCCAACAAAGACCGGCCCGGCGGGCGGTTTTGGGCCAAATGTGGGGTTGGGAGGTGCGAGCGGGCGGGTGGGTGCAGTGGGCGAGTGGACAAACAAGAGGTGGGCAACAAACCGGGCCGATGCTGAAACAAACACCACCTTCTTATCATGAACTACGCTGGTCCGAAAAGGAGAGACAAGGCGGTTAGAATGGGCTAAAAGTAAAACGCAGAATCAAACCTATTGCTAGGCAGTAATTACATTATTCGCAAGCTATTGGGATGATCACAGATCCAAATGTCGAAATAGCCTACGGGTCCCAGGCATAACTATCCATAGCATGTTGTATGGGCAACATGTCAACACACAATGGAACTGCTCATAGTGTGAAGCAACCCCATCACCTCTTTCAACCCCATTTCTCGAAAGAACAGCTGTGCTCAACTGATCTTCCCCCCATCGAGCTCGGTTTTCGGAGGCTGACGGAGGCTGTTGCTCCAACCGGAACTTGGACCAGCTACACTAGGAGCAGGGGTCCTTCTCCACAAACCGAGCACTTCACAATGCCCCGAACAAGAGAGGCCGCGGCCGAGCCCGCAACATGTCCATGTCCGCGGGGAAAAGCCAAGGCCGCTCAGAGGCGAAAACAATGTGGCGCTCTGGTGTGGCGTTGAGAAATGTGGCTGGTGCAGCTTTCTCCAAATCCCCACCCAACTGACCCTTGCACATGGCCCCACTTAAAAGATTGGATTCGACGCTTGTCAAGTTGTCAATTGGAGAGCTTGAGCTTCGGCTGAGCCGCGACAAAACGACAAGACGACGTCGGTGAAGTCCATGGCCGGCCACATTCCACCATGACCGAGCTCTACCCCTCCCTTTCGCAGTGCGCGCTTGTCGCCGCGGCACTTAAGATTCTGTTGTTCCCGGCCTAGTAAGTCTGGCTGTTTCGTCCCGTCCCTTCACTGCCGACGCCGCGAAACATACCGATTCAGCCCATGGACTTGAAGTACTGACCCTGGTTACACTTAGCAAATCGACCGATTTTGAGGTACACCGCAACTGGCTTGCCATCACCAACACCTTACCGCTATGGGAGTGGTACTACGAAAAGTCGTCAGAATGGACGCTCGACTACCCGCCGTTCTTCGCCTATTTCGAGTGGATCATGTCGCAGGTCGCCAAGCTGGTTGACCCGGCCATGCTCAAGGTGTACAACCTGGACTATGAAAGCTGGCAGACGGTATACTTTCAGCGATTCACCGTCATCATATCGGAGCTGGTCCTGGTGTATGCGCTGCAGATGTAGGTCAAGTTGTACTAGTGTAAACCCCCGGAGGCGGAAGGTAGGCTAACAGGGCAGGTTCATCGACTCGTCACATGGCGTGTCGAAACGCGCAGCGCAAACCGCCGCGATCTCGATCCTCCTCTCGCCCGGCCTTCTCATCATCGACCACATCCACTTCCAGTACAACGGCGCCATGTACGGCATTCTGATCGCCTCACTCGTGCTCGCCCGCAAGAAGTCGACGCTCCTCTGGAGCGGCCTCTTATTCGCCGCGCTGCTGTGCATGAAGCACATCTACCTCTATCTCGCGCCGGCCTACTTCGTCTTCCTCCTGCGCGCCTACTGCCTCTCGCCCAAATCCCTCTTCCGCATCCAGTTCCTCAACTGCGTCAAGCTGGCCGTCGGAATCGCCGCCATCTTCGGCACCGCGTTCGGGCCCTTCGCCCTCAAGGGCCAGATCCCCCAGATCCTCAGCCGGCTGTTCCCCTTCTCCCGCGGCCTCTGCCATGCCTACTGGGCGCCCAACGTCTGGGCCATGTACTCCTTCCTCGACCGCGCGCTGATCATCCTCGCGCCGCGTCTCGGCCTGACGGTGCGGGACGAGGCCTTGCATAGCGTCACGCGCGGCTTGGTCGGCGATACCGCGTTTGCCGTGCTTCCCGATATCACGCCGCGCGTGTGCTTTGCCCTGACGCTGCTGTTCCAGGCGATCCCGCTCCTGAGGCTGTTCGCCCAGCCGACGTGGGATAATTTTATTGGGGCGGTCACGCTGTGTGGCTATGCCTCATTTCTCTTTGGCTGGCACGTTCATGAAAAGGCTGTGCTTCTGGTTATCATCCCGTTCAGCTTGCTGGCACTCAAGGACCGCCGGTATCTGGGTGCGTTCCGCCCGCTGGCCGTCGCGGGTCACGTCTCGCTGTTTCCGCTGTTGTTTACACCGGCAGAATTCCCGATAAAGACGGTTTACACGGTGTTTTGGCTGGTGCTGTTCTTGATGGCGTTTGATCGGTTAGCACCGGCGTCAAACCGGCCGCGGTTTTTCCTGTTTGACCGCTTCAGCACGTTGTATATCACGGTCAGCATCCCGTTGATTGTGTACTGCTCGTTGGTGCATGGCATTGCGTTTGGGAAGAGTTATGAGTTTCTGCCGTTGATGTTTACGAGCTCGTACTCGGCGGTTGGGGTGGTGGGGAGTTGGGTTGGATTTATGGTTGTGTATTTTACGTCATAGGCTTCTCTCTCGTTTCGTTTTTGTTATATTTCAGTTTCGCAAAATACCCAAAGCCAGTGTTCGTGGTTTACCCTCTGCGGCCTCTGATTGGCCGGATCGGAGGGTGGGGCGGGCACCGCCACACCGCGCAACTGGTTTGAGCTCCTGAGATAACCCAAAGCCTATTAAGTGCATACAGATTGTCAAACCGGCGGCTCCTTGAGATGAATGGAAGCACTTGAACCTACCATTAACCCTCGTGGGCCTGGGCAATAAACCCCGTCCGAGTCCTCCTCTTCATCCGAAGTTAGACGGATTTTCATTGGCCAGGACGGACCAGACAAACGCGAAACAATGGTGGACCCACATAAAGATACATCTGCAACCACCTAACTTAAGCGGGGCATGGAGGTACCTCTGCGACGAAACCAGAGAACAAAGACGCACCACCCTCGAGAAAGCAACCTCCCCTTCCTGTTTGGACGGGGTGGAGAGACAGAAAAGCATGACACGACATTCGCTGACAGGTCCTAAACCGCCAAACTTGAACACTCATCTCATCAATTGGCAATTGCAAAGTATTTTTTTCAAAGCAACAAGGGACCAAATGCATCTGCAAGGCTGCTGCAACGTGAACTAAGAAAATCGAGATACCGTTCCATTCTCCTTTTTAACATTCCATTTCAGCCTTGTGTTGGACCCACTGTTTCCCGAAGCGGCGGACATGCTTCGGCACCTCGGGCACACACGTTTATGTGTATAGACAAAGCGCTTGGGCTGTGCGCTTTGTTATTTCTGCGGAAGATACGGCATATGAGAATGTGTATGGTAGGGATAAATGTAGAAAAAAGAGAGGGAATGTGGCCGGTGCTGTGTCGCTCTGACTTGGAGGAGAAAACGGTCCCGGGCCGAGATGCAAACCCGGGAAATAATAAAGTGTGCAAGGTGCGCTTGAGAGCCGCATTGTTCCGATACCTGGCTGTAAATACATGCACCGTTTTGTTTTCGAATTTCTACTCAAAGGAGCTCCCAGAGGCACATGGGAATGCCCTGGAATGGAAATTCATAATCGCAAAGGCTCCTCAGGTCGAGTTGAGGCCAATTTGCCCCCTCGAGATGAAGGGTTGATGATTTCAGTGAGCCGCAGGTGTGCTAGCGCGGTACCAGCAGGACGTTGGGCGGGCTTGGCGGCAGGTCGATCGATGAGATCCAAACCATGCGTGGGGAGGTTGTGTTTGTGCATGTCTCTCCGATGTCTTGACATCGGATGTTAGAACTCTCTTCAAACTGCAAGCAAGCCGCTCAAGTTAGATACAAGAGGGTAATACAGCATCCCGGGCCTGGAGACGGCAATGCACTCCTTGGGAGTCTCATGGTTGAATGTTGTGTGGGTGTTGTTGAAGCATGGAAAGGGGAGAGTCCCGCGTTCAGCCCGTGTCCCGGGGTTGGCGAAGACCCCTACCCATGAAAAAGGAAATTTGCTTTGCACTGTCGTGGGCGTAAACAATTGAAAAATGCCCCAATCGGTGCGCTTCAAGCGTCTGCTGATAGCCCTCGTCGCGGCGAGCAAGACGAGTACAAGAACGTGGGCAAAGCATGTCCGTCGGGCGGCTTGGGTGCAGGAAGAAGGGTGCCCAGGGTGGTCGGGGTCTGCGAGGAGGAGGAGCCCTTTTTGGTGTCGGGCCTGGAAGAGAGATCCCCGTCCCCTGCCAAAGCGGGTCCGGGATTGCCAGCGCGCGCTGCGGGCCTGCGGGCTTCCTTGGGTGCGGGTCGGGTGCTTAGAAGTGCGGCTTGGTGGTGCTGTTCGCGGGACCACACTGCACGCTGCACACTGCGACCTAAGCCCGTGCTCCCTCCCCATTTGCCGTTCCCCCTTCCCCTTGTTGAACTTTTTTCCTCCTCCCACCTCGCCCTCTATTTTTTTCACACTCTTAGCTTTTTTTCCTCCCTCGCAACAATCCACGATTCCGGGGCTGCAGCACCTCTGCTCACCACCACCACTTACACGCAGACCGCGCCAACACGAAAACGGCCACTTACACGCATTCTCGCAGGCGCGTAACTCCTACCTGGGACTGGAACCCCCCGTCGCATCAGCCTTGCATGCTTTGCTCTCACCGCGAACCTGTCCGCTCTCCCTGGGCGGCCACCAACCCTGAACCCTCTCTCTCCACCCGGGCAATCCGCCACGGGTCGCGACGGCCAGCCCCAACCAGGGCCACGGAACACCACAACGCGTCTCAATCACCCACATCACCGCGTTTTTTCACCCCACATCGACTCGGGACTTGGGGTTATTTGCCATTGGCAAGGCTGAGACAAGGTTCAAGATCGAATTCGATATCAGCCTTGCAGAAGTGCATTTTGGGAAGAGGGGGGAACATTCTTCGGCTCAGGCTCCTCCGCGTTTTCGCCCTTTTCTTTTTCCTCCTGTTTACGGCGGATCCTACGAGCGGACACCACTCCTACAACTATAATAATCTCTACCATAATCACCAGCCATGGTACGCGGCAACCTTCTTGCGGGTGTTTCCGACACACTGCGACCATCATCAAGACCCCCCACCAAGTTACTAACCCCTACCGCCCCCCAGGTCCTGTTCAAGCGCAAGCCGGTGCAGTTTCTGCCCGTGCCCGAGCTTGACGATGACAATCAAGAGGTAGGCGACCATGCAGCTGTCCCTGTAGCTGCAGTCTGGATTCAATGGCTAGAACACGTGTTAACGAGTGCCGGGTGATTTACTGTACAGATCTGGTATATTCCCCAGACGGGCGAGGTCTTTGTCACATACGAGGATTACTTGAATAGGTATGTTGTTTTCATCTCATAGTTCCCTACACCCCCCGCCGCATGCAACAATGTGAATGGCTGCTAAGACCCGGTAGGATGGACTTTTACAAGCAGGTATGCGCGCCTAACCCCGGCCGTAAGACCCGGCCGATGATTCACACGTACACACTAGAAACGCTTTATTTGCACCATCAGTGGCCATTCAGGCCTGACATTCTTTGACGCACTAGAGAGCGAGGTATGTGCCCTCCCGTTTCACCCCGCCCTGGGCTATTCTTGTCTTCCTTTTCTGCCATACACCCCCGAGGGGTGGACCACTAACGTTGAGATTGCCCCCGCTTAGCTCGCCGGTGCCGCCGAAGTCAACCAAGCATTCCCCGAAGCCCTCAAGGGCCCGATCCTCCGACGTGTCCAATTCCAGACCGTGTCCCGCATCGATACCTTGGTCGACCAGGTGTACGACGAGTTTAAGAACGATTACTACCCCGGCGAGGCTGTTACAGTATACGTGGTGGGCGGAGAGAGGCTGAAGGGTGTGGTCCGGGACAAGATGCGCTTCGGGAGCAAAGTGCTCCCCGATGGCACCCAGACCCCGAACTTCTCGCGCTACTTTGTTAGCCTGGACGAACGGCCGGACGAGGAAGCCATGGTCTGTGAACCCAACATTTTCCGCGACCGCAAAGTCTTTACCAAGGCCGTTCTCCGATCCTTTATCAAGAACACGGTGACGAGGGAAGCCTGGAATGGAGCCCCATGGCTAGTGAAGAACGATGTCGCGGAAAAGTACCACATCGACACGCGCATCCCGGCCCACTTGCGCTACGACAACAAGTTGTTGGAGCGGAAGCAAATACAGCTTCAGAAGAAGGCATCACACTCGGACCTGACGCCCCAAGACTCGCCCGGCCCTGTCAGCCCCACCGGCTTCCGGTTGCCCGAGCTCAAGCCCGCGCCCAAGAGCCACAAGTCGAAGGCGCAACAAGCGCTCCAGGCTCAGCAACATGCCATCAAAGGCAAGCACAGCACGTTCGGGGGCCACGAACCAGGCTCCTTCATGCATCTTCCGCTCCCCGGGAACTCCTTGCAGCAGTTCCCCATGTCGTACCGCGATCAGCCCCCAGAGCCTATCGTCCACCAGCGCGAACCGACCCCACCCCCACCGCCTCCGAAATACCCGATCGAAGACTTGCAGGTCGAGTCGCGCGGCCTTGTTCGACCGCAGCTCAAGTACATGTGCCGCGACACGCCGGTCGAAGTTGGGCCCGAGTCCAAGTCGCCGTTTAGCGAGAAGATTTTGATGAAGTCAATAGGACCCTTGCTTGAAACATGGGATACACTCAACGTCTACTGCGAGATCTTTAAGCTCGACTCGTTTACGTTCGACGATTACGTGGAGGCCATGTTGGTTGCGTCTGTGGACAGCCCAGTGCAGCTGTTTGACGAGATCCATTGCGCCGTTCTCAAGATTCTCGTCACTTCCGAGGCTGACGGCGGTAAGGTCCAGATACAGCTGCCGGAGTTGGATGATGAAGACGAGGAGGAGGACGAGGAAGAGGAAGAGGAGGGAAGTGCCGAGCCAACTCCCGAACCGGAACCGCAACCAACGGGACGCGCGACGCGGAGGAGCTTGGCCAAGGCGGAAGCGGAGAGACTAGCAGCAGAGGCGGCTGCGGCCGAGAAGGAGATGCAGGAGGCAGAAGACGCGCCGAAGCACCAGGCGGAGGAATTACTCCACGACTACGACTGGATCGAGCAGCTGTCGAAGCGCGAGTTCAAGGACGGCGGTTGGGAAATGATCTTGGTCGGGTTGCTCCATCAGTTGTCTAAGAATGAGCGGCTTAGCGCCGCCTGTGAAGAGCTTCTCCAGCAGCTGGTCCCGACTGACATCGAGCCGAGCCAAGAGACGGTGCGCCAGCAGTACTCGGCCCTCGACATCAACTACCGCGTGCAGGCGCTGCAGATTATCTGCATGCTCACGTCCGAGACTAGGGCGATCCGTGGGTACATGGAGGACTGCAGTGAGACGATGACAGGGTACAGGAAGGAGAAGATTGAGTGGCAGAGAAAGAGGAAGCAACTGTGAGTCCACTCTCCTCTGTTTTCTGACTAGTCTGCCGATTCATTTGGTGCTAACCTGACGCAGGATTGAGGACCTCAAGCAGCTCAACGACCAGCGCAAGATCCTGCTACCCGATAATCTACCCCCCAGTCCACCGTTGGAACCGGCCAAGACAAATGGGGACGTCAAGATGTCGGATGTGGAGGACTTGCCAGCCAACACCTCTGACGAGGTCGCAGACTCGGATGACGATGGTGCAGTGCGGAAACTGCGGCGTGCTAATGACCGGGCCGCGGAGCGCAAACGGAAGGCTGAGCTCGAACAGGAGCGCAAGGAGAAGGCGGAAGCAGCAGCCAAGGTACCCAAGCAGTCGAAGCAGTTCCAGCGGGTGCTGAAGGACATCCAAAAGAAGGAAGAAGAGATTGCCGAGTGTGAGCGCGAGATTGCCGTGATCGACAACGACCTACGCGAAGCCGACTGCCCGCGCACGCGTGTGCTCGGCAAGGACCGTTTCTGGAACCGGTACTACTGGTTCGAGCGCAACGGCATGCCATACGGGGGGCTGCCCGACAGCTCCACGGCTTCGGCAGACTACGCCAACGGCTGTCTCTGGGTGCAGGGTCCTGACGAGATCGAGCGGGAGGGTTATATCGACATGAGCCCCGAGTACCAGGACGAGTACGTGGCCAAGTTCAACACCACGGTGCCCGAGCGCAAGAAGCGCGAAGAGGGCGCCACCAGCGTCTACAACGCCTGCCAATGGGGGTATTACTCAGAGCCGGAAGACGTCGACGCCCTGCTCGGCTGGCTCGAGCCCCGCGGTGTCAACGAACTGAAGCTGCGCAAGGAACTGGTCAACTACCGCGACAAGATCGCCAAGAACATGGAAAACCGCAAGGCCTACCTTGCCGAGGCCGAGGAACAGCAGAAAAAGGAGCGGGAAGAAGCCGCAAAGGCGGCGGCCGCTACCCCGGCCCCAACTCCCACACCAGCGCCCCCCACAACAACAACAACCACATCCACCAACCCCCCCAGCAAACGCATGACCACCCGCGGCCGCGGCGTCACCACCATCTCCGCACCCCCCCTCGAACCGTCCCCCGAACCCCCCGCGCCTCCCGCACCAATCGCGCCCGTAGTCGTTGCAGCGCCGACGTCCTACCGCTGCATGGCCTGGGAAAATACCATGGCCCTTGAGGATATTGGGCATCTGCACAGCCTGCAACCGCCCCCGGCTCGGTCGAGGAAGATGACCAAGAAGAAGGAGGCGGCGGAGAAGGCGGCTGCGGAGAGGGAGAAGGCGGAGGAGAAGGAGGTTATGGTTACTAGGGGGAAGAAAGGGCGGCAGGGGGGGAGGTGATATAGGAGGGGTCGTTATGGAACCATGGGGATCAGGGGGGAGATAAGATAAGCGGAGCAAGAACAAGGAGGAATAAAGGAACCGAAGACGGAAGTGTGATTTTCCGGTGTTTGTGTTTGCATTGGGTTGTTGTGTTGTTTTTTTTGTAACGGGCGCTCGAAGAGAAGAAAAAAAGAGACCATAGTTGGGGGTTGGTGGTGTTGTCTGGTATTGTATTATATTTGCATTGCATTGTATTGCATTGCATTGCGTTTTGTTGCTCTTTTTTGGTTTCCCCTCCATTGTTGTGGCTTGCTGCTTGTTGTTGTTTTTGCGCGTGCTGTGGTTGTATATCTGGGTAATTTTGGGTCTTTGGCATGGTATCCTTCAGTTGGTTTGTTTTGTGGTCGGCCATGGTAGAGACCTCTTCTGCATTCATAATGGGGTAAAGGGGCTGTTGTGACAGATGGGAGGATAAGGTTGTCGTTGTCGTGGATGGCTGGGCTTGGGATGTGAACGGGGGTGAAAGAGATATGGGGATGGTAGTAAAATTGCGTTGCGTTGCGTTGTGTTGCATTTGTATCACGGCACATCGATCGCATTGCTGTTGTTTGCTGAGCGGTTGCTTCGTTGGTTGGTGTTGGGTAGGTAGTTAGTTAGTTGAATGAGATGGAAAAGGGGGGATTCCTTCTGGAATTTTCACCAAGGTACGTAGATAGGAGAGGAACAGGGCACTTCTGACACATTTCTTTATGGTTCGAACCCTGAGGTGCTGGTGAATTGGTATTTGGCTGAGGGAGGGATATACAGGTAAGAAAGGATCTTATTATGTAGGCTCCGTTAATATCCAGTGACGTGGATATACCCCCAGCTATATACCCCTCCTACTCGCCACCTTCTACCTTCAGTATATATTACTCCCCCACCCGCCGCCCCCTCGCAATCTCCTCCAACATCGCATCCCCCTTCGGCGCCGCCGTCAAATTCTCGTACCCGTCCTTTGTCACCAAGATGTCATCTTCAATGCGCACACCGCCGACATCCCAGTACGTGTCAAGCACGTCGCGGTCGATGAACCGCGCGTGCGACGGGTTGGAGAGGAAGTTGCCTTCGATGTACTCCCGGCAGAAGTAGATCCCTGGCTCGATCGTGAGGATCATGTTGGGGCGGAGGGCTTGGTAGGGTTTTTTATCTGCTGCCGGTGTTGTTGTTGTTGTTGCCGTCACTGTGGGATCGTCGTGGTCCGAGAATAGTGCGGCCATCGCTGTAGGCGGGACATACTCGCGCTTGCCCCTTCCCCTTCTTCCCGCGCCACGCGCCGTGCTACTCCCAGCTACGCTCATATACAGCCTCTCGTCCCCGGCCACGTCGTGTACCTCCAGCCCGATGTGATGGCCCAGGCCGTGGGGGAAGAAGGCGGCTACGGTCCCCTGCGCGAGAACCTCCGCGGCTGACTCGGCTTTCAGCAAGCCGAGCTTGAGCAGACCGTCGACCGCTACCTCGGCTGCGTGTCGGTGCAGCGACACGTATAAGACGCCCGGCCGCACGCGCTCGATGCATTCCTCTTGCATGCGCTCGACTAGTCGGTAGATGGCTTCTGCCTTGGGGGATGGGAAGGGGGAGGATGAGGACGAGGATGAAGACGGGGACGGGTATAGCGGCAGGGTACGGGTGATGTCGCTGGCGTAGCAGCGGAACTCAGCGCCGCCGTCGATGACGAGGAACTGGCGGCCGTCGGTGAGGGTTTGATTGTTCTCATCGTAGTGGAGGATACTAGCGTTGATGCCGCTGGCGACGATGAGTGGGTACGACTGGGTTGGTGCGCCGTGGGCGGTGCAGGAGGCGATGAATTGGGCGTCGATCTCACGCTCGTTGGTGAAGGTTGAGAGGCGGCTGAGGAGGGCGCGGTGGGCTTCGCTCTGGGGGTTGTTAGGAGGTGTAGTTGGGGGAGAAAGGTTAGGGTTGAGCGTCAGGCATCATATGCAACATACAGAGATATGGTTTGCCCGCCGGATGACCTCGACTTCATACTCCGTCTTAACCACCCTCGCATTGTCCGCCGCCCGCAGCAGGCTCGACGTATCGACGTACACCGGTGCGCCCTCTGCCACCTTAGGCACCTGGTCGGAATGCAGCGTGTACAGTGTATCCCCGTCCTTGAGCAGGTCGGCGAGCGCTTTGTCGAGCCCTTCAATGGGCCGCACATCATCCAGGTCTGAGGCAGCTTTGCATTCCTCGATTCCAGGCAGCCGGCCGAAGTAGAGCACTGTGCGAGGCTCCACGTGCGGGATCCAGAGGACCAGGTGGTCGCGCGCGATGTCGTAGGTCACAACGCAGCCGGGGAAGTCGGCGCCAGAGACGTAGTAGAAGCTGGGTGTGTTAGTTGGCCGGAAGTCACGTTCGGGGAGAGGTGGGTAGAGAACGGAACGTACTGTCTGCGCTGGCGGAACCTGGGCCCCATGTCTGAGTCGTCGTAATACTTGCTGTCTTGGCCCGGGAGGTAAATGATACCGCGGTTGACCCCGAGTTCGTGGGCCACCCTGTGTGCATGAAGTTTTGCTACAGTCGGTCAATATGACATGCCCAAGAACCGGCGAATAAAAGCCCCAACTCACCAGGATACTTCCCCAAGTCCTTCTCTAACCACGCCCGATCAAACACAAATTTCTTCCCTTCCTTCCCCAACGCATTCCCGGACTGCATGGTCGTCTTCTCAACAGCCCGGGGTGTCGTTTGTGATGTGACCGTTGATGGCGACGATGCCGATAACGATGACGGTTGAGGGGCGGAAAGACCATCAGAGAACGACGGAGAGGTAGTAGACTGAGGCAGCATGCCAGCATGCCGAATCCGAATAGACCTAAACGCCCCTATGATCAGTCATAAGCCCGCCCTAGACATTGAACCGTATATATAACCCAACGGCCAAGCACGCATCAAGCAACAGCCAACCTCATACTGCGTGAATGAGTGCCAGCAAGACGATTAAAACACTCAATCTGGCCCAATCACCCCAAAACAAGCGGACCACCTTATCCTCAACCCGCTAACATGTGGTGCTATGATACACCCTAAATCCAACTTACAAGGCATCAAACTCCCCATCATGCACCACCTCAAACGACCCGTCACTCATCCGCTTGGTATTAGCGGGTTTCGCCTCGGATGACGTCGCCATGTTGTTCAAATTAAGTAGGTAGCTCGGCCGGTAGTTCGTGCAGTGTAGGTCCTCAAAGCTCCTAAGTGAGAACAAATAAATAAATGGAAAATCCACGTCTCAAATCCGATAATTTATTGTCGAAAGCTTGGTTGTCAAAGGTCAAATGCAAGCAAGACGGTGTGGATGGGATACCTTAATAAGTAAGATGCATCAGGTAAGGGGAAAAGCGGGGTGAGTCGTTCAACCAACTCGGGTTAGAATCCGAGCTTTGGGAGTGGCGTTTGGGGCTTGTCTCGAAAGGGAAAGATAAGGAAACGTCATGTTATGTGAATGGGCATTTACATACCATCGTATTCGTACGCCGAAGTGTAATTTAACCTTATTTTTAGCAACTTGGATATGGTTAATGATACCGTTCTAAAAGGGATTGAGAAGCTACCTTGGTTAATGTTATGGAACATCCAAGCGTGGATTTGACAAAACTGCCTGGGCATGATCATGTCATCGTAGTTTTGCCAACAACCCAATTACCAGCTCGCTCTGTTTGTCTCTTAAGGGTTTTTGTTGCGCCAGATATATGACATATTTATCTTTAGATATCCTACTTTTATCAAAATTCGCAACCCTCTCCATAAACACGACCCTTCTGTGTCCAGTCATTTCCAACCCATCTTGGCTGCTGGAGCTTATCCCGTTCTAACCTAACACTAACTTGTACCTGCCTCAACTAACTCTTCCAAGTTCCGCCATCTGTTGGCCCTCCACGATTCTACCACTCCCCATTCCTCCTTCCATCCTGTCAGCCCGTCCATGTTCGTTGTATGTCTCGCTGTCGTTGTCGTAACATAGTAGCGAGAGTCGTCCTCAATCGTGAGTGAGTTTTATCCTTTTGTCTAAAAGGGGAAGAAAGAAGAAGAAAAGAAAAAAAGATGGAAGAGGCTAGAAAGTAGCGAGGGGATAATTAAAAAGAAGATAAAAACAAAGCGAGTGCTCGAGTTATCCAAACTCGATAAATCTGCCGGTATCCGTTTCCGTTTTAACCCATCTCCGGGGTATTTTTCATGACCGTTCGTGGCATTCCGTTTCGCCGTTCGAGGTATCAGTTGTGTCATCAAACAGTGGTTTGACGAACCCAACAAAAAGGAAACTCTTCAGATACCCAAATCTGATTCCAAGCACCCTTCTCGATGGAGCCACCTAATCTTCTCGTTTTGGTTTGCGTGGAAATGTCGGGCTTTGATATGCCGAGGCTGTCGGGTGTTACGACCACATTTTGGGCTTCCAAGCCCTCGTTTTTTTTGGTTGTCGGCACAACCTCTTGACTGTTGGAACTCTTTCTTCCGCCTGTGATCCTTCGGTTTCCGCTGGCCTAGTCGCCCCCTCGGGATTCGAAATTTCACGCTTCTTCTTCCGCTTCTCTTATCCCACCTTGCGCCCATGTTTCGCCTTGTGCTGCCACAAGTATATCCCCCGGGTGGTTGTCATCGGTAGGTGTTGCTGTTCAAAACATCGTCCCATTCACCTGGGATAATGGGATCGGGCATCATGTCACCCATCATGTCGCCGCCTTGCTGCTGCTGTTGCTGGTGATGTTGATGCTGCTGCTGCTGTTGCTGATGTGGATGTGGATGTTGTGGTATCTGTTGGTGTTGTTGTTGATGTTGGTGTTGGTGTGATTGATGCTGTTGTTGTTGATGTTGGCCCATCTGCTGGTGGTGATGCTGTGCCTGAGGATGTCCATGCAGCCCATGATCGGACTGCATAGCAAGCATATTGGGGTTCCCATACATCTGCGTAGCGGGGTTGAGCCCATGCTGCTGCTGGTGTGATCGTTGAGCTTGGGACATGAGGTATGGAGACATGGGTTCAAGGAGCTGCCCCTCAATGCCATGGTACACGTTAGGGATGTAGAACTGCATGGCGTCATGGGACTGCCCGGTGTTGGTGGCCTGTGGGGTCTGGTTGCTTGGGTGCTGGCCAGCGGGGTCGATCGGGGGTTGGCTCGGGTATGCGAAGGGGTCCTCCGAAGGGAACATCATGGCGTCCATCTTGTACAAAGAGCTGACCGAGCCCCCACCGGTCTGGCCCTGCTGATGGAACCCCTGAGCATGGCCGGGCATGGTTCCTTGCGTGTTCGCGTTGGAGTCCGAGCCTGTACCATGGAGTGGCATGTTCATCGGTAGTATCTCCTGGAAGTTGGTAAAGCTCTGCTCCGCCAGGCTGCTGTGCTGGAATCCAATCGTGTCGAAGGACGCGGTCCTCTGGGGAGGTGCTCGCGCCTCTCGTCGGAGCAGGCCGATGGCCGGCCGGACCATCTCTTCTGATCTGCGCTGCGGGATGGTGTCCTGCAGATCTGAGCGGCTCGGCAACGTCACGCTCCCTGCCCTTGACCCTTGACCAGCACTCGAGGCCGGGGCCGGAGCGGATCGTTTCTTTGTCGGGGTTGGTCTCGCCGTTGATTTCGTCACTCGATCTGGTAATTTTTCAAACAGGGGCTGGTGGATCACTTGTTAACACCGGCTGATCTACTGGTCCTTTGACTGCGACGTTAGCGAGGGGTGAGGGACTTACATTCAACGCTGCGGTGATGCGGTCGGCGGCCAGGCTCCGTTTCGCGAGAGCTGCGATGACGTCTTTCCCAGCTCTGGCGTCGGCTAATATCTCGGCCGACCCTGCTTTGTCGGGGTTCTCCAGCACAAAAAAGATGAGCGAGAGAATGGCAAAGAACTCGGTGTAGAGGATAAACCAGTACGGACCAATGAGCACCGCCTGCTTTTGAATCTCAATTCCAATATGGATGATGTTCCGCGAGACGGTAATCCCCGCGGCCGCACAATCGTAGTACCGGGGCTCGATCTTTTTCCCGCCCGTTAGGCGTGGCGAGATGTAGTGAAGGAACGGTCTGTAGAGCATCATCTGGACATGGGCAAATCCAAAACGAAGGAGAGTTCGAACGCTATTCAAGATCTTGTTAGCCCCGAGCGCCCTGGTCTCCGTCAAGTGCAGCGGTCACTTACCGTGTAGCCTCGATCGGGCCCCCGTGGCTAGGCCGCCAATAGTCGTTGAGGTTTGACTGCCAGTCATGCAATTCTTGCTCAATGGCCTTAACTCGGCTATAGTTGATTGTAAACGTTCTCTCCGGCTGCCGTCCTGTTAGATTATCCTCCTCAATTCCCCTCAACGGATATATTTCCTTGACGACCCTCGCCAAAATCCTCATGAGTTCGTTGTGCGCGTTGAATGCCTGAAAGAATGACGGAGTACCCGGGGGCGGCGCCCGGATGGCCTCCTTGGTGATATATTCGTCGTCGACCTCTGTGGGAAGTGGTTGGTCGACATCTTCGTCGTGTAATAGGAGAGGGAAGCCAAGGATCGCAGAAACATAAAAGTCCATCTGTCGAATAACGTGAAATACCCGCCTCCTTGTTTCGTCCTCGATCGGGGTGATTTTGTCGTGTGCGAGGTGGCGGTGCAGGCCCATCCGGAGGCACGATCGGAGGGCAATGCCGAGGAAGGCATAGCAGTCGCTGATGTTGGAGGTTGCTTGGAGGAAGAGGATCATGTACACGAGTGCTTGTAAGGACGCCATATCCCGGCATTCCGCCATATCCTGGAGAACCAAGCGGGCGGAATTATAGTATTTAACCCTAGACATAGCGGCCAGTAAGTAAATAATCAAATTTATCAACCGATAAGGAGCGGTTGTTAGACAAAGGGGGAACGAAAGGGGGTAAGATGGCTGGAAAGTGTCAATTACCCTTCGCTTACAGCGGAGCTGTACGTTACCGTACCCTCCGGACCTTCGTCTTGGGAAACGTTGTACACACTCCCCAACGCCAGCACCGAGTACAGCAAACCCAAGAATCTCTGCTCTTCGTTCCCCCAAGACCCCTGCGGCGTGCTGTACAGTCTGTCGAGCGTCTCAAAAAACGTCGGCCGGTGGACCACCCGAAGCAGACAAGTCGCACAGTCGAGCGAGTAGTGACAGAGCTTATCGACCCTATCGCGCGGGGGGAGGGTGTGCATCGTCGGGTTTGTCAGAGGCGAGGCGGCTGGGGAACTTGGGGTGTGGATGGTGAACAAGCCAGGAGGGATGGCTGGCCGGGGTAAGAAGGGAATCTGGTATTCGTTTCCCAGCAACGTCTGAAAATGATCCTTCATCCGCCGAAGGAACACGGCGCCTGACGAGACACCGTGGAAGTCCCACTCCCCGCTTTCCTTGAGATCCAGTTGACCAATCGACTCGATCATGGACATGATCTGGGCGTCCTGCTGCTCGTCTGGCCGAGCATTGGAGGCTTCCGCCTTGGCCTCCTGAGTTCGAGCTCTCGCCTTCTCCCGGTTGCGGAATTCTTGCTGGACTGCCGGATCGAGGTTGGGATCGGCGAGGTCGACGTTAGGCATGAACTCGCGCAGTAGAGCCATGGCGCGGTCGAGCTTGTTTTCAAGCGCTTCGATGTATTGCGGAGCAGGGTTCCTGCGGCGGTTAGACGGTTTATCGTAGGTGCATTCTAGAACCCGGTTAACGAACATCCACAACCCAGCAAGCGGGAAACCACCCAAGAAGGGAAGACGAGGAAGAGGAATGGAGGGGTAGAAATGGGAAGTTTCGCTGTGTTACCATAACTGTAGACGGAGCAGTGCGTACAAGGCTGTTTGCCATCGCACTTGATCTTCTTCCGACGGCATTCGTCACAAGCGCGGGTTACCCTCCGGCGCTTCTGCTGAGGCATGTTCGGGACATCATCGCCATCGTCCAGCGCTCCTGACGCATCCTCTGATCCGGGCCTGATGGACTCCTGAGCGGGGGACATGCCGCTTTCTGACTTCACCACAAACTCCTCTAGGGACAGGTCGGCCGACTCCTCGTCGGACATGTTGTCTGGGCTATTGGCCGAGCCGGAGGACTTGGGCGGGTTCGAAGCCTTTCTCGTGCTGCTGCCAGCTCGGCCCGAACGCGGAGGCCGCGAAGGCGGCCGGGTTGCGCGGGGAGTCGAGGTTCTGTCGGGAACGGGACCTGTCATGGTTGCTTCCCGGGAAAACGGACAAACAGGTGAGGGAATCACGGGGATAGATGGTGGTTACCTCCGTGGGGGGTTGCTTCTCACTTGCCCGTCGGGATGGGGTTTCAGGGCTGTGCTCGCACATCTGATTTATGAGTGGGGGGAGGAGGGGGGGAAAAGGCGTGCCGCTGAAGTTTACACACACAAGAACCGGGAGTCGGGGGTAAGCGGGTGTCGGCCGTCGTGGGTGAAGAGAAAGTTTGGCTGAGCGCAGCACCGGGTACTCTGCATTTAGAGGATGCGCAGAGAGATCAAGGGCTTTACGCTGGACGAGAGTCGTCTGTCCAAAGCCTGCGTGGTTAGGGGGGGGGTGGTTCTACGGAAGCAAAGGACTTTTCCCGTTTGAGTTGACACACCCTGTTCCTCAGGAACCCCCGAATAGCGAATTTATCCTGGGTCGACTCCGCTCAACCTGCTTGGATAGCAGCAGTTCAAGTGGGGAGACGAGAGCTTGGGGGAGGGGAACAATCGCAGCACAACAGACTCTCGAGCTCGAGAGAGCGCACGGCGCTTCTTTGTACAGGAGTTGTCAGGATCCGTCCAGTCCTTCGGGGTGGACCCCGCTGTTTTCCTAGGCGCTTTTCCGGGAGCGAAGCAGGGATGGGGGGAGGCGGGAGCCGGCGCCGACTCGGGGTTAGTGTAACACGGACACTAGACGAAGAACGCGGGTGTTGATGAAGTCGCGGAGATCGGATGAGAAAAAGGTGGACGAGATGTTGAAACAAAACCGCGGCTGGTTGGCTGGGAAAGAGGAAGCACCTTTAGAGCCGAAAAGAGGACCCGGAGAGCCGCTTGAAAGCACATTGGTCGAACCGGAATACGAAACTGTGAGTAGCAACAACCCAAGGGCCCAGCATACGATTTTGTTGGCCTCGAAGAAAGTCGGCAATCACCGCTCCCTGGTTGGATGGATGACGGTTCAGAAGATGTGGAGCACCATCCTCTCTGGCTCCAAAAGTGTGTGTACACACAGTACCTACTTCGTATCGCCGACCGTGGGAAGCCCCCTCCCCCCTCCCTCTAACCCCTGGCATCGTCTTGTGCTGGGGTTCGGTTGCAAGACAACAACTCCTCGGAAGCGTTGCAAGGCTTTCGCAGCTGCGGGCGTTTTCAGCTTGTTCCCCATCCTCGGTTGCGTGATGCATGTTGCACGCGTCGCAGCGAAGGGGTCGACCGCGAGCGGATGAGAGTTGCCCCCTTTCTCATGCCGCGGGGGTCCCTAGCCGCGTGCCGTTCGGTCGCTTTCCATGTTCCCAGGACTCTGGGGTAGGTGGTAGTTTATCTCCGGTGCCGATGCAACGGGCACGAGACCCTTTGTCTGTACATAGTACCAAATGGAGGGACACGCTCCTTTTTTATTGATGGTGTCGGATCATGCTACAACACGAGAAGGCGAGTGAGAGAGCCGGGCCGGGAAAACTAGGAAGGGGGGCAGATTTGGGAAGTAGACAGTGTGTGCGGTTGTGCGGTTGTCGATACACGAATGATGTTGGCGTTCGCGGTGCCTGACTTCGCTTCTGCTTCTACATCGGCTTCCGTAGATCTTCGATGCATGAGTTTTTTATTCTTTTTTACCGTTAGTCGGGAAGGTCGGCTAGCCCTGGGCCCGAAAGCCGACCCGCACACAAAACTTTGGTTCGTGTAGTCGTCCATGCGTGTTGTCGTCTGTGGTGAGCTTTCATTCTCCCATTGAGTTACCTTTTCCCCGAGGCTCTTCGATTCCCAACAGAAGCGGCCAGGTTCAGAATAAGCACGATTCAGACGAGGAAAGCATCCCGCGACTTTCCCGGAATTATTCCCGGAGTTGGAATGGCAATGCGAGGAACAGGAATGGCTCGCGGATGGGAACATGCAGAAACTGGAAGGACGCTTTGGCCCCCAAGGTTTATGTGGATACAGTGGGGATTCCTGGACAGGCTCTTTCCTTCCGCCGCAACGTTAAACCGTGGGGAGTTTGGACCTGCCGTGTGGGCGTTGCCTGCTCTTTCCCCAGCCCACCGCAAATAAACGGCCTGCCCGCTGGGAACGCGGGTTGGAGAGTTCCCATCGTTGGGAAGGAGCCAGGGGCTGGGAGGTGCGGTCGTACCGAAGGGCACCCCAGGCTGTCTGGCGGCCGGCGGGCGAGCCGTCAATATTGGGGCACCATTGGGATGCATATTTTGAGAAACAGCCCGCAGCGGGCCAGTGATTCCTTGACAAAGCACATCTCAAGGGTGCAGCAGATGGGAAACGGACATTGGCGATCTGGAAAGGGTGGGGAACGACATTGGAGCGCTAGAATCTTGGCTGACGTCGTCATGCAGCCTTGGCATGCAAGAACCCCGGGAGAAGATGGGACAGGGGACCACAACGAGCCCATGCTGGTGGACACGCACAGTGCCCTTTTGCGGTTGCGCGCGCAGACTTTTTTCCACACGCGCCCTGGGCTATCCGGTGGGTTCTTTTTTGGGAACCCGGCAGCTGCAAGTTGCGGGCAGGCAGACTGGTGAACGTCGAACTCCGGCGGACCCCCAGGCACGCACGGCACGCTCAGGCACGCCAGGCTGTTTTCTTTTTCTCTGGCGCGAGCAACGTTTTCTGGGCATCGATGATCTCGAAGATCTGATTCGCATTCGGTTACTTGTCCCATGGACCCCTTTTTTGGTGCTTCCACTTTGGGACTTCCGGAGCGTGGGCCGGGTCGCCTGAATCTCGGCGAGTTGTGCTTCCCACTCCAGTGTGGACATACGATGCAACTGCTTGTCGTCTGCGCCAATGTGTGGCCGGGGAAGAACCCCCGAGGACAATCCGACAGCGTGGATATCAGGACCTGCTTGTCCTTGTCAGCCCTGCTGATGCAAAAATAGAACTCCCAAGACGTCGGCACACCTCGGTCGCCGAGACATCCCGAGGTGACCACCAGAGTGTTTTGCCTTTTTCTTTTTTTCCTCTTTCTTTTGTGATGCTGCCCATTCCCTTCAATAACCCTCAACAACGTGTGCCCATTGACAGGTGGAGTTGATGACATGGAACGCCAGTCCGAATTTGATGCCCGATCGGTTTCGCAATCTCTCCACTGTGTTTGCTTGTTTGCTCACGGAACGGAAAACAATGGCCACAACTGAGTCAGCTGGGAGGATGAACGTTGGGTACCTGACTATTGATGGGTTGGCAAGGTTGGCTCCTGGGGAATCCCTAAGTGAGGAAGGAAGGGCGAGAGCGGCTTGAGCGGGTGCCCCACTCTTCCAGGTTACCCCACCAAAGCTCTTGGCCGCCGCTGCCTGTCAACCCCCAATCCCAACTCTCAGCCTTACCTCGGAGCTTCTCAGAGCTTCCTTTAGTTCACAGCCTCGCCGAACCCCGCGTCAACCGCCGACGGGATCTTGAGCGCGATCATTCAAGTCAACATGGCGGACCCTTTGCTCGCTTTCTTTACGTTGATGGATAGCCAAGAGCGCATCATCGTTCGGGGTACGTAGACCTGATATCCCCACCTCGGCGCAATATCTCAGCACCTTGTCGCCTGTTTGCGTCGTCGTTCTCAGAGGCAAGGAACCCAAAAGCTAACCGTGGAGTTAAAAACGACTAGAGGCACCGAACTTTGACCTCGACCTTTACATACAAAACTATAAGGGTTAGCGCGTTCAACCTCCCCAGTTGAATCTGGTAGTTTTGCCTCTAGTTTAGCTCTAAGCTAACAACACCCGCGCCTAGGTCGTACACGCTTCGACCGGCTTTTATTGATCGGACGTAGCTCAGTGCCATTGTGCGTTGATGCGTTGAAGTCCGCAATCGCAGAAGCCAAGCGGGGCAAGGATACCGGCCGGTACCGAGAAGCCGTCGAGTGCCTCCGGGTTGCCGCTCCTACCGAACCTGAAGCCAATTTCGACCAGGCATGGCTGGAAGCGCAAGATGCGGCGAATAAGCTCGAGACCAACCGTTTGACAACCGAACTTAAGGGGTACAAGAACAACTTGATCAAAGAGAGCGTCCGAGTGAGTTTTATGTGCTGTGTAGTGGAGATGATAACGGGGTAAGCCTAACTGATCGTGTTAGATGGGCAATGAAGATCTCGCGAAGCACCTTGAGAGCATCGGCGATCTCAACGCTGCGGCTGAGACATACTCAAAGATGCGGCCGGATGTCAGTACACCTAAGCAGTTTATCGACGTCGGCAAACATCTCGTCCGTGTCTCAATTCACCGCCGAGAGTGGGCTATGGTGGGCGCCCATCTCAGCAAGCTCGGTGGCTCCCAGCCTGCCGAGGAAGAAAGGACAGTCCAGCCCTATCTGAAAATCTCACAGGGCATTGCGTTGCTAGGACATCTTAAGTTCAAAGAGGCCGCACTGAGCTTCCTCTCGACCGATTCGAGTATTCCCGCCGCCACATACAACGAGCTCGCCAGCCAAAGCGACGTCGCGAGCTACGGCGGTCTGCTTGCCCTCGCATCCATGGACCGGGGGGAGCTCCAGAGGAATGTGCTCGACAACGCGGTGTTCCGGACGTTCTTGGAGCATGCACCACACATTCGGCGCGCTGTGACACAGTTCGTTAGCGGCAGGTACTCTGCATGCATTTCCGTTCTCGAGTCATACCGTGCGGACTATCAGCTCGACATCTTCCTACAAAAGCACGTCGCGACTATCTACTCCCGCATTCGCAGCAAGTGTATCATCCAGTACCTGATACCCTTCTCATGCGTCAGCTTGGAGACAATGAACAATGCCTTTGGTGGCCCCGGTCAGGACATTGAGAATGAGCTGGCCGACATGATTGAATCCGGTGCTCTCAAGGCTCGGATCAATACTATTGACAAGGTAGGTTCCTGCTCGCCCAATGTTATTTTGTTTGAAGAAGTGCTAACTGGGCTTCCTTCTTTCAGCTGGTTACCACCAAGGCCGCCAATCCGAGAGCACAGATGCAAGAGGCGGCCCTCCGAACAGCCGAGAATTACGAGAAGCAGGCGCTTGATCGTCTTCGACGGATGGGGCTTGCGGCTTCCGACCTTGAGCTGAAGGGGGGCAGAAAAGGGGGCCAGTTTAGTTCTCAGAGTGATTACATGATGGAAGAGACCTTGGGTTAATGTGGTCCGTTAAGGAGGGTTTAGACTTGATTTGCCGAGTCTCCGTCACTCTTTCTACGAAACGGGAGAGCCGAGAGTTAAGGGGCGAAACCCGCAAGGAAGAGGCCCAGTATTAACTGGCAGATTATTGGTGAGGAGGAAGCTTCGTATGCGATGCTTACCCCGGGATGAGATATGATTACGCCGTCCATGAGGAATGGGATACTCTTGCAAGGCCGAACTTTTAAGCACCACGAAAGGATCAAGTTGTGATTAATTTGGGTATCGCTAGATCACCGAAGTTGATGTCTCTTCCATCCTATCTACGCCCTCTCCACCTAACCCATCAGCTGCCGGACATCCTCTGGTGGCCAGCGGACCTGGGCAAATGTCAAGCACCTCTTGATACTCTGCAGATACTTGCGTGTGACCTCACTGCCCATAATATGACCCCGCTCTCCACCATGCAGCTTTTCACGAGCACTACGCTCGTGGATACCCACCATGGTGACACCAATCGGCCAGGCCGCCTTGCCGATACTGAGACGCAGATACCCGTCATTGGCGTCGACATACCGCCGCTCCTGCGCAGCGTTGACAATCTCGATGACAGGCTCCAGAATACTCTCGTCCAGGTCGCCCTGCTCAAACTTGCGAAAGAGCGGCCGCATCGTCTCCTTGGTAGAGACCATAGCGTTGCGCGCGGCCTGTCCCGCAAATGTATCGGCGTTGTCTTCGCGCGCGAGAGCAATCTCCCATTCGCGCAGGATCATGTTGAAGTAAGACGCCAGCTGGCGGAAGAGCAGTCGGCGCGCTTTCTTGTCAGTCGCCGGCGGGACTTTGTTGGGGACCCTCATATCCTTCTCTTCCACGGGTGGCAACGTGGTCGCGATCGGTCCCGACGACGCCGCGAGCGCTGCTGCTGCTCCGCCCGCCTTGCTGGCTTTCCGGTACCGTCGAAGTCGTGCGTTGTGACTCTCACCAAACAACACCGCCGGCTCGCCTAACCCTCTCAACTTCCCCAACAACTCAACTTCCCCAATATCCTTCACCCCTTCCCCATCATCCCCATCCAAATCCTCCTCATCCTCCTCCTCTCCCTCCTTCCCATCCACCCCCCCATCTCCACCCTCCCCTCCTTTCACCAACTCCGGCAAACCCAACCTCTTCCTCCGCGCCCGTTCCTCTTCCGCCTCTTTTGCCTCGCGCCGTGCGCGTGACTCTTCGGCTAAGCGACGGCGTTTTTCTTCGCGGATGCGTGCCTCGTGGGCGGCGTCTTCTTCGCGCTTGCGCTTGGCGGCGGCTTTGGCGGCGCGCTCGGTCTCGAGGGCTGCTTGCTCGGCGAGGTAGGCTTGGCGGCGGGCGGCTTCGGCTTCGCGGCGGGAGATGAATTTGGGGGGTTGGGGTTGGGGTTGGGGTTGTGGTGATGTTGTGGATTTGTCTGTGGACGTGGGGGGGGTTGTGGGTTTGGTAGAGCTGGGTGATGGTTTTTTGGTGTCTCCGTTGGCTTTGGAGATTTCTTGGGCCATGAGGGCGGCGAAATCCATGGTGGGCGGATGGGCTGGCGCGGTGGGCGGAATGTTTTGATGAAGGGGCGTTGGGTTGGTGGATTAAGGGACTAGGCGGGCAGTTGGAAAAGCGTGCGGGACCGTATCGATCGGGTTGTTGAAGCTCGTGGATTGGTGATGAGAAAAGAATGTCGTGTGGTGTTGAGTTGAAGATTCATTGGTTAGCCTGGAGGCTGAACATCGGCCCGCTAAAAATTGACGAGAGCCGCTAAAGTACCCCGGAAGGTCCCACCGGTACAGCATGAGACCTCCCGCAACTCACACGCAATACACCGAACTGCGATTGAGCCATAGGTTTGGCTGGGACGTCGGTGCCTTGGCGACAGGCCATTGTCGAGGCCCGGTCCAGTGTACCTATCAGAGAAACGGACAGAAACCAAACTTTAGGTCATCCCTTTCACATTCAGCCGCAGCAAACGGTCAATTTGCGATTTACACTCCACGAACGATATCCACAAGCTCAATCATCATGAACCCCCCAAAGGTCGACCGAGACGGCACGCCGCCCTTCACCTTACACATTTCATTTATCACACCACGCCTTCCAAGGCATCGGTAAGCTACCACTTTTTTTTTTCCCTTTTTTCCCCTTTTTTTTTTTCTTTTACGCAAGCAACTTCATTCCCCCCAAACACCCACCCCAAAACAAACCACCCACTAACCACCCCCCAGACCACCCCCCACCCCCCTCTCTCTCACCCTCCACACCTGGGTAAACAGCACCCTCTCCGAACTCTCCCACAACATCCTCACCACCCTACCCCCCTCCTCATCCGTCCTCCCCACCCCCGCTATCGGCACCCGTCTTGCCTTCGCCCTCGCCCCTATCGACCGAGACGACAATGGCAGTCCGCGACCTGCACCGCCCAAGGTTATGGGTACGGTTCTCCTAGGTAGGGGACTACTAGTCAAACCTAGTGCCGGATCTGGAGAAGGTGGTGTAAACCCAGGGCAGCAGGAGGAGGAGGACGGGGGGGATGATGGAGAACCGGATGACGGTGAGGTAGCATTATTCGCGACGACTCTCATGCCCGGCGATGATGTGTATTGCCTGGTATTTCCGCCTGATGAGGTCACGGGGGAGGTGGTGTCTGTTGCGAGCAGTACGCGGATTCTAAGGGAGGCTATGGAGGAGGAGAGTAGACGGCGGGATGGGCGTGGGTTTGCGGCGGCGCCGACGGCACCGGGGGGCCGGTATGGGGATAGTTTTGGAAGGGGGGGGGGTTTGGGGGGGGTTTTGGGGGGGGGGGGGGGGGGGGGGTGGAGGGAGGATGGGCCGTGGAGTGGTGGTGGTGGTGGTGGTGGTGGTGGTGGTGGTGGGGGAAGGTTTGGGAGGCGAAGGGGGGAGATTGGGGGGAGTGTGAGGATACCGGAGGGGGATTGGAGACGGGGAGATCGGTTGCCGGAGGAGGGTTTTGATGCGGGTCGAAGGTGGTAGTTTTTTCTGTGGAAGGCTTCTTTGAACAAATGTGAGAAACCGGCAGTCTCGCGACGGTTCATTCGGTTCTGTTGAGTGGTTCGAGGCTTCGGCGTTCAACAGTGAGGCTTTCGCGTATTTCATATTGTGTGCGTCGATCTCTTCATTTTCCATCATGTCCCCGGTATCTCACTCTCCGATAGCTGACAGCAAGACCGTCCCTATTGCCCCTCTAAGGTCTCGGGCCACGTTTCCCACTTCGAGCAAGGGTTGGGTATGACTTGTGTCAATTCGCGCCTCCTCCCCCAACTCTTTGCGTCCCCACGCAGCATATGTACAGCGACCGCCTCTTCCCTCATCCAACCTCGCCCCAACTCCGTCTCCTTAACGCTCGGAAATCGGGTTTCCCCTCCGCTTCCCACGCAGCTCCCATAGGCCCTATCCCACATCCCGTGTCAGTCATATCTTAGCTCAATATAATCCAGGCCGGATGCCTCTCTGCCCGTGTCTTGGCCTATGGTGCCGCAACGATCCAAGGAAAACTCACGTCGGTCGCGTAGCCCAGGTACGCCACGAAACTCGGTACTACGATGATGTACATGAACGAGACGAAGGCTGTCTTTCTGTTCCACCGGAAGTACTTGTAGCGGTTCCTTTGCATGTCTGGATGACACAAAAGAAACGGTTAGCCGGCCGGTATTCTATCGTCTGTCCCGCGAAGAGGGGGGGATCGTGGGAGTAGAGCAATGATCGTCGCTGTCGCTGTCGCTGTCGCACAGAGCTCAAACGAGGTTCGACGGGGGACGGGGGAGAATTTGGCGAAGGGTGGGTGGGCTCAGGCGTACTCTCGAGGCGGGCAAAGGCCGGGTCAATGGACATCTCTGTTTGCGCGGGGCGCGCAAGAGCGCATCTAGTTAGTCGAGCTCCTTCATCCATCAGAGAGGGGAAGGGGCGGGGGGCAGAAGCGCACTGTAGTGAGGGAGGCCAGCCATCTTGGGCGGTTTTGGGGGGTTCCTCCTTGGATATGTGAGGTGGTTGAACTGTGGTGTGGGCGATTGGTGGAGTGGTTGCGCTCAACCCTTCGAGGTTTCGAGATTCAAGGTCCGCTGGAGGCTTGGTGGTGAGCTTCACGAGGTGCTGTCGGGATGGTCTTGGCGGTTCCTTTCACGTGACCTATCACGTGGTGTTTGGCTTATTTTGGCATGTAGGCAAGTCATCTCAATCCGGCATTTGTTACGACCATGGGGTGTAAAGGAACGGGCTCTCTGGGAACGACCTTCAAGGTAATGCGTGGTTTGCATTTCCGATTTTTGTCTCATGCTTTGTACAGCCATGGTGACAACTTGGGAGTTTTCAATCGGTCAACTCATTGCGTTCTGGCATGCTCGGTTGAGCAAGGACGGAGCGCATGTGAGTTGTTGAAGTTAGTATCAGCAGTTTTGGTGCGCCATAGTAGTGCCCGTGAAAGGTAATAAGCATCCCAATTGCATACATGGCAGTAGTACACTCTCTCCGTGCTTGTTCTCGTTGCCGTGACTGGGCCCAGGCCTCCAAAGTGGAGGATTGTAATGGGCGAACCCCAGCTCCAGTGCCTCGGCATCCTTTGCTTCCGGCGCCAATTTCCAGGTTCTGCCGGTCGCCTCCCGAATACGTCAGGTTGTCCGATGGTAGTAAATGATGTATAACCGTCTACTGTTCTCAACATTTTTATTCAAATTTCTGACTTTTACTTTTGTGAAGAAACGACACTCCAAGCTACTTGTTTGTACTAAACAGTTCCTCGATTAACCATGACCGAAGAAGCGAAAGTCAAGCTCCACTGGTATGATCCTCAACCCCCTGGCACTCTCAGAGTGCACATACACTACCCACCTTGCCACACACTTACACTCAACGTAGGCTCAACGGCTCGCGAGCCCAGAGCACGCTCTTCCTGCTCGAGCAACTAGAGATCCCCTACGAGCTGGAGATCCACCACCGGCTCAAGACCATGCTCGCGCCGCCAGAGCTGCGCAAGATCCACCCGCTCGGCAAATCGCCCGTCGTGACGGTGACAACCCCGAACGCAGCCGGGGAGGAGCCCATCGTGCTGGCCGAGACGGCCTTCATCACGCAGTACCTGTGCGACCATTTCCCCAAGGGCCCGGAATTGGTTCCCCCGCGGTGGAAGGAAGGCCGGGAGAACCGCGTGGGCGGGGAGACGGAGGAGTGGATGCGGTATCAGTATCTGCTGTACTACATCGAGGGCAGCTTTATGTTTACCGTGGTGTTGCACTTTATTCTTACCGGTATGTCATCCCTAGCCTAGGGGATGTTTTCGTTTTAACCTACCATGCGGTCGACTCGACAAGATACCCATCATGCTGACACTGACACCCCCCGCAGCCCTCAAAGGCCCCAGCGTGCCCTTCCTCATCCGCCCCCTCACGACCGTCATCGCCAACCAAATCATCGCCATGACCGTCTTCCCCAACATGAAGCGGCACTTCGGCATGCTAGAGCAATTCCTCGAGACCCCCCCCGGCGACGGCGCCTACCTGTGTGGACGCACGCTCACGGGCGCCGACATCATGCTGTCGTACCCGCTCATTGCGGGGCGCGACGGCGCGTTTGATGGCATTGGGAAGTGGGAGAAGGGCTCGTTTGCGGCGACCTACCCGAAGTTGCATGCGTATACGGGCCGGCTGGCGGAGGAGCCTGGGTGGAAGCGGTCGGTGGAGAAGATAAGGGAGATTGAGGGGGATTTTGGGATTTTGCCCACGCCGGGGAAGACGGAGTCGCGGATTTAGGGGAGTGTCTAGTGTAAAGGTGGTGGTGGAATTGGTCTGGGGGCCATTTTTGTTTGGGTCTGGTCTTATTCAATTTTCGTTTTTTTTTCTTTCCCTTTTCTCTTTTCCTTTTTGGTTGTTTGGTTATATCTTGGCCCTGAAACAAAGTGGCATGTGATACCTGTGCCGATGGCGTGTGGGTCCGAAACCGAACAGCCGGGGGGCCGGAAGGACTTGACGGCGCGGCCGGAAATGTGTGGACCACACAGACCACAGGTCCACAGGTCCACAGTCCCAAAGAGGCCCTGAAATGGGCCCAAATGAGATGCGCAATTCCAATTGGACCTTCTCCCGCTCAACTCGATGCACCCGATGTTTTCCGCAACAAACGACTGTTGTTTGCTTCTGTCGTCAACGATTTCCAGAACATCGAACAAGCCAGCATGACGTCAAAAGCCAGAGTCAACACGTCAACAATTCAACAATTCAACCCAGCTAAGAGAGCCGTTTGGTTTCGGGCTGCCTGTAGTTCCGCGCAGCCAGCTGGGGAGAATGTGCAACGTGGAGAGAGCCTGGTGCGCTTGAATAACTCTTCAGAGCCTAGTTAATTAATTTGACAGGCAAGCGACAGGATCTCGAACATGGATGGTTGAGCTGACAGACTCGACGATGATTTGACGGGCTGAGCAGATGAGATCACCGCGCTTGTTAGGCACCAAAATTGAGCACCGCTGTCAATCCCTAACCAACTTGCCACTCACCGAATTGGTTCTGGATTGATCAACACGGGCAAAACGATTCAATGGGGGTTACGAATACCATACTCTTTTCTCGGAACAGCAATGGGCTGTTGGACAACCGCTGCAATGAGGCGTTTTCTTTCCTTCGACCCTTGTCCCTACAGGGCGACCGTCCGCGCCGATGAAATTACCACCAACAACAGGACGCAGATACGGGTCGATACGGCCGTCCAAAGGCCCCTGCAGACGGTGGTGGCAGGTGAGAAAGTGGTCCATCGATCCCTCGCCTGGCGGGCCTCCGGACGACCCGACCTTTAGGGTTCCATTTTCAGCCTCAGCTTACTGCATTGCCTTCTTTTGTTCTATTTCGTTCTAGAGTTGTTCTCTCTCATTTTCTCTCTCAGCATTCATAAACGTCCCGGTGGGGCTCGTCTGATGATTTATTAGTTATTGGGACGTTTTCCCCTTTTTTCCTCTTTTTTGTGCCCTTTCACCCCCTCGTAATGTTTTACTGTGTACGAACGAGCGAACAAGACCCCTGGACGGCATAACGTTATGACGAGGTGAAGGGTTGTTGTGAGTGGCAAGGAACAAGGATCACGAACCAAACAAACCGCCAAACAGCTTGTCCTTCCTGACTCGCCTCGGCATCTCATCTTTTATACGAAGTACTGTGGTAGTCTTGGGGCCCGACAAACGACGACAAGACACACAGGGCCATATACTACACTGTTTCGTAAGGCCGAATCGAATTTGCCGTGACCTGAATAAGCCGGCGCAAAGGAGAAGCGCCGGTCGTCCTCGGCCCTGCAATGTACGCATCGACAACATCTCACATCATGGAGGCCCCGGCCCACCCGGTTTCCGTCCCTCCCGTGATGATCCCGTCGACACGCACCCAGCCGGTCGTTCCCGTAGCAGGGAAGCGCGATGAATCACCGCCACCACCGGAGGGGGCCGTTAGCGAGGAGGACGACCTTGATTTGGATGTCGACCAGGACGATGCCCAGTCGTTTCTGCAACCCGCCATTAGCCCCCTAGCCACCCGGCTTACCTCGCCCCGGACGCCGGCGGCTGACAAAGTTGCCGCGTTTGAGCGTCAGCCCGGCGGGCTGTTTGAAGTAGTGGGGGGGGATGGTGATGAGCCGAGTCCGCCGCTACGGACGGTGCCGATGGCCGAGCCGTCACCGTCACATGTTCCGATCCCGATCCCCAGTGAGACGCGCGCGGGAGGAGAAGGGCCTGTCCCCGTGCCTGTGCCTGTGCCTGGACCCCGGTCCCGGGCGTCCACGGCCGCAGCGCTCCCCACGCCGTGGCAGGCTGGGCCCAAGACGTTCCTGGTGCCGGAGCAGGGCCGGTTCCGGTCATCTATGGCCGCTGCGTTCCAGACACACTCGCGACAGCACCGCTCGCAGTCGGTCGGAGAAAGTGCGTTGAAGAGGTTGTCCAAGGCGTTACCGTCCATTTCGATCCCGTCCGGCCTAATATCCAACATCACGACCCCGACCTTCTTCTCTTCCTCTTCCTCCAACTCCAGCTCTAGCTCCCCGCAAAAAGACGGCCACCATGGACCTGGATCCCAACCGCTAACACCAGCACCAACATCGGTACCAACGCCAGCCTCTATCCTGACCCCGCTCACACCTATCCGGGGTCTTGACCGCTCTCATCATACGCGCCAGAGCTCATCCCCTATCCAGCCGGACTCGGCACGGCCGCGGACGTTGCGGCACTCGGCGTCGGACGACTCGCTGCTGTACCACACGCTGTCGCGGGTGTCGTCTTTGGGCGACGATGAGCGGTTTGCACATGTGCGGGAGCAGGTGAATGTGCGGATCAAGGCGATCAAGGATAGTTTTGACGGGCCGTCGTTTAAGTTGCCGCAGATGCCGAGTAAGTCTCTCGCAACAACCCACACATGGATACATGGATATGTGTATGTCTCGGGAACAGGGATAATGTGTGCTGACACCTACTTCCAGATCTGTTAAACGCGCCTTTAAAGAAATCCGCAACAGACCCCATCCAGCGCCATCGCGCCGGCTCGCTGGGCATCCTCCAGTCGCGGCCAGCCCCAGCCGATCCGCTGGACGCGGTGCTCGAAAACCTCACCGGCGACATCGTAGTCATGGGCGGCTACCGCGGGTCGATCCTACGCTCGGCCAAGGCCCCGCACCGCCGGCTCTGGGTGCCCGTCAAGGTGCAGCTGGGCGTGCGCAAGGTCAACCTGGAAGTCGGCCTGGAGCCGGAAGACGAGGAGGCCATGGAGCAGAGCATCATCGCAGACGGCATGCTGCAGAACATCGGCCCCGTGGACATCTCGAAGCGGTTGTTCAAGCGACTGCGAGAGTGCGAGAATGCCAAGAACGGCACGCTGCGGGTGCACGACTACGGGTACGACTGGCGTCTCAGCCCGCATCTGCTATCCCGCAAACTGGCCGAGTTTCTGGAGAAGCTGCCGTCGAACCAGCCCGGTGTGCGCCCAGAACAGCGCGGGGCTTGGGTTATTGCACACAGTCTCGGCGGGCTTATCACGCGACACGCCGTCAACCAGCGGCCGGAGTTGTTCGGGGGGGTGTTGTACGTCGGCGTGCCGCAGCGGTGCATCAACATCCTCGGCCCGCTGCGCAACGGCGACGCGGTGCTGTTCAACGAAAAGATCTTGACGGCGCAGGTCAACTTCTCGCTGCGAACGACCTTTGTCTTTTTACCCGAGGACGGCTTCGCGTTTGTTGATAAAAACACCAAGGAGGAGTACAAAATCGACTTTTACAACGTCGACGACTGGATCAAGTACCGGCTCTGCCCGTGTGTCTCAGAACCCGCACTACCCGCATTATCACGGAGCAGCAGCGCGTTCGGGTCGCTGCTAAGTCTGTCCGATTCCCTCCCAAGTCTACCGCTGCGCAACCGAAGCAGCACGCAGAGCAAGCGAACCAGCAACCCAGCCGCAGGCTTAGCAGCCGAAATCAGAGAATCCATGTTCAAAGACCGCACCCTAGCACCACAGATGAACAGTTCCTCAGCCCCATTCTCCTCCTCACCCCCCAACTCCCACCCGCCATCCCCCCCCGAACGCTCATCCACCCCCCCGCCTCCATCCCACCAACAACCACAACCCGACGACACCCGCGCCCGCAACATCGCCTACCTCCGGCGCACCCTCTCCGAAACCAAACGCTTCCGCTCCGAACTCGCCCACAACCCCACCCACCAACGCACCAACGCCTACCCGCCCCTAGCCCTAATCTACGCCAAAGACATCCCCACCACCTACGCAGCGGGTATCACCTCGCGCGACGCCATCGCGTGTGCCGACGCCTACGATGATTTGTTGTTTGCTAGTGGTGATGGCGTGGTGCTGGCGCGTGAGGCGATGATGCCGCAGGGGTATGAGGTTGTGCGCGGGGGGAGGGTGTGTACGGATCGGGGGCATATTACGATGTTGGGGGATTTGGGGGCGGTTGGGAAGGGGTTGGGGGCGTTGGTTAGGGGGAGGGGGAAGGGGATTGGGTTGGGAGTTGCCCGAGGGACGGGTAAGAACTGAGAGAGGGAGAGAGAGAGAGAATAGGGAGGGTAGTGGGCGGTTGACTGCAGGAGATGGAAGGGAAGGGAACGTTCGGCGTTTGGTGAGACGCGGGTGGTGTTGGGGATAGAAGATTAAGGGGATTAAGGGGGGTAGTTGCATTGTGATACCCGGATGGCGTGGGACTTTTGTGTTTGTTATAGACTGCGATATAGGACTGGACTAGACTAGACTAGAATAGATCTTGTCTTTCTAGTGATACTTGAACGCCTTTAATAACAGGGTTAGGGTTGATTCCCTCCTCTAATCCCAACCCTCTCTCCTTCGACGGGAGTCCCTATGCATCAACCGAACCGACGGACCATCAGCGGTTATTCTCAAACTGCACAATCCCACCACCCACGGAAGATTATCCAGGTGGGTACTGTAACGACTCTCCCTCCTGAAATCATCCCACCCGTCTTTCATCATGCACCTCGCCTCCAGTTACCGCCGTCCCTGCCCCCCTTCCCCCCCACACTGCATGATTTACCTTATACCCGAGTTCCGAGCTCGCATGGTAGACAGGCAGGTAAGGCACCTAGAGGTAAGCAGGCCGCTGGGAATGCGGCCGGGCCTCGGTGGGTATATGGAAATGTTACGGCCTATGGTACAGGACAAAATAACCCGAGGCCGGGTTGCTTCGACGGCCTGCTTTGATGGCCGGCTGGCCGGTCGGCCGGTCGGAGGGGCAGACTGGATAGGCCTGGCCGGGTAGGCCGCTTTGGGGGTCAACGGTTGGATGCAAGACAGATTTGGGTCGGGGAGGTGGTTGTTGGGGAGTTGGGTTTAGCGAGGGTTTGGTATCCTGTGGTTGTGGATGTACATGTATGTAAGTTTGTATGTACTGTATTATGTACTGTACGTACGGGAGGGATGAATGGTTGTTTGGCTGGCTTCACCAAGCACCTCGTGAAGGTAGGCAGATCTCGCAAGCGTACCCGTCCTTCACAAGATACATCGCTGCATCATTGCATTATCCCGTTACCAAACCGTCGCCCGTAACAAGCAACCCTATCAAGCCAACCCGACGAAAAACATCACGAGATGTCGGTCTCACGACGGCAAGTCTGGGCTGGCCCTTCAGGTGAGACTGGACTCCAGGAAAAGAACCACTTAAAACCCCCGCACAAGCGCCCAATCGCCCCCAATGAAACCCCCTGCAGCCGAGCAACTCCCGCAACTCCCGCAACCAACAGCCCAAAAACACCGGTTTCTCTGCTCTCATTGGACGGCCCCCAGCACTGTCAGCGAGTCGATAAGCGCCCGCTTGACAATGGATCCCGTCCACCACCTTCACGCGTGGGTGGCCGGGACAGGCGGCCGCCCGGTTTTTGTTCCGTCATTCTTTTTGGCTTTTGATGGCCTCATGGCATGGCTTTTGAAGCTTCTCACTGGCTGGAGGGATCGGAATGACGGAGATATCCTCTTTTTTTTTTTGGTGGGTTCGCTTGCGATTCTTTGCATGAGCTCATCTGGCCCGGCCCAGTCTCCCCTTCCCAAATCGGAATTGGGGAAATGCGGAGAGCCCTGGAGGTGTTTGGGTGTTTTAGCGCCCGCTTCTCCGTGCGACCTCACGAGATGAATCGAAGTGAAGTGAAGAAGGACTCTCAAGAAATTCCTTGGACGGCCCTTCACAGTCTGGGCCGGCTGGTATTAACTGGGATCATGACAATACTACTTCGTACATACAGAGAATGTGTGTGGGAGGGTGGCAGCGCGCGACGATGAGATGCAGCAGCCCGCCCGTTTTCTCCGAGACGCCTGGGCAACGGCAAACGAAACGAACTATCGATTTCTTCTAGCCGCTCGCCTTGCAGGATACCTCCTTTGGGGTGATGAGAGGGTGAGCGAGACATTTGAGTAGGTGAGTGGGCTGGTGCATGTTAATGAGGATAAGTTATTATATATTAATACGGTGAGACCTGCTTTTGCTCTTGCTCGTACTCCTGCTCCTGTCTGTCGTTCGTGATCCGGGTGGTTGCGTTTTGTTTTGTTTTAGTTCGTTGTCGCTGCCGTCGTGGTTATCTCTATTCCGTACATATTTTATTCTTCCTTCTTTTCCCTTCGCAGGCGAGGCCTCCGTTCCCCTCCCATCTTGTTCAGTTTTGTCTTGTTTCCGACAAATCCCTTTCCTTCTCAACACCACCCAGTTATCACCAACCCATCCACCCACAAACACACACCACCACACACGCGCACCACGAAACACCATGGAGAAAAGCACCCGCTCTCAAAACTCCGCCTCCTCCTTCGAGGGTCTCCCCCCTCCCGACCTGCACCTCCAGTCCAAACTCCGCACCCTCGGCGCCCTCGACAGCGCCCGCGCCATCTCGACGGCCCTCGCCTTGCTTATCGGCCTCACCGTGCTCGGGCTTGCCGGGCAAACCCTACGCGTGTACAACGAGACACACGTCGCGGACGAGGCGACATTGTTGCCGCTGTGGCCGGCCGAGTTTAATGTCCGCCCGACGGTGTCGTTGGTTGTGGGTAGTGCGGTTGTTGTTGTGGTGAATCTGTTTGGGGTTTTGTGCAGTTATGTGCGTGCTGTACGTATTTCCCTGTCTCTCCTGTTTCTCTATTCCTCCATCACCCACCCCCAGATAACCACCCACTGAGTACCTTACATACATAAACTAACACCGACCAGCTCCGCACCCGCGCAACCCTCCACACCCCCACAACCTTCACCACCCCCCTCCTGGGCCTAACCGCCTCCCTCATCGCCATCATCTTCTACTACACCGCCAACGCCTCCGACGTGTCGGACACCTTCGTATCCTGGACCTGTCGCTGGCGAGCCGTGCCCATGACCCAGGCTCCCTATTGGGACACACTCTGCGAGCAGAGCCAGGCCGGGCTGTACCTGGCTGTTGTGCTGGTGCCGGTGGAGGTTGCGGGTGTGGTGTTGGCTGGGGCGCAGTGGAGGGTGGAGAGGTATGTGGACGGGTATTTGGGGGCGAGGAAGACGCCTGTTTTGGGCTGAACTGAGGTGGTGGGTGTTGGTTGAGATGGCTATCTGTATGAGGTACGACGGGGTGATGTGACGGACAAGTTGGCTATGTGGCTGGAGGCGATAGGCTTTATGGGTTTTCTTGTTGGTGTTTGGGAGGGCAAGTCAGGTCATTTTCACCGTTTCTGTATCTATGTATCGATCGATGTACATATAATATTCCACGTTAGTACAACCTCAAATATCAGTGTACATATTCCTCGGCATCTTGTCCATGGAACGAGCTAACTAACCCCGTGTATTATGTATCTGGTCTTACATAGCGTGACACTTACACCTTATCCAGTTTCTCCCTCAGACGTACACACATACACCTCCGCATGTATATACCTGCACCATTCGCTCCCCCATGTAGGGGTCAAAACCAGACCGTTGCACACACAAACAAACTGATTCTCGGCGTGTAGATCACCCTTTTATCCCATTGGACACCCACCGTACTGGGTTGGGCTGCCCTTCGAAGCAAAACCAAGAAACAAGATGACAAACAAACGTCCTGATATTCGGTGGGAAATCAGACCGGCCGTCCCACCGCAACTCTAGACAGGTCAAGAGGCAAGCTGCATCTGGCTCTCGGTTTGCTGCACCCAGGGACCATTCACCGCTACGGCGAGCATGTTGATCTTCTCGCGGGGTAGTTGGTGGTAACTAGAGGTAAAAGCAGACGTTTTTGCTCATCAACTTTTCCTTTCGATCTTTACCACATACGAAGCACTACTTAAACTTTCCTCTATAGGTATCATCCCCCCAACGTTGATGTCGGGGGGCGGTTTCTTATCTCGGCCTGTCCCGAACCCCTCGGGCCGCCGGGAAATATGGAGAGGGACCCCCCGCTCACACTAGCACCTCCTCGCATGCACGAGACAACCACAACCAGACGATACCACTCTTCACTCGAGCCGAGCACGAGGCGAGCGATATAATTAGACCGCTTTTATCAATCATCACTTTGCAGAATCCGGGTTTTTTGTTTTTCGTGTTCCGCATCCTTATCTGCTTGGGATCCATTCGCCTATGGAGTAGGGGGGTTTCATTTATCTCTGGGTAAGCTATCCGGGTAGATGGAGAGCCCGCTCTTGCATGATAAAAATAAGGGGCGGGGGGAAGGGGCTCAAGTCGGGGATGATTTGGGGAGAGAAGATTGACTTGGCTTCGCGAGCTCAGGGTCTTGGGGCCCAGGGAGTAGGATATGTACGCAAGTACGAAGTACATCATCGCCAAGCGCAGAAAATGCTTGTTAGTTTCCTAGGTGGTAACTTACTGCGTAGGTTATTGGGTGGTGTGCTCAGGAAACAAATGGACCGGCCGATATGCTGTGAGTCCGCCGGCGGGTCTGAGTCTCTGTTTCTTCCTCCGACACACCTGGTTTCCAGCCACCGTCGCTCCTGTTTCTCCCACGCGATTGCTCCGGCTCCTGCAGACAGGCAGGCAGGCGAAGCGGCAGCGTCAAAAAGAGTTGGCGCGTGGGTGAAGACGGCTGCAGATACCCGTGTGGAACAAGCCTATCCATATCAGAATTCGTGACATCCGCGCCTTATCAGACAGGCAGGCGATTGCATGAAGCCCGCATCTCCCGACACACCACCACCGCCACCACCGCTACCACTCTTTTACCTGACCGAAGACGCACAAAGTGGTGTCTACCTCCGTTTGGAATTAGAGCGATTGGTCGTGTTCTTTTTAGTTTTCCATTTTCCCGCCATTCTAGGGGTCTCAAGAGCGGGGCAAAGGAGTATCAACAGAGCCCTATTCTACGGCCACGATTGGAGTGCTAAAAGGTGTGCCACACTTCGGGGACCCTGGAAGATACAGCAGTTATAACTCTCACCACTCCGAGCCGAGTGTGGGAACGGAAACCTATAACGATGAGTCCCAGCCCACGGTCCGAGACTAGAAGCACGAAACGGGAAACCCGCCTTGAGCGCATCTTCTTCGAGCACGAGATCCAGAGTCCAGAAGCCCTTTCCGTTGCCCCCGTCGCGGAAGAAACCCACGCCATGCGCACGGTCGACGAAACGCTACCGCTTGGTCGAGCTCGCAGTACAAGTAAGCCGAAGCCGAAGCCGAGGACGAGTGACCTGGCGCGGCAGCGGAGCAAACGCAACTTTTTCGAGGACGCTTTCTCGGTCCACCCAACAAGCCCAGCGCGAGAACGGGTCCATGGCGATGCCATCGTCACGGCCGAGGTCAAGACCAATGTGATCGTACGTCCCCTCTTAGCCGTCGCCTTTGAGTACATACCAAGCACGGGAGACATACCCGCTGACACGCGAATCTCGACCCCTAGATCCGCGACGAATTCGCCTTCATCACCGAGCTCGCCTACCACCTCTCCTCACGCTACCAGCGCCCCGTCTCCTCCATCGTCATCACCCTCCACCACGGCGCTTGCATGTTCTTCGCCGGCTCCTTCGAACCGGCCTACACCATGTCCGTCGCCGCGCTGGCCACACAACTCCAGCCGACTACCAACAAGCGCAACGCAGCGCTCATCCAGCGTCACATGGCCGAGACGCTGGGCGTGCCGCCCGAGCGGGGCTTGGTGCGCTTTGTGCCGGTGCAGGAGGTGCATTTGGCGTGTGGCGGGAAGACGGTGGCTGGGGAGGTGGAAGAGCTGGAACGAAAGGGCGGTTGGCCTGGGACTGTTGATGAGGGAGAGTGCGGGAATGCTGGCGGCTCGCCGCTGGGTGCGGAATGCGAGGATGGGTCGTCCCCGCTGATGGGGCTCAAGCCGACAAGGACGGTGAGTGTTTACACGAGGTGGCCGTTTCTAAGGGAAAGCGATGGATCGCCTTGGCTGACTTGACCTGTGCTAGGAACGGTCCCTCACTGCGCTTCGTCCGCCGACCGGAAATATCCCGACTCCTGAGCTAACGCCCCCGGGCAGTGGTGACGAAGGGGTATCAGGGACGCCAGGATCGTACTTTAAGGGATCGCCTGAACTCGACCGGGCCGGTTTTCATCATGTGTCCCAGCCGCAGCAGCAACAACATAAGTCGGCGCGGAGGAAGAAGAGTTTCGTGTCCACCATTTTTAGGCGCTCTAGTACTAAATCCCCGGATCGATTATCGCTGCCGACAATTGTGGATGAGAGGTTGGGTGTGGTGTGAGTGTTGTTGAGATCACGGGTCTTGTTTGTCGAAGAGACGGGGTGCCAGGATTTGGTGGGCCTCGGTCATGCCGAAATAAATTTTCATGTTTGATGTCTTGTTGTGATGCGATGCTCAAAGCAGGAGCGAGAGGAAGGAAGGAGCTGGGAAACGTGCTTAAATGCCAAGAAACTCACCCCAGTCCAGCCAGTCCCTGCCTTTCTTACGTAACCATGCTCCCTGCAGCACGCCCTCGCGCGCCCCAGTCACCTCACCTAAAAGATCGTCTGAACTTCCCCCAACACAACCTGCACGTTATCACGGTGTGTTGAGTTTGGCAACCTGCAACTTGCTCCTGGATCGCAATATCGAAGACAATCAGGGCCAGCTCGCACGCGCAGCACAACACCACACATTCACGAAACAATTGCCAAAACAAGAACACCGTCGGCCCGACAGATTCCAAGTTCCGACTGAGTATGATCCCTGGCTCAAGGCCCACGGGGAACTGGCTCATTTGCGGGGGAGGTTGGTATCGCTCATTCTAGACCACCTGGAAGTTTGATCAAGAACAAGGCTTTATTCTCGTCGCTGCCAACTACTTGTCATAGGCTGGCAGCCTGGGGAAGAGTCACTGTTCTTTTGAAACGCCCCTGCTCGTCATACCCTTTCCACTACTTTCCTTATGCTTGCTTTCTTTTTTTCGTTTCATTCTTATCTCAACTCGCCAGTCACATTCCCTCTCCTTACGAATCGGGACACCGGCCAGCCTCGCGGACGGTCTCTTAACCACGCTCTTACTCGCCGCTCTCGACCGGCCGCGCGATTTCATTCCATTGGAGGAGGATCCCAAGAGCCTAAAACTCTCCGTCTCCCATTCGCCAAGTTTCAGGCTCTAAGAGCTCTCTCAAGCCCCTGCCCTGGTTGCTCGTTGGGCGCCTGCCCCTGGAGCTCTTAGCTCAAACCAAGGGCGTGTTTGAACGCCGTCGGCCTGAGAGTTGCTTCCGGCCGTTACGACCGTTGGCTCCGGCGGTCTGAGGGTTCGCTGGGGACCGGCTGTTGTCGTTGTTCCACAAACCGAAAAAAGGAATCGAAAAAGAAAAGATGGAGGTAAGCAGGCTCCGGATTGGTGTAATGAACCTCACTTGTTTTTTCTTGTCCTTTTTTTTCTTCCTTCAAATTCGTCCTTCCACGCCCGCTTCAGTTTGCTCTGTTTTTCTCTTATGGCCCTTTGAGTTGCGAACAAACACACCGAATCATCATTTTCATTACCCCTGCAAGTGCAGCATCATTGTGCCGGCATCACCAGCGTGGCATGACCCGGCGTTCTGGGTCAGAAATAACGCGCTACCGGGCCCATGGTCATCTTGGTGTTCCCACTCGCACAGGTCTCCGAGCAAAGAAAATCCTGATGGACGTGCCCCTAGCCGGGGGTATGCTCAACTTCAGGGCCAGTGTCATCATGCTCCGAGCCTAGGCAGCGATGCTCTCCGTGAGAACCACGGACCACCACCGAGCAGCGGCAGGCATGACGAAGGCACGAGACAAGCCGAACCTTTTTGTGGGCGCCGGTTGCCCTGACTCACGGGAACCCGGGAGCCCTTGGTTGGCTCTGTATGATGAGCCAACGGCCACAAATTCCTCGTCACAATTCGTTGTACCACGATAAGACACGGGACCCGCCGTCTTGATCCTCGCTCGCCCTCTCCGTGTTTATTTTTTGCCCTAGTCTTCTTGTTCGAGGGCATATAGTCCATACCCGTTCCCTTCACGGCTACTCCCCCGTCTTGAAGTCCTGTTTCTGGTACTCCGGGTTCCACTCGCTTCCGACTGGCCGGGTCAACAAGACGAGGGCGAGAGACAAGGATGAGCATGGGCCAAAAACATGAGAATGGGAGGCACTGCTGCTTATGCTGCTGATGCCGACGAACTCATCCGGTGGCGGTGAAGAAAGGGTTCCCATCACCTTGTTTTTCTCTACCTCAACTCTTGAGATCTCGCGAAGGCGGAGGGTCCATCCTTGGCTTTACGCCCTCGGCATCGCACAAGGCAAGCGCCGCCTGCGTCAAACACCACGGCAGATCGCCTTCACCGGGCTTATCTTGTCTTAAAACAACAAGCGGCCTGCGCACGCGGCTTCCCTCCCGCTCCCGTTCCGGCCGGCTCAGACATCCGACGACCAATACGCGCGAAGCCTCTCGTCCGTCTACAAACGAGCCAGCCCTGAATCCCGTGGGCCTACGATCTCTGGGTTTACAAAAAAGGGGAGCTGAGGATGAGACCGTGAGGACGAGAAATTCTTGCTCATCTCCGTCCTCCTCATGCTAGGACCTATCCAACTGCCCTTTGGATTTCACCACCACCATCCGAACATCAATCCTGTTTACTGCTTGTCCTATTACCAAACATGTCTTTCACTTATGCCGAGGACGGGGACGTCCCGACTGACACGAGAGGAGGGCCTAGCCGCCCTCATCCGGTCCGATTTATCAGTCCAGCAGCGCTAAATCTTCATCGTGTCTACGAACAGAACCGACAACGGTTACAAAAGAAAGATGGCACCAAGGTGCCGGACCCGACCACACCTCAGACTAAAGGGCGACCCAGGTTGTTATTGATGGGCCAGAGGAGGTGAGTTTTGTTGTCGGTTTCTTCTTATCTTTGACACTCTGCTGATGATGATGATAGGAGCGGCAAGTCGTCAATCTCGAGCGTGGTCTTTCACAAACTACCCCCTAGCGAGACATTATTCCTCGAGTCCACCGCGCGGATCCAAAAGGACAGCCTCAGGTAAGTTCTGCCACTAGGTCCTCCTATCCGAATTGGGATCCCCTAACGCTAGGCAGCTCGTTCATGGAGTTCCAAGTATGGGATTTTCCCGGGCAAATCGACATATTCGACAATCCGAACTTTACCTTTGATATGGACGCGATATTTGGCGAAATCGGCGCTTTGATATGGGTGATTGACGCCCAAGATGATTACCTCGAGGCAGTGGCCCGTCTCAACGCCACGATCCTCCACCTCCACCGAAGTTACCCGCACATTAATATCGAGGTGTTCATCCACAAGGTCGACGGCTTGAGCGACGACTACCGACTCGACATTCAGCGCGACGTAACGATCCGCATCCAAGACGAACTCTCCGACCAAGGCGTCGAAAACGCGCCGGTCAACTTCCATCTCACCTCCATCTACAATCACAGCATATTTGAAGCTTTCAGCAAGGTCATCCAGAAGCTGATCCCGCGTCTGGGCCAACTGGAAGCCATGCTTACCAATCTCTGCCGCACATGTCGATTCGAAAAGGCCTACCTCTTCGACGTTAACACAAAGATCTACATCGCCACAGACAGCACACCTGAGGACATGGCTAGCTACGAGATCTGCTCCGACTATGTGGATGTCATAATCGACTTCACGGAAGTCTACGGCTCCTGGTCGCGCTCCGAGAACTGGCGTGAGCGGCTCGAGGGTGAACCGTGGGCACAACCGCTCGATGACCAGGTCGCGTGTGAGTGGGCGGAGAGCGGCATGGTACTGGCTGATGCGCGGCGGCCGATCATGTTGCGCGAGGTGGACAAATTCTTAGCGCTGGTGGCGATCATGAAAGAAGGGTCGTACGAGAAGATGCCGCAGATCAATATGAATGTGGATGTTGTGGTCAAGGGGTTAACGGAGTTTTTTGAGATCACCAAGCCGAAGGACGTCATTGGTGGGGGGCCTCAGAGTGCTGGGTTAGTGTAGGGGCGAGCCAAAAAGAATGAAGGGGGTCGAATGGATGGTAATACTACAAAAGCCGGTTCGTTCGGTTGGGGGGGGAATGAGACGGACAGGAAGATAAGAGACGAAAATGCTTGTCGTTTGCGGACCAAAGGGCAGGAGCACCAAGTATCGTGAATGCCTGTTTGGGATTGTACTCAAGGATAGTATAGCAAGTATATATCGTGACGTGATTTGGTCTGGCGTCTTGTTTTCCGTAATTACAAGCTGTTTGTTTTCATTGTCCCTCCCTTGCTTGCCCTTTGCACGTGTGGGCCTCCCTTTTCGGGGCCGCCGCAGGTGTGCTGCGGGGTTCCACCGTTGCACCCCACAAAGCCGTTCCCTGCTCGGCTTACACATCTTGTCTTTTCTCGATTCTCTCGGTCCTTCTCCAGGAATGGAGAGATGGATCACTTGGGTCGGTAATAATTCCACGGAGATATAATTCTTATTTTTGAGGTAATACTAGACCCTAAGCATTACTCTGTTAAATCCCCTGGGTACGTTCCCCGAACCCCCCACACATAGGTGTTCACAACCCGCTGCGGCTGCCTCATGGAAGTCACAAGGCTCACAGCCACAATGCCCCACAACTTCCCAAACCCCTGGCAAACAGGGGTTGATTCACAGCGTTCAAAGATCACAACCAACAACCACATTTTTGCGGGGTTTGGATCGGTATTGAGGTAGGGAGCCGGGACAGTTGGTGTGCTGGCGCAGCAGCTGTGACTGCGAGGTTGACCCATAGGCCGCTTGCAGCCCGCATTGCACCCAAGGTTGATTGTCAATTCACTGTGAGAGGCCTCTCTGATAGCGCTTCTCAGAGTCATTCTTGGTCGGTCGCCCAGAACGGCCGGCAATCCTTCGGCCCCCTCCGTGCCTGGACGGTTTCTTGAAACTGGTCGGTGGTGTTGGCCGGTTCTTTACTTTTGTTTCGCTTGCTCCCCTCATGATCTCTCTCATTCTAGTTTTCCCACTCTCGTGCAATCTATCCAACCATCCACCTCTGCTTGGCTGGTGCCTCTGAAGTGCGATCCTTCCCGCTCGTTTCAGCGAGGGGTTTTATTTGGCGTCGGCTTGTGGTGTTTTGGGATTTTTCTTGTGAAATTCACTTACCCACTCACGCAAGTGCTCACTCATCACACGCACGCACGCGACTTGCCTGTGTCTGTGCAGCGAAAGACTACCTGCGCTTGGGTTGCAGCAGCAGCTGACAGGAGAGTGAGGAGAACATCTCAACTCCCACAACTCGCCAATCTCCAAATCACAAAGTCCCTCCCCCAATCAACGCAATCATGGCGCCTACCCTGTACTTCGCCTATGGCAGCAACCTCTGGCTAGAACAAATGGCCCGCCGCTGCCCCAGCAGCTACTTCGTCGGCCGCGCCATCCTCCCCGACTACCGGTGGCAGATCAACGAGCGCGGCTTCGCCAACGTGGTGCCCTCCCCGGGCCACAACGTCCACGGCCTCGTCTACGAACTCGGCAGCACCTCCTCCGTCTCCCCCGGCGCCATCGGCACCGACGAGCGCCGCCTCGACCGCAACGAGGGAGTCCACACCGGCGCCTACGCCAAAGCCTACCTCCCCGTCATGCTCTACGAGGCCTGGCAGGACCTGCAAACACGCACCACCGCCCTCGCCGACAGCAGCACGCTCTCCGCTCTCCGCCGCGGCCGCCACACCCTGGGCGATTCCCCGCTTTTGAACGAGCGCGCCCCGTACATCAAGAGCGTCCTAGTCTACCTCAGCGAGACTTACACGCGCGAGGGCGACCCCCGCGAGGAATACATCGACCGCATCAACAGCGGCGTAGTCGACGCCATCGCCTTCGGGGTACCCACAGGGTTCGTCCGCACCGCCATCCGCCCTTACATCCCCCCCGACCGGTCAGCCTCGCCGGGTGCCCCCTCTGCGCTCTCCTCCCGCGGGCGAACCTCAACTGCGCGGGGGACGACGGCTCCTGCGGGGGTCGGGGGGGTGCTGTCGCGTGGACGTGCGAGGTCGGTGTCGGGTGATGCGGGGCCGACGCCGTGGGATGGGTGGGGGGCAAGGCCGGAGAGCTGGACGCCGGAGGATGAGGCGCTTCGGCAGTCGGGACGGAGGAGGAGGATGAGTAGTAGTGGTGGTGGGGGTGGGGGGTTGGTTACGGAGTATTGGACGCCGGTGAGCGGGTTTTTGTTGGGGCGGTCGAGGAGTACAAGGAGGGGGTGATTACCTAGTTAGTTAGGATCATAGGATGAGGATGGTGATGGGGAGGGGGTTTGCGCGCTGATTATTTGTGTTGATTTCTTACCTACCTAGGTGGCCTAGATCACTGGGTGCGCTGTTACAAGGTCGGGATTCGGGAGCTATGAGTTATGACGGTCATGATGATGTTCTTAGTTCCGTTACACTACAGGACGGAACGGATTAAAGTTTATTGATTGCACTGAATTTGAAAGTTGAGTCCATTACGTCGGAGACATTTTGTTTGTCTCAATTACTTCGGGAAATAGATCCCGCTTTTTGCATGCATCCACACGCCAATAGGTATGGCCTGAAACGGCTCGAAACGGTCTGTAGTCTGTACCTGATATCGGACTAAATATCCGAGCATACAGTAGGTGGAGTCATGAGCCGGGTGTTTGTGACCTTGTCCTTGTCTTGTTCGACTGATGGGGATCTGAGCATGGTATCTACGGATTTGTGTGGACTGTGGATGATAGAGTGAGAAATGAACAAGCAGAATACTCGCAAAGTTGCAAACTCAGTGAGGGGAACTTGAAAAAAAATTGTCGCAATAAAAACAACAAATGCCAATGCTGGAACTCGGGTTTGTGTTTTTCGTTTTCTATGTGAAATAATCATATACGTGACAAGTTAACCAGGTGATTTTATGATCATGAAGATATGTTAGTCACGAGATGGAAGCAAACGCCGGCTGGGCGCAACTACCTACCATACCTATCTCGGTTTCGCAACCGAGGTGGGAACCTATACCGCTGCGAGCGTAAATCTACCGGCGTTGAAGAAGCCCAGAAGGATGAATCCGGTCAGATCGCTCCCCATATTTATCACACAATCCTCCACATATAGACCGACTAGTATCCGATAAGTGTCCCCGCCGAGTCCACCGGAAAAGCGTGTATTCTATGTGGTAGTTCCGACGGCTGACGGCCTGCTGGCCGAGGTAAGAGTTTAGAGCCGCTTGGCGTTCGCCGGCGAGACGTGAAGCGGCTGAAGGAACAGACATGAGACAAGCTCGGAGGGTTGTAGGATACATAGATGTGGGCCAGCTGATAAGGGTTGGATGAAAACCTGCCGAGAGTGGACATTCGGGCAAAGGTACTGTACCTTAATTAGGTAATCAATTTCGTGAGCGGCCCGAAGCTAGCTTGGCTACCTACCTAACTAGGTAGGTTTCTGCTTCTGGTGTTTTTGCAAATTTCATGGCAGGACTGCAGCACCAATTACCCCAGTGCGGCTCTTTAGAATCCTGATTCCAAACTCGGATACGTAGCCGTTGCGGCACATATAAAATAGCGTATCTTACATCCCTGAATCCTTTTGTGTATTCGTTAGAAAAATCAGACCGCTGCGTCAGCATGACATTTGGTGCCGCGGTGCCGCCTGTGCCCGCGGCCTTGGCATCGAAGAGTGGAATGTGGAACATCTAAACCTAAGTGCTGACCTAGGTACCCTTATGAGTAAGGCCAACAAGTATTAGATGATTAGAAGAATGGCTGTTGGTTCGAACCTGAGATTTTCCGTTCTCGAACCTTGATCGACGAGAGAGGAGAGACTCGAGCTGGACCACACTGCGTCCCTAGCTAGGACTTCCGGGTCACGACTCTTGTCCCAGTTTGAATCCGGCCGCCGGGACCCGATGGCCAGAACAACAGGTTGCAAGCGTCAACTTTGGGGGAGATATGGAGGTCAACACTACCACCTACACATAGAAGGACCTCATCATCGGATATCCGAGACCTAAAGGATTGGCTTACTATTAGGGATAGAATGCGGGGGTCTAGGTCGGGGCTGTTTGAGGCCACGCCGCAGGAGCTACCTATAGATTAGGCCCGAGGTCGCAGGCTGGTCCGCGACTGCCCGGATTCTATGTGAACAGCCATAGGTCGGTCCTGCCGAACAACGAATCCATCCGGTCGGCGCCAGAGCGCACCTGCCAGACGTATACTAAGGTATAGATATCAAGAAATCGGGGCAGTCTGCTTATAAGTTTGCTAGCGCCCATCCCGCCCAACTATTATAATTTATTGCACTTTCCCAGTATCTCAACGCCGCAACATTCGCAACGGAAGCAGGTCTTCTGCATCTCGCCCCAACTACCCTCCACTACAACGCTTGATTTATACACCCTTCAAACGCTTTCACCCCAGGTCCTCGGCCATAATGGACCAGCCCCAAGAACCCAGACGGCAGCGTCAGGAGCAAAGACGGTCCCACCGGGCGACAGAGGGCGATGCCCGCGATGGACGCGATGGACGCGACGGACGCGATGGCCGCGATGGACGCGATGGCCGAGATGGCCGCGAGGTCCGTACGACAAATCTGCAACCGGTTGTTGTGACTGCGGTACCTCGCACCGTAGGACTGCCAACGAGCAACCAACCTGGGCCGCCGGCAACGTCGCCAGGGCATACTTCAAGGACATGGCACCGCATCGAACGGGCAGCACTGCAAAGGAACCCTAACCGCATGCCTCCCATGGATCCTCCGGACACTGATGATTATATCCTCTACTTTGCCTACGGCAGCAACATGTGCATCACTCAGATGGCAGACCGCTGCCCCAGAAGCATATTCGTCGGAAAGGCCCAGCTGCACGGCTACAGGTGGCAGATCAACCAGCGTGGCGTCGCCAATGTCGTTAAAGCACCGGGCAAGGTGGTTAGAGGCCTGGTCTACCTGGCTCACTCGTCAGATATGGCTCCCCTAGACCGCTACGAGGGTGTGAGCAGTGCCCTCTACGAGCGACAGATCCTTCCGATTGAGCTGTTTACCCACAGCATTTTCGTCAACTACAAGACGAAATACATGGCTCGCCTAATGGAGCACGAAGATCTGAAAGGGTTTGACTTGAGCGGCAAAACAGCCAAGGGCCGGAAGGTCGAGACCGATGCCCTGGTATACGTCAGTGAGAATTACAAGAGAGACGGCCTCATTCGCAAGGAATACATCTCGCGTATGCGAAAGTCGGTTACCCAGGGCTGCAAGCTCGGTCTCCTGCGCACCTATCTCAACGACACCCTCGTGCCCCATCTTGGCAAGCTCGATGAAGTTGCCCAGAAGGTGGTCGAGAGTGATTGGCAGAGGGCGTTCTATCGCGAGACCGAGAGGCAACAGGCGAATAGCAATGGGGGAGGGGCCCCTCCTAACTCTGCCCTCCTTAACTTCATGGCGGGCGCTACCCCGCCCCCTAGACGCACAGGCAATGCTGCCAGCACCGGCCGCCGGCCCGCCATCATGCTCGTCGAGCCTCGCCCTGAGCGCCGGACTAACGGAAACGCGGGCCGTACCAACGGCAATGGAGACGGGGGGCGTACGAACGGTAACGGAGATGGGGGTCGTACGAACGGTAACGGAGATGGGGGTCGTACGAACGGCAGGGCGGAAGCCGAGGGCCGGACCAACAACCCCTCAACCTCGACCTCAACCGCAAACTCGACCGCAAACCCAACCCCAACCCCAACCCCCGGCCCGGAACCCCGTCAAGAAGGTAAGTCCTTGGACTTAACGACCATGATGCGTAGGTGCATAGCTAATAGGTATATAGGACGTTTTGCTCGGGGCTGGAGGCATATTCTATCTCTGCGACATCGCGGCGACGACAGCGACGACGACAACAATGCGGAAGGCACCGAGCCGACCCGTCGCCGCCAGAATGGTGCCGCCAACGGTACCAACGGTACCAACGGAACAAATGGTACTCGCGACCAGCCCGACAGTCGCACCGCCGCCAGGAGCAACTCCGAATCTTCCGGTGATAACGCCAACGACCGTACCGCCGCTGGGAGGGGAGCGACAGCCAGGACTGGCGGTGGGAATGGCAACGCGTCTGCATCGCAGCCACAGCAGCCAAAGGCGTCTAGTGCCGATGGTGCTGGGGGTGCGCCCAAGGCCAGCTCAACTTCAGGAGCGCCGCGCCCAGCAGCAGCAGCCGCCTCCGCCACAGCAACTACTTCGACAAATGGAACCAAAGCCGCTACCAATGGGAACAAGACCGCTGGCAACGGGACCAAGACTGGGGCCGCTGCGACAGATTCGAAGGCCCAACAGCCGCAGCAGAAGTAAGGACGGGGAGCATGTGATCTCGGGAGCTTGGGAGGTGCTGGTGGGTGGATTGTTGGATTGGACAGAACTGGGCTCCGCAGCCGAGCTGGTCTCGGACGGTAAGATACCAGCCTCTGTAGCAATCTTCCCGTTATGGGAAGCAAGTGTCGCTTGAGAGACATTAGAGGATGATATCAAGGGTTTGTTTATGAAGATTTATCATGGTTTGGTGGGGAGTGTGCCTGAGATTGAAAGGCCGTGGGATTTAAATTGCATTTTTTTTACCGGGAGTGAGCAGATAGAGCCCAGCCAACGACGAAACTTGAAAAAACTTGAAAAAAAGAATTTGGGGGATTTCATGGTGTTGAAAGTGGTTATTTCCATTCCATGTTATTCATCACTTATTAGCTGGGCAATGGTGTAACATTGATCAAGTGGTAAATGTCTACATACGGAGATGTTGCTTGGTGAACGATCATGGCGATGAGTTTCAAAGTCAACGTAACTATTTGGGTGTTATACCGGATAATTAGATACATGTCTGACTATATCTCTTGTTTTGATACCTTCTTTGGGTCATTTTTCTTTCGAAGTTTCCTCGGATTTCCCTCTTTGCCACAGCGATAATTAACCTACAAACAGAGTTAAAAAGGATTTTTTTAATCTTAAGGGAGTCGAATTTACACTGATTACATTATTTCTAAGGTACAGTACCTATAAAAAGCCAGATCCGTGGTCTGACAGCTCTGGTGAGTAATTACATAGGAGCATACTAGGTAATTAGTGACCCAGGGTTAGGGGCTGCCATATCCTCCCGGCAGAAGAGAGCCTCGCCAAACAAACCGGGCATTTACAAGTCTGCCTCATCGCCCCTTTTTTTATCTTTCCCCTTTCTCTTACTTCCACACCCCATAAATTGTCCCGTATGTTCACTTCGCCTTGCTCTGCCCTGCCTTGCGTTGCCTTGCACCGGGAAAATGCAAGGGAGCAAGCAATCAGATGTAACTAGGGACATGTAGGTGCAGCGTTCGTCAGCCCCAGCCTCAGCCCCCGAGGCCCTAACGTCATTCCCAACTGCATATCTTCGTACATGTAGGTAAATGAGGGTTTATTTCTCAATTAGGTTACCCGAGCGGCTTTCTGTCGTAAAGTTACAACAGTCGTTTCGCAACCAATAATTCATCTTTGTTGTTGGGACTTGCATGTCAGCATCCTGTGAGCCTGTGAGCCTGTTGGTTTTGGGTGTTTTGTCATTTTATTTTTCTTCTTTTGGAGGGGGCGTGTTGGTTTCGTGGGCTGCTGACTTTGCTGACTTGCTGACTTGCTGAGTACGGACATGATTAGTTACATGGGATGGTTCGGGTATGCAAGTCATTGATTGATTGATGTAGGAATGAGGCGCATGGTTTGACGGGGAATAGGGGTAAGAACCATTACGGCGGGGAAATCCGGGAATGGGTGTTAGTTTTTCGATAATGGTGGTGAGGCTGTCGTTTGAGGAGGGTCGTTATTTTTTCTGAAGATCTTGAGCAGATATAATTAGACTTAATTGATTATCCAATTTTCTTGTGAGTTGAAGTATGCTAAAATGGTTTGATTATTGAAAGTATCACAGAATTCTTAGCTTGAGTGGGACAGCTTACCCTCTATAATTGCATTTACCCACTCGGGAGGATACAGGAGAGGTATTTACCAATAATCTAGGCGAAGGCCAAAGAAGCCGAGAGGGAGATATGGAGATTCATAACTGGGTATACAACTTGGGAACTGTTATGTACGGTTATCGCGGGCCGCTAGTTTAAGGCCGCGCGCATAAACAACTCTGGTCAGTCAGATATCGAGATACCCGCTCTCCAAGATCTCCACTGTCGTGAACCTAGCCTCCGGAAGCGGATTCAGCGCGTTGGCCAAAAACTGGATATCCTCCTGAGAAATCCCTTTATCCATCATAGCTTCTGCCCATTTGTACGCCATCTCGGACCGAGCAGGCGGGAGCATCGCTTGGGATTGGGCGTCGTCGGCGTATAGGGGAAGAGAGTGCAGGTCAAAGTCGACGGCCATGGTGTCGCGCGCTGCCTTTGTTTTCTCGTTTAGTGACCCGACCGCGATCGAGTCGTACATGCCGTGGGAACTGAAATCGACTTGGGCGAGGAGGAGTTGCGCGAGCTAATTACATGTATGTGTGAGAAAGGGGAGGACTAGAGGAGAGGTCGGGCTGCCGCATACAATAATGCCCCACGACCAGATGTCGGTGCTCTGGTCCCATGGCTTTCCGAAATGTACTTCGGGGCTTCGGTATGTCAGGGCGGAAATCTCTCGGGTGCCTGGGCTACTGACTGCGTCGAGGTTAGTCGTATCTTGCTAGGTCACAGGGGACAAGATGCGACCTTACCCGCTCCGAGGTCCGCGAGCCTCACTTTGATCTGGCGTTGATTCTCGTTAGGTTTCTCGTTATCAAAACCGCTGATGCCGACATTCTCCATCTTGAGATCTATCTCAGATCAGTTCCATGAAAATTGGAGAGGAGTGAGTCACGGCTAACCCGTAAAGACCAGCCCCTTCCGGTGAATATTCAACAAGGCGATCAAAACCCCCTGCATAATCCACTTGATCTCGTGCGTACTAAAAGAGCGTGTCGTTCTAGCATCCCACAACGTCTTTTGAAAAGGCCCCAAGATCATCATGGGCCTTGTTGTATCAGTCTCGGGTGCGAAATCAATCATATGCCGGATCATGGAATCCTTAGAGAACAGACACTGCATCTTGGTTTCATGCTGGAAGGCCGGCCAATTCGAGGCTTCGTCATCCCCCCTCGAAGGGCCTTTGACCACGAATTCAGAGTGATTGTCTGATTCGTGAACGGCCTTCCACAAGTTTGCTGCTGGCCCGTTACGCTCGCTTCCCAAGGGATGAACGAGGCGATATTTGGCACCGCTCTCGCCGCGGATTGTCAGCCCTTCGGACAACATCCTTTGTGGTGCTTGAGAGGACGCGAGTCTGGAGGGGGGTATCGGGCCTCGTGTCGCCCGCAGTGGCAGTCGTTTCCCAAGTGTGCCGGCGACGAAAAGGGAGGGTTGTCGTGGGAGACACCAAAGAATCATACCGGAACTGTGCTTGTAGTAGGCACTTACACTTGTTACTTCCTCTGAGTTACACTAAGCCTACTAACTTAGACGCAAATAATTAAGCCGTGTAACTCACTGTAATTACAGGGACTTGTACCCTTTACCTCAACGATAATGCGGATGATATTGGTTTTTTTTGTTTATTGAGTTGCTTTGCCTCTGTAAATACTGTATGTGGAAACAACGTAAGAAGCTAAGAACTTGATGTAGCTCAATGCCAAATGTGAGGCATTTGTGAGTGGGTCCCAAGGCATTTCGGAGAGTGTACCAAGTTTACACACCACCATACATACATAATACATGTACTCAACTCCGGCTCGACCAATGCCTGCTCGGCTGGACCTTTTGCAATTCATGCCCTTCTCGCGGCTCTTTCAAACTTCACTGAACAAAATACATCATACAGCCGATGCTAATAACAAAAATCCAACTTTAAACCCAACCCGTCCAAACCAGACAACCCCCCTCGCTTCAACCGAGTAAGACAGTACCACCACCAAAACAAAACAAGAAGGTCTCACACCCCACTCGGCGAATATCCCCCTGTGCAACCCAAAATCATACCACTTATTGTCCTACACAAGACAAGAATAACGCTCGACAGAAATGGAACGGCTCCCCCCTCTCACCCACAAACTCAAGGAACCTGAGGAAAAAAGAAAGAACGAAGAAAAATAATACCCAACGAAACGTTGCACTCGGTTAATATCTCCTCCCCTACCATCCACCCAAGTCCACCCTCATTCACACCCCCACACTTCAATCAGCTCACCCACCCACAGCACCTAACGTCCCAATCCGTTCCACAAAACACAAGAATGTCTCGCAAGAAATCAAGGTTCTCTCTCCATCTGCACGAAAACAAGAACCTCGAAAGTTCTTCTAAAATATATTCATCATTTGGTAATTACCAGGGCAGTTTAATCAGAAAAGTCCCCAATCCGACGAGGTAATCACAGTACATTCGCGCCCATTGCAACCCTTCTGAAACATATCCTGCAGAACTCGCGCTTGGGTACGGATCCGGATAGAACTGCGAACTCGGCACATATCCCTCGTCTTAATGATCGTTTGTTATAGCCAAGTTCCACAAAAGCTTAGGACAGTAGATAATTGTGCCAAGAAGTCTAGGAAACGGGATACTTACATGCCTAATTATAGCACCTCTTCCCAAAGGTATGTAATTACTGTATTAAGGGGCTTATAAGATGCACAGAGATACATCAACGCTCACTCAGGGACCGGTGTTTTTTGCCTTGTTTGTATTAAGTACTATATGTTCGAGAGTACAGTCCAAGCGCCACCAAAAACTAACTACCTCGCCATACTCAACAAACAACGAGATTGTGTGCGTGTTGCATCAGTGGGGAGATTTGTGTGATTTGATCCAGCCGCCATCCAGGGCGGTAAAAAAGACAGAATACCTTCCTTTCCCAGCATCCCCATGCCGGCTGGACCATAACAGACAAGGCGAAACAGTGCTCCCGGTGTAGATAGGAAGGGAGGGAGCGCTGCTCCTCGGTTTTCCTCCCCGGGAACACAGTTTGCTGTCGCAGGTCCAACCGGCTTCGCTTCACCACCGCCCAGCCTTCATTACAAGTTAATGTATGTCGACGGGGCGGGGCTCGGCATGCGATGGGATGATCTCGCATTTACCCATCCCAACCCAGCACCAAATTCCCAGCTCCTAGCCTTCTGCGCAACCAACCAATTCCAAACCATCCCGCAAAGTTGGAAAACCTTGACCTGACCTACGAAGTAGAGGGCACAACGCTGCCAATCACACGACCCAGTTCCATCCTGACTGGCAGGTATGAGTTAGGACGTGTGAGACGGGTTGTGTCTTGCCGCAGCAGTGATCCCGTTCCAACCTTCGGGGTGGGTGTCGTCGATCGTCGTGCAGAGGAAGTCGCTAAAAGCCCGGTGTGAGCGGAAAGGTAAAGCAGGCAACCAGTTGCCTGCGACACCCAAGTGGCTCATTCCTCCCATTCCCCTCTTCCAGCTTCCCAGCCCCGTGCCTGTAAAAGCGCCACCCCGGCTCTTGTTGACAACCAGTGTCTGCCCCGGCGGCCCATATCCCAGCTATGCGTCGCGTCGGGGCTAGGCGTATTTTTTTGAACTTGTTTCGGCCCTGTACCGAAGAGCATCCGTATCATCGCATCATCGAGACCCAGTCCCGGCGACTCGTGGCGCATGTCTTCGTCTTGAAATTATCCCAACGCCCAGTATGCGGTTCGTGTCCGGTTCGTCGGGTGTATGTCGTCCAACATCAAGCTGGATCGAGCAGGCCCGTTTTGTCGAATGGTCGTCGCAATTATTAGGTCGAGTGGTTGTATGTTCGTCGTCAAGGCCGTAAACATTATCGTAAGACAAGGGGTGAAAGGGGAACAGAAAGAGTGGACGCGGATGTGCCACAAGGACACACGCGAGAGGGGTATTAATATAACCAGCCACCTGAGCCTTGTTCCCACAGGGATCCAACCAAGGGGAAAAAATAGTAAAGAGGAAAAACAAAAACAAAAAAGGGGCGTCTCTGACTCGGTCTCCGCCGAGGTTGGGTTGCATTGCTGCATCTCTTTCTTAAGCCAAAAACTGAAAACTGCCTGTATATCAACCCCCCATGTTGTAAATGCAATAAAAAATGACCACCCCAGGATCCGGCCGCGATGAGGTTGCGAGGTTTAAGGAAGTGTTCCGACCGGGCTTGCGGCGATAGTTGTGGTATCCGATAAATGAAAATCAAAGAAAAAATGGACAAGAAATAAGGGAAAAGGGAAAAACAAGGAAAACGCTCGCTCGCTGATCGCAGGACCGCAAAAAGGAAACCCAACCGGATATGCTTAGGGTAGGAATATGCGAGTGTTTTGGTCGCTCCAGTCCAGCCCATGCAAATGAGGAAATGCCAGATTTGTCTCGGATCAAAGTCTGTGACAATTACCACCACCATTGTGCTGTTCACCAGCTTGCCGGCCCACGGATTTCTACCATGACTGGCCGCGCTGCTGCTGGGGAGCTCATGGTGACTTGGTCACGGCCGGGTCCGGGTAGCTTGTTTCGTAGGTCGGTGGTGGTGGTTGTCACATAGTCGTCGCGTATTCTTGGTAGCGATGGTCCCAGCCGCCGAACGAGTTGTATCCCACGGTGATCCCGCATTGAGGCGCAAGCATGCTTGGGAGCGGCAGGTGCGGGATGGACGCCGACACAACCGGTGGGCTGTAGTAAAGCCCGGCGGTTGAGTACGGCTGGCTGAAGGCCGGCGGAGGCGAAGGCAATTGCACCTCACTCATACCCATGGTAGCCCACATCGTCGTAGCGGAATCGGCGGTGGTCGAGGCGACACTCGGGCTTGATGGTAGGATCTTCCAAGACTCAACAGGGGCGGGCATCGTCGCCGGCGGTGAAGGTTGGGACCAGATAGCGGCACCAGCAGGCGAGCTGGGCAAAAGCGGCGGCTGGCGGACGACGTCGACAATCCTCGGCGGTGGCGGAAGCAGGGGTTTGAGCAATCCTTGGATGCTGTTCTTGACCTCCTCACTCCTGCCGCCCAGAAGCTCTCCAGCACCATCCTCTTCAAGACCCTCAAGCGCCGACATGTGCGTCCGAAACACGAACTTGTTAACAGCCTGGACGAAATCCTCATGCAGCTTCTTGCACTGCTGCTCCTTCTCGGACCAGTCGTAGGTGCTAGCTTTGGCATCGACGCAGTAGATGTCCTTGTGGTAGTCGATGAGTGCCTCAATGGTCTCAGGCGTTAGCTTGTATGCGACTTCATTCCTCAGCACCATGTCGACGTGGACGATGTAGGCCTCGATGTGAGCAATCTGGTAGTTGAGAATGGCCTCAATCAGCGGGTTGGAATCCTTCTTGAGATCCGCCTCGGGGGCCTTGGGAAGCATCAGCGATGCCAGGGTCCAGATGGCGTTTGGCGATGAGAGGGTCTCGGTGAGGCATCGTTGGTGCTGCGGTACGCTGTTGAGTGGGCGCTTGATCTTGTTGATGCGCTTGAGTGTCTGTGTCAACCACGGCTCCACCTTGGAACCTAAAACCACGTTTACTGAGGAGGCCCGGGGAGCAAAAGCGGCGGCCGAGGCCGGTAATAGCTGAGGTGGCATAACGACCGGGAAAGGTGTGGTCGGGCAAAGGGAGGGCCGGTGTGGAGTAGAAAGTCAACAACCACCAAGGTGATGACAACCTAGAAGGGAGGAAGAGATAGCCGGTGACCGTGACCTGGCCGAGTTGACAGGAGAGGTGCGGCGGAGCGCTTAGGGAAGAGACAGCAACAGGCTGGAAGACGAATAGTAAATAAGAAACAAGGTGAGTAAGGTGACGGAGCCGTGCGGACCCAAGACTGGGGGATTAGCGTGCACACCAGCGACCGCAAATGAGAAGAAGAGAATGGGCTGAGCGAAGAGCCTCGTTGAGGGAAAGGAAGGCGAGGGTGAGGGAAGGGAGGGTGAATAGCTCGTATTATTAGAGAAAGTGCGAGAGGGTGGTGGGGTGTTATAGTGACACGGCTCAAGGTCCCGAACTCGGGACTTCACCCCTACGGGGGGGGGGCGCGAGCATGGGGAGACATGGGTGACGAGGCAAGTACTCCCGTACTGTCTGTAATGGAGGTAACCTTCCAGTTCGGCTCCTCTTTTTTTTTTCTCGAAGAGGGTCCTGCAGGTCGCTGGTATGACCAAACACAAGCACGCTGTGAGGAAGGTCCACTGGGGGTGTGCAGAGTGGCAGAGTGCAGGTCAAGAGCCACGGAGGCGGGAAGGCGGGTCCCGCCTGCACCGTAACGCCTCAAAGGCGTCTGCAGTAGTCCAGAGGCGGTCTTTCCTCCTATTTCCTCTTAGTCGATGAAATGGGGAAGCCGCTCCGGTTGCTCGGGGAGGGCGTAAGGCAAGAGCAGCTGGTGGTGCAGATGCATCAAATGCCCGGATAGGCGGAATGCAAAATCGCATGCGATGCGCCTCAATAGGGCTGCTGCCAAACGAACCCAAAGGAGCGCCCGGAAGACATGGAAATGCATTGAGTGCCTGAACTGCCAGCCAGCGGCTTTCCACGGCTGGCGCCTGCGTCTACGCCCACATCCGCGCGTGCAACCCCCCCATCGCTCGGGAGATTTCCCGTGTCAGCAGTCATCATGGCCCTGCTCACCCTGACTTTGCCGGAGTGAATCCATCTCTCGCGATCCCCGCCAATAAGAACAGGCGCATGCAGACGTTTGCCCGCCGTTGTCTCGTTCGCTGCCCGGTTTTGGTGCCTTCTGGGTAAGGGGTGGAGGTACCTCCTGACCTGCCGAACCTGCCTTGAGAGGTTTTGACAACCTTTTTTCCCCTGCCCGATGCCATCGGCGAAAGAGCCGAAAAGACAGGTCGGGGTTTCCCCCCCCCGACGAGCTCCCTCCGGAAAATCTTGCTGTTACCCCTTCGTGATGCGTGGCCTGCTACGGCCAACACATACCGAGGCGAAAACGGGAGAAACACCGGAAAGACAAGAGTCGTGTATCTGGAACCTCTCGATGGCTGTGCACGCAGCATGCCAGAGAGCGACGCAATCCCGACGGACGCTAGACGAATAGGCTGGGCCGACCGCATGCGACCGAAGCTGAAAAGCTGCAGACGCTGCAGGTGGTCAATGCAGCGCCACCGAACCCGGCTTGGTAACCATTCAAGGAGGACGTACCACTTAGGTCGCCAAGACAGCGAGTCAACCCCGCCCGAAAATTGCCCCGCCAAGCCCCCCCGATCCGGGAGCATTGAAAGTTTGCAACAGCCAACTTTTGACTTCATTGCGAGCTTTCGACTGGCGGGTTGGAAAGGGAGTCAGATTAAGCTGCATATATGGTGGGTTTTACAACGAATCTCGAGAGCACGCCTTTTCGTGCCCGTTTCAGGGGGGGTATGACGCGTCCAAACGGACAGGGAGCGCGTGTTCGAAGGGCAAACAGAGAAACGTCGTCTTGCACGTCCTCGTGTGTGGAGGGATTCAAACTTTGCCCAGATCCTGCGGGAGAGAAAACCCCCTCCAAAAGCGGGGAGAGAAAAGAAAGTCTGCTTTCCTTCCGCTGCTTTACCCGGAGCCCTCGAGACCCACAGAACAGGTACTGTGTACTGTGGTAGTCCTTCCAACAAACGCCGAACGACGGGGCTCGAGAGAGCGGCTTGTGAGCGGGTTCACGAAGAGACCAAGTCTTGTTCTCGGTTTAGCCCCGTTCCGAGCATTACCCATGGCCAACGGTGGAGGTCAAGCGTGTGTACATGGTCTAGGTCTGCAATATCGTGACTTCGTGTGAAATCCCATCTAACGTGAGAAGGCACTGACGATGCTGTGAACGGACGGCCTGCGCAGGTTATCGGGACCGCGGTCGTGGGGTGCCAATTGCTTAGAATAGGTGACCCCAATATTATGCGCCTTGGATATTAACAGCCGCGGGTTCCCACTTCCCGAGCTCGGCGGCTTGTTGGTGATCCTGGTGGTGGTGGTCTGGTGGATGCCGGGCTCTGCACGAAGCTCGCCTCGAGCCGCCTTGTTGATCTATCCTGCCATGATCTGGGGCGCTCTAGGCCATCCGTCGATGGGGACTCTTGGGACTGTCACAGTCAAGTGAGGTTGTTTGAGCTCATGCATGATGCCAAATGCGTTCGAGAAGAATCGGGAGGTTTGATAATCGTAAAATACAAGTGTTAGTCGGCCTTCGATTCGTCCTTGGGTAAATGAGTCAAGCCATCTGGATAGGCCGGCAAGATTGTTGATATCTACGAGTCGTCGAAGTGGGACGGACACAGATGGCCTCAGCACCCAAGGTCGCATCCATTTTGCTGAAAACGTGCGGCTGCATGTCGCCTGGAGATCTCGAAGTCAATGAGTCGGCTGCGGCTAAGAGGCGCCATCGACAAGTTTGAAACGGGACAAGCGCGCGACGAGGAGGGTGTCTCCAAGACCATTCACACGGTACCCCCCCTCCCTGCCGTGGCTTGTGGTTGCGAAATTGAGGGCCCTGATCCAGACTGACTTCGGCTAACAACTCTCCCGCCCGCCCTCTTGTGCCACACCACCGCGTCTTGGATCTCAAAGGCTACCCGAATCCAGTAAGCCGTGGGGTAGTGATCATCTGAGACTTCAAGTTAAACATGTGTCGAAACTGGGGATCAGCCAACATGGACTGGTCTCGAAAGCATGCGGAGGAGGGGTTCGGGTCCCCTAAGATCGAGAAAGGAAGGACCCAACGGCGCAATTGTGCATCTGGAGCCCGGCGCGACGGAGAGGGGTCGATAACTTGCCAGCCAACGCCGTTCTCTGGCCATGGATGAGAGTCCTGTCGTCCCATGCTAGTGCGGAAGGTGAGCGAAAGGTCTGCGAGTTCAGACCCCTGTTTTGAAGCCTCATTGGCTGGACGACTAACGCCCATTCGGCCTCTCTCTGGGAGAAGGACCGTGGTGATGGTTGCTGATTGGGTCGAGGCATTTGAAACTTGGGAATGTGAGAGTCCATTTTTGGTTGTCAAGAGATGGGCCTAGAACAGAAAAAGGTGTCATTTGTTCCGGGTGTCTCTGTGTCCCTTAAGTTGCGAGAATGGGACACGACTCGGCGCCCATCTCGTGGTTGGTGCAATACCGGAGACCGAGCCCTTTTGAGTTCCTTAAATTTCCGTCGGGGAGTATGAGTTGCTGATAATAGAATTGTCTCGATGATCAGCTACACTAACGTTCGGTCGTCGGCATATTGAAGGACTGGAGTTGTCAAGGTTTGGCGAGAGATGAAGTTCCTGAAGGTGGGGACGCGATGTGATATTTCTTGGGCCAAAGCTTCTGCGCTTCGCGTCACAAGTGTTTCCAGTACGTAGCTAACCCTAACCCGCATAACTACATGCTCTCAGCGTGTGGCTTGCTCTTTCCCAACACCAAGTTTTTAGGGCAATATTGAACACACAAGAAATCACAGTTTGTTTTTCTCTACACAATTTCGTTTCGAAACAAACAACACCCTTCTTTACCATACACTAGCGGCGAACCCAGATGCGCATGAATTGCTACAACAGAAACCCATCCAGATTTGAGCTGTGGCTTGCCACCTTGCGTGGCTCTGGTGGCTTCCCCGCCAAGCCGCTGCTGATCAGCCGGGATGCCAGGCGAGAATGAGGCGGCCATCCTCTCGCTTGCCGCTCAGCTCAGATTCGCGGAAACAAGAGGCACACCCCGTGATGGGCACATGGGCAACCCCCTGGTCACTTGACATTCGGGAGTCCCTTTTGGGATAGGAAGATCCCGTGATGCCCAAGTCCAATTGCAGGCTTAGGGGAGTGTCAAAACCTAAAATTTCTCGCGACGTCCTTGTTTGACCAAGTTCAGCCACCCCCCGTCTCCCACAGCGTCTATCGCGAGACCCCCGACGCGTTGCGCCCCGGTTCCCCGCGAAGGTCCCGTCATCTCCGACTTGAAACCTAACGATAGGGCTCGGGACTTTGGTCACGAATATGCGGCCAGTCAAGTGATGACCTAGACGGCCGCTCTTCATCTTGGGGATTTGACAAGGCCGCGCAGCTGACTCAAGTTTGGGCAGACAAACGCCTTCAGGCATTCCCTCTGGTCACCGAGCTGTTTGGTTTTCTGCGCAAGCGCATGAGCGATGGGGAAGCGCCAACGACGATTGCGAATGTGCTCCGCTTATGCGCCAAAGGGGAGAGACGAAGGGGAACGACGAAACTCCGACTGAGCCGAAACCCTCACTCTACTGTGTAGGAAAACTCCCCTGTCTTGTCTCGGCGATGCTATTTGCGAGAACGATATCCCCACAGATTGACGTTAACGTTACCGGCGCTCATCTGTCCGCGACGACCAAGTTTTGCCTCGAGTGAAATGTCGGTCAAACGAGATACGTTTACGGTCCGCTGTCCGAAATCGCGCCCCCCTCGTCGATGCATTCCTGAAGTGTCCAGTGGGGTGATGAATTGAAGGAATGACTCCTCCAAAGTCCGGTCACCGCTCCCAGGACGGCGGGTCGCTGGCACGGCTGGGTCGTGGCTGGGCCGGCAAACTGGCAAGGTTGTTGCTTGACGTCACTCTTCAACGGCGCCGAACCGATGGGAAAAAACAATGAGAGCTGAAATCTGCATCCGGGAAAATGCAGTGCATTACCATTGCGACAAGCCCCCCGGCATGCGAAACGTTTCAACAGCAAAAGAATCCGTGTCTTTTGTCGACGTCGGAAGAATTAACCTTTGTTGTTCGGGTTCCCTCCCGCCCGGCGAACCGAGGCGGGGCTGTGCGCCCCGTGCAGCCGGCAACGGCGGGGTTAACCTGCTTGGTGCATCTCGGAGGCAGCCGAAGTCGCCGCCCTGTTCCTTGGCCACAGCTGTGGCTGCCACGTATGCAACCAGCGCCCTGGGCCACGCACTCGACGCCACACTTGAATGTTGTATCCTCCAAAATCTTCCCCGGTTCCATGCCAGCATGCATTTCACCCTCGGCTACCCGAGGTTCACCGTGAGGGAGCTTGAAGATTTTTCTTTCAACCCCCAGGAATGTGGGTGAGTTGGCAGGGCTGGCAAAGCTGGCTGGCAGCCTTGAGTTACATTGAACACCGGCTCCTCGGTCAGTCGGGTATGCGTCCTGCAGGCCACAGCAGAGCAGGTATTATGCTCTGCTCCGCCATGGAATTGCCCCTGCGCTGCGTGCGCCATTGCCAGTTATTGGCGGCGTGTCCGCTCTCTGCAAGGAAAAAACTGCGCGAATGGAAATAGCCGGATGGGAATGTTCGTTGTCGCTTGTGTTGCCTGCCGTGAGCAGCTCGGTCACCTGCTGTCGGAAGGTAGGGCGGAAAGCGCCAAAGGGGGAAGTTGGGAGGCTTCTAATTTCCAACGGCATCAGCCATTAGTGTACCCCCCCAGCGCCCCCGAAAGCGGATACGTTCCACGCGGTTGGGAAGCGACAGAGTGGCGGATGTTGGTTAAGTCACGGTGACAAGAAGGGGACATCCCAACATCCAACATCCAGCGTCCAACAGCCAACAACCAACAGCTCCAATTTTCAGGGGTAAACTAAAAAGTTGCACCACCACTGCCGACCCGGCATGTGTACACTAGTGTATCGTTGTATCTATCTCTTTTGAAATGTCCATCTGCTCCGATCTTCCCCTACCCTGTCAATATCTCAGCCTCAACCCAGACATCAAATCAGATCAAACCTTGGCCATCTCCAGCAACGACCCGTGAATCTTCCCCCTTTTCCCCGCCTCCCGAAACTGCCTGAGCAGATCCCCAATCTGGGCAGCGCCGTCGTCGTCCACTCCCACTGTCCCACCCGCCCTAAACGTGCCTGCCGCTCCGTCCGTCCCGGTCGTACTACTCGTTCCAATCGTCCCAGTCCCAGTCGTCCCAGTCCCAATCGTCCCCGTCGTCTCAACACTCATGCCCTCCGTCCCAGTTCTACTACTACCCGTCCTACCCGTCCTACCCATCGTCGTTCCAATCCTGACTATCGCCACCGCGCACAGCAGCACCCGCGCACACACGGCAAACACATGCTGATCGGACGTCCATCCCAGCGGGCCATCCTCCTCCTCTCCTTCTCCCTCGCCCTCTCCCTCTCCCTCTTCCTCCTGCTTCTGTTCATGCTCCTGCTTACCATTCCCTCCACCAACTAGTCCAATCAGACACCTCAGTCCGTCCTCAACCCACACCCCAAGGCAGCTGAGCGGACTGCCATCGCCGATATTACTGGCGGCAGTGATGGTGCCCGTGGCGTCCGCAGTATCTGTGGTATCTGTCGTCCTCTTGCCGAGTACCCGAGCCCCCCGGTAGCTCCCGGCCAGCGCCTCTCGCCACCGCACCGTCTCCCGAACCTCATCAATGAAGAGGTTCTGCTCTTCGGCTGCAAACAGTGAGTCATCGAAGTCCAGCGCCTTACGGAGTTGTTCCTTGGCTGGGACCAGAGATAGCCCGAGCCTGGGGAGGAAGGGAGTCGAGTCGGGTAAGACATCGTCGTCACGCGGATAGGGCTGGCCAACCATCCGGTACACGACGCGTGCTTTGAACTCGAATTCGTCGTCGTCGTTGGTGTCGGCTTCGTCTGGGGGGGTCTCACTTTCTTTCGTCTCTGTCTCTGTCTCCGTCCCCGCCTTGGTTTCCGTCTCACTGCCGGGCTTGTCATCGCCTGTCTTGCCCCCCCTCTGCCTCTGCCCCTCCCCTTCGCCACCGCCACTAGTGCCAGAGCCAAAGCACTCCCGTAGCCAAACCACGAGCCGGTCCGCAGCAACAGGGGCGACGACTGGCGTGCCAAGCAAGTGTGAGGCAGCAGAGGCCGCGGTCTCGCGGACTTCGTCGTCGTCGTCGATCAGGCTGTCGTAAAGGGCCGAAAGCACGGGGAGATAGGAGGTGGTACTGGTGGGTAAACCCTTGGTCTGGGTGAAGAAGGACCGCAGGGCGGATGCGGCTGCGTAGCGCGTGTCGAAGGACTGGTCGTGTGCGGTGTTAGTATGGTACCACGGTTAGGCCGGGTGATATTGGCCAAGGGGGCTGTGTGTGTCATGCAAAGGGGGGGGGGGGGGGGTTGGTTTCAAACGTACATTGTCGACGTCCAAGCAATCTGTGAGCATCTCGCCCCAGTTCCGAAGTCGGTTAGCTATTTCCAATCCGTCACTTGAACCGCGAGACACCAACGCGGCCATAATTGTTCCGCTAGTTTCGGTAATGGCGCATGACAGCCCGGGGTTGATATCACCCGTTTGAAGGACAACCCAGAGGTTGTCAAGTTTTTCCGCGCTAGGTAGCTCGGCGATTTTCCCCTTTTTCAGTAGCTCGTCCATTAACGAGGCCAGGTTGCTCAATGCTTGGGTCCGGACCTCGGGCGCCGAAGAAGTTGTGCAAGCTTCCAGGTACAGACTGCAGAGGCCCGTCTTGACGTCGGTACCGTCAACGTATTTCCAAGCCTCTGGGATCGATTCGAGGACCCTATTTGCCGTGTTGATATCGTGGCCGAGAATGCTCAAGAACTCCGAGCGAAGCTTGCCAATGTCCTTGGAGTGTGCCGTCTCGTATACCATGTTCAGCGAGGTATGGAGACTTAACAAGGCCGACGAGGACTTGTTTCGAGCCGTTGTTGCCGCTGAGAGTCCCGACTTTGCAACTTGCTCTTGGCACCCATGGCTCACCAGGAAGTTGACGATCTCGAAGGAAGCTGCCTGGACTTCGGCGCAATGTGCGAAAAGCCTTTGCTTCCGTGCAAGCTGCTCTAGGTGCAAGTCAACGGATTCGGAGTCTAAGGTAGTCAAAACGTTAGCCACGGCATGGCTACCCCGAGTAAGCGTCGGGGACCTACCAGATGCAAGCTCAACCCCCAAGTCCACCTTGCGTTCCAAGACAAACCTGGCAGTCAACAAAGTCCCATGGATCCGATTCATACTCCCTTTCGACTCTCCCAATAACCTGGAAATATCCCGAGCCCAATCACCCCTCAACAAGAACGAGCACAACGTCCTAGCCGCAATCTCCCGAACATGCCAAAGCCGACTGCCGAGATACCCTTCGATATGTTTCTGCAACTCCAAACGGTGCTCATCAGGCGGTCCCGCGCGGCGAATGATATCCAGTGCGGGGAACACGGCCTCGGCCGCGCCGGTCTGTGATGGTGATGCGTGATCGAGCGTGGCGTCCGCGGAGCGCAGCAGATCAAGAATAACGCCGGGGAGAGTTGGGTACTTGTTGTACGAGATGCGGACCGAATGCCCATCCCAGCCGGACTCGATGGATGCTTTGCTTTCGCCTGTCCCGAGTAGGCAGTCGATAAGACTTCTTAGGAGAAGGAGACCACAGTTGCGGATTGCCCAGCTATTTTCTCGGTTAAAATTCACAACATCGTAGAGGAAGAGTCGGGTTGTTGGAACTTACACTTCCGACCTCAAGCTTATCGCCGCCAGACGGAGGGTTCTCGCCAAGTACCCTTCCGCCTTCTTGCTCAAGAGCGAGCTTCTGAAGATGTCTCGCAGCGAGTTGAGAGCATGCACCTGAGGCAAGTTGGATCCGTCCGTCTCGGACATCAGAACGGTCTTCTTGCCTATCCTTTCGAGGGCTCCGTAAACTTCTTCAAAGGACGGCGATACGGCGTTTGCCGACAGGACTGCCGCGATGAGGGATGGGATGCCGGCTGACCGACGGGTCGTGGATGCTTGTGTTAGGATACACTGGATCGCGCCCTAGCATAGACTTAAGGTTAGACAATACGCTGAGCCACTTTCCTCCGTTTGTTTCTTACCCGGTACCACTCGCGCAGCAAGTTCTCTGATTCATCAATATCCGAGTAAACATTCTTCAGGGTCTGCGTCAGTTGACAGCAGGTGGTGAAAGTGTATGATACGGTTGAGAAAGCACCGCGATGGCGAAGGCTCGAGAGCTGCTCAAAGGTCAAGTACCCAGTTTCCCGGAACACATCCAGTGGGGGGTACGGTACGCCAGCGGTGTTCTTCATCCTTAGCGTCGACACCAGAAGGCGCAAGAGATTACTTTATTTGAGTTAGTCATCCCCGCCCAGCTCTTGAGGAAGCTAGATGACATACCTAGACTCATGAACAGCACGGAAGCTGTAACTCAACAGATCTTTGGTGTCCAACCCCTCGATTTCTTCCAACTCTTCTGGTAAGTGACCCTCCGGAGAGTCATCGCACAGAACATGCTTGACGGCAAACCAGATCTGCTGCGCGCAGAAAAAGATGCGGCGCTGTAAATGATGAACAAGGTCCAGCTTGTCGTCTGCGAATGTTCTCTTTGAGAGAACATGCCATACGTAACTAGACTCCGTTAGTTACACAACCCCCTCCAAAAAGAGCGAGCTATCTGTTGCACACCTTATCGCCGCAAAGTCAGCATGCACGGGATTCTCAATAGCTGCATGTCCCAAGTCGTCTTCCGCTTTAGATATCTTGGATTCCACTCGCTCCAAGATGTCAGAGAGAAGGGTGAGCTGCAGGTCAGGTGTGTTCAGCCAACTGCACAACAACCCCTGAGAGCGAGCAGCACCATCGCCGTGATCAGCTCGTCCGGTTCTGTCAGCGAGCGCGCTTGCCCGTGCGCAAAAGCTCCTAAGGACCTCAAGCAAGTCTTGGGTGGTTTGTGTGTTTGGCTTGAGGCTGTCCGGGGGGAGCAACCCCAAAATAGTCGCGGCACCGTCCCGAACGTCGTCGAACGGGTCGAGTAAGAGGTCAAGTAGAAGCCGAATCCAAGTGGAATCGGATAATATTATCTTAGCGATGTCCTCGTCGACAATGTCGTCCGTGTCGCCTGCGTGCTTTCCCACTCGGAGAAGTAGCAGCGCTGCTTTAATGGCGGTCACATGCCGTTGGTAAGATGTAGTGGGGAGGAGTTCATTCCGGAGGAAACCCATGTACCAATCGAGGAACGCCTGGTGGCGGTCAAGAACTTCCTTTGCTTCAGACGCGTCCTTCAGCGCGACCTCTGGTCCAAACTTCTTTTGGGGGGCCGCTGGTTGAGCCTTGCCATCAGTGGCCTTGTGTGCTGAAAGGCTCCTTTGCGCGACGGTCATGATGTTCTTGGCCCGTTTGATGAGATTTTTGGTGTGGCCTAGGACTTCGTTGCGAACCCTGGCGTCATAATCCGCATGGAATGCTGCTAGATGCTTTTTCAGGAGATCGAAGGCTACCTCCGAGAAGGGTTTCGTCGTGGCCTGAGAAGACACCAGGAGGGAAAAGGCGCTCGACCGGACGGACACGGAGGGGTGTGCGAGCAGGCTATCAAGGAGCGTTCCCTGGAGAATGACCTTTTTCGTCGCTGGCTGGGCTGGCTGGTTGTCATTGCTGTTGGTGCCTGGGATGGTCCGTTAGCCATGTACTGTACGACAACAAGGTAGGTTCTCTTCCGTACTTGGTTCTTCCACCACGCCGTTCTTTTTCCCAAGCTCAAGAGCAGCCAGCTGGAGCAGATGACCATGGTCCGTGGAGCCACCCCCAATTGCAGTCAGGGGCTGACATCGGTTGAACATATCGAGCAAAGATAGGGCCGCTTCCCTTTCCGTCTTGAACATGGGAGCGAGCACATAGTTTTTGATGTCTTCCAAAATCTCCGCGTTTCGGGTAAGGGCATCTTGCAACCACTGCCTCCAAACATCAATTGTGAAGCCTTCGGCAACCTTATCGACGGTTGTTGTGTCCATCTTGGGCGTATTCAGGCCCCGGAATACGTGCACAATGCATTTTCCGGCTAAGGGGCATGCGTATGTGAGTTCCATCCAGGAAAACAGATGGGTAACAAACGATCCCCACCGCTCGAGATTTGGGAGTGCTGCTACCGAGGTATCCGCCTTCTCGTACTCAACAGCAATATCTCCCAGGTTAATCACCTTCTTATTCAGAAGGTGGTCAAGGCACTGCAGCCCCGACTTGGTCAACTGTTTCGTCGACTTACGGGAGACAATCGAGACAAGAGTCTTGACGACGTGGCCCTTGATGGCTTTGCCGGTCTCAGGAGAGGGGTTGGAGGCAGATGAGGCCACAAGCACATCCAAGACTAGCCTAAGTGCCCGGTGAGGATCGTGCTCATACCATTCCAGGTAGAAATGGAAGAGCTTGGTCGACAGCGTCTCGGTGAAAGCCCACTGCTTGAGGGCTTCATCGTTGGACTTGGCGCATTGTTGGACGAAACTGCAGAGCTTGACGCAGGCATGGCCGTTTCCGTGGTATTGCCTGGATTGAGATGCTTCTTTCAGGAGTTTGTCAAAGATCTCTTGGGCCAATCTGTGGTGCATTAGTGAAGTCCTGGACGATTAGATGAGGGGTTGACTCACTGGGTCTGGGTCTCTTGTGCTTGACTCAGCAGCCATTTGGTTATGGTATTTGCATTCTCAAAGACCTCGGGTTTGAGTTGCTCCAGAGAGCCCCCTGTTTTTGTTGACCCCTCCTTTTGAGCCTCCTCCATATTCATCAATCAAGTGGAGGGGCTCTACGCAGAAATTGTTATTTTCTTTGACTCGGTAGGGGTTGAGAACTCGCCCACGGTTGACGAATGAGGGAAATGATAAAATATAGTATTAAAACAGCAATCACGAACAGGCCATTTCCCCAACCTTGTCGTGAAATGTGCAGTGCTCACCCCTATGAAAAGTAAAGTGTTGTGAAATTTTGGGCTGAACAGGTACGTACCGCTACAACCCTGGGGGTTTGTTCACGGGCACCACCTTGCTCACCTCGAGCCATTTTAGGTTTAGCGCTCTTCTGTCGCCTTGGTATCAACTTAGATTTACTCCGAGTTTGCGAATCTCACTCGGTAAGAGTAAACATCAACTTGAAATTCTTAACTTGTGCCTCGGCTGTCTATTCAACAAATTCACGACCTTGTGTTTCCCGCCTCCAACAACTCTTGCCCAGGCACAAGGCGGGACTGCAACTGGTCAATGCGGCAACTGCCGGAAGCGCACGGACCACTTTGCAGCGTTGTAAATTTTTTGTCTTATCGCCCGCAGATGCGAGCCGAACCTGGTCCTCCCACCGAACATCACTGACGAACGACATTTTGCGAACAAGCCGAAGCCGGCCCATTTTCCGGCTCCCGCCCAAACGTTTCATATTTACCTTTCGCCTTGTTCATAGCCTGGTGCTCTTTTTAATCAATCGCAAATTTTTCACGACCTCCCACCGTCATGTCCATCTGGGATGCCCTGACAGGACGCAAGTCCTCGTCTCCGACCTCGTCATCGAGTGCGCCCGCCGCGCCATCCACCTCGAGTTTCGACCAAAGCCACCCCTCTTCCTCGTCCACCACCACCCCCACCACCACCAGCTCCTTCCAACAGCCGACAACAACCTTCGACCCAACGACCGCCGCGCAGGGCGTAGAATCCTTCCTCGGCAGCTCCTCCTTCGCCGATCCGACACAGCTACACCCCCTCGCAGGGCTCAACAAGGACACGCTCGACTACCTCTCTCTCGAAGACTCGGCGCTCTCCAGCCTCCCCGGCTCACAATCGGCGCTTCCGTCGCGCGGCTTCACCGACGATCTCTGCTACGGAACCGGCACGACCTACCTGGCCGGTCTGACGGTAGGCGGGGCGTGGGGTCTGCAGGAAGGGCTGCGCAAGTCGGCGGGGGAGTCGCCCAAGCTGCAGCTGAACTCGGTGCTCAACTCGGTCACGCGGCGCGGGCCGTTCCTGGGCAACTCGGCGGGTGTCGTGGCGATCTGCTATAACTGCTTTAACTCGGGGATTGGGTACTTGAGGGGGAAGAATGATGCGGCGAATACGATTCTGGCGGGCGCCCTGAGCGGGATGGTGTTCAAGAGCACGAGGGGTTTGAGGCCGATGGTGATCTCGGGTGGGATTGTGGCGTCGGTGGCTGGCGCTTGGGCGGTATGTGGTCTTGATCCTGTTTTGTTTTTCCTAGGTGGTTGATATGGACCTTTGCTAACGGATATACCCCACAGATTGTAAGGAGGACGGTCTTCCACGGCGCTGAGGAGAAGCATGAAGAGGCCCTTGCAACACTCTAAACGTCTCCGGTCGACGATCGACTAGTCTCTGCCGGAATCTTGCATACCGAACGATTTAAGTTGGTGTCTCGATTTGGCCACGACATCTCATCATTTTAATTTACGAAAAAAAGGAGAGGGCTAACAGCTCTCTTTTTCTCTCTCTCCACAAAATCTATTTTGTGTGTAAAAATGTCCCTCCCTTGGGGGACTCATGTGTACGAAGCTGGGCCAGGCGGTGGAAGGGGGAAACGGCGGTTATGCATGGCGCACGGTATCTCTCCTCCCCATGGAAATTGTACAGTAACGCTGGTGGCTTATATGGTCATAGAACGCCCGGTTGAGCGGATAGGCGCGATGGAAATGGATCAATTGCATGGCAAGAACTGCCAATCTTGTTTTAACACCCATCGTTCAGATGTTTTGCTTTGCCTGGGGGATCATTGGGATTTGTTTATGATGGGCTGTTGTCCCATGTCCACACAATAAGAGTTGTAAGGCCACACTTATTGTTGATCACATTCAGCCATGAACACCACCGTTGTGTTCCTCACATTCGGGGCACTATTTATTACCGGCGAACTCTCCCATGGTTCACCCACCCACCTCGAAACTTGAACCTTTTCAGACACATCATCCACTGATCTATCCTCTCGTCTAGGTCGAACGAAGCCGCGCCTATTCTCCCTCCCTTCTCTTTCCTAACCCTTTATCACACCCTTCTAACCGTCCGGCCTCGCCGGCGTGAGACCCGCAACTCATCCCCGCAACACCAGAATCGAAACAACACCAAGATCGAAACGACACCATAACCCTCTCGGTGACGACTAAGCAGCTAATACCCGCCTAGTTTTTGAAAAGGCTCACACGCCCGCACCTTCCTCGACACCAGGTATTTATTCCCCAGCAAATTTTCTTTGCCCCTCGCTCTCGTTCACGACTCCCAATGTTCAATACCCGATCCCGTTGGAAGCATCACTCGCGAGTCCCTACCTGATCACTTCACACATTCACACATACACACGCATCATCTCTCAAATCCGAGCCCCTGCGTACCATACCCATATCCCACTTGCCTTATATACTGTACCTATACTTTCCCTGTCCGTTTCCAGCGACCATGGAGATGGACTTCCCTTCCAGCCCTCCCACTGAACCAGGCACCGGTCCTCCCCTTTCCAGTCCCACCACCGAACTGGACCCCGGCCGGCCCCGTTCCAGTTCTCCTACCGAGCCGGGTACTGGTCCTCCTCGTTCCAGTTCCCCCACGGAGCCTGGCACCGGCCCTCCCCCCGAAGCAGAGCACACTGACAGCGACAGCGTTACCGAAACGGGCAGCAGCTACACCGTCACGGGCACCACGACCAGGCCGACAAACCTACCCAAGCTCTACCTCTGGAAGACCACCTACCCCTACACCGTCACGCCCATCGACACCAGCCCAGTCAACACCAACCCGGTCAAGAACAACCTGCCCACCACCAAGCCCCCCACCAACAACCCCAACGCCGTCCCGCTCTCCACCATCCTCGAAATCAAAGAAGAACTCATCTCCCAAGTCCTCACCCTGTGGGCATCCCATCAATACCCCATCCCCGACCCCGCCGTCGCAGCCGAAATGACCGCCATGTCCTGGGACTACGATTCGCTGCCGGCGTCAGGCCCCGGTTGTCTGATGAAGCTGACGCGTACCCAGGAAGGGGAGTACGTTTACATGCCGTATGATGATAATATGGATGGGATAGAGGAGTCGATGGTTGCGCGGGTGGAGAAGACGGCCGAGTGGATGAGGGATCCGGAGAATTTGGCGGCGATTCGCAGGCTGGATGGGGTGTTGGAACGGGAGGTGGATGAGAATTGTTTTTGGGAGTTGTTGGAGCAGGGTGGGGGGGTGGAGAGGGTTGATATGATTGGGAAGGTGAGTTTGCTTTGGGTTGTTTTCTTTTCCGATACTAGATAGGTAGTTACGCGTTCGCAGAGTCCGTTGCTAACCCTGTCGGTTCGCAGGTCAAGATGCTCGCACGCCAACGCCTCACACAGAAAGGCGGCATCGATGTCTTCGCCTACAACCCGCGCATGCCCTTCTTCCGCGTCGGCGCCATCGACGTGACCTACCTCGGCCAAGTCAAGATGCGCTGGTTCAAGTTCCCCTGGGACAGCGCCGAGCAGCCCATCATCAACGCGGTCAATGGCTTTTGTGGCACCGCGCAGAACCCGTCTTTCGACCCTGCCCAAGCACTCGCCTCGTTGATCACGCAGCTCGAGGCTATCCACCACCCGCAGCCCACGGCGCAGGCGGCTGAGGAGATGATTGCGCTGGTGAAGGCGCAGGGCCCGATCCAGGAGCCGGCGAAGGATGGGTGGGTGTATATATTTTCGGACTGGGACAAGCTCGGCCAGCCGCTGGAGAGGATGGGGTGGACGCATACGGAGAAGTCGCCGAATGATATTAAGCGGCTGAGACGGTTGAGTCGGGAGAAGAGCCAGTGGCCGATTTTCGTGAGGGTATGTATTTTGTTTGCTTTTTTTCTGGACTGACTGTCTCCTACTTTACTCTCTATCCGCCCCAACCCAACCCAAAGAAACGAGTACCCAGCTAACCACAGCCTTTTTTTCCTTAGCCCTCCCTCCTCCAGCACTACAACCGCTGTGTAAAACTCGCCAAGTTCCAATGGTCCCAAATGCAATACTGCCACATGCTCGAGCAACAGGCGCTCCAACGCGGGGGCTACTACTCGAAAGAAGAGGAACCCTATTTTCAACAGGGCTAGGTGTCTCTGCTGGACTACGCCTGGGAAACGGCGCCGGCGGTGCTCGGTGGCGAGGGTGAGGGTGTGGGCGAGGGCTCAGGTTCGGCTGGGGGCTATGGCCCGGCGGGGGAATATACGAATCCAAATCCGTATTTCCCCGCGGATGGGTCTGGGGCTGGGGCTGGGGCTGGGTCGGAGTCGTTTGGAGACATTTAGTCTGCGTTCGGTTTCTGGGCGTTTGGGTTGGGGGGTGGAGTTTTTCTGTGGCCTACTTACCTAGGCAGGTTATCTGGGGAAAGGATACCTCGGGAAGGCAAGGCGTTCTGCTGGGGGGGTTGCTTTGGGAACAGGAATAACACGGGTGTGCCCGTCACTTGGTTTCTTGTAAATCGGGATCGGGACCTGGAGTTATGCATCCTGATCTATGTGCCATAGTTCCCGGCCTTCTTTTCTCTGGATCTTTGAGAGATAGGAATTGGGCTAAAAGGTAGCAGGGCTAGATTCTGTGGCCTAGCCTAGCAGAAGCAAATAATAAGCGTATTTCACTCTGTTTATGATTGTGTGATAACAGGTCAAGGGTTAGGATGGTTGCTAGGTGGCAATAGGGTTTCGGGTCCTCGTCTTGTGTTATTGTAAAGACGGGATAATGGTTGTAGCTATTGTGTGAGAGGTCTAGATAGAAGGGCAGAAACCTACCTTGAAACTTGTCCAAGATCTCTCCCATTTCCCTACCTTCCCTCGCTATATTCCCCTCAAAACCCAACAACGCACCAAGTCTCTCGCTATCTCAACAACAATTCTCAGCCCAGAAACACGCCCTGTATCGCCCACAAACTACACCGCAAGATGTGTCTTTCGTGCTTCCCATTCTCAAACGCCCAGTACGAGCGAGGCAATCGACAGACCTCGAACCACGGGACAAAGTACCAATATATCTGGACCGGTCAGACCTGGGTGCTTCGTGATATGGTGAGTATTTCCAGGTTTTCTTTTCCTTTCTATTGTTTTTCTTGTTTTTCTAGTTTCGTCTCTTCCCCTTTCATCCCCGTTCGAGCCCCCTATCACGTCTCAATCTCAAAGTTGAGTCACGATCCCCAACAAGTTCCTTCCTTGAGCGCAAACCGTAGAGGCCATTCCGCTTTGTTCTCTCGCCTCACTCCCTCGGCATTCTTCACGGATCTCGTTATATGGGAGGGCAAGTTCAGACCGGTCAAGCGCAAGGCTCTCCGGCCCGGATACAAAGGATAATGGGCAGGGTGTGAAAAGGGGGCGTCAGGAAGTTTGTCCGAGGTTGTTCACGAGATACTTGGGACCGGACAAAAATCCACAAACTCGTCCCGGGCGGCTTGGTTACTCATCACGTACCTTCCCGCCCTCAGAATTGGTCTCGAGGAAGCTTTTTTTCACCTGCCCAGGGGGTACTTGGGGCCGGATGAGAATCCACGAACGCGTCACGCGAGGCTAGCTCCCCATCGCGTACCTTCCCGCCCTCAAACTTTCGACTTGGGACGGTTTTTGCACCAGCCCGCCCCAATCCGCACCTTCGAAAACCACTTAATCATCATTCTGCCCACCCCGACCTGGCCTTTTTTCCTTTCTCCAACCTGTTCAACCTTCCCTATCGACCTCAACCGGGAGTGGGATACCTACCATAGTATCCTCTCCCATTCTCTTCTTCACTCGGTCACTTCTTACTATTACTTCTTCTTCTTATCCCCCCTCGCACGCGCGCGACACTGCCCATACCACATCATTCAATCGGTCGGTTCGGGCAAGCAAACGATCATATCGCGAAAAAAGGTCAACAAGCGCTGTCCGATTCCAGATTGATCAACATCACCCTTATTCAATCAATACATCGCAATGGCCGGTCCGTCCAAGGTCAACAAAGGCAAAGGACCCGCCAGACGAGTGTCCATCGCAAACGAAGACAATACCATCAGCCCTCCCAACTCTCCCGCTGCGACCAGCCACTACGCTCCCCCCCACAGATCAGCCGTCGGAAGCCCGTCGCGCTCTCAGGCTTCGTACGCTTCGGCTTTGAAGTCACGTCCGGAGTCGCGCGTTGGTCAGTCTGCCGCTGCCTCTGCTGCTGGTGGCGCTGCTGCTGGCGGTAGTGGTTCAAACCAGCCTGCCACTACTCCCGCTCCGAGTGTGGCCGCACCTACACCTATTCCCGCGTCCGCCCCTCCTCAGAGTACTCCGGCTCGAGCCGCGGCTGCGCAAGCTCAAGCTCAAGTTCAAGCCCAGGTGCAAGCTCAAGCTGCTGTCCAGGCCCAAGCTGCTCAAGTTCAAGCCCAGGTTCAGGCCCAGGCTCAGGCTCAGGCTCAGGCTGCTCACGTCCAAGCCCAAGTTCACCGCGCCGCTGCGGGAGGCGTTCACCCGACTTCGGCTGCTCACATCGTTCACCCTGCTGCTGTTCACGCCGCAGCCATGCCGCACGTCACGGGCGGTTGGCGTCCGGTTGTCCACGCCGGTGGCTACGGTGCCCCCTATTTCATGATGGCCGGTCAACAGAACCCTCCGCGGCAACCTCCGGCCAACCCGGGCAACCCCCCCGATGAAATGGGCGACCCTCCTCCGCCGCCGCCTCCGCAGATTGTTCCGCACACTTTGAACCCCCATGGCACTTATTACTACCCCGGGGTCCCGAGCACCGAGTTGGGTCCTATGGTGCATCGCTATGTTCCTCGCCATGACGTGCCGGGTCATCCGGGGGTGTTTTTTGCTAGTGGCCAGATGCAAGGCGGTTTTATGGTTAGTTGGTCTTGTTTGGATGCGATGGGTTGATCGGTCGATGTGCACGGTTTTTCTCGCACGGTCGACACTGTTCGGTCGAAATCCCCCCATTCGAGATCACACGGTCGTGATCGGATCGGGGTCGTGATTTATTAGATCGATGCCCCTCTCTTTCTCTTTCTCGTTCTTTACCCTTTATCCCACGCTTCCTTACCTTTCACATACACGAACAGATATGGACGATCCTAAAAGCCGTCTAGGCGAACAGCCCGCTAACCAGCTCTCTCCCCTCCAGGCCAACGGCACGATGCACATGCAAGCGGGCATCACAGCCCCCATCAGCCCGGTCATAATCCACCAGCAGCACCCCACCGCCCAACCGATGATGATCCAGAACCACTCCATCCCCGGCGGTCCCCCCCTGATGCTCCCGGCGACCAACTACCAGGCCATCAACCCAGCGGCCGTCATCGGCACCCAAGCCATCCCCACCATCCCAGGCATCGTCCATCCGCTCCCGCACCAACAACAACAGCAGCAGCAGCGCATCCACCACCAAGTGCACGTGCAGCCCTCCGTTGTCGCCGCAGCCGTCGCGGCCGGCCTGCCCGCCCAGCCGCCTATCCACATCGAGCCTGTCTCGGGGATTGGTCTGACGCCCGGCGAGACGGCTGCGCAGAACGTGCGCATCGCGCAGGGCAATAAGGCGTATGAGCCGCAGGACTTTAAGCCGGCGGACCCGGACCCGTATCGGTTGTACTGGTTCCGGGAGCTGAATGGGCATTGGGCGGTGTTTCCTCGTCGCCAGATTGATCGGTTGGATGCGAGGTGGTTTAGAACTGATGAGGGGGTGTTTTACGCTGTTCGCGTTTCGGATTAACGGCCGGTGGAGATAGATTGTGGGTGTGTGGGAGGCTGGCTGTTTTGGCGGCTTGGTGAAGGAGCTGCTGGTCTGGTGAGTCTATTTCTTCTTGAAAGGAGTCGTGAAAAGGGCCGGCACAAAGGTTGACGGACACTAATCCCATCTTTACAGACACATCAACATCCCATCGGATACGATCGCCGATCGATCGCCGATGTTAACGGTCCGCCTCGACGTTCTCCAGTCGCGTGGTCTTAGCGTTGCTAGGATGCGGTAACCTCACGGATTTAGGGCGAACTTTGGGTCTTATCAGGGTCATCAGGGCATTGTGTCAGAGCGTACTCTCGCCATTTGAGCCTTTGGGTTCACACTTTGCGTTGCGTTTTCTTTTCGGGTTTTCTTTTCGGGTTTTCCTTTTTCGACCTCATCGCCTTACAGCCGACATAACGCGGCACACACTCTGTGCTGCCTTGTGGTGGACAAGAGTTCTCGGCGGATCGGGTCTTTTTTTCGAGGGTGTTGGTGTTTTGCTCTTCTTTCGACCGTCTAGCAGAGTCGTCGCTCATCATATCATATTCCGGACCGCCCAGGATCAACAGCGTCTCAGCGGTGCTTTCTAGTACATGTTGAGACGTAGTAGACTTGGTGGAGGATTTCATGAGCGACGCATGGCCTCATTTTGAGCCAAACATCTGCATCGACTTTCCATTTGTCTTTCGGCTGGGTCGCTGTCTGGCCGCGGTATCACTGCTCTCCTTTCCGGTGGCTGCGAGTGGCATACGACGGCTGGGCATTTAGAGCGGCCGCTGGCATGGAACTGGCTGAGCTATCTGGGGAGTTGGGGACTTCGGCGGCGTACACGGAGACCGGAAAAAGGGACATGCTTTTGCGTGGGAGGTTTTCCTAGTTGCTGCTTTGCCTTGCGTTTTTCCGAGGCTTTTTACTTTTCTTTTCTTTCGTAGCCCACAATTGATGACCCTGGACCAAATCTTGCATGAATTGTAGTGAGTTGGAGTGAATTATCGCGAACCCTTTGCCTTAAATATCGGCTTGGAAGAAGAGGTGAAGTCAAAGACCGAAAAAGGTCAAGGACTCTGGGCATAAACGGCTTCACATGCAAGGCACCTCCATGCCATGCACGACAAACAGATCACGCTAGACCTATTGCAGTAGTCTAGTGGGCCTTTAAATGTCTGCAATACGCCTTCTTATTGGCGGTCCTTGACGACAATGCCAAGAGCCAAGGACATCCGAATCTGGAAGGGAGCCTCAGTGATGTGATGCCGAACCGAATCCCCCACTCAAAACCCCTGTTTTGGCTCAGACGTTTTCCAATTCACAAACTCTCCGTTGACCTCGTCTCGGGTCTTGGGAATTCCCACGTTTTGAGCTGTGGAAGTTGAGTTCTAGCACCAATCTTGATCCCACAAAGCAGAAGCACCACCTCGCTCGACTCGAGAGAGCCCACCCTCGACTCCCAATCTACTCCAACCTTCCAGCCCTGTCTAAAGGCAAACACTACACCAACCACCACCATGCTCCTCATCGGCCTAACCGGGTCCATCGCCACCGGCAAATCCACCGTCTCCTCCCTCCTCTCCCAACCCCCCTACCACCTCCCCATCATCGACGCCGACCTCCTCGCCCGCCAAGTCGTCGAGCCCGGCACGCCCGGCTACTCCGCCATCGTCGCCCACTTCGCGCCCACCACCCCCGATCTCCTCCTCCCCACCAGCGACACCATGCCCGAAAACGGCCCCTCCGGCCACGGCCGCCCTCTCAACCGGCCGGCCCTCGGCCGCCGCGTCTTTGGCGACGATGAGCAAGTCCGGAAGGACCGGGCTGTGTTAAATGGGATTGTGCATCCGGCTGTGAGGAAGGCGATGTTCCGCGCTGTGGTGGGGAATTATGTAAAGGGTCATCGGGCAGTGGTGTTGGATGTGCCGTTGTTGTTTGAGAGCCGGTTGGATCGGTTCTGTGGGACGGTGATGGTGGTTGCGGTGCGGGATCCCAAGGTGCAGATGGAGAGGTTGCGGAAGAGGGATCCGCATTTGAGTGTGGAGGATGCGCAGAATCGGGTGGGGAGTCAGGGGGATGTGAGGGAGAAGGCTAGGAGGTGTGAGGCGAGAGGTGCTGGGAGGGGGGTGGTAGTTTGGAATGATGCGGGGAGGGAGGAGTTGGCGGAGGAGGTGAGGAGGGTTATGGAGGAGGTGGAGAGGCATAGTCCGAGGTGGTGGAATTGGTTAATGTGGGTGTGTCCGCCGGCGGCGGTCGTGTTGGCGGTTTGGGGGTTCTGGCAGAATTCGAGGATAAATAAGGCGTGGGAGGAGGAGGAGTTGAAGAAGAAGGCGAGGTTGTGAATGAGGTGAATGGAAGATGGGGGCGAAGGACAATCCGGGAGTGTTCTCTCGCCGGCTGCCGGAGTGTGCGAGCCAGGTGACGGACCGGGGCGTGTTCGGATCAATGGTGTTGAGCTCGGCTCGAGCACTAAATTGCACCTGCGGATTTGGGCGACTAAGCGATGGATTTTTTCCTTTCCCACTCGCCCACAAACTAAATTCTTCTTGTAGTGGAATAAATACCGACTTGCATCTTCCCTTCTTTATTCGCGACCGATAATCGACCCAGCGGCGGCGTGGACACAATCACCTGTGTGCGTCGCGCTGCGAAGGCTTTTGAAGCCATCGCGAGTTTTCTCAGAGTATTTCCCAGCAACTTTGGGATCGCCAACTCTCTCCTCAGGTCCCACCCTCAAACTGACTCCCGGTCGGAATATCTTTCTCATCTCGTGTTGAATTTCTCAGGCCTTGATCGGTAAGTCCACGGCAGCCACCAAAATCCCAAATATTTCTCGCAAAACGACCAACTAACACACATCAGTTAGACGAGATCATCCGACATCAAAATGCCTCCGCATTCCATGCTCGAGTGGATCGTCGGCCAGAACCTGCCCTCCGGGGATAGACCCAAGAGGCGCGAATGCCTCCGCATCGAACTATCGACCGACGATGACACCGACACCGATTCCATCACGGTCACCTACCCCCGCACCGGCACTGCAGGCAGTCAACGCAGGTACAAGAAAGATAGGAAGCCCAAGTCTCCTCCTCCTCCGCCCCCGTCGCCGCCGCCTCAAAAGAGGGTCAGCTTTGAAGAACCGCTGCCGCGCAGGTCGGCGCTGAAAAAGACCGTCGCGGTATTTTCAGAAGAAGTCTCCTCCTCCGAGGCCGAATCGTCGGAAGAGTCCAGTGCCGAAAGCAGCGAGGCGGAAACACAGCCTCTTCCGTCGAAGGTCAAATGCCACAAGCACAGGCGTCGCAACTCGTCGTGTGCGTGCTGCGTTGCTGGTTTGATGCTTCTGGATAAAATGGATCAGGTCAGCAAGAACAAGGATGAAGCAGCCCCGGTAGCTGTTCAAGAGACGGGCAACAACGGTAATGACAAACCGAAGGAGTCCGAGACTGAGGCCACAACTGATACGTCGGCCGCAGCTACGACTTCTGGCGAGTCGACTACCGAATCCGAACCCGAGCACAAGAAGAAGTGTAGGAGGAAATGCAGGCACAGGTGCTGCTCACCAAGCCCTGACACGAGCCCTGCGTCCGATAAACCCGCCGAAAAGAAGGCGGAGGAGGCCACGCCCGACGCCGCGTCTGGGAACGGTGAAAAGACTGAGGAGCCCAAGGCCGACGACAAGCCAGGCGACGACAAGCCAGCCGATGACAAGACAGCCGAACTCGAACAGCCCAACACGGCTGTCAACGAGAAGAGGGCCCCGCCGGCCCATCCCAACCACCTCGTACCCTCCCGTAAACGAACCCTTGAGGTCCAGCACGTCGTCGCAGACCCCTCTCGGGATTCACCCCCCAACGCCTTCTTCGACAACGAGAAGGATCTCTGCCGCGTCTACCACGGACCCTATTGGGGCTACCCCCACGGTCAGCCTTACCCTTCAGGCGGCCCCGGCCCGCACTATCTGCCCCCGCCCCCTCCCGTGTGGCCGCCACCCATGCCGCAGCATCATCATCATCATGACCCCCGAGCTACCGGACACGGGTACCCCCCTCCCGAAGCACGCATCCCTCCTGGCTACCCGCCTCCCATTCATCATAACCACGGCCAGCCAGCCTACCCACCACCCTGGGGCCAGCCCTATGGCCAGCCTTATCACCAGGCTCCTGCACCTCAGATGCCGCCGTACTACGGTGGTGGTGGTGGTGCCCCTGCCCCGCCGGGCCCTCATGGTCTGCACATCACGCCCCAGGATGTTGAACGACTTCGCCAGCAGGGTTTCAAGCTAAGTCCGTTGTTTGGTAATGCTGGTCTTGCTGGTGGGAACAACTCCGGCAACAACAATAATGGAAGTAGCAACAACAATGGAAATGGGGACGGTAGTAGGCGCCCGTCGAACCAGAGCAACATGGGTAACCGGTCGAATAGTGGGAACCAGAATCAGTCGCAGAATCAGAACCAGAGCAAGCGCGGGTCCAACGCGGGGCAGTCGAATTCTGGTAATAACAACTCCAATAACAACAATGATTGGGGCAACTCGGGAAACAACAACAACAACGACTGGAACTGGGGAAATAATAACAACGACAACAATGATTGGGGAAACTCGGGAGACAATAACAACAATAACAACGATTGGGGAAATCCGGGAAACAACAATAACACCAACGGTTGGGGAGACTCGGGTAACAGTAACAACAACAACGACTGGGGTAACTCGGGGAACAACAATAACAGCAATGACTGGACCTCGGGTAACAACAACAACGACTGGACCTCCGGAAATAACAACAACGGGAACACTGACTGGAACTCGGGTAACAATAACGACAACAACAACAATAACAACGATGCTCCCCCCAACGACCCATGGCCAAGTCCCGTCGGCGCCACCAAGAGCAACACCAACAACAACAACAACAACCCCTCGCCGACCAGCAAAGACCCCCCCATTACACCCCCCAACAACAGCAACCATCCCTCGTCGTCGATGCCGGGAAGCTGGGATAAGGTCGACTGGAGCAAGGGGGGTGATTGGACTGATCCTGGGGCTGCGCAGGGCAGTTGGGGGATTTGATTGAGTGGGGGGATAACTCACTCATTAATCCCGGGGTTGTTATGGGGAGTTTTTTTTCCTTCCTCGCTTTCTCTCGAGAGAGAGGCTGGGTGATCAACCAGAATGGTCTGCAACCTCCTATACCATCTCGCGTCGTCTCGCCTGTTGCTGGGAATGGTGGACAGGCGGATACCAGCTACCGAAAACCATCATGTTATGACATGTCTAACACGACACCATGGGATATGACCGGACCCCCAGTCAGGACTATGACCTGTGCCAGACTCGGCTGTTCCCCCCTCACCATTTCTTTCCTTTCCATTTTTTCTCCTTTTTTCCCCTTTTGTTTCCTTTTTCTTTTCCCCTCACTATCTGAAGGGTTTTGTTCGGTCGTCTGGCTTCCCCGACATTCCATCAAACTCACCAACCCAACCTTTTCGCCATAGTCCTCGCTGTCGGGGGTGGGACATTTTCGTCCCCGAGTTTATCGCATCGCATCGCATCGCTCAGCAAGGCGTTAGTCGGATATCTTTTTTCTTTTTTTTCCCCTTTTCTCTTTCTGCCTCTGCCCTTACCAGATGAGGGCCACCAAAATGGAGACCGGCAACGGATGCGAACAAGACAGAACGGGGGGGGTTATTTGTTGTTTGTTGGGTTGGCACATTTGCACTTGCACATCTTCAGAGGGAGCGAAGCTGCATGGATGGGGCGTTATGTTATGTGCTAGTTTAACGGATGGCTACTACCTTACCGTAGATACCTACATAGGTACCCCAGGGATCATTGCTTGTATGGAATTGACAATCTTTGCTGCAATTATCTATCCCCCCGTGTTGTTGTTGGGGTGCTTTGTGATGGTGAGCTGTTGATGACTGAAGTTAGGCATAGGGTGTTTCACTAAAGGTTAAGGTGGCGTGAAAACCCATTGACGGCAATGCTGTATGTAGTTGAGGCTTCACAAATTCGTCAATGCAGGAAGGTAATCAATCAGGGAGACAGTTAGACACAAGTGAGTGGAATTGCAAACTAATCCTCTAGGAGGAACTCATGATACGGTACAACAAGACATTTTCCGACATGATCCATATGATGGGAAACACTACCTCGAGCGAACACTTTGGTAGCGTCCATGGATCAAGTCACGGGCGAGTGCCCTGCCCTCCCCCAGCAACAACGAACGGAAAATTTTGCACCAAACTGAAAACAAAGACGACACCACCAGCTCATGAGGGTCAGAACCCGGGCATGGCCCGAAGCTTACTCGTCGTCCGACTCCTCCTCGGCCTCCTCAAGCCACTTGATGAAGGGCTCGGCGGCCTTGCGGACCTTCTTGGAGGTCGAGAGGTCGACGTACTTCTTAGAAGCCTTGGAGCCCCACTTGGTGACGACCTCCTCAGAGATCAGATCATGGTGGTAGTAGAGCTGCAGGATCTTGACCACCTTTTCGAGCATGTCGGGGTGCTCGGCGTTCAGCTGGCCAATCAGGCGCTCGGTGCCGCCAAGAAGGGCCTTCTCATGGCGCTCGGAGGTAGTCATCTGAACTTGGTTAGCATACAGGGGTGCGGCCGGAATTAAGACGAAAACGGGCGGAAACTTACCCTCTTGAGCATGGGCGCACGCTTCGAGATCTGGGCGACGATGTTCTCATCAAAGACAGTCTGCACAAGGACGAGAATGGTGCGGTGCTTGGCCTCAATGCCCAACTCCTTGGCCTTGACGTAGATATCAATGTCATCAACATTGTCAACGCCGCCCTTCTTCTCGGCCTCCTCCTGGATCCAAGTGCCGAGATGGTCGTAAACAGTGTTACCACCGCCTTCGCCCTCCTCATCATCATCCTCGCCGCCGTTCAGAGATAGCTTCTGCTTGAACTCGCCAGGTAGGGACTGCTGGCGGGCCTTGACGGCCTCTTCGCTCATGTCAACAGCCCACTCGTCGTCCTTGATCTCGACCTCCTTCTTCTCGAGGATCTGGGCTTCTGACTTGATCTTGCGGGTCAGTGCGTCGTCATCGCTCTCAATACCCTTGTCATCAGCGCCAGGGGAAGCCTGGTCGGAACCGTCATCGCCTCCGGAACCATTATCCTCGGTCTTGCCGTTCTGCTTGGCCTTGCGGGCAGCACGGCGCTCGGCCTTGTCCTTCTTGGTCTTCTTGGGCACGTTCTTGAGCATGAAGCCGCTGAGCTTCAGGCGCAGATCGACCTCGGAGCGCTGGCCACAGGCCTTGCAGTCAAGCATGATGCGGCCATCCTTGATCTGGACGTCCGTCTCGGGGTTCTTGCACTTCTTGCAGAGAACAAACTTGGAGATGAAACCGTCGAGGAGCTCCTGGAGCTTGTTGGCCTCGTGGGCGCCGTTGATAATCCAGCGGTCGTCGGCGGGATCGAGATTGGTCTGAGCACCAAGCTCGAAACCGAAGTACTTGATCAAGTAGGAGCCCGGGCGAGCGAGGGATTGAGCAACGCTGCTCAGATTGACAACAACGGTCTTGATACCATTGCCTTTGCCCTCGATCTTGGTCTGGAGGCGCTCCATCTTGTAGCGGTAGAACGGGTCGCTGACATCGCGACGGACGTTGACGAGGGAAGCCATGATTGCGGTATTGGCGGTTGAGGAACTAAGGCGGGTTCAAATTGCGGTGACGAAATCGTGAATCCGGTGGTTCGGAACGTTGCGGAGACCTGTAAGACTCGGGCGAGGCGGACTATCGGCGCAGATTCGAAGGGGCGAAGCGTGACGGGGCGTCAGTAAGGCGTACGAGGAGTTGACATAGGGTAGGTCTGGTGATGATCGGTGGCATGCATGAACGCTGAAGGGCGACTGCACAAATGATCCTTTTGTTCAACCGTCGGAACTGTTGGGACTACAAGGTTTCCGCGCTATGCGAAGTAGACGCAGCTCAAGCGGGGGAGAGTGTCGGAAGACGGTGGCCTCTTCGTGCTGATACATAAACAACGCTGGGTTGCGTGCCGGGACAGGTGTTGTCTTGTTTGTCGGCTGGGCCGTTTAAATGCGTGGATGGGGGAAAAGAGGAGGTTGTGTGACTGGCAGCCGGATGCAAAATTTGCTCGTTGCGATGCTCGGAGTTTAGAGTATTGCGGAGAGCCCAAGTGAAAGTGTGGAACCGGCGGCGGGTTGGAATGCCCAGCGATGGACGTCCGGAGGTGACTTTAGGGGGATTGTTTTGGGTAAATGGGTGCCAAAGAAGGCTGCGGGGTTCTGGATGAAGAATCGCTTTGGAAGGTTTAAAGACGATGAAAAACAGAGGGTGGTCAGTGTTGGAAATCAATCAAAGAGGTGTGTGGCTTTCCGGAAGAAACTTTTGGGTGCAGGAGAACAAAAGTTGGGAGAAAGCCGCGGAGCTTGGTGGAGCCTTTCACGCAGGGCGTGGGCGGGGCTGCGCCTGAGGCAACGGCGCTAGGGCCAGTGCCTTTGTTGCCCCAACCCCGCCGCCAGGCTGCAAGGAAGTCGCCCCCCCACAGTTCCACCTTCCAGAATCCAGAAATGCCCGACCCGGCAGCAGTTGATGCAGGGCCGTTTGGCAGGCACAGCGTCAATTTTTTCGGGTTTCTCACCACAAAGTGGCTTCACTCGGGCCAGGATTCCCAGTGCAAAATCTAGCCTTGTGATTGGCCTGTTGGGTCTCGTGCCAAGACCAGATCTGGTTTTCTTGTTGGATCTGGTGAACCAACTCGGCTGAGTCAGCAGTTCAGATTCCAACGGTCACCACACCGTTCAACGCCTGGGCCTTGTGACGCCCGCGGGTTCACAATCCAGATCGTGCCGCCTTCGCCTTGCTGGCACCTACTTGTCGTTGATCAATACAGTGACTTACCCGAACACGGGTGCCGACACCGCTGTGCCGTACTTGATGTGTAACGTGCCTCCCACGATTGCCCGCAGGCGCTTGCAAAGGTGGACTGTGGACGCATCGGGTACGCCGCCCTGAATTCTTGAACTAGAGACTCATTGGCTGCCTTGAGCTGCAAGGCCTTTGCGGGGTTGCCCGGGTGTGCTATGGGAGACGGACAAGCGGGTGGGATGTTTGCTGCGCCTATCTGATGTATTGGACTTTGCTCTGCTCTCAGGTTGTTGTCTCCTGTCCCTTTCATCGCGAGCGGTTCAATCCTACCTAGTCGACATGTCGCAGCAGAGAGCTGTTCTCGATACTATCCGCTCCCGGAATTTCCCATTCCCATCGCCAAGACGAATCGACTCCTGCTATATCGGGAGGCCAGCTCTGTGGAGTGCTACCCTCGTTCATACCAGACAAAGGCAGTAGAAGTCTTTCGGTTTACCTCGAAGCTATGAGGTGAGCTCGCTCCTAAACCCAATCTTAAGCCACTCATCCGCTTTTGCTTCCGGGGCAGTAATTGGGGAGGAAACGAACGTGCGATTTTGAAACCCTTGATCTATAATGGAGGGGTCGAAAAGAGTGACAGGACGAGTGAGTGAGAGTGTTCTCACACTCATCTTCAGGACCGCTAAAACGAATAAAAACAGCAAAAGCCAAACCATGGTTGCGGTTGCAGTCCCGCCCACATCGCTAACCCAAGATACATGTAATGCGCTCAACATGATCCATAAAAACTGAAATCAATAATCATACTCCGTTTCGGAGTGTATCCCCAGGAACTTCTCAAACCAATATGCTTTTCACCTAATTAACCACACTACTGCGTAGCATCCGACCGGCCGTATGCGAGCGTAAATTCCTGTGTCTGAACGATTCCTTTCCCAGGATCCGCATGATGCTGCTCCCGGCTCGGCATATCCCGCAGGGGAACAAGATTTGCCCCATGTTCGCCCTCCCCATTGACCGTCACAAGCTGCTCCTCGCTCTCGTTATCATCCCCAATGATAGACTTGATAATGTTGGTCGTGGTCGCTGCCTTGCGGGAATGATTATTGCCCTGCTCCAGATCAGAGACGCCGGTTCCCTTGCCCGGCGTTTCGCTGTCGCCGTTCTTGCGGTAGCTGCTGTCTCCAAAGACCGAACGGCCAAAGATCAGGTCGGCGAGGGGTTTCAGGACGGGGATGGTGGCTGCGATGGTGACGACGCTGCCTTCGACGCTGTGAGGGGGGAGGAAGTGTTAGATACATGATGGGTCGAGAAGAAGCAGCGAAAGAGAGGGTAGATGGCTTACATAGTCCAGACAGTCAAGTCCGCGGTGTCATCTGGTAGAGTGTTAGCAAAGGCATCGGCCAAGGCAGAATGGGAGGGTCGTTTCTGAACGGAGTAGGTACTAACAAGAAAAGTCAGGAGACGACATGGATGGGAGACGAGTAAACTTGTAGGCCGTCACACCGATAGATCTAAGTTTGACAAGCAGTTAGTCTTTTTGCACCGTGATCCTGTTTGGGTTTGGGTTGTCCTGGGGTTAGAACGCACATCCAACCGACACCAAGCGCGCAGCTGAGGGCGATCTTCTTCTTCCGGCTCATCTGTAGCTTTCGTAGGACGAGAGTCGGGTAGACAGCGAGGTACAAATCGGCAAGGAGAGAGACGGCTGGCAAGAGGTTAGCAGATCATTGACAAGAACAAGCCTTGACGTCGTCAACCTACCAGTCGTGAAGATGGCGTAGCACACAATGATCCAAAAGTCCCAGCAGACCTTCTGGTCTTCCGGAATCGTCGCGTCCCACACGGCGCGGAACGGCCGGCAGCGACCGAACAACATGCCGAGGCAGACAAAGGCGTTAATCATGAGGAGAGTGCCAAGCCCGAACATGAACGACTTGTGCCAGATGTTCGGGTTCAGCATACGGCACAGCAGGCTAATGACGGCCAGCTTGGGCAGTGTGAAGGCCAGGATACCCGGGAAGAAGCCCGCGATCGTCCATAGGAGAACCTGAGACATATCTTCGACCTCCAGCGTGTCCATGTGTTTCCCGTCACCATACCGAACGCTGATGACGGTGAAGCCGACCGCCGTCCAGCCACAGCCAATGGCGCTCATGAGAATCCAGTCGTCGAGATACAGTCGGTCGAGCATGCGGATGCGGCAGAAGAGACGGGCGCCAACAAAGACCGTCGCCAGCGCCTGGAACAGGGCGCAGACGATGATGACCGCCGGCCCTTTGTCGTCGTCGGGGTGACCCATATTGACGTTCGGGGTAACAGCAGCCGGTTGATGGTGTTGTTGCTGTTTGTCGATGTCGACGTGGTAAAGGGTTTGAATGTAAAATCAAGTGCGAACGAAGTCGTACACTATGACGGGTAAGGAGCGGACCACATTCGATGGGTAATGAACGGACCACACTCGATGTTTGGTTGCGAGGTTGAACGTTTCCCCCTCGGGGTCTGGGACTCCCACAAGCATATATCTAGACTTCCCGGGACCTGGTCCGACATGAAACATAAAGCTGCAAGTTGTTGCAACAGAATCAGGGGCTCTCTGAGTTCTCGAGGATGTTGTACTATGTAGTAAGGTGGCGCTGTTGGCGTCCGGGGTGCGGCTTTTCTGATGGACGGTTGAACTCGGGGGAACCTATCAACATCGAATTTTTTTCTCTTTGGATTCAAGGGGGGTGAAGCCTTCTCCCGAACCGGGTGGATGATCATAACTCTGCTCGAGATGCCCCTGAAGAGGGTTCATGGGTCCGGCCAAACCGGCGTAGGATCGCGGCCCGGCCCCATGGTCCGGGGATCGGAAGCGAGAGCCGGACTCGAGGTGATCTTCATAGGTCAGACATGGGCCCTGGTTCACCCCTCAAAAGCCAAGCAATGCTTACCTTTCACACCTTCGTACCCCATTTTAGGGCTCGTTCTTAAGACTCCATAGTTAGTTAGTGTAGTATTCCTCGCACCTATGACCTGGATGACCTGGATGACCTGGCCTGCGAAACCTGCAAATGCTTTTCTTCTCGTATTAGCGCAGAACTACTGGGCTGGTCTTGGTCTGGACTCGTCACTAAGGGGACTCAATAGGTCAAAAATTATCTCCACTTCCCAAAAGAAAAGAAAAAGACAATGCAAGAAACCCCTTTAAGCATGAACTCCATGAATACCGCGTCCCTGTGTCCGGAAGGCGCGTTGCTCTCGACGCGAAGAAATCGGGGCGTTGAAATTTCCCGCTGGTTAACACTAATCAACAAGTCTTCCGGAAAACTGAGAGAGTGAACTGGACCGGGCCGAAGGGTTTAAGGTAGGTCTCGGATGGGCTTCTTGTCGCCGAGCTTGCGTCTCCTTTGTGGAGTCCTTGATAAAGCTGAAAACATTTCTCTGTTCTCGTCGATCCACTAACTTCCGGATTAACTACAATCAGCTAGTTGGCGATTTGGAGGTCTCGCCTTGGGATCGTTTACCCAGAGAAGCAACACGCACTGGGGCAATGTGTTGATCCGGGGTAACTAATCCGTCCAGAAGGTTTCACCTTGTGGAATTGCCGGATGGGTGTCCCCTCCCACCGGGCAACTCGTGCGCCGGATAACGACACCTGAACGGGAATGGAGGGTCGAAGATCCCCAAGACAATCCGGACGGCAGTCGCCATTGTGGAGGCGCGGTAGTTGATTGGGTGTTCTGGGCTTCGGTTATCCCAATTTTTGCCCCTCTGGACCAGTCTTTGGGCAGCTCTCATGCATCGCAGAGGAGCCCAACTTTGGTAACTAGCTTTGCTGGAGCATTCCATGGAGCCATGGTACCGACAGGGGGAAGGTGAGGGGGAGAAGCATCTCCGCATAACGTATATAACAATGATCTACTCATGGCTTCACCCCTCAGCCGCGTTGGCTGACTCCTGTTCTGGTTGCACCGCATCTTAACATCAAACGCCACTTGTCTCATATCAGCCTCTTTCATCATCAACATGCCCAAGTTTGTTCTCACCGGCGTCGGCGGCGGCATTGGCGGCATCGCTGCCGACTACGCCCTTGAGATCGCGAAGCCGGACGACAAGTTTGTGTTCACCAGCACCAGTCTCAGCAAGCTCCCAGCCGGCAAAGTCGACGGCTGGAAGGCCAAGGGGGTCGAGGTGGCCGAAGCCAACTATGACGACCCGGCATCCCTCGCGAAGGTCTTCGAGGGCGCCGATGCTGTTGCCTTCATCTCGACCTGGGCGCTCGGCCAGCGCCCGAAGCAAGCGGCTAACGTGATCGAGGCGGCCAAGACGGCTGGTGTTAAGCGCATCTGCTACACTTCCTTCATCGGCGCCGGGCTGGGCAACGACTCGGAAGAAGCCCGGCAGCGTGACGTGGCCACCATCCCCTTCCTGCCCCAGGACCACGTGAAGACCGAGCGGCTGATCCGCGCGTCCGGTCTGGACTGGAACATCCAGCGCGACTACCTGTACCAGGACAACTGCGCGGCCTTCTTCTCGCAGAGCTGGAAGTACTGCGGCGATCGGTGGCTAAACAACACTCACGGGAAGCGGGGCGCGTACGTAGCACGCGAGGACTGCGGCCGTGTCTTTGGTGCCTTGCTGGTCGGCCGCGCGCCGCCTAACACCTGCTACACCATTACGGGGCCCGAGGCCGTGACGGACCGCGAGCTCTTTGACTACATGAACTCGGTGTCTGGCTACAAGGCCGAGTTTGTGGACTGGACGGACGACGAGCTGGCGACCTGGTGGCGCGAGCGTGGGTTGCCGGACGACGCCATCAACGGCGACTTTTCCAAGCTGCCTATGAAGCTGTGCATTCCAGACCTGCTGTGCTGTGGCCAGATGGTAGCGGAGGGCCACATGGAGGAGGTGACGGACGCGGTTGAGAAGCTGACGGGGCGGAAACCGTTGGGGTTCAAGGAGAACTTCACCAAGTATGAGCAACTGTTTCCCAGGAACGATTAAGCGAGGAAACAGGGAGATATGTACCTAAATTCAGAAACGGATAAGCGCGCGAATAGCCTAGGATAGCTCAGGGATAACTCAGGGATAGCCCGGGATAGTGTGTGTGCTAAGATTTCTTAATTCAGAAGCCGATAAACGCGACTAGCCCCAAGATAACGTTAGTGGTTGTGCTAAAATTTCTGGATGACACCCCAGCCGGACCGCCCCGAGCGCCCTTGGCAAGGGAGCGCTCCATGCTGGGAACAGGCTTTGAACAACCAGAGACCTCCACCTCCACTTTGACTTGCTTCTGGGCGGACTCCAGCGCCAACGAGGTGGCTGCTTTTAGTTCGTACTCTTGAGACTTGTTGTTTAGCGCCACAGAAAAAGAAAGTCGAGTGTTCGAGCAGAACGGATAACGACGGCCGAACGAAGAGGTTTGAGTTGGGTTCTGCGCCCAGTGGAGAAGTTGGATAGCATCAAGCTCAGAACGGAGGGGAAGTGTGACCAAGGCGCGGGGTAGACACGTACCTTCCTCCTATGTGTATGTACTTCGGAGTGTACGTGTACATGCCTCTCTCCAAGTTGCCTTTCGCCCCACCCTCAGCCAAAGTTCGGTCTTCGGTTTATTCCTCAAGCCACTTCGAGGTTTCCAAGGCAAAGTTGCTTGAACAGGGAAACGGGAATTAAACCGAATCATTCATTGTCTCGAACTAATAATTCTACTCTCCTCTTCCACCGCACCGCAGCTCTTAAAGTGTCGCAAAAAATCCCCGGATACCCCCAGCCGGCACCCAAACACAGGGGCCATGCCATCAACGGCTTCAGTGCCTGGCAAACCTGGTACCGAGCAGGAGGGTTGAGTGGCCCACACGGGACTCGGCACCCGGGCATCTTGCTGCGAATCATTGCTCCTTCCCACCAGCTCGTTTCGTTGTCTTTCGCCGATCAACTGTCTCGGAGGGTTGACTTCGGTTCCACATCCCTGGGCTCACCCAACCATGGCCCGTTTCTCAAGCAGTCTGCGGTTGCAACACCCGCCCAGTTCTTTGCTCTCCGGGGTAATTCCTCCTTGTTTGCCATGGCCGTCCGTGCGCCAGTTCGACAGGCTCGATCCGAAGACAAGAAATGCTTGAATGGCTAACGTTACATCGTACCAAACTGCGTGTAGCAACGGCCTACTTTGCTTCCATGTCGTCCGAAGGGACGAACCTCATCAGACACTTCTGCCCAGCCGGCCGCGACGAGATGAGCTGGTCTGACATCTCCATGTCTTCGGCCGTCATGCTCAGGTCCGGGAGTGTGGTGAACCGGGAGTAGACTGCCTGAAGGAGCACCTTCATCTCAGCGAGAGCCAAGCTGTGCGTGCCACATCGAGAAATCAGCATGTTTCTTGCCACCACAAAAAGCACAAGATGCAGGAACAAGAAGTTCCAGAAAATCCAGAAACTGAAGAGACGACCGAGACGACTTACTGCTTACCCACACACCCTCTCCCCCCATTCGCAAAAGCAAAAAATAATCTCCTCCTCTCCGCATCCCCCTTCTCACTCTCCAACCACCGCCCAGGGTCAAACCGCTCCGGATCGGGAAATACAACCCCATCCAACTTCTGGACTGAATAAGCCTGACAACTGACCGTGGTCCCCCCTGGGACATAGAACCCGTCGATCGTCCGCCCGCCCGCCGGCACACACCGCGGCAGCGACATGGGAATCGCCGGGAAACACCGCAACCCCTCCATAACCACGGCGTCAAGGTAAGGAAGTTTATCAAAATTCGCCGGGTTCACCACCCCTCCTTGCGAGCCGTTCGACAGCCGTAACTCCTCCTGAAGCTTCCGCTGGAACTGGATCGATCGCGGCTGGGAGAGCTCCCACATCAGGAAACACAGCGCGTCGCCTGTGGTGTCGATCCCCGCGGCCATGTGATCAAGACACTCGGCCGCGATGTCGGTGCTGTCGAGCGGGTAGCCGGGGCTCTGGAGGCGGTTGAGGAGGGTGAAGGGGGCCGGGTCCTGGTGAGCGCAGGTGTCGAGGACGAAGTCGTCGGCGAGGGGCGTTTCGCGGGGTTTGGCGAGGAGGGAGAGGAATGGGTTGATCAGCTTGTAAGCTGTGGGCCAGTAATGTTGGAAGAGCCGGTCTAGGGGGTAGGTGTTAGTGGAAGGTCAAAGTGAGTTCGTTGTGCTTGAGGTTATAAGTCTTACTTTGGAGACTGTCGTCAAAGGTGACTTCCCGCATGATCTCCTCGTCCTTATCCACTAATAACGAATCTGTCCCCTGAGGATGGAACAGGTGGTGTGTGACGCAGTCGAAGGCGTAAGAGTGAAGGCCTAGTAAACATTCTAAGTCAGGGCTGGCATACGAATAACCCCCGTCGTCTGGCACATACATATCTAGCAGTTGTGTCAGCATCTCAGAGGCCATATCATGCGAGACGGATGACCCACGTAAATATCAAGGCTCCCGCCCACAGACTGGATACACCTCTTGACGAAATTCCCCGCTCGCTCTGCAATACCGTCCAAAGATTGCGGCCGGACGATGTTGGTGTTGGCGTAGCGGTCCGCAAGAATTCGCTTTCTCTTTGCATGCTTTTAAAGTGGCCACCATCAAGTCAGACTTGGATCTAACGAGTACCCCAACCTGTGACCTCGCTTCCACAGGGACGGACAACTCACATCATCCTTATTTAAGGTCGTAAACATCGTCCTATCCCAAACAGTCAGCCCATCACCTCAAATTCACCACCACTCCTCCTACCATGCTCCATCCACATATAGAATATCATAAAAAGCCCCCACCACCTACCGTCGTCCATAAATCCGAAACATATCATAAAACCCCGTCTTATCATACCCACTCCCCCCCGAGCAGTAAATCTCCTTCACCGCCGTCCCGGACGCAAACACCACCTCCTCCGGCGCCACACGCACAACAGGCCCATACCGCAGGTGTAAAGCGTGGATGTAGCGCGTGCGGTGCGTCCGGAACTCGTGCCATTTCAGGACTAGGGTGGTGAATTTGCTGTGCCAGGGGCCGGGGATGGCGTTGAGAGGGGAGGTGAGGGCGCGGTGGAGGAAGTGGAGGGTGAGGAGGAAGAGGGCGAGGGGGAGGAGGAGGATGGTGAGGGACATGGTTTTGGATGTTGCGAGGCGGGGGCGGGGGGGGGTAGATAGAGGTTTTCGGAGAGACACGTTAAGTGTATGAGCGGGGCGTGTGGTATGTCTACCCCCCGAACATCACCAAGGTCGGATTGGAAGAGAGTATGATGCTGTTGTTGTTGATAATGATGATGATGTTGTTGTTGAGAAGTGAAGTGAAACTCCGTTTCCGGAGGCTTGGTTATCGGGGCGGAGACAGGCATCGTCCCAATACGAAAGAGACAAACCCGACATTACCCTTTCTCCAATCGGTATCACAGGGATGGCTATGATTGGGGAACCTTACGGAGACCGGCTAGGCCGGAGGGGTAAACCGGCCCGCTCTGCACGGACGGGCTTCTGATCCCGGTATCCGAGCCGGCGCCATACCCGAGGTTTCTGGGAGATTTTTTTTATTTACTCGCATACGATGTAGGAGGGAAGCATTAAAGGGGTTTAATGTCAATATGGCCATACTTTCGAAAGAACCGAAAGACCCTACCAGCCCTGAATTCCTCCCCAAAATACCCCCCCTTCCACATGCACCCTTTAAATAATGCGGTCTACCATGACACGGCGTGTCACCACTTTGCTTGGGGCGGATATTCTTTGCCGTTCACCTCCACCTTGGGCTCGCAGGTGCACCACTCATCCTCGGGGACATCGGTGAATACACTGGGAATGTGGCCGCCGCAGCCGCGCCAGGACTGCTTGTCTTCAAGGTGCGGTTAGGGACAATCATCGTGGTTATTAACAAAAGACCGGGGGTGCTCACTGCAGGTCGAGCAGATCGCGCTCATGCACATGATGACGGTGATGAGTGGCAAGGATTTTGGTGAGTTGTAATGGGGAGCTCGGCAGGGCGATCGGCTGGGAAAGCGTGAGTGGTTTGGTTTTGAACCGTGAATTCTCGAGACCGTAAGAAAACTTCCCGAAATATGGTTTCGATCAGTTCGTTTTACGATTTTCAGAAAACGGCGAGGTCGGCAACTTGTCGATGAATTAGTTATCGTCGAGACGTCTGCCCCACCATCGCAGGCGATAGCGATAGCGGGGTTGGTGGGGTCGGCTTTTGTGTATTTTTCAGTTCCGATTACAAAAAACGGTAAAATACCAACCACTATCAACCCATCCTTATACTCGTGTATAAAGCCCTACGAGTATCTTCTAAATAAAAATCATTAAATATACGGAATCACAGGGGGCCAATGTACTAGAAAAGGTACAAGTAAAACAGCGTGTTAATTGGATTGAAGTCGAAGCTGATCCAATTTATTGCCAAGCGATTTTTGATATTTACAATAGTGTCATCTTTCTTCATTTTATTCCTCTCTCGTTTCTCGACGGACAATAGGGCTTAGAATATTACAACAGCTTTGATTTCTCTTGCTCTCACGCGTCATTCCATTTACCTTTCATTCCACTTACATGTGTGGAGATCGACCCAACATCTGCCCCGCAGCACAACATCTGAGCTCAAGAAACCTGCAGATGCAGCCACCCCATCGAAGCTGACCAGCAAGCACCTCAACGACCAAATCACTCCCTCTCCTCCCACAACTCACTTCACCTTCACGAAACACCTCTCAAAACAACCACCCACAAAATGTCCCTCCCACCACCCTTCATCGTCACAGTCCACAACTACCACCCCTCCACAACCCCCAACAACACCAACACCAATCCCGTCCAAACCTACGAATACATCTTTCCCTCCACCAACCCCACCAACCCCAACCCGCCCGTGACCCCAACCCCGCAAAACGCCCTCATATTCATCGGCGGCCTCGGCGACGGGCCCCATACCATCCCCTACATCCGGCAAATCGCCAAACACCTGTCCGCCACAGCCAGCGGGTGGACTGTTTTTGAGGCACGGCTGTCTAGCGTGTTTACGGGGTTTGGGTACGGCTCGTTAGAGAGGGATGCGAGGGAGTTGAGGGATTTGGTTAGGTATTTGCGTCGGGGTCGGGGGGATGGGCAGGCCGGGTTTGGGAAGGTGGTGTTGATGGGACATAGTACGGGGTGTCAGGATTGTTTGGAGTATGCGAAAGGTGTTGTTGAGACAGTTGGGGAGGGGGAAAGGGGGGAGGTTAGGGTGGATGGGTATATCTTGCAGGGACCGGTGTCGGATCGGGAAGCGATTGGGATGACGGAGGATGCTGGGGAGGTGGAGAGTGCGGTGCTGCGGGCGGTGGAGATGGTGAGAGGGGGTAAGGGGGAGGAGGTGATGGAGAAGGGCTTGTTGCCGGGCGGGTGGAGGAATAACCCGATCACGGCGTACCGGTGGGCATCGCTGGCGGGGGTTGGGTGAGTTTTTTTCTCTTCCGGTTGTTTTACAGTCGTGGTTTTGAGAGTGAGGATGGGATTGGTTGCTGATGATGGGCACAGCGGTGATGATGATTACTTCTCCTCCGATTTGTCCGACGAGAAACTGGCCGCCATCTGGGGGAAGCTAGAGCAGCCGGTGCTGATTGTGCCGTCGGAGAAGGACGAGTGGGTGTCAGGGGAGATCGATGTCATGGGCCAGGTCACGAAATGGAAGGGGTTCTGCAAGCCGGGCATCGCGAGCGACCTTAGCGGACTCATTCCAGGGGCAAACCACCGGGTGGATAATGCTGAGGGCCAGGAGTGGCTGTCTGATCGGGTTGCTCGGTTTTTGGCCGCCCTGGAGAAGAGAGAGTAAAGAGACAAGATCGTCAATGGCCAGGGGGTTGGGTCGTGGTTGGTATCGTGGCACGAGTACTGTATGTTACCGATTTGTGAAATCGGAAATGAAGAATACGGTAAAGCAGACCCCACCAACCCCGCTGTCGTTATCGCTCGCGATGGTGGGGCAGCTTTCTCCAACTGTGAAGCAAACTGATCGAAACCATATTTTGGTTGTGAAGCAGGCAACGTAAAACCCGGCTAAAATTACCCAAAATCCAAAATGTAAACCAACCCACCGGGATTTATTAAGTTACATGGTATTCATTGGCTTCTACTTACCGTGACTATCCATACTATTATCGGCCGACTAATCGATAACAATAGCACGAAGTTCGACGCTAGCACGCTGGGGTGTATCCCGTGGGACGGTTGGGTCGATGAAAGCCGAGTGAGGGCAAACTTAAAGCGTCTCAGGGATCAGCAGCAGCTCACGAAGCGCGCAGACTCTGGCTCAAACTTACATCTTGACACGTCGCTCGAGCTGTCGTAAAGCTTGAACATGAGGGCGTCGTCGGAGGTCATGCGCTGCTTGTAAAACCAGCGATGAAGCGGGCTGTAGCGCACCTCATAACCTTCGTCGCAGTAGTGTGGAAACACAATGTCGGCCGGGATCAGATCGTCCTGGACGAGGCTGCGGTTGTCAAGAACGGCAAGAGGCTGGTCTTGATGGGGGCCCGTGAGGGCTCGCCAGAGGCTGAGACGAGAGAGATGGGTTAGCCGAGAAGTACTTGGCACAGTGGGTAGCCGTGTTGAGAAGTGGGCTCTTTGCCGGCTCAGCTTACCCAACCATTCTCCAACGGCCCTTTTTGATCTGATTCGCATCATGGGGGAGGTGCAAGTCTAAGCGGCGAAGGCCCGAGTTGAGAGAGACGTCTGAGAAGGTAAGGCAGGTTAGCTGACGATGTGAGAACTCACTTACCTGTGTGCGGACTGACTGGACTGAAGATAGGAAGCATACCACAGTGAGCGCGCATGAAGGGGCCGACCCAATGCTCGGTCGATGTCCTTTCTCGGTTGTCACACCGGAACTTGAGGCGAAGACGTCAGACTGCGGAGACGTTCCCCCCTGATGAGGCACCTCTGGCCACAAGCTTACTTACTGTGTAGGCGTAGATATGAACCCTCTGCGCGCCAAAGAAGCCCTTCAACCAGGTTTCCATCTCTGGGAGGTAGTGGCTCTCGACGGCCTCCTTTGTCCAGTCTCTGATCACGGTTGGGACGCGAAGGTACTGAAAACCAGAGATGTCAAGGGTAAACTCGTCCTCATGATCAGACAGATCGTGTATTCGGATGCCCGAGTAGCCCTGACCGGTGATGTTGCTACGCCGGATCTCGCCCAGGAAGGGCAGCCGCGTGTGGAACGGCTTCGAAACGTCGTAGAGGCTATCGTCGGACAGGTAGTTTAGCTGCTGAGGGGCGACAAACGGAAGACCGAGAGCGGCAATCTCGGCGTCTAGTCTTTGCGTGCGTAGCTCGCGGTCGGTGTTGGTGTCGGTATCGCGTGACGGCCGAGGCCTTGAGGCTCCAAGCCGCTGGGAAGGGGCGGGAGTGGTCTCGCTCGTGGGCATAGAGCAGCCGCCACTCGCATTGCCGGGACTCAACACTCGAGAGACGCAGGGCTTCCCCGCGGATATTGCTGCTTTAACCCACGTCTGCCAGGGTCGATCAAAGGGTCTCGTGGGATTGAACCGCCAGCTCAAGGCCTCAGGTGCGGTCTGCTGCAACAAGAGATAAACTTCACTGCCCACCTGGGGGGGCCAGTATGACATCCATGGTCGGGCCAGGGCCTTGCTCGCGGGGCCATGTTCGTCCTCCTCTCCCACGCTGTCCAGGAAGGGAACTGACAGCCTTGACCGTATCGTTGCTGACATGGTAACTGACATTGTAACAACTTAGAAGACAGCCCCAGTGTTGAACCCTTTCGTTACTCGGAAGAGTTGCTCGGAAGAGCGATCAGAAGCTACGAACAAATGATGCAGAATCTTGGTCTCGGGAAGAGAGCGGGAAGAGCTGCAGGCACTCGCGGTCTTCTTGGGTACCAGCTATCAAAGCCCAGTCCGCACAGATGGCCTCCATCCTACTCGAAAGATAGATTCATGTCAGCATACTAACTACTTACCTATGTACTGTATACCTGGGGCGGCAGGTTGCGGCCCAACCCGTGGGGGGTTTGGTCATGGCGGACGAAGCAGATGAGGCAGATGACAGTTTGGGCTCCAATTGAGCCGCAAAGAGTGGCATGCTGTTGGGATGCAAAGGGATGGTGGATGGTTCATGTACATGTAGGACCATCCCGCCCAACCACATCGCGCGCCGTCCCACCCACTCCAGCTGCCAGTCTTGTCACACAGCCTTGTACTGTACGAGGGTAGCAAGGCAAGATGTTGCGCAATGGTCCATTTTGGGGACCGGGACACTTTCCCGACCTGCTCAAGTTGCCCGGTGCGGGAGAGCTTCTCGCTTTCAGAGCCGCAGGTAATCAAGGCTATGTGATTATGGGAACTGGAAATAAGGCGCTCAAAAGCCACAAGGCGTCTAGGCTTCGAGAACCGCAGCAGTGGACAATGTCCGGCTGGCGCAGCGGCGGAAGGTATGTTTAAAAGGCTGCGACCGCACATGTCACTCATATCACTCCACTCACCAGGATCATATTATTCTTACAGCGGTTACAGGATCCAGGTTGTCTTGACTTGACACTTGAGATGTTGGCCCAGCGCCCCAGCTATGCCCCCCTGAGACCGCCCGGACTTCCCCGATATCAAGGCCACGACTCCACGACAGACAAACAGAAGCGATGAGCTCCAAGGCCAAAGGGCAACTGGGCCGGACCTTCTCGTCCAACGCCCCGACTCTCGTCGGCGGGGCCGTGCCGTCTCCGCCCACGTCCCCGTCTTCTAAGTCCCCGTCTAAGTCCCCGTCCGCTGCCGCCGGTCCCAGGGAGAGGAAACAGGTGCTGGACATTGACATTTACGCCGCCGCCCTGGTTCAGCTCCGCCAGAAGATCCCCAGCGCCGTGTCTCAGGCCGAGTTCGACGCATTTGTCGCCGTCGGAGGCTCGTCGTCGTCGTCGTGCAACACCGACACCCAGGCCCGCGACCTGCTCGAGTCGATCCGGACCGACGCCAAATACCACAGCAGATTCCACAAGTTCTTTGATGTCATCCACACCCTCCTGGAACCCCTCCGGCTTTTAAAGAGCGCCCTCGACACTCTGTGCCAGGTCGAGCCGGTGGCCTGCCTAGTTTGGGGGTCTGTGAAGCTGCTCATCGAGGTGAGGAACATGAACCGTCTAACCTGTTCAAACCTGCAGCCAGCCGAAAGTGCATCTCAAGAGTTTGCCGTCTAACAACCGTGCTTTTATCGTGCTGCAACGATAATTAGATTGTAAAGGAGGTGTCACAAGTGCCAGCTGTGGTCAGTCAAGGCATCGCACACTTGGTTGGCTATTTCCCCGCATGCCAGCAGTACCACAAATGTCTCCTCATTCCGACCGGCGAGGGGCTTCCTCTTCGCACGCCCCTGGTCAACATTTATGTTGAGTACCTTACCTTCTGCATCCTCGCCCGGAGGCTGGCGAAATCCAATCTTGGTAAGTCCATGACTCTATATGGAACTTAGCTTCGATTGGGATCGGGAGAGTGACGTTTCTGCTACCTACCTAGGTACCTAGCTAGGTACCTGACGTCAAAAACCACCGGCAGGCACTGTAACTAACCCCCATTGATAGTTACCACGGTTAAAGCGATATCCGTCGAGCAGAGCCCGTTCCACCAATGCCTTTCTTCCGTCAAGGCCGAAAGTGACCGGGTTCAGGACATCACGTCAGCCTTGACATTGAGAGGTGTCTTTGGTGAGCAGCATACCGTGTTGCCGGAGCCCCAGCAATGACACACTGTCTGCCATGCTATGCAGTTGGGCAGTTGGTTCTCAGCGCCAGACCAAGCGGATGTGGCAGCGAAGCAATGTTCATCCTTCCCTCGCTCCTGCCTTACGAGTTCTCCGTGGCTCGCTCTTGCCTTCCAAGTTTTCCATTACTCGCGCCTTCCGCTTTCATATGAGTAGTGCAAGCAGTGATCGATTCTAACGCTGAGTGAAGGAGCCAACGAAAAGCTAGACGTCATCATACAACGGCTTACGTCGTCATCCACCATGAGCTCGATCACCAGCTCCTCGAGTACCCTAGAAACGCCATGCCACATGGTGCCCGGTCTGCTGTCCGAAGCCTTCGTCGGCAGAGGGCGCGAAATCGGGTGGCTGCGGGGCAAGCTACAGCCGGAGGAGGAGGAGCACCTAGGCGTAAAGGTGGGAATACACGGCATGACGGGCATTGGGAAGACACAACTGGCAAGTCAAACCCGCCCCTGTGACCCCTATTTGTGGTCTGAATGAGATACATACAAATGTGCATACAAGTACTGACTACTGAATCTCACCTTGACGGCCGCCGCAGCTGCTCAAGTATGAAGCATTATACCGAAAAAGCTACGTGACACAGCTCTTCCTCTTCGCACCATCCAAAAAGAGGTTCTTGGACTCGGTCCAGGAGGTCCTGGAGACTCTGGAGCTGCCGCAGCGAGAGAGACCAGACCCAAGGGCCAAGATACTTGGGCTGCACAACTGGCTGCTGCAGTCACGCAACTGGCTTCTTCTGATCGACAACATCGCCCCTGAGTCGGTCGACTTGATCCTACAGCTTCTAGCCTCGGCAGCCCCAGGGCATGTCATCCTCACCTCACAGGTCCGCGGGGCCGTCGAGAGGATCACCGGATCGCCCAAACTGTGCCTGTCGCTCCAGGAACCCCCACTTGACGAGGCGGTGGAGATGTTCCTCAACACCGCAGGCGTCGCCCCGAGCCAGGAGAGCAAGCAAGCCGAGGCCGACATCGTGCGAGCGCTCGGCCTCCTACCGCACGCAATCGAACAAGCGGCGTCGTACACCAAAGTCAACGGGCTTACTCCACGAGCCTTTTTAGAAAGATATCAAAAAACACCAGATAGGGTATGTGTGGGAAGTTGCTTCTCTACCAGACTGTCACCGGCCAAAGGATGATGACATGTGTTAACGCATCCGCAGATCCTCGACTGGGACGACGACGACGACGATGACACCTGGAAATCATTGCCTAGCGATGACACACGGCGCCGTGCCATTTCCCGTCATTTCAGACTCATCTTCGGCTCGCTTGAGAAATCAAACCCCGACGCCCTGGCCGTTCTCAGGTTCTTCTCCCTGCTTGAGGCCGAGTCCATCCCGCTGTACGAGGAATGGCGCCGCGCCGATTGGTCCCCGGGATTTGCAAAGGAAAAAGCAGAACAACCACAGCAGCTGTCGGACCTGTCCAGAACCCCGACACTGACAACCCCCCGCAAAGTAAAGACGCGCAGCCCAGGATGTCTCAGCGTCTTGACCTCCTGCTTCCGGCCCACCCCAAAGGCCTTCAAGATTGACGATGGCGATGAGTCCTTGAGTGAGAAGGGGCCTCCCACCCCTAGCCGCCACCAGAGCGAGCTGCTCCCGGAAATCTTCTCTGATCAGGTCCGGCGCGAGCGAGCGATCGCCAAACTTTGCGACTTGAGCCTGGTGAGGCGGCTTCCTGGTCAGCGACTCCTCTGGATGCATGATCTGACGAAAAAAACAACACGCGCCATGATTCCGCCCAACGACATCAAGATATGGGTCGACGGTGTGTTAAACGTTGTGTACCATATGATGCCGGTCGAGGACAGCACCGCCGAGGAGCGTGGGTGGGTCGATACCTGTCTCCCGTCCGCCATGGGTCTGGTGCGTCAAGTCGAGGCGCTGGGGTTCGAGACGAGCGAGTATGCGTGCTTTCTCGCGCTCTGCGCGCACTGTAATCTACGACACGATGCCTGGGGGGTTTCGAAGAAGCAATTTGAGGCCGCACTCCCGGTATATGAGAAGTACCTTGGCCTGGAGCATCGCAGAACGCTCACCCTGATGCACCAGCACGCCTGGGCGGTGAGAAACGACGGCAAGGCAAGCGCCGCTGAAGCCATCTTTCGCAAGACGTGGGAGCTGCGAAGTCGAGCCCTCGGCCCCAATGCGCCTGAGACGCTCGCAGCGCTTAATGACTTGGCGTCCATGATTGAACGAGCCGGGAGGCTCAAGGAGGCCGAGGCCATGTTTAAAACTCTGTACGAGGGATACCGGGATTCTGCGGGGCCGCAAAGCCAAGAGACGCTGGCGGCCGGCCACAACTACGCCGTCTGCTTCCACAACCAGGGCCGCCTCCGCGAGGCGGGTGCCGTGTACCGCTCCGTCCTCGACATCTCTACCACCAAGGGGCTGGGACTCCACGACGAGGGCACGCTCAAGACCATGGCTAACTACGCAGCGACACTGGACCATGACGGCCGCAGCGACGAAGCAAGTGCCATGTACCACCGGGCGTTGAGCGGATACAAGGATGCCCTGGGCTTCGACCACGTCCTCACGTTACGGCTGCGCGTCAACCTGGCGAGTCTTCTCAAGCAGCAGGGCCGCTTCGGCGAAGCCGAGATCATGCTCGGCAAGTGCCTTGAGAAGGCGATACCTCTGTGGGGACCCGAAGGCATCGAGACAATGGCTTATCTGTATGACATGGGCGAGGTGTGGCAGGCCAAGGGGGATCTCCCCAAGGCGCGTGACGTGTTCAAGAAGCTGGCCGAAGAGCTCTCAGGGGAGATGATAGGCCATCCACTCCGACCCCGCTGGGTTGACTCATGGGCTACTGCGGAGCGGGAGATGGGCCATCTCACACTGGCGCTGGAGAAGTCCAGGGAAGCTTATGACCTCTTCGAGACACTGCTAGGGTGGTACGATCCATATACCCTCGTCGCGGCCAACGACTACGCCGAAGTCCTCCAGGCCGTGGGGCAGTACCCTCAAGCGTGGGGCCTGTACGTCCGGTGTTGTGACTCGTTCGAGACGTTGGTGGGAAAGGACCACCCGCACTACGCCATGACTCTCAATAACCTTGGAAGATGCTGCTGGGCCCTCAACAACAAACAGCAGGCAGAGCAGCAAGCAGAAGCCGAAAGCTTCTTTCTCGAGGCCCGCGAGGTTCTGAAAGCCCGCGTCGGCGCCACCCACTTTTGCACGCTGACGGTCTCTCTCAACCTTGCGCGTGCAAAGTCGGCTGCCGGAGATGTCCAGGGGGCCATCGCCCTAGCCCAGGAGACACGCGATGCACTGGAGGAGACGGTCGGACGGAGCCACCCGCTCGTCTCGGCTGCCCACCTGGTGCTCGGCGTCCTCGTTGCGTCGCGCGGTGACGACCGGGCGTCGCTCTTGGCCGCGGCGGACCATCTCCACGCCGCTGTGGCCACGGCACGGGACGCGCAATACATCACCAGCGCCAACTACTACATGAGCGTCTCCCTCTTGGTCCTGCTACTTCGACGGACCAAGAGCGATGTGTCCGCGGTCGCACCGCTGCTGGAGGAACTCCGTGCGCCCGGTGCTGGGGAGCTGTCCCCGTTTGATATCCCACATGTGGGACGATTCACTGCCGTCCAGCTGGCCGAGCTCGATCCGCCTGAGTCGTTTAACTTTAGGGCCTACATCCCGCTTTTTACTGGCGAGACTATGAAGTTGAGATGGGGGAGGAAGACGTGCTGGCGAGAGGCGGGCAAAACAACGCTGAACTGCTGAGGTTTCAGCAATATTAACGTTGACGCGAGGTGATGAGTGGACGAGATGATTATGACACACATGCAACGTCCGGTACTTGGTACCGGAGAAAGTTAGTGGCTAACGGTGGGTACGTGGCTCAAAGAGAATGTGTCATTTATCGAGTAATTTCGTTCCTTCGTTACAAACTTTTAATTTACTTCACCGATCGGCTACCCACGTACTATTATTGCATCCTTTCTAGTCTCTCTAGCTCCGAATCAACCATCTCTGCCACGAGAGTCTAGCAAAGTAAAGCTCGATTAGTCTCCGGTGCAGAATACAAAGACGGACGGACACGTTGCTAGTAACGAGTAAGTAACGAGCTGCTCACCTCAAAGGGAGTGGTCGGCTCCCACCCAAGCACCTCCCGTGCGAGTGTGCTGTCCCCAAGCAGACAAGGCACTTCAACCGCCCTTTCCAAGGACGGGTCGATCTGCAACACCTTCCGGCCGGTGTTCGCGTCCACCGCGCCAGTGACCTTCATGTCTGGACCGTACACCCAGCTGGAGAGCAATTTTCCCCAGTTCCCCACGCGTTAGCAATCAGTAGTATCTCCCATATCTTGCTTGCTACGGCAGAAGTGGCAGACACAAAACCCAAAGCCAAAAAGAAAAAAAAAGAAAAAAAGAGAAAGAAGAGAAAGAAGAAAAAAAAAACAGAAAACAGAAAACAAACTCGACATACCGCAACGTAACGCCCACCCGCCCAAACGCAGCCTCAACAAACCCCCCCACAGTCCGCTGCTGCCCCGTCGCAATAAGCATGTCCCATGGCGGCGGCGAGTCCTGCTGGAGCATCATCCAGATGGCGCGCACGTAGTCGCGCGCGTGGCCCCAGTCGCGTGCCATGTTGATGCCTGCGAGTGTGAGGGGGGGCGGGTTTGAGGAGGAGGGGGGGTTTGGGGGGTTGAGGTTGAGGGCGTAGCTAGCGGCCGCGCGAGCGATGCGCATGGTTACGAATCCGCTTCCTGGTGGGAGGTGTGTTGTGTTGCCTATCGTCAATTCTGTTATGGGGATTATGGGGATGGAAAGAGAGAAGGAAAGGAGGCTATGGAGGAAGGAAATTACCTAGGTAGGTAGGTCAGGTCAGGTATATGTACCTCGGCATTAGGTAGGTAGGGACTCGGGAAAATAGAGACAGACAAACCTCGCCGTGAGGACTCGTGGTTAAAGAGAATGCCATTGACCGCCCACAGGCCGTGTGCCTCGCGGTAGTTGCGCACCAGCCAGTACGCTGCTAGCTTGGAGATGGCATACGGCGATTTCGGCTCGAAGGGGGAGTCCTCGGTGAGCATGGTGTTGGGGGTCGTGGTGCCGCCGAAGAGTTCGGATGTTGCGGCCTGTTTGTTGTGTTGAGGATTCCCACGTCAGTGACTCGCTCGGTGGCTGTTACTACTACTACTACTACTAATACTACTACAACCTAAGACAGGCATATGGCGGTTATGTGAGGATACCCACGTTGTAGATCCGCGTTTTGCTTTGTAGGCCGCAAACCACGACCGCTTGCAGGAGATTCAGCGTGCCTGTGGTGTTGACTTGGAAAGTGTGGTCTGGTGTTGTGAAAGACTGGGTGACGTGGGACTGGGCGGCGAGGTGGTAGATCTCGTGAGGTTGGATGGTGCGGAGCAGTTGGATCAGGATAAAAGGGTCGGTGATGTCGCCCTTATGGATGGTGATTTTGGACTGGATGGATCTTGAGATGTTGAGAGGTTTAGCCAACTTACATCTCTAAAGTTAGGTAGGTACCGAGGTACAGTAGGAAGTAAGGTACTTATGTAAACAAACCAACTCTTTACTCTTACCAAAGAGCCCCTGAAATGGCCCTGAAATGAGAACCCGCAACACTGTGAAAAAGGTTTGACACACACCTAAGGTTCTTCATGTTGACGCCCTCTTGTGACGCGTTCCGCCGCGCTAGCCCATGGACTCTGTAACCTTTCTCCAGAAGCAGTTCGGCAAGGTATGATCCATCCTGTCCTGTGATGCCTAAACATTGGCGGCAAACTCAACCGTCAACATCCCCAATATTGCATCCTGAAAAGGCAACTTTTCAAGAATTAAACTGGAAAACGCTCGATCAACCTACCCGTGATTAGCGCAGTTTTCGGCACATCGCTAGCAGAATCCTCGCTTTTTAGCATTTCGCTCATTTTTCTTTTCGATAGCTAGGTGAACTCGCTCTGGGCGACTCGCGGAGGTCTGACTTATAACCAGAAAATATTGTTTTAACACAGCACTCGAATCAACCTCCGGAAGCCTATGGACCATGGCCTCGGGCAAGGCTCTGATCGGCGTCTAACCAAGCTGTGGAGTCGACTCGTTGCATAATTGCCCGACCGAGTGAGGAACTGTGGTGTGTGGACGCGTGGGGGTTTGGGAGGGTCGAATATGGACAACAACTCGGTTGGGTTGGTTACACTGCAGTGGCGCCTGACATGCTGAAATGCAGCCTGCCTTCTTTTATCCTGTATACCTATACGGATGTGCCAACTGCACATGTGGTCGACGGCCCAAAGCCAAAGGGAGCAAAGAGCCTCATCTTTCAAGACCGGTCAGGCTCCAGCGGCCATCCCTCGTCGTGTCCCCTATGGCCATGCTCAGCGAATGTCCTCTCCCAGATCGCAGCCATTGGCGCAGGCGGTATCCCAGCACGTTGTTCGTCCTGCAGCCACAACCGGAGCATATACCTCTTCCTCTCCAACCCCTCTGGGCGCTCTTCTTCCCCTGGTCGTCGTAGGCCACAGCCATCCAAAAAAGCCTCGCGCCCGTGCAGCACCCGCCTGTTGTTGAAGAACAGCACGTCCCCCGCAGCGTACTGGATGCTGCAAGCCGCGTCTCGCGCAGCGAAATGCACCGCATCGAGCGCTGCGTTCTGCGCCATGGTGAGGCACCCAGAGCGGACGAGAGACCCGCGACTGAATAGCATCTCGGGTGCGCCCGAGACCGCGCCGAGAAACAGTACTGGGCGTCGGCGGTGGGTGACGTCCTCGGGGCCGCCCGCGCCACCGGCCTTGACGAATGGCCAGTCTGGAGCGGCTAGCTCGCGGAGAAAGTCAGGGCGGCGGGCGGCGAGTGTGCTATAGACTGTTGCGACGGGACTGAAGGTGCCGTGTCCGCCGGAGAGGGAGGGCTGGACGACAAACATGGCGACGATATCGGCAGCCGGATCGGTATGGAAGGGCTTTTTTTTTGGCACGATGGTTAGCGGGGGTAGTTGTACAAGTTGAAAGGGAAGAAGAGCCTTTCCGTCTGGCCTTGCTTACTAGTGGGCTGTTCCGATACGGGGCTGGTAACACGGCGCCCCTAACTCCAAGCTCGGAGAGGTCTGTGATATGCACTGATGGGGAGACCCATCGCCAATCGTCAGCAGCCAACGCAGTAGGTATACTGGACATAAGTAAGCACCTCTTACTTACCGATCATCTTGCCGCCGGATTGCCTTCCGCGCCGCTGTGAGATGTGGCTGGCAAGCCCGGCAAACACTGCAAACATGTCCCTCATGGACAGCGACGAGGTGTCGAGTCCGCGAAGAACCGCCATCCCGAGGCCTTCGTGCAGGTTCTTCCGTGTTGCCGCGAGACGGTCCGCGAGTAGCGGCAGCGGGAAGGATGAGGCGTCCAGGTCATTTAGTGACTTTCCAGACTCTGGGGAGAACATAGTGATCGAGGTTAGTTAGTGAGTGTATGGACCTCGCGGAGAGAGGCAGAACTGCAAGGAGGGTAACGGGTTACGAGACCAGTAAACGTTGCGCATGCGGTCATGATCTCTCTCTGTTCATCGTCGGAGAGACACGTAATATACTCGTTGTCGTCAACCTGAAGGTCATCGGCTTTCCATGCCATCACGGGTGCACTAGATGGCCAAGGGGTTGGAAGCGCGGAAGTCGTTGATGACAACAATCCCTCTGGTACCGGATGCCGCTTGCAGTATTCCTCCAGAAAGTCCAACTGTGGCTCATATTGCGGGGTGAAGGTGCTGCTGTCTGCGGCGGATGCCATGAATGCCAAAGGTGATTCTTATCCGTGAAAGTGCTAGTGTCGTCGAGTGTATGGCCTTCAGGCTTCGACTGCTTCGGATGTTAAACGTTCGGTGTTCAGCGCATTCCCTCGGTGTGACTATACAGTGACGGTTCAATAAATACCAGGTAGGTAAGAACTAATGCATCGGTCTCGCGTGCCACTGCTTGAAGTACCTTAAGTGACTTAATCCGTTGGCCCTTTACGTGCTTCGGCACGCACCAACCTTAGTTACCTACCTTACATTGGTACCTAAGGCAGATACATAGTCACAGTAACCTACCTACCTTATGCTTTTATCAGGCATCCAACTGCAAACCGAACTGCCACATTGGATCATCTACGTCCCGGAAGCTGTCCGTTTCTAATTACGCCAACACCGACTTTTGTTGTCTTGAATTTTTATTAGCCTCGCTCACCAGATGCACATACACACCTCAAATTCACAAATATGTCAGCGCCATCTCGAACCAAAACTACTACTGAGTCCATTGTGATCGATGGTACGGCGTACGAGGGCGGTGGAGGGTTAATTCGGTACGCCCTTGCCTTCTCCAGCATCCTCAACCGGCCAGTCCACATCCATTCCATTCGTGCCGGCCGGCCTGGGGTTGGAGGACTTCGATCTGAACACACCGTAGCGGTGAGCACGATGGCGCAACTCACCTCGGCGGTCGTGATCGGGAATCATACAGCCAGTCGCGAACTCACATTTACGCCGTATGCCTGCTTAGACGCGGACGTGGACGTGGAAGCGGACGCGCTGAGCCCCCGACCTGTCTTGCAGCAGCAAAAGTTAGACGTCACACTAGAAGGGTCAGCCGGCATTTTCCTCGTCGCTATGCTGCCCTACCTTCTGTTCTCCCGCCTAGCATGCAAAACCCATCACATCTCCACCACCACCACGCCGGACGAATTCGAGCTCACGATCCGAGCAGGCACGCTCTGCGTCAAGGCCCCTTCCATCTTCTACCTCCGGCAGGTCTTCCTCCCGACCATGGAACTGATCGGTATCGGAAGCAACCACCTGAGCATCGTGCCGGACCACGAGCAGGGCTGGCACACCGACACCAACAAGCTGCGCGGCAAGATGACGGCGCGCATCAAGCCCTTACTCACCCCTCTCCCGGCATCTGTGCTCGACCGCCGGGGCCGTGTGCAAACCGTCCGCGCTACCGCTCACGCACCGCCGCAGCTCCTCGACAAGTTTAAAGAAACGCTGGAAACGGAGTTGGCCGATGCCATCGCGCGGGATGCTGGGGTTGATATCGCGGTGGACATGTTTCCGTCCCTCATCGACCATCAGTACCACCTGCTCCTGGCCGCGGAAGCGACGGCGCCCGCCGCGTTTCTTGGCTATGAGGAGGTGTATCCGCAACGCGATGTGTTCCCCTCGGATCTGGAGGGGGACACCGACAAGATCATTCGTTACCTCGTACGGGCTTGTATTCGAGGACTTTGGGAGGAGCTACGGCGGGGACATGCCATGGACGAGAACTTGGAGGACATGCTAGCTCTGTATCAGAGTCTTGCGGTGGGGTTTTCGTCTGTTATAACCCCCCAGGGCGATGGTTGTTCGGTCCCGGAGTTTAATATTGAGACGCCAGCTCTTCGTACGTTACCGGCCTCCCATCCCCCTTTACATGCATATGTATTTTGCCTGGTTTACTGTGTTACTGTGTACATGAATACGGAAGCAAAGAGGAGACTCTTACTGACAAGGTGTTGCGGGGCAAACGTTCAGGGGACATCAACTACAAGATAGATACAGGCTCGATGCACCGCGAAACCAGTTGGTGGATGGTACGCCAGTTCACTGGCATCCAACTCGGGATGGCCCAAGTGGGAGGGAGTGAGCGCGTGGGGTGCCATGGGATCGGCTTCGGCACGGAGGACGAGGCTGGACGCATTACTGCCTGACAACGCCAAAGCCTTAGGTAGCTAATGCGAAAAGCCGGTTTACCGGAGTCTGCTTCCCACACCACCACGCGATGGCGAGCTTGCTTAGGGGGGTGGTAGGCCCCGCACAAGGCTTCACGAAAGGAGGTTGCTAATTGGTTAGGTTGGGCGCCCAAAACGACGTAGATGGGGGACGGAACGGTTCACCGGCTTCACCCCGCGCTTTGCCGACGGACGAGTTACGGGTGGCAGTTTAAACGCAGGTGTACTGAAGCACTCCTTTGAGGATTTGTCTTGGGAGTTAACCACTCGAAGGGGGACCATGGCCTGCGGGTCTGGTCAGCAAATGTCCATATATTGATCGGGGCCTGATGTGGGAGGCCAGTAGTTGTCCACCAACCTGCATCCGTACCGTACTGCTGCCCATCGTTACCTAAGGTAGGTAGTCACTCAATTTTGCCCCGCGGATGGATCCCGGAAAGTCTCGACGCTGGTGGCTGCCAGGACCGCCACCTCCCAGGCGCCTCATCTCTCTGCACGACGTAGAGGAATCGTACCGCCTAGAGGGCATACCCGAGCTGGCCGTGCCCGTTCGGTCCTTGGAACTTCGGGGGGGCCTCCAGCTACGCACGGCGGGGAGTCCACTAGCACCATATATCGACCAACTCGACAGGCCCGTGACAGACGCACAAGGAGGCCCTCCGGTAGCGACTCCGGTAGCGACTCCGGTAGCGACTCCGGTAGCGACTCCGGTAGCGACGCCGCCCTACCTTTTCCACGGGTGTGGGGAGCCTGTCAGCCCCGAAGTCATCCGTTCGTTCGCCCGCTGGGGCCCGTCGATTCGATTCTCGCGGTCCAGTAGTTACTTCTCGCCCAGGCCCGCCGTATACTGGACCAACTCGATCGAGTTTGCTATTGCATGGAGCTTTTTCGCAAGAACTGGGAGCTGGGGGTTAGACGGTGACCAACCCGACCGAGATGATGGGCAGCCGTTCGAGTGCTTGATCTTTGTGTCAAAACTGGATCCTGGCACAGCGGGATTCGACGGCGGCTTGCATATGATTCCGAGGCCGCAAACGGTGGAGGAGGAGGAAGAGCTGGCCCAGGCAAGTCTTGTTTTCTCCATGGGGTGGCGGGGGTCCCTTTGTGCTCATTGCTGACATCTGGCGGTTATCTGGCGGTCGCTGTACGTGCTGTTAGTGGTGTGAAAAAAACATGAACAAGGGCGGTTTAGGGCATATGCAACCCGCACCGCCGCCCAAGTCACACAGGGCGGACTGGGGAGTTGTTGGCTCCAGAATTCCCCGGGTGAGTACAATGTATGCCGCATAACGTGGTCGTTGAGCTGAATCTGCTGGAACAGTGACAGACCGCTGAGTCCCAGTCCACTGACATTCGCGCACGTAGTCCACCATGCAGTCTCTGGCGATGCTCCGCGAGAAAACGGATAGGATCTGGCTGTTTGCGGCCTGCAATGAAGCCAGCAGCCGGACCATTGCAGAAGCTGGCGTCGAGGTACGTGCGGACGGCAGTTCAGAGATCCCCCCACTTGGCACCTGTTTCACGTTGTGGCAGCCTGTCGGCCTCGTTCCCTTCACCGTCAACTGGACGGGAGCTTTGAGTCTCAGGTCAAGTCTCAACCAGCTGTCAATCGCTGTTACCTAGCCTGTTGTTACTGGTCAGGAGCGCTAATGCGACCACGCACTCGACATTAGATCTTGCACATTACCGTTCAGTTTACGACAGCCAGGAAATCGACATCGGAGTTGTCCAAGCTGTAGGTTAAACAGGCCGGACCAGGTTTACAGACTATTCGTCATGGGTGGTCGTTCGGTGGTTGGTTGGCCCGGGGGACTGGCAAGGCTGCCCAGTGGTGGCGGTGGTGGTGTGGTGGGCCCAGCTTGCCCGGCTATCCCACTTCCGTCCGAGTGGGGCGACAGTCACGGCGCAGAACGCCCGCGGCGAGGGTTCAGGTTTGGGCCAGGGTGTTGGACCCCTGTCCCCACTTTCCCGTGGACCGCGGAAGAATTGAGCATGTACTATGGGCATTGCCTAATAGGTACTTACACGAGCTAAGGTGAGGGAAAATACACTCTGGGTGTGTGGGTAGTGTAATGGACGTCTGAGCATGGATGCTCGGCCGACTCCGACTTAGTGTGCCTCGTTAACAAGCCTCCATAATTTGTGAAGTTACACCCGCCCAATCTCCCCCGGATCCCGAGGGATCACTAATTGCTGATTAGGATGTCTCCCGGGTCTCGTCCCGGGCGGTTGATTCTGTTGGGGAAGGAGGCATGTTGGAGCAAACCAAGTTCGAACAAACAACAACCAACCTCATCTTCTCCATCCAAGCCAGCAACACCGCGTCCGCCGGCTTCCATGTTTACACATGCATGTCGGGTTTCCGCTCGTGTCCCCTACTCAGCAACACAGTGGCTCTAGTTTCAACGGCCCTTATTCTTCTCGCCTGCGAAGGTCCTCGCCAAAGGCCCTCCTGGCAAGCGCCGCGCTTCTACGACCATGTCGGCGCCAACCATAACCCGCGACCGTACCAGGAGCCATATCCATCATCTTTTTCTCCTCTGCGTGATTATCTTGGGGGCGGCTTCCCTCCTCTGGGCGCCGCATATATCTTCCTGGCATCCGCCACCGCTCCACATACAAGTTAAACCGTCCCACGCTGCAACGGATGTCAGCGCGGTTGCGCCTTTCATTTTCGACTCTATCCAAGGTCTCCTCAAGCAGTGGCCCAACTCCTACGCCCCCAATGGCCACTCCATCGTTGCCGGCGTAGTCCCCGCCAACACGGCTCTGTACCATGCCAGGCAACGAGCCAGCCGTCCGTCAAAGCCAACCTTCTTCGCCTTCGACGCGTGAGTTTTAACCCTTCGTCACGACTCGGCACCTTTCGAGCTTCAATATTGAGCAAGCTTCATATCCAGGGAAATGTCAGTGGGCATTTACGGCGGCTCGGGCCACTCCATACTCGATGTCTACAGCACCACGCGCCCCCTCAACATCATCTACTTTGACGGCCAGTCGGCGACTCTCACGTCCGCAGGCACGCTCGATTCGCAAATGGCAGTCCTCCAAAGGCACGTCCCACTCTATCCGCCTTACAATCTCGTGTACGACGAAGATCAGCGCAAGTTCGACCTCTGTCGCCTGGCGGCCGATCTCGGGATAGACGGCATCGTGCGCATGAACGCAGGCTTCGAAGTCCTCATCTGCGATTTTGATGCGTCGAAGGTCCGCGCCCTCTTCGCCACCAATAACTCGGTCCCGAACCCGGAGGCTGAGAACACGTCGTTGCCGCATGATCCGAACCGCCAGCCGCCTCGGGGCTACGGGAACGTGTTCGCTGAGCAGGGCTCGTTTGAATGGCTCCGGAGCGCTAGTTGGCATTACGAGATCCCGGAGCCGCGAATCAAGCTCGATCTGTGTAGAATGGTGTCGTTCTATGATCCGGCGTTGTCAAGCCTGGCAGACGCTCATCACGGCGGGATCGTCGGCAATCAGACGTACGAAAACGGATGGGGCTTGCGGCGGGGGCATCGACTGCTGGAGATTGACGAGGACGATGTCAAGCTTGTCCGTGCGTGGCTCAAGGAGGATATGGCCTCATCATCATCACCGTCTTTGTCGGTAGGAGCCGGATGCTCGGGTATCGATTGGCATGCCATGTTCGCAGTTATCCAGGCCCAGCATGGAACACGGGCAAGAGAGATTGCTGCGGTTTTCGAATGGAACCGCGAGACCGAGCAAGAGCAAAACGCCATCGTCACCCGAGTTCACGAGCTCTCCCACGCTGTTCTTTCCGCGTACGTGGAGTACAGCTCCAGCACACCGAAGGAGCTGGCCATCACCCGATGCTCATCCATGCACACGATGCTACTTGACCCCAGCACCCTGGCGCGGTCAGAGAGACTGCTTTATCACGTAGTGGAAACCGTGCTGAAGAAGCTCTGCACCTGGGAATGGGACCTGTTCGAGTGGAGCGAGGGGCACACCAGCAAGTATCTGGCCAACAACAAATCCACCAAATTCAGGATCACGGCCCGGGACGCGTCTCTCTTGGACGAGATCAACGAGTACCGCCAGCAAACCACTGAAGTTTTGAACTGGATGGGATGGGACACGTGGACGCAATGCGAGAGGCAGTGTGGCCCGAGTGTAAGTATTGCGTCTGCCGGCCGAAAATGGTCCCGTTCCATACCTATAACCCCCCAGCATGATGGCCATGATGGCCCGCTAACTTCTTCCGTGAAAAGGAGCTCTGTGCTATCCCGGCGTGGCCGGTTGTTTACGCCCCCGGTTTACCGCAGGGTGGCATCTATGCGGGGAGCAATCCCAGGTTGACCGACGAAGAGACGCGGGAGTTTTGGAGGCCGAAGTGTGTCGACCGGACCGACTTTGATCGGGGCGGTGGGCGAGGGAGGGAGCCCGATTACCAGCTTCCTGACGTTCCGCCGTATTAGCGTGCAGCCATCAGATACTGGCCATCGGATACTGCATACAATAGTGACGTTTAGAGTTGAACCGTGGACGTCTCCACGACCTCCACGGCTTGGTGAGGTGTTAGCTCGGAAGACCAATTGGAGGAAACCGTCAAAAGCAGGGATGAATTGTTAGAACCTGCAAGTGCCCGAGGTACTCCTTTCAGCGGGCCTAAGAGCCGTTCTGGATGCGCGACTCACTCCTAAGCAGTCCGCAGTCCGCAGTCCACACTCAGACGACGGGGACATTGTCTTCTCCTGACCCCACTCAGGATTTCGATTAACCCTAACCCTGCCTAGTCTCCTTGGAAATGCCTTGCCGGATCGAGTGGTTGGTTCCCCAACACCATACCTCAGGCGACAGTAGGTAATGACGACGACAGCAAAAATAACAGCAACGCCTTTCTAGGCCAGTGACACAGGCACAGACGGCATCTAATGAATTTCATTCTGCCATGCTGGCACATCTCCCCCCTCTTCTATTCCTGATGCAAAGGCTGCTTTCTGCTTGCTTTTCTCATCCATCTCATTACCCAATCAACCACGTCCTCTCTATTATCCCTTCCTCCTGTAATAACCACCCACCCAACCATCCTTCCAACCCCATGGAAATCCAACCTTCTATCCAAACCAAGCCATCTCCCATCTCTCCAAGACCCGCAAGCGGAGGCACACCACACACATGTAAACCAGAGAGAGAGGAATTTACCTCCGACCCTCCTCAGCAGCCAAATCCCTCTCCACCATCTCAATCGCCCCCAAACTCGGAAACCGCTTCTGGAAATCATTTATATAATCATCCTTCTCCGCCGCCGTCATATTCAACAACGCAGACCCACCCCCGCCAGGCAAATCCACCGCCAACAGTGCCTCTGTGCTCTCACTCCCAGCACCCCCAGCAGCCGCGGCAGCAGCAGACCCCCGGATCTTCCCGGCCGCGATCCCGCTGCTGCTGCTGCTGCTGCTGGTCCGCGGGATGGGGTTGGTGAAGGAGGGTTGGTGTTTTATGGGCGATGGTGGTCGAGCGCCTACGCCTCCGCCGGTGGTTAGCGGTTTGTTGAGATGGGTTGGTTTGGGAGGGGCTGCGGGCCGGTTTCCACCTGTGAACGCGGGGGTTGAGGTTCGGCCTGTTATGGAGGGATCGACGACTGGGCTGCCGGCACCGGTAGGAGCCGGTGGACCGCGTTGTTGCTGCTGTTGCTGCTGTTGTTGTTGGCTCCCAGTAAGTTGCCCACCAACCGTTTTCCGCGGCACAACCGGCTTCCCGCCATCGTTCCCCGGCTTCGCAGAGGTAGGAGAGGGATTCGAAGAAACGGCCGCGGCGTCCGAGTAATGGCCATAGCCCTGCGCGGTGCGCGGAACCGTGGTTGACGAGCGGTTGCTCTCATCGATCAAACTCTGGACTTTGTTCTGGATCGAAGCCACACGCGAGACGCCCCCGATGCTCTTGGGCGGCGGAACGGGCGGGCCGCCGCCGCCGGCACCACCGCCGCTGCTGCCCCCGCCTGTGCGTTGGCCTACGCGTTGGCGGTACTCGGCCTGGGCGGCTGCGACTCGGGCTTCCTCCTGCGCGAGCATACGGGCTTCTTCCTCGCGGCGCATTTCCGGGGTCATCTCGTCCCAGGTCGGGGATTGGCCATCGTCGCTGCGTCCGTCGAGGGCTTCCGAGCCGGCGATGGGCGTGAGATTGTGGCGGTCGTGGCGGTCGAGCTCTTTTAGCGGGGAAGGAGTGCGTGCTGGGGCGGGGGGCGCGGCATTCCCTTCGAAGCGCTTGAAGGCATCGCCAAACTTGCCCGCGAGGATGTTCTTGGTGCCAGCGCCAAGAGACGAAAGGCTGCCGCGCTTGGTGTGATGTTTCTCTTTCTTCCTTGGATCCGCATCCTCCATAGAGCGGAGGAAGTCGACGTTCGACTCGATGTTGCCCGAATCCTCGTCTGGGCTTGGGGGTTGACTCTTTTCCAACGAACGCCTTGGCGACGGCAAAGCGGGGGACTTGGACCTGGACTCTTGTTCCCGCAAGAAGTCGAGGTTAGACTCCATGTGGGTGCTGACGGGCCGCGGTCTCGCAACCAGCCGCGACCGTTGCCCTGTGGGATCCAACTGATCCAAGTTCGGCCGGCCACCTTCCAGCGACGGTCGTGATGAGGATGGGTACCTCACATGTGGCGCTTGCTGGGGGGGCACGCCTTGGTAGGAGGGTGTCCGTGTAGCCCCAGTCTCGCCCAGATGCGGAGGGTTCGGGCCTGTTGCAGGCGGCCGGGGGACGCTAGCCGCACGATTACGGTCGTTAGGCGGGAAACGGTGGATCTGATACGGAGTCCCTTGGTCTAGTGATGGTGATGTCATGGTTCCAATGGACACCATGACTGGCTTGGGGCGTTCCTGGGGAGTCGGTGACGCGAGCGCCTTCAGCTCGGGAGTGTTGGAGATGATGGTCGATGCACGGCTAACTTCGGGTTGTCTAGGGGGAGGAGCCGTGGCGGATTTAAGGGGCGGAGACATGACCGGCTGTTGGGCCCCCAAGCCCGTCGGCTGTCTTGGAGCCGTCACAGTCGGCGCCGAAGCCGGGGAAGGTTTCGTCTGGATGGCCTCGTCCGCCACTCTTTGGGCCGCTCCCTGGGATACGGGCTTCGGTAGCTGTGGAGAGTTGGGAGCGAAATCATCAAATTCAAACTTCTGTCCTTTGTCATGGAGAAGCGAGAACTGGTCGAGGGTTGGGAATTTTGACGACAGCTCGTCTCCGCCCTTGATCCCAGCCCGCGCATCGAGCGCCGCAAAAGGGTCCCCGTCCGTGATCGCGCCCGGCGACGGCGAGGGCTTATGTGGCTGCTGCTGCTGCGACGGCACTCTACCCCGCCTCATGCGCTCGACCTCGGGTATGACTTGCTGCTGTTGGGTTATCTGAGGCGAAAAGACAGCGCCGACGGTCGGGGGGGATTTCGCTGCGTGAGGGTCGGGCAGGGGTTGGTCGCGTCGGTGAGCATCTGCCGGTGCCTTGCTCGAGTAAATCTGTGAAGGAAGTGTCAGTACAGTCCCAGTAGGGCGGCCATTCCATAGGGAGCTCACATCTTTCACCGGCGGCTCCCGGTTTTGCATTGCGCAAGCTTCCCGAAGAACCTGGTAGATATTGGGTCTAGCCTGTGGGCTCTCGCGCAACATCCAAGCTGCATGTGCCATCGTCAGCAACCAAGTATTATCGACATCCCCCACTCAGAACGTACCAATAAGTCCCTTTAACCTGTCAGAAAAGACAGGGTGACTCGGAAACCTGTAGCTCGCGTTCAGAATCGCAAGCTGGCCCTGCTCTTCAAACGGTGTAGTGTAGTAGCACAGCTTGTACAACAACACACCAAGCGCCCAAATATCCGATTTTTCGTCGATAGGCAACTTCCGATAAACATCCACCATCTCCGGGCTCCTGTATTGCATCGTGGTATGTTTTTGCACGTCCTCGTCCGTGGCGCGGCATTCGGCCGGAGTCGTGGGCGCAGGCCGCGGGGCCGCAGCAGACCCAAAGTCGCAAAGCTTGAACTTTCTCGTGGACCCGGTCACCGTGATCAGTACGTTCTCAACCTTCAAATCGCGATGCAGCAGCGACGGTCGGAGGTAATGCATGCATGCAACCCCCTCAGCAACATCAGCAAAGATGTGCAAGATCTCGGGCTCCGTCAGGCGGTGCTGCAGGCGTGTATTCATAAAGTCGATCAGCCCACCACCGTTGCAAAACTCCATCAGCAAGAAAACCTCATAACCGCCCCCACGCAGCTCCGAAGCATGCGAGTCGATATAAGTCACAATAGCGCGGTGTCCCTTGAGCCTCTTCATAGTCTCCACCTCGGTGCGCATCCCCCGCAGCGACTCCTTATCCGGAACGGCCACCCGCTTCAGCACGGCCTCGTTGGTCCCGTTGACGGGGGACGGCAGTTTGACCAGGTAGACATGGGCAAACCCGCCTTCGGAGAGGTATTTCTGGATCACCACGCGGTGGTTCCCGACCTGGATCTTGGTGCCGGGGGAAAAGGTGCCGGCTGGGGCGCCACCAGCGGCCACGGGCGCGGGGCCCGCGTAGGCAGCGCCGTAATTTGCGGGCCGGGGCGCCGTGGGGGGCGCCGCATGGCCGTACGACGCCATCCGCGGAAAAGCTTGCGGGCGGACCTTCGGGAGATGTAGACTCGGTCGAGGTTCGGTGCGAGGTTCGGTATAATTCAAGATCGAGAGGGAGTGGCGAGATACGGAGAGTTTAACGTGGGCGGGTGTGCGAATAGGCGACTAGGCAACAACGCGAGCCTGCAGGAAACAAACCGAAGGACGGGACGAGGTAAATAATAAGGGGAGGGCGAGAAACCAAAACCTTAGCGACGATCGAAAGCGGGCAGACAGTCAAGGTACTTGGGGCGGAGTCGGGGAAGTGGTGTAGCTCAGGTCATCGGAAAAGGAGCGTCGTCGTGTGGAGAGAGCCGGCTACGATACAGGATGCATGGCCGGAAGCAATCGCGGCGCCAGGCAGAGCAAAACACGATTCGGTCGGAGGGAAGAACCTAAGCAGGCTCCGGAGGCGGAATGCGGGATGCGGGATGACGAACGAAGAAAGTCTCGGGCCAAAAAGGCTGAGTTTCGAGGTTGGACGTCCATGCCAGGTACCAGCCAGCGACCAGCACAGCATCACTGACCCCAGAACCCACTTCGCCCACCGCCCGACTCCCTGTGCTCGGCAAGTGGGGCCAGCTGGCGGTGAACCTTGGCGGGGTGTGTCAGTTGGGGGATCGGCCCCACTGGTGAACACGACCGAAATGAAAGGGAAGCGACGTTTGACCTGGGGCAACAAAGATAAAGGGAAACTCGCATAAAAATGAAATAAAAATGGTCATACAAGCCGATTCCTAAATCAGGTGCATTTGGGGCGTTTGGGGCGCCTCCATGGCTTCAACCCCTCCTGAATATGGTTCCGTCTTCGGTGAACATCTCTTCCTCCGCTCTACCAGCACATCACCAGGACTTATCACGAGAGGTCAGAATAAATTTCACAATTTGTTGGCAATGGCAGTACATCATAACCTTGTGCAGCATTAAGCAACGCGATTGCCCTGGGTATCTACTCTACTTGGTGAAGTCCTCAGGTATGTCCCACGTTCTACCATCAAACAATCGTTCGGAACCGGCCCCAGAAAATATGGCACCACTATATCCAGCATGGCAGATACCGACCATGTCTAAAACAACCCGCGCCAGATGCGCTTGGGCAAATTCTTCCATCCGCTCAGCTCTGGTTTCTCATCGTCTTCCGACGGGACGTGAAGTCGCAGGTCCGTAGTGAGATCGATCTCCTCGGCCGGGATCCACAACCTCCATTCCCGTGTGCGGATCTTCCACCCCAGGTATAAAATTATCACAATCGGGGCCGCGAGGTAACCCTGGAAAAACGTCTGGGGATCGGGAGACGAGTTGGGATCGGGCTAGCAATTGGACGGGCCGTTAGTTCTGGACGTTTCATGGGATGGGAGAAGTGAAAACAAATCTGACTGGCCGACGACTTACATAAAGAGCGCTGTAGAAGCTGGCGATCAGACACACGATGTTGAGAAAGAGACCAATCCAGCTGCCCAGGACACCAGCGCCGGGCCGATACGGGATCTGATCGAGGCTGTAACCGCGGGCCTTCCACACATACCGGAAGCGGATATGTGTCAGGCAGATGCTGCCCCAGACGAAGAATGACGAGAGGCCGGAGATGGCGAGAAGCCAGTTGAAAACGGTGGTGCCGCTCGAGGCGAGGCCAATATAAGCCAAGAGTCCAAAGACCAGTTGCACCACCACGCACCATACTGGCCGGCCTTGCTTGTCGATGTAGGCGAGGAAGCGAGGGGCCATCCCCTGCAGCGCGAGAGCCTGCATGGTACGAGTCGACGCAAAGGCGCACGAGTTGGCAACGCTAACGACAGCAACGGTGATAACAGCGTTCATGATGGATGGCAGCACCTGGATCCCAGCATCCTGGATGGCCAAGACGAAAGGGGACGCCTTGGTGTTGGCCCCCGATGAGTTGAGCAGCCGGTTGTCGTCGGACCGCATGATCAAGCCGACGATGAAGAGATTGACGATGTAGAACAAAGCGATGCGCCAGAACACCTGCCTTGACGCCTTCGGGATCGCCTTGAGCGGGTTTTCGCTTTCGGCGGCGGCCAATCCGACCAGCTCTGCACCGCCAAAGGAGAAGGAAGCAATGACGAACACGCCCGCGAATCCGTTGAACCCGTTCCGAAAAGCTCCGGGATCATGCCAGTACTTGGCGCCGAGATAGCCCTGGTCGCCGACGCCGCCAACGTTGATGACGATGCCGAGAATGATGAAGCCCAGGCACGCCGCGACCTTGACCATGCTCAGGATGAACTCAACCTCGCCATAGCCCCGAACACCAAATAGCTGGATCAAACACAACGTGACCAGAAACATGGTGACCCAGACGCCCATGCTGATGTCTTCTCGCCAGTATTCAATGGTGATGCAAGCCGCGATAAGCTCGAAAGGGAGGAGGCAGAGCCATGAGATCGTGTACTCCCAGCCAACCGCGAAACCCCTATCCGGTCTGTTAGTTCGGGCACCCTTGGACGGTGAAGCTAACGACGTGACCACTAATAAGGGCAGCAACTTGCCATGATGGATCAATGAAGCGCACAACGTATGAGTAAAAGGCGCCATTGACGGGATACAGCACAGCCAGCTCAGCGAGCGCTTGGCAGGTGAAGAGCAACATGATGCCGACGATGAGGTAGCAAATAACCTGCGTTGAGTGAGCGAGCGTTGTATGAGCCAACCTCAAGTTTCAAGGCACTAACCACAGATGCCGGCCCGCCTTTCGACAAGGCACCACCAGTACCGACGAAGAGACCAGCCCCAATAGCACCACCTACACCAGATCCCGTCGTTAGCCACAAGACCCGCTCGTTCCCATACTCTTCCGGGCGCTGGCCCTACCAATAGCGATCATTTGCATGTGCCGGTTGCGAAGGTCTTGCTTCAGCACTCCGCCGCCCACGCTGGCTTCCTCATCCTGGGGGGGGCTATCATCGTTGCTCCCGGAAGAGAGAACCTCCTTGCTAGGAACCTTCTCGTCTTCGGCCGCCATGTGGATGTTCACTCCGATCCGTTTCGTCGGGTCGTCGTTCGAGTCCGTCGAGTGTCGGCCGTAATTAGGTGTGTCACTTCCCGCGGTAAAGAGAGCGAGAAGGGCCCGGAACTCAGCCTGCCAGAGATGCACCGAGGCAGCCGGGACTTATAAACCGGCCCGGTTCATAACCGCTACCAAGGCTGGGGAAACGGACCGCATGGCCCAGGCAGGGAGGTCGACCACCCTCACCGGCATGGATACAACACGCAGCTGCAGCGGGGGAGTGTGTGTCACGCCATTCGCTCTAGTGCCCGGGCACATGTATGTACATGGGTTCAGGAAGGCCGCCTGCGGAGGCGACGGCCCTTCAGGTCATTCCACAGAAGGACATCCCTTGAATAGATCCCGGGTCGACTGCGTGGCCGGGTGCAACAATAGCAACCGATCACGCTGCAGATTCCAGAAATAATAAGCTCCCATTGACGGGGGCTTGTCTAGAAAGGCAAAATTAAAAAGCGAGGGCGGAACTTTTGACGCACACAACGTCCCAATGGTGAACCGGGGCCAAGCCAACTGCATGAAGCACCGGGCGAGATGAGGTGTGTGTCGCGGAACACACACTGGTGGTGGGGGCCGGTGAAGAGGAAGGTGACTGGGGAAGCACCTTGGGGGGATGTGCGTCGGACGAGTTGGTCAATGGCAGGTGGCTGCAGTTCTCGGTCTACCGAAAGGGTCCCTCCTTCCTGTGTAATGAATGTGTGATGCAGCGGTTAACCCGCTATCTTATCAGCCCTTTGGTCCTCATACCTACACAGTACATTACCACGTTCCGTCGCTATACCCGGGAGCGTTGCTGGCCGTTCTCGGGCATAATCATCTATTAGAAGGTGACAAGGTTCAGACGACCAACCCCCACACATCTTTTCATCCCATCCAAATACTCCCACCTAACATTCCTTCGCGCCACGGCGAGAAAGATAGGTAGGTGGTCAGATATCGAATTCAGATTCGGCCGAGATGGTGTGCTCTATTTGACCGGCCGGAGTTTTGCCTCAATTCTCCCATCCCTTCCCTCCAACCCCCCCTCCGTTCCTTCCCAAAAAGCCGAAGACAAGACAATGTTACCACAGCAGCCTGGTGGTCTCATTTCTTTGAACCATGACTTGATTGGCCAGGTCGGGTCGGGATGGCGCCGCCCACGTGCAGAGCCAAGAGGGGACAAGGCCGGAGCAGGAGAAACAGGACGGGACTTGTTTCTCAGATCAGATCGTGGGAGCTGCTGTTTGGAACCGTCTTGAGGGGAAGGTGCAAATCAGCTTGGCTGGCCAACATCTGAAAAATGGCGAAGGCGCTGCTGCGGCCAGCTGAAAGCGGGGGTTTGGGGAACCTGTTATTCGGTGAGTGGACAAACAGCGTGCCGTGCAATGTTTTGAGTTGTCCGGTGGAGATCGCTGGGCAGCAGGAACAGGGACTAGGGCGTTTGGCTCAAGCTTGTTTCGAGCGGGCCGCTCGGGTGGTTGGACTAGTTCAAAACCTTGTTCAGAATTTTGTGGGTGTGGTGTGGTGTGGTATGCCCAGTCGGAGGTCACCCTTAATTTTTTTTCCCTTCAGCTTACTTCGTACCTCCTTCTTTTCCACGGGCGGGCCCCTCTCTCTTTTCCACCCGTTTTGTTCGGTCCCTTCTTCTTTTGCTCGGACTCCAAACCTTCCTTGGAAGGACCCCGCTCGAATTCTCTGGGATCGTCATCCTTCATGACCACGCATGGCCGGTTCGGCGTGGCAGACGCAGTACCCCGCCAAAATAATCGAGGCTTGCTTACTACTACATAGTATATATTACCCAGTCAGGCGAACGGGCGACCGAGGTGACCCTTCTGGTCCCGACTGCGCAGCACGCTACTGTAACGGAGGAACCAGGTAATCCCGGTATTTCGCTGGGACACATTTGTTACACGATTTTGACTTTATAAACCACTATTCGAGTTCATAATCAACGCATTGAGCTCGGGCAGTGGATGCAGCTTTGGCTCTTTTCCTCTCGGTAAATGCGGTCCGCCCTGCGAAGATGGGAGCTGAACTGCACAGATATGCACGTTCAAGCCTTCAACCCAGGGTGAGATGCGGGAACTACCCAAATGAGACCATGCTACTCCGTAAGAAAGGTAGGACAGCAAGTGAGAAAAAGAGAGAAAACAGCGGAACTCTAAATTCACTGTTTCCCGACTCCAGATGGTGTTTCACAGAGACAAAACACAAGAGACAACAACACAAGAGACAACAACACAAGAGACAACAACACAAGAGACAGCAACACACCAAGAGCAGCACACAAGTTCTGAAACACTACGAATGTAACTAGCGCGGTGGCGGACGATTACCGGAATTAGACAAACAACCTGAAAGAGAAGTCCATACATCGACTAGGTGTTGATGTAGATTCAAGACTTTATCACTTAATCAATTCAATTATAGACTTCACTCACACAGCACAACAAGTCGCACAGCAGACGCCCGGCTCCATCGCTGCAATATCACTGTACGACTCTTCCGTACTCTGGTTCCACGACCGAGAGTGCTGTGGGCGTATTTGTTGAACCCGAAAACGGTTGTTCCATAAACTCAGGGAAAGGGGATAGAAGTGTGATACCAGTACTAGAGAAGAAGACGTCAGAATTACCATGAAACCCAGAGACTCTGAACGGAAGTAAGAAGTTACTGGAGCAGAGATACCTAGCTTTGTGGTTTCTTTTTGAAAGAATAGCGAGGAGATAACTGCGTCTGTTTTCTTTTCAAAGCGGAAACAGAAGAGAACAAACCCGTGCTCGTTTTGTTTTGTTCTTGGGTAATTCGCCTCGGCCCAGCCCCTGGCGTTGATATGTAAACTCACCACCGCCCTAGTTAGGGGGCGTTTGTAGCCGCTGTTGGAAGGACTCGTCTGTGCTGGGCACTTGATGGTGGCGGTATGAGCGGCGGATGTGAGTGCGTTGCACTCTGGGAATAGGCTGGCTAGGCCAATGACCGCGTCGGTGCTTCCTAGAAGACGAGTCACGGATCCTTCAGAACATCGCCACATCTTCGACGCGAGGGTCATCACGACGAACCCTGGCGTTCGCCCGTTGGGGCTGCCAGAGCGGACATGCCTACGTTACTGGTCCGGGCGTCTTGAAACCCTAAACCTAGCGGGCCTCCAAACACCGGACGAAGCTGCATACAGCGTTCTGCGGCCCGGGGTCCAGCTCAACAGCAAATGCCTCCGAGACCACGCACACCCGTCGGTCTGGTCCTCCACTGCCGGCGTTTTGGTCCAAAAGGATCGCGTGGTGGCAAGCGTGGTGGCAAGAAAGCCCACTTGGGTCCTCTTGCGCGATCGCCCCTCGTGTCGATAGTCGATACCATTTAGCTCTCCATGCGTTTTGCCAGGTCTTCGTCCGCATTTAAACACAGCGAGCGCGCTTGTTATGGCGCTGGTACTCCTCACAGGGATGGGTTCTCGTCTTGAGCTCGTCCAACGATACAACTCCGTCGCTCGCTGTCAGCGCTTGGGTATGGCGCTCTCGGCTTCGAAGTTCAAGAATTGCTTCCCAGCTAAGGGCCGACACTGGACAGTTCGTCGAATGATTTGACGCGAGCCCGGAACAGCTCTGGAGGGAGCTCTGGAGGCAACGACGTCCTGCGATCTGACCCTCGGGCACTGGGATGGTCAGGGTGAAGCCGAAGGATCGCGAATTCGAGAGAGATGCACGGTATGATTAGACAGGCGTGGGCAACTCTCGGCCATTGTTGGCGTTTCGGGCTGTGGGACTTCCAGTTCGCCCCTTGGCTACTCGGTTTCCGGCTGCTCGAAGGTGCCTTACTCTATCATCCCGCTGTGTCCTCGTATTAGCGCCGAAAGAGAAAAGGAGATAAGGAACGGAGGAGCCCAAGAACGGGACGGCGTCTTTGACTATATCATCTCAGGTTCTGCTTTCCCCTTTTTTTCTCTTTTCATTTTTTCTCATATCTTAGCCCAAGAAAGCGAACTGAAATAACAGGAATACTACCAAGAACTCTAAACACAATGCCAACAACATGAGGAAGAAGAAAGAATCTAATGTGCCTGTGTAAGTCGTTGTGCGAACTTGAATGCTAGGCGAGCCCAGTTTGATACGCGGAAGTTGTTACCTTAATCAAGTCTAGAAGTGAGAGAAAAATGAATATCCCAAAGATCATTTCCTCAGACGAGTCAAGTTCGAGGTCCTACTTTGATTATGTTGAGTGCCCATGTAATTATGGTTATATGGTATCCGGTGTAGGTAGGTAGTGTCAACTATTGCTTAAAGTCACTACAAAAATGGGTTGAAAATAAAAATCAACTTTGAACTACCATGCAGGGGAACATGATTGAAAATGATAATTCTCCATGACAAATTCAAGTGACCATCACCCCCTTCCAAAAATAAGACCACCAGTGTCCAAATTCGTCCCAATGCATCACAGGTTGCAACAAAAAGTCACAAGACAGGACGTTGTACCCCAATAACTTTGTTTTCTCGGAACCTGAGCTTCCACCGGACTAGCGAGGTGGTACTTTCTCGCACTCTCTCGCATTGTTCAGCCCTCTGTAGGAGAGTGGCAGAGAGTTGTCTGCCAAGCAAGACACCGTTGAATTAATTATAGCCTAATTGTCTTGACAGCACACGAACCTCGCGTCTATTGTACGAAGGAAGAGTAATTATAAGCAGAAGAGTACCTACCGAGTCTTGTTCTTGGTGATTGACTGAGTCCAACAAGCCCCCCGTTGATACCATCTCTGGTTCCAACATCACCACGCTTCCCAGCGTTAATATCCCACGCATCTCATAATGTATTATCACTTCCTCCTCCCAATCCTCCCCCTCCTCCTCTACCCACCCCCCACCCACCCCCAAAAAATCGGCCTCTACCAACCCGAAACCCACCCCCCCCTCCGCTGGACACACTGCACCGCCCCGAACCAATGCACTCCCGTCCCCGGCGCCGTCACCCTCGACGCCAACTACCGCTGGCTACACCGCGTCAATAGCTCCATGAGCTGTTTCTGGGGCAACACCTGGGACGAGACGGTGTGTGATAGCGCGGCGAATTGTACGGAGACGTGCGCTATTGAGGGGGCGGAGTATGGGAAGGTTTATGGGGTTGAGACGTTTTCGAGGGGGGGACTAGAGAGTAGAGGGGATGGGGGGGAAGATGCGATATCGTTGAGGTTTAGGGTGAATTTTGATTATGCGTATAATATTGGGTCGCGGCTGTTTTTGCTGGAGCCCGAGTCTTCTTCGTCTACAGATCCAGAACCGGATTACTCGCAAGCCCGCTACCAAACCTTCACCCTCCGCGACTCGGAACTCGCCTTCGACGTCGACCTGTCCACCGTCGCATGCGGCATCAACGGCGCGTTGTCCTTTGTCCGCATGCCCGCTGACGGCCGTATCCCCTTTCCCTCCTCTTCCTCAAGCTCCTCCTCAGATCCCAACGAAACAGAAGAAGAAGAGCCCACAGCCAACGCGTTCTACGGAACAGGCTACTGCGACGCGACCTGCCCTCGCTCCCAGCACTTCATCGGCTCCCACGCCAACTTCGACGACTGGCTTCCCTCTTCCACCGACCCGGTCGGCGGCACAGGCCGGTATGGAGCGTGTTGTGGGCAGTTTCGGGTGTGGGATGGGAATGCGCATTCGTTTAGTATGTCGGCGCATGTTTGTCCCCCTGTACCAAAAGGGGGTGATGGGGGAGGGCAGGTGGACGGCGGGACGGTGAGGGTTTGTGAGGGGGCGGAACAGTGTGATTATTATGAGGGGGAGAGGGGGGAGAAGTGTGATTTTTGGGGGTGTGGGTGGAATCCGTACAGGATGGGGGGGAGGGGGTTTTATGGCGTTGGGGGGGAGGTTGATACGGGGAGGGTGTTTACGTACGTTGGTCTCTTTCTCCCCCCTTTCCCCATCTGGTTTGGTATTTATATGTCTGAAGACGTACTGACAGAAACAGAGTGGTCACCCGCTGGACGGCAGAGCGCATCACGCAGTTCCTGATCCAAGACGGGCAGACATTCGAGGTCCCGGCGCCGACGTGGGAGGGTCTACCAACAAAATCCGGGCTGTCGGCCGACATGTGCGAGGCGCAGCGGGTCGTGTTTGGGGAGCGGGATAATATGCTGGAGAATGGGGGATGGGATGCGGTGGCCGAGCAGTTGCTCGACCAGCCGATGGTGTTGAGTTTGGGTATTGGGGATGATGTACGTTTTTTTTCTTTTGTTTCTGTTATTTCTCTCCCTGTTTCTTTCTCCTTGTTTTTTATCTTATTTATGCCTGTGTCTACATAGCAGCTAACATCATTAGCACTTCGCCTGGAACCTCTGGTTGGACTCCATCTACCCAACCGACGCAAGCGCCGACCTCCCCGGCGCAGCAAGAGGAGACTGCCTCCCAGCAGAAGATAGTGACCCACAGGTGGTCGAGAACACAAATCCAGCGGCGTACGTATCTATCTGCTGTCAGAAGTTGTGGCGAAAGTACAGACTGACTGATGGTCTCTAGCAAGGTGATCTGGTCGAATATCCGGTTTGGGCCGATTGGGTCGACGGTGGAGGTTTAGTTGGTGAGTACTTGTGTTGGCTGGTTTTTGTGTAGCAAAGGTTTATTTACATTGGCCCAATCCTCATATCCAGCAGTTGTGCAAGATACCCACACTCGTTCCGTCATGCACCTCCTCAACCTAAACAACAACCACCTCCTTCAAACTAACAAACTCCAACCCCCCCTCTCCCTCCCTATCACCCCCCTCCTCCTCCCAGACCGGCCTCTCCCTTATAATCTCCCCCATCCCCCTCTCATACAAAACCAACCAAACCGCATCCGCATTCACCGCTTCCAACGCCCTCCTCAGCGCCGGCTGCTGCGGCAGGACGTCAGCCACGAGATCGAGAATGTCGTCGAACATGTCGTCTTCCAACCTCACATAGGTGGCGATGGATGTTAGTAGGTGCAGGGCGGCGGTCCAGAGTTGGGAGGGTTGGGTGAAAGGGCGGATGTATGTGTTTGGGTCTGAGGAGTGTGTTGTTGAGGAGTGTGTTGTGTGCTGGGTTAGGGTTAGGGTTATTGGTGGGGTTGAGGTGGTTGTTGTTGATAGGGTTATGGGTGTGTGTTCGAGATCGTTGTTGTCGTGGTGTAAACCGGGTATCACAATCTCATCACCCACCAACCCCCTCCCAGTCCCAGCCCGTATCCCGTTCCCATACCCAGACTTCTCCCCCATCTTACCCTTATTCCCCCTCCTCACACCTTCCCTAACCCCCCTCATCCACCCCCTTACCGACTGCGACTGTGACTTTGACCCTGACTTCTCACCATCCCACCAAACCCCCCTCCATCTCCCCCCCAAAAAGTCCCCCGCCCCCTCACAAAGCCCCCCCAACGCCTCGCACGCAGCCACAGCCACATACGGCTCGCGATCCCACAGTCTAGTGATCGCTACAGGCCAGACGGCGTGGACTAAGGGGAGAAAAGCGTCTTCGTCGCGGGAGAGGGCCGGAGAGACGGTGGTGATGAGGTGGAGGAGGGATTTGCGGAGGGTGGGGGAGGGGGTTGTGAGGTGGTTTTGGGTTAGGGAGAGGATTTTGGTGAGCAGGTGGTGGGTTGGGGGTTTGGGGGGTTCGACTTCTTGGTCTTGGACTTCTTGGTTTTGGTCCTCTTGGTTTTCTTGGTCAGGGTCAGCCTCGGGATTGGTGAGTTTGTCGAGGAGGGAAGCGGCTTGGTCTTTGGGCGGACCCCAGGGTTTTTGAGGATGGGGATGTGATGCCAGAGTAGCAGCTTGTTGGTCTCGTTCTTGTGCCGAGCGAGCCGCTCGATCAAGTCGGGCGATTAGGGTCTGGAGGATCCCCGGGATCCCTTGAGATGTTGGAGCTTGCTTCCGGTGATCAATCCCCTTTTTGCTCCGAGTACCCTCGAGAAGCAGCTCATCCGACTTGACGCCCTGCGTGACCACCTCGCTCAGCACAGCGAACAAACTCTCCACGAAAACCGGATACCCGTGATAATTATCAAGCGCCGCAAAGATGGCAGCCACGACATCGTCCAGATACGGAATCAGACGCGGCCCCGTCAGGCGTATGACCATAGTCAAAACCTTGGTAGACGCCGGCGAGATATCAAAGGTATTGAGCCGCAGCGAGATGGAGTTGACCATGTAATCCGCGTTTTCCACAATCAAATCCGAGACACTGGCATACCCACAAGACGCAGCCACAATATCCAGCGTCATAATGGCGTGTTTCCGCAGCTGCGGTATGCCCGACCCCAGAAAAGTCGTCACAGGGTACAGCACATCGATAAGCTCAGGCTGGAAATCCACCTTCATCCTCGCCGCCGCAAAAGCAGCCACCTCGAGCGCAACAGCCTCCAACCGCCAGTCAGCAGCCACCGAGTCCGAATGTGCGGCCAACACCGACGCCGAAAAGTCGTACAGCTCTCGAAACGCATCCTCCTGGTGCCGCGACTCCTCCAGCGACGAGAGATCAAACATCTCGTCCATGTCGGCGGACTGCGAGTACGTCGCCTTGATGAGTTGGAAGGCTAGCCAAAACGACGCAATCTGCTCGACCCCCTCAGAGTCCCGCACATGTCCCAGCATGGCCATCGCGATTGTGACCTGCTGCGCCGCAGACCCGGTGTTGGCGATCAACGACCCGATTTCCTCCCTTGTTGTCTTTTGCCCTTCTGCGTCCAACAACACAGGCGCATACACCGACTTCCCCCCTTCTCCCGACCAATTCCCCACTACCAACGCACCCCCACTCATAGACGAAGAAACGTCCACCCCATCATCCACAATCCGCACTGGCTTCCCCCCCCTGACGAGTGTAACAATACTATCCCTTAACGAAGCCCCCAGCGCATCGTCCAGCGTCGATGAGTCCATCTGCAACGCCGCAGCGAGTTTGGTACCCCGGAGAATACTCCGCACAGCCAGCTGCTTGACCCGCTCGTCGCTGGCTTGCATGACGCGCGGCAGGCCGGTGACCCAGGTGTAGAGGGCGGATTGGACGGGGTTGGTGAGCGAGGGGTAGATGGTGATGAGGTCTTGGAGGCTGGTTTGTAGTTGTGGTTGGTTATTGGTGGTATTGTTGGCGTCTGGGTCTTCAAGCATCATGGCTGTTTCGACGAGGATGATCCGGCAGTCGGCCAACGAGGCGTGGCATTCGTCGAGGAGGGTGATGCAGAGTTTGTGGAGGGCGGATTGGACGTCGTCCGAGTCGTGGGCGCGGAGTTTGAGCACGGCTGCGAGTGCGATCTTGACTTGGGCTGCTGTGGCTCGCAGCCATGATGCTGTCAGTGGTTCTCCTCCTAGGCTAGAAACCTCGGATGTTACATCCCGATCTGCGGGGGATGTTTTCTCGCTTTCCTTGATGGTCTCAAGTTGTTTAAGCAGTGACCTGACACCTAGATCCCCCAAAACAGCAGTGAGAACAAGCTGCAGAATCTCCAGACCTCTGGTAAGCAACCGTTTCTGTGTCCGATTCGCTTGCGGCGGAGACAGCAACTTTGCCAGCGCAGACACGGTCCCCGGAAAGAACTGAGCCAGCACAGATCGGTCCTTGATTGTCGAAAACATCGTCCACAAACACTCGGCCGCCTCGACCTGCACCTGCACCACATCGCTTTCCGTTATCCCGTCCAGAATCACCGCCACCGCCTGTGCGAGCGCCAGCTTTGTCTTGTTATTCTCCCCGCCTGCCTGCTCCGTCTGCGTTTGCGTCTGCATCCCCTCCAACTGCCCCGGCCCAACAACCCCCAACAAAACCCCCAACGTCCTAAACCCCTCCACCATCCCCTCCTCCGACATCTCCCTCTCCCTCTCCCTCTTCCCCGTCACCCCCCCAGAACCACCAATCAGCAACCCCATCAAAAGCACCAACTGCCTCCACAACCCCCCCTCAATCCCCCCCTTCCACCCATCCTTCACCAACACCCGCACCAACCTCAGCACCTCCTCCACCACCCGCACCGGGTATCGCTCCCGGTCTTGGAGTAAGTGGGAGAGCGGGAAGAAGACGTAGGAGGCGATGTTGGAGTCGAGGATTGTGGGGTTGTGGGTGGATTGGATCGTCCAGAGGGTGGTTAGGGAGGAGAGGTGGTGGAGGACGAGTTTGAAGTCTGTGGGGACATCTTTGGGGGCAAGGATGAGGCGGGAGAGGGGGACGCAGTGGGTTTTTAGCTGGGATTGTTAGTGAGGTGTGGATGGAGATGGGAGAGATGGGAATGGGGGGGGGGGAAGGTGGGCGGACGCACTTGTTGAAAGAATTCGGTACGTAACGTAAGAGGGGAGTCGGTCGCCATCGTCTGGTGCCGCTCAGGCGTAGTTGTGGCCGGAATAGAGTGACATGTGCATGTAGTTTTTTGAGTTGGTGCCTCGGATTAAATACTTGGGTTGTTCGCCTGGTGTTTGTTTGATGGGTAATTATGAGTTGGTGAAGTGATGGTGGAATGTGGGATGTGATGTGGGCAGGTGAGCAATGTATCGTACCGTACCGTACCGTACGGTAAACTATTTTGCCAAAGTACATAGTAATCCAAAGCAGTTGTTGCCTTGCTGCTACCGAGAACCTTGACCAGTTCAACCATAAAACCAGCAACAGCCAACAATCCTATCCAACACATCGCAACAACCAATTCTCCGACCACCCCATCAATTCCGAACCCAACAATCACCATGCCGCCGTCAAAGAAGAGAAAGACCACCCGCTCCGGCGCTGCACAGACCGTGCCAGAACCAGCCGTCGAGACTGAAGCCACCGAAACAACAGCGACCGTCGAAGAACCAGCGGTCGAGCAGCCCACCGAAAAAGAACCATCACCACCGCCATCAAATTCCGAACCCTCTGCCTCTACCTCCACCTCTGCTCCTGCCCCCGCTCCCGAGCCCGACCCCGAACCCGAAGCAGCGCCAGCCGCGACAGCCCAAGACCGCCTCGCCCGCTTCCGCGCCCTACAAGCCCGCGCCAAAGCCTCCTCGCACCAAAACCTCCAAGAAGCCACCAAAGAATCCCAACGCCTCGCCACCGACCCCTCCCAACTGACCGCCCTGAACCGCAAACACGCCATCGCCTCCCACAAACTCCTCAAAGCCGACACCGAAGACGCCGGCGAAGACTTCGAGCGCAAGCGCGCCTGGGACTGGACCATCGAAGAGAGCGAGCGGTGGGACAAGCGCACGCGTAAGCGCGAAGCCCACCGCGACGATACGGCGTTTAAGGATTATGCGAGGGAGAGTGAAAAGGCGTATAAGCGGCAGTTAAGGAATATGGGGAATCCCGATCTGGAAAGGTATACCAGGGAGAAGATGGCTGCCATAGAAAAAGCGGCGGCGGCGGGGACGTTGGATATTGTGGAGACGGAGGACGGGGAGATGATTGCGGTCGATCGGGACGGGTCGTTTTTTAGTACGGCCGAGTCGACGGCTGCTTTTACGCAGCATAAGCCGGAGAAGGCGGCGGTGGATCGGTTGGTGGCGGATTTGAGGAAGGCCGAGGAGGCGTCGTTGAGGAGGAGGAAGGAGAGGATGGCGAAGAATGGGGAGGATGGAGGGGATGTGACGTATATTAATGAGAAGAATAAGCAGTTTAACCAGAAGCTGGCGAGGTTTTATAATAAGTATACGGCGGAGATTCGGGAGAGCTTTGAGCGGGGGACTATGGTCTAGGAATCAGGGAATCCACGTTCGTTAGTTAGTTTAGGAATGTCATGCAGCGAGGCGTTTAATTGTTGGATTGCTGGGTTGAACTGAAATGGGAACCGGCACTCGTATAGTTGATAGAGGACATACAAGTGTGTTGATGACAAGGGATTGTTTTCCACAATGATAATATACACCCTAACATACACACCCCCTTCACCACCAGCCTGATTCACCATATACCTACAACATCGTCCTCCTCCACCCCCGTTCCGCCAACCGTTCCAACTCCTGTACCTCCACCGCCCCCCTCACCCCCTCATCCTCCAACCCCTCCACCACCGCATCAGCAACCGCATCCGCCTTCATCGGCCTCGTCACCATCGACCCCAACACCTTCCCCAACCCCCCGCCCACCATCCCATCCACCACCGACCCCGCCGTCGCCAAAGCCGCAACCCCCATCGTCACACTCCGCGACGGGTCATACATCAGCGGCGCCCGGTAGAACACGCTGCGCATGCCGGGGAACTCCCGCGCCACGATGGCTTCGGCTTCGCGTTTGGTGTTGATGTATCGGCTTGGGAGCATTGGTGCGCCGGCGGCGGCGGAGATGAAGCCGAAGGCGGCCACGCCCTGCTTGGCGGCTTCTTTGGCTAGGAGAATGGTACTATCCCGGTTCATCATTTCGTAGGTGAGTTGTGCCCCCGTCGGCGCCGGCCCTTCCTCCCCTTCCCCCCCTTCTCCCGTAGCTTCATCTCTTTGCGTCCCCCCAGTAGTTCGTTCGACCTCCCTCCGAACTCTCCTCAACGGATTCCCCACCGCGTCCCCGCCCACCGCATACCCCTTCGCCGGATCAAACGCCCTGCGGAGTCCCGCCAGCGGGGACTCACGGCCGGATACCACGCCCTTGTAGTCTGCCTCGAGAAGGATTCCAAGACTGTGCACGACGTAGTCGGCGTTGTGCAGGAGGGAGATCCATTGGGAGGGCCGGAAGATGTCGGCGCGTTCCCAGGAGACGGAGGTGGACCAGGATGGGGGAGTGGGCCAGTGGGGAGGGCCGGAGCGGCTGTGTATAGTTTTTGTGTGAGTGAGCTGTGAGTTGGTGATGGGGGTTAGGGAGGAGAAAGAGGAAGAGAGATACCTGACGGAGGTGACGTCCCACTTGCGGGAGACGGCGGCGCGGCAGATTCGGGAACCGAGGAAGCCGTTGCCGCCGAAGACGACGATGCGTTTCGTGGCGGACATGTGTCTGTCGTCTGAGACAACCGGTACTTCAAAAGTTCAAATTCGATATCGTTCAGTGAGAAGCCAGATGCTTAAAACAAGGGCTAATTTGTGGGCAATAGCTGGCGATCTGTGTTCGAGAGCGGAGATCCGATCCAATTGAGTGTTCAAATCGTGGAAATATAGAAAAGAGTTGATCCTGAATACCCACTGATGTGATATTCCTTTACCTCAACTCTCGGTCCTCGGAATAAGCTCAAGCTCAAAGCTCATCATGGATGTCATTCTTGCACTGACAAGGGTTAACTTTACAGGGGTGACACAGACCCCCAGCGCTTCTCCACAGGGCCTGGAAGTGCCCCACAATCAAGGCTGACCCACCCGCTCACTGGAAACTTGCATCCTGCATCCAAGCCCGCGATACCTCGATAACCTTCCCCCTTCACCTAATCCGCCATCCGCGACAGCCAGTATGGCACCCCCCGCCGGCAAACGCGTCAAGGGGGTGCAAATCTTCCGCCCCTTTGTGTACGGCACCACGGCCCAGCTGTTCGACGACAAGACCAACCCCAAACCCCCCGGGGTCCCCGACGACCACACCCACTCGTGGACCGTCTTTGTCAAGGGCATCGACGATGTCGACATCACCTACTGGTTGCGCCGCGTTCAGTTTAAGTTGCATGAGTCCATTCCCAACCACGTCCGGAGTGCGTCTCTCTCTCTCTCTCTCTCTCTCTCTTCTACCACCTTTCGGAGTGAACATCAAAGCAGCATAATCAAACTAACACAGACTCTTCCAGTGATCGAAGCCACCAAAAACCAACCCTTCCTCCTCCGCGAAACAGGCTGGGGCGAATTCGAAATCACCATCAAGCTCTACTACGCCCCGGAGTCCTCCGAGAAACCCCAAACCCTCTACCACCACCTGCGTCTCCACCCCTACGGCCGCACCGACGAGGAAAAAGAAACCATGCGCCTCAACGGCGGCGAAGTCATCTCCTGGGCCTACGAGGAACAGCTTTTCAACGAACCTTATGAGCCGTTCTATGAGATCTTGACCTCGGGGGCTGTGCCTGCTTCGTCGGCTGGTCCGTCCAAGAATAGTACGAAACCCACGGCGGGGGGGAAGTCGAAGGAGAAGGGGAAGGATAAGGATGATCAGAAGCCGGTGAGGTCGGAGGGCGGGGTGTTGGAGAGGAGTGCGATGATTCCGTTGACGAATCGGCCGGGGCAGCCGTTCAGTCGGGAGACGGAGACGGTGGAGGTCAAGAAGTTGCAGGAGGCGTTGGTCAAGGTGGAGGAGTTGATGACCAAGACGAAGGCGGAGGTGGCGGGGCGGGAGAAGCGGTTGAAGGAGTTGAAGGCGGAGGCGGGGAAGTGAAGGATTGAGAGAAAGGGACATCAATGGGGGAGGTTGTTGGAGGAGGAGTTTGAGGGTGTGAGGATTGAACGAGACGGAATGGGTGTGTGGGATTTGACATCACATGCCTGGGAGGGGAGGTTGTGACATAGTCAAAACCCACAGGTGGAGGGTGTGCATATTGTGGATTTCGGCCGTTTAACGGATCCCACGTTGGACGACAGGGAGACAGGCGTCAAGGCGTTTCGGTATGTACGGATTAGGTGAACAAAATAGACGAGCCCAACGAAACCTATACAATGTAAGAGGACATTTTTCCCATCTGGGACACGACAATAATCATGCACACCTAGCTGCCCAACAAAACACAAGATCACTGCACACAGCCCAAACGTAAACAACCCGGCAGAATAATAATTTCTGATCAATTGTCAAGTACCTATGTACTGATCTGCTAGCTAGCCTGCTTGCTTGCTAGGTAGCTTGCTTGCCTGCCTGCCTGCTTGTTTGTTTGTTTCTTTCTTGTTTAGTCGAATAGTTCGTACTCAATGAGTGAGGTGGGAGTTTCTTCCAAAGAAAGGCCGACTTCGTGTCAGCCTTTCCATAAAACCAAAAACGCCTTTCCCGGCAGTGGCAGGGTGCCCCCGTTTCCCCCATTCTTTCTTCCTTTCCCTTTCCCTTCCCCTTCTAAATCCCTTCTTCTCCCCTTTGGGGTACTCATACAAATACAGATACAAATAATACATCTTCTTAACAAAACACAACCAGAACAACCAACCAACCAAACAAACCCCAACAACAACCCCAACCCGAGCTCCTTGAGCTAGCTCCATAGCTCCCCGCATTAGTAGCTCTCCATCCATTACCGATGACCCCTCTCTCTCCTTACTCGTATCGTACAAAGCAAGAAAAGCCCAGGTTGGTGGTGGGTGGCCCGATTAAACGGGTTTAGTCGGTTGGTTGGTTGGTCCGGTTCCTGTTCCTGTCCCCGCACACATACATTCATACATGCCCATAATATGCATGTGTGTGTTGCTGCTGTTGCGGGAACGGACGAATACGTTCTTCCATCTTGAAAGGAAAAAATCCCCACACTGGTGAGGTAGTACCCCTCTCCCCCCCTCTCATGCATGGCGTGCATGTCCCCATCCAGATCCATACTCGTACACGCCCTGACTGGACGAAATGCAATGCAGCGACCGACCCGACCGTTGAGAACCACAGACAGAGAACGATAAAAAAAGGAAAAAAAACCAGAGAGGTATAAAAAATACAGTAAAAAAAGGACAAGGTAGAAGAGAATAAAAAGTATAATGGATACGGCCCGTTGGTGCGTCAAAAAAGGGAGTTCCGATGGTCAACCGAGGATGGATGGAGAAAAGGAGCCTTTTTCATCTTTCATCTCGTGTTTTCTTTCTTGCCAATACTTGAGGATTCCATCATCCCAAAATACGGCGTGCCCCGCTCCCCTTTTCCCCTCCATCCATAAACCGAGGGATGATTGATGGATGGATGGGTGGGTTGAGTGGATAATGTCTTTTCCACCCCCCCCACCCACCAAAAACATTGAATGCGAAATGCTTTGCCCGCCCGCCCGACCGACCGAAAAACCCAACCCAAATGAACCGGATATGCAGCCCGACCCAAAAACCGGACCTAATCCGACCCAACCGCAACCCAATCCAACCCACCCACGACTTGCCTGCTGACAAAAAGAGGAACCCCCACAATCTCGAAAAGGCGCTGTTTCGTTTTCCCCCCTTCCCAGGGGGGGTTTTGCTTGGCTTTTAATGCTTGCGTTGCTCACGCGCGCGCGCGCACATGCTTGCTTGCTGGCTGGCTGGCTCGCTTGCTCTCACATGCTGCTTGCTCCCTTTTTTTTAGTTGACCATCCCGCTCCGAAACGCCAGACGAAAACCGTGAACAATAAGCGCAGGGAGTAAAAAAAAGAAGCGGAAGAAAATGATTCCAGAGAAAAAAAAGGATGTGGTTAATGTCAAGGTCGCCGCTCAAAACTCCCGTCCATATGCCAGGTGCAAATTACGCCCCTTCCCTGCCGGCTGCCAAAAAAAACAGTAGTGATGACAAAGGAAAAGCCGAAGACAAAAGAAATAAAAAGATAGGAGAGAATGAAGAGATGCAGATACTCAGTACCCATACCCCCCCCACAACACCCAATACTCAAGCGATACCGCCTGACGCACCGACCGGCCCGATGTCACCCAACAAGACGACGCAGTGCGGCCCCGTGACAGGTGACAAAACATGCCGGCAGGTCAACGACAAACGCGGTTGAAATATTAAATTATTTTTCACCGCGCTTACTGCGCCTCGTACGCCGGTGGGGGCGCGTCGTCGCGGCCGTCGTCCCAAAACGGCGGGTTGCCGTTCTTCTCGTCGTACACCCGCCGCGCAATCTCGCCGGCCATTTTCATGATCCAGGCTTGTTCGAGAATGACGGAGGATGTGTCGGACATTAGGCGGGAAGAGGAAGAGGTCGGGCGCTTCAGGTCGCTTTTGGCCCCCGTAGCAAGAGATGCTTGTGGCTGCTTTTCGGACGACTTTGCTGGTGTGGGTGCTGCCGAGGACAGGTTCAGGTTAGCCATGTCCGCGGAGGGGATGGCTGCTGCATCTGCGGCTCGAAATGAGGGGCCCCGTGCCGTGTGCTGCTGCTGTTGCTGAGGGTCTGGTGACTGACGGCCGAAGCGAACTTTGCTCAACATCGGGTCCTCCTCCGGAACCTCGAGGATCGGGTGAGGCAACGTGGGCTCGGATGCCGGCATGCCGGTCGACGCATCTTCAAAGGTCCCCTCATCTTCCTGCTCGCTGTTGGGTTCTGTCTCGGCCTTGCGGCGGAGGTTAACGACGCGCGTCTTCTTCTTTCGGCCGGCCTTGCTGTGCCGGCCCGAGCCGAGAGACAAGCCAGCAGTCGCCGAGTTGAGGTGAACCAACGAAGGTCTCGAGGACATCGAGCCTTGATCTTGTGAACCGTTGTCTGAGAAGGTGTACGTGTGAGGGCTCGCATAGGAGGATGACCTCGCCAGGTTGGGCGTCGACAATGGCGGCGTGTTGTTGGGGTCGATCTTGTCCGGCCCGGCCCATGCCCGAAACAGAACATCTGTGGTTTCCGATGTGTCGAGGGACGATGTCACCTGGGAGTTGGTGATGTCTGAGAGACGCGAGAGGGTCTTTTGTGAGAACAAAAGCTGGGCCTCGGGCCCCCCGTCAAGAGACAACTCCGAGATGGCGGTGGGGTCCAACAGGTGGCCATGAAGATCCACAGCATCCAGCGGCGGCGTGGCCAGCGGGTTCACACCGGGCTCATCGCTCTCCTCGGCCTCTTCATCCTCCTTGGCGATCTGGTCGGGACACCAGAGCTGGAGCGACAGACGGTGGATGATAGCGGGCAGTTCTTCCATGAACAGCTCCCTCAGCTTGCCCTCGATCGTCCTTTGCAGGTAGTCACGGACAAACTGGATCGAGTCAAAGGTCGACGAGACCTTGAGAGACTCGAGGGGGTCATTTCGGAACACAATCGTCAACCCCTTCTGTTTCGAGAAGACCAAGATGATGAATGCCGAGAGCTTGATCTCGGATAACGTGATCTGCAAGGGTATCGTCAAGCTTGATGCCGCCGCTAGCGGCTGTGGTGACGTGAAGCTCGGTTTCGCTGAGAGACATGTGTTCAGGGGGTTCGCCTGTTGATTGTTGACCATGTTAGCGCATTGCTCTTCGCTCATTTGCGGTTTTAGCGGTGGGTCGGTGCGCGCGACCGCGAACCCCTGTCCACCAATCCACGTCCACCTGTGCACGCCCTGGGCTCTCGGCAAGCGGTTTTGTCGGAATTCTCCAAGCTGCCGGTATCTCCAGAAGCAAGGGGGAGTTGCAAGGGGTCGTCGGGAGCTGGTTTGCCAGAAACTCCCGCACGGGAAATGACGGAAGTCCACGGGTGGGAGCTGCAGAGATGGACGCTTGTCCGTCGTTGAAGCATCGCGGGTGATGAGCTCTGCAGAGCTCTGTTCTGCACGCAGAGGAGCTCTCGGATGAGATGACCTAAGCTTCCAGTGATGCCCAACTGACTGAAGAGCTGCATCTGGCAGCTCAAATCGTGCGAGAAACCCCCGCCTTGCCCCTTGTGCGCCAAGGGAATCTTGGATATGGATGGGGTGATATATGAAACTCCAAGAATCGGCTTTGCTTACCTGCACTCTCGTCTTGAGCGTCAAGAAGGCGTCCCCGGAATAGCACATCTTGAAGATGCCCCTAAACCGGTCCTCGGCCAGATCACCAATCTCAAGGATCTCCAGGTCTGGCGGCACGGACCCCAGGTTGAACTCTGTGACGATAATGTCGTCGACGATGATGGGCGGCTTCGGGGACTTGTTCAGGGCCGTCGTCAGGAGGTCGCGGGCGCGCTTATAGAACCCCGCGTCCGCCGTCAGAGGCGACCAGTTGAAGTTGAAGGCCATGGTGAGCTGGCTGTTCGCTCTATAGATGCATCGCAGGCGGACGGGTTGGACTCGACGGGCCCGGGCGTCGCGGAGTGGAAGGCGCTATTTATTTATTTTTTTTCGCTGTGGCTGGAGCGAGGGGTGGACTCCAGTCGGGCGGTTTACTGCAAAAAAAGCTTTTTTTGCGACGGGTGTCGGGTGTGGTGGATATGCGGCGGATAGCTATCGGGAACGCAAATGCGCTGCGTGTGGCAATGCAGTCGATGCGGAGTGTTGGTTTTAATTTGTTTCGTTTCGCAGCAACTGAAAGCTCGAAAGGTTGCTGAAGATGGGACGGATGGGATGACGCTATGCAGCTGGGTGATGCTGGGGAGCAGTTGGTCTTGAGTGAAATTTCTGGTCCCCCTGTGCCGCGGGCTGGGTTGCAGCGGTCCACGGGTGGCGTGCAGGCCTTGCAAGTCTGCGGGAAAGTGACGCTGTGCTGCCCACCAGCTTTTCCCTGGGCGACCAGGGTCGGTCTCGCGTGCCTGTCCCAAAGACCCGTGAACCCGAGGGATGCCACACAACCAAATTTGGGCGACTGCAATTTTTCGTCCCTGGAAATTACGGTCATGCGTCTCGCTGCCCGGACGTGTAAAACCCGCGAGGTCCTCATTTCCTCTGCAGCTTAATGACTCCTAACTACAATATACACTAGCCTCAACCCCTCAAATTCGGGCAAGACACAAATCTACAATGTTGCAAGCCACCTTGTCACCTTCGAGCCACCTTTGAGACACCCCAGCCACTTCGTTTCTCAGTGGCACCACCCGACACGCTCGACCTCCAAAAAATCGGGATCCCAGACGCGTGGACGATCTTTCGTCAAACCTTGGAACGGTGGGGCCGAGCAAACCCGTTCCCGTCCCGAGGTTCCCCCGCACTCCAAGAGTCGGATCTCGACTGGACCGACTGGACGGCCGGCTTTGCACGCGACCCTGTGGTGGTGCCTGTCCAAGCCCGTTCTGCAAAGAGCCCCTCAAGCCCCTCCAATGCTGCCCACACACGACTGACACGATTGGTATTCGGGCTCCGATGCGTGCTCCGTGAGGCTCGGCCATGCATGTGTGTTTCGTCATTTGGACGGTCCCTGTCCGAATGGGCCAGCACAGGAAGTCGGTGAGGCTTGCAGACCGCGGCAGAGTTCCAGAGCCGGGAAGACCACAGAAAGACCTGCATGCATTCTCTGCGACGCATTGAGCTGGCGGTGAGTTGTCATTGTCAAGACCAATCTCCGATCGTGTTTCTTCCACGATAGCCGAGCCTTTATTTTTACCTCATTCCTTCGTATTTCGAGCTTTCTGTGCATTCTGCCCTGTGCTGCGGGGCTGTCTCCGTCTCAGGCTCACACGCCCCGTTTCGCTGCGAAGCTTGCAGGTGTGTAAATGCAGGAGGTGACCAACAACCCGGGACATTGACAGACACCCCCCCCTCGACCCCCCGGACATTTATAACGATCAAGACGATTGCCGAAATGGGATTGCCAGGGTTGATTGGGGTCGGGGGTCAAAATTTAAACAAAGCATCGTGAGTATGCACAACAAAGCTTTGCTGACCTACTGGGTACGTTTCCGCATTGGAAAAATGGAGGATCGTACTATGAAGGCAAATAAAAAACGGGTCACGTACAATCGTGCAGAAATGACTTCGCCGAATATGGCCGCGACTGCGTTTCTAGACTCCTCTGCCCGCACTAAGTCTCGGCGCAACGATCAACCCCAGTTTCGACATCAGCATCGTCAACGTCAGCATCATCAGCATTATCAACTTCATCCATGAGGTCCATTGAGGTCCATGAAGTCCATAATGTCGACGACTACTCAGTGGCCTTCCAGCACACCAGTGCTCTCCATATCGGAGCCCACAGACTACAAGTTCAAGTTCGTCGGCGAGGGCGCGGCCAATTATGTGTTTGAAGTTCTAGTGCCGCCTAGCCACGAACTTAGCAGTCTCTTCGAGAGTATGTCATATCTTTTTTTTTCTTTCAGGCTTACAACAAACCATTGGCCTTCTCCAATACTAAGACTCTATATGTGCGCGTAGGCCATTTATTACGAGTTCCCAAAGCAGGAACCAAAGCACACAGCTATGTAGAGCTACATGAGCATTGGCAGACGGTGGTCAGCCCGCTGTTTGAACCGCAAGACCTGGTAGACCAACGGCTCATTCAATTGAACGAGGGCGAAGAGCTCGCGGCCCGCTTGAACGCCGTCCTTGAAGATGAAGAACATGCCCGCCGGGCCGACTTCAAAGGCGGCCGCGTGGCCGTGGCCGAGTACGGGATGTTAGTGGAGGATATGCGGCAGAGTACGTTACCTACCCACTTCTGTTTGCTTCCCTTCTTCTCGGAGGATGATGAACCGGTTCGTTCGTTATTGACAACTCTCCCCCTCAACCAGAACGTCCCGATGACCTCGCCTTCGAGTTCAAGCCCAAATGGCTTAGCCAGTCCCCGAGCGCCCCTCCAACAGCCACACGCTGCCGCAACTGTGCCCGCGAACCCATCAAAATCGCCAAACTCCTCAAACACAACCCCAAATTCACATCAACCACCACCATCACCACCATCACCACCATCCCCTCATCCCCCTCACCCACCTCCTCCTCCTCCTCTCTCTCCTCAATCGATCCCCCCACCTCCCCATCATCATCATCTAATAATCCCGCAGCATCCTTCCTCTGCCCCTTCAACTTCCTCACCTGCCCGCATTCCCCCACCGCCCTCCAAAACGTCCTCACCCACTTCGCCACCGCCCTTCAACCCCCCATTTCCCCAGCCACTTGCTCCCCGTCCCAATACGCCCGCCTCACCCACTGGTTCCAAACCAACACCCTCCTCCCTCGTCTACGCGACGCCCAAGTGGCGCACGACCGCATTGGACCATTGGGTACGGATCTGTCTCCAGATCCTCACAACGGCGACGGGGACGGGGACGCGAACCAGGAAGGCGGCGGGGGAGAAGAAGGCAAACAACCGAATGGCACGGGGAAGGGGAAGGGGAAAGAAGAAGACTTACCGCTGGCCATGACCCTCCGCGACTGCGCGTGCTTCGTACGGATCCCAGCCGACGAGACACTCCCGCTGGAAGCCAAGCTCGCCGACCTCGACAAGAAGAACCGGACTGCTAAGCTGAAGTATTGGCGGGCGACGGAGCAGATGTTGACTGATGGGGGGTATTATGAGGGCAGAGGGGCTGGTGTTGGGGGGGTTGAGGTGGATTGTCAGTTGGATGTGGATTGTCAGTTGGATAACATTTGAGGGGGAGGGGGAGAGGAGGGAGTGTGTAAGGAGTGAGAGGGGGGTGGGGGTTGCATGGTTTTCTTTTTTTGGTCGGAGAAGAGGGAGCAGGAGGATATAATTATGGTCGAGTGGGGGATGCATACACAAATGGCGGTCAGACTGGGGGTCATAGGGGGAAGGTTATAGAGGTGCATAATGCTGGTGAAAATAAGGAAACATGGTTGCTCGCATTTGGCAAGGATAGTATGTGAGTTTGCGGTCTTTGTAAAGGTCTATTACTCTAGACAGAAAAAGACAAAGAAAGAAATAATGTATGTTATGCTCAACGCCGTATCCTAAATGGAAAAAGAGAAACCCGCCCCCAAATGCTGCATCATCCAAATCCCACTCTCTTATATCCACCCCCAAACCAGCACTTGTTCTGTGTACCACGGACCCCCACGCTGACTTGCCCTCGTCAGACCCCCGCGGCGGTGAAGCTTAACATGCTACCGAGCGCCAAACCCCCCACGAGGCACATGCTCATGAAACCGCCCGCAGCCTCCCTCTCGTCCTCAGCCACCCACTCACCAGCCGCCATCATGGCGCTCGAACCGAGCCACCCATTTGTCAACCCAAAGGGGAACTGCACCAGAAGCAGGTAGAACAAATCACTCGACACCACCGCGCCACGCCCGTGCAGGTTACACAGCATATACAGGGGCAAGAACGCCCACCTGACCATACCCAGGGCAAACAACGCCTTGGGTCGCTGCCTCAACCACCCAAATGCCGGCGCCATGGTCGACACCCGGCCCGTCAGATCACCGAGGTTCCAGAAGAAGAACCCGAGCGGGATGAACGCGCCCGGTGAAAACAACTTGCCCGATTCCGACGGGTCGTGCACCGACAGGATCTTGGCCGTGTACACGGGGAAGAACATGGCCGCGACAAAGCACATGGCCACCGAGGCCGCGATCCAGCCGAGCTTACGGAAGAGCGTGGTGATGGGCACGTAGCGGCGCGCCTCAGCCGCGCTGGCGGAGGATCCCAGTGTGGTGACGGACGAGGCGAGGTCGGCCTCGGGCGGGGTCAGGAGACGCTCCTCGTGCAGCCGTTTGCGCCGGCGCACGAGGGGGATGAAGGCCACGAGGGTTATGGCCGAGATGATCACGGCAGTGAGGAAGTAGGTAAAGGCGGCGGTTCCGCCCTCTGAGGCAGGGTCGCTACTCGATGGCTGCTTGGTAGGTGGGATCCCGGGGGACGTGTCGGTAAAGATGAGGAAGGAGACCATTTGTGTCAAGGGCGGGAGAATACCGGCGACCCCTTGTCCGGCCATGATAGCTTGCGTGTACTCCGGTCGGCCGAAACTAGCAGCGAAGGAGAAGGCGCCGTTCTGCATCAGGCCAGACGCCAATGCAGTCAGGGCCACCGTGAGAAGCAGAAATACTAGGTAGACCGACGGGGCGACGCCCAAAAAGTGTGTGGTCGAGATGGCCAGCAAGGCGAACACGACTGCATTGATGTAGAGCGAAACGTTGATCCGGAATGCGTAGTTGGCCGAAGACTGGATGTTGGTTAGAATGATCATCGTCGCCAGGTTCACCACGGTCGATGTCGTCAGCACCGCCGACTGCGAGTTGGCGTAAATCCATGGATCGGACACGAAGCGCGTCTGGAAGTAGGGAGCAGCGGCAAGAAACATGTTCCTGAATCGGCCAACATTAGCGGGAGTCAACCAGCCAACATGAAGATTGTAACATACCACGCCCATAACATCGCAACGCCAATCAAGGCGAAAATGAAATATTCCACCCATGAAAATGGCGACCCATCATCGTATCCTGACCCCTCGAGCGTCCCCGAGTCGTCATCCGCCAGCGGCTCATACTCTTCGGCGTCCGTCTTTGATGACCTGAAAAAGGCCCTAATGCGATCCATCCTAAGCCAACTAGAAATCCCAAACAATCCAAAACCAAATATAGGTGGCGTTTATAGGAGGGCGTTCGGTTCGATGGTTCTGCGGAATTGGTAGATGCCCTCCAACGCCAGGCAGGTAGATCGACGGGTTAATCGAGGACCGCGGGGCGAACGGATTGTCGCGACGTAATACCTCCAAAGCGTCGGCCGCTGCTTCGGGCTCGAAGTGAGCGAAGAGAGTGTAACACTTGAAAACTACCGCGTCTTCATTTCGGTCGCGGGGCAGGCACCAGAAGAGTCGCGCAAGCAATCGGTTAAATCGTCATGTGGGGAGAGAGTTGTTGGTTGCTTGTCCTGGGACAGAAAGGGTCACACGGCGATGACTGCGCCGGATAAGCAGCTGATAAGATAAGAGCCGGACCGTTCCGCATGCTCCAGTCTTGGCATCCAGATCGGCCTCCTTCGCAGGCTAACAAGCCGTGATTTCTCCCGATTCACTTTTCATTAACTACGAGATGGACTCAAACAATGGAAACTTTGTTGTATTACTCGATCAAAATGCCATTCCTTAGTTCTGGAATGCAAAATATCCCACAACTCTTCCCCCAAAGATAAGATAACAACCCCCGTGCTCCTTACAAATACCAGACAACCCAAAATTGGTTCCCCGAAATTCCCACCTAATACAACTGCAACTGCCCCACGACCTCCATCACGACCAAACCCCCACTACATAGTAGTATTACGTCGTACTCCGTCAACAAACCGCCAACTGCCGACGGTTGTCAACAACCATCACTCACCCACCGTCACATCACAACCGACGAGGTGGAGAGGCGCTAAAGAGTTAACTAATCCAGTCTCACGCGACCCGTCATGCGGCCACCCACGTGACGTCCACCGCATGCGATGCAAGTATGTCGTGCATTGTTGGTAGAACTGAAAAGTCGAAGAAGAAAAAAGCAATCGCTCGCAAGAAAACACAAGACATGAAAAAAAGTAGGTAGGTAGTCGAGAAAGGCCGAACGGGAAGCCCAAAAAAATGATATAAAAAGATGGCGAACTCGTTTCATCCGTCATCTCATGGGGTGGATCATAGCGGCGGCATGTCCAACACGCAACGGAACGCACACAAATCACACACACAATCCGAGCATTTTTAGATGAAAACCGCTTCTATTTAAAGTCTACCTCCGCTGTCATGAACTATTAACGTTATCGCCCTAATTGTATATTACTCATCCCAGAAATCAAAACCGTCGTCTACCCAATCCTACTCGGTGTTGTCCAACGGGAACCGGTCGGTAAACTAGAGACTCGTTAGCAAGCTTGTACGTAGACCAAGAGGGAAAAAAAGGTAAAAGTAAACATGGAACTCACCTTGAAAGTCGCCAACCCAGCCTCAATCCCCTTCACAATATCCTCAACCGCCGTCTCACTGTACACACCCTTACCACTCGTTGGCACACTCGTGCTCTTGAAAGCGCCCGACGCAGACCCGACCGCACCAACGGGCTTGCCCCACCGGTACGCATCCAACAATATCTGTCCAGGCCGACCGGCCGGGTACAGGGTAGACGCCGACGTGGAGTTCGCCGCAAACAGGCCCTCAGCCCCGGCAGCGACCACCACACCATCAAACCCGGTAGCATCCGCCGCTGAGTACGTCTGATCAACCCCGTCACCGAGCCTCTCCGCGACCACGGTGACCACGACGCCGTCCTTGGTCAGCGCCTCCTTCAGCTCGCCCGCCTGCTGGACCGAGCTACCGTTGTTCGCCAACGCACTCGCCAGGATACCGACGCGGAGTGTGGCAATGGGGATGTCGCCGCTGCCAAAGACCGACACGCTCTCGGTGACATTGTTGTGGTAGTAGGTATCGTCCGCGGCGGGGGCCTCCAGGCCTAGGGCCGAGGCCACGCGCACGGCGATGTCGTGGCTGATACGGTTCAGCTGGATGAGCACATTCTGCTTGACGGTGGCGGACTGGACGTGGCTGGTCTCGAACCGGATGGCGTTGATGAGGAACTGCTGCTCAACGGCCGAGAGCGAGTTGTAGAAGAGACGCGGCTGCGTCCAGTGGTCGTTGAAGGTCGGCGAGACGAGACGGACGTACTCGTCACTAGGACGGCGGCCGGGCGCGGTGAAGAAGCCCCGGCCCACGGTCTGGTTGGCCTGTTGCGGGAAACCCTTGTTGAGGGTGTTGGGAGAGTCTGGAGGGACATGTTAGAATGGTGATGGGAGGAAAGTGACTAAAACAACAGCAATAGGGGAACTCACAAGGAGCCGTGTTGGTGTGGATAAAGTTCTGGCCGGCACCGTCACGGTTGTTGTTGTGGATAGGGACCACAGGACGGTTGATGGGTAGCTGCTCAAAGTTGGGGCCGCCGTGGCGGTTCAGCTGCGTGTCGAGGTACGAGAAGATGCGCCCCTGCAGCAGAGGGTCCTCGGAGAAGTCGACGCCACGCACAATGTGGCCGGGCTGGAACATGGCCTGCTCCGTCTCCGCGAAGTAGTTGGTTGGGTTGCGGTTCAGTTTCATCACACCGAGCTTGGTGACAGGCACGATGTCCTCGGGAACGATCTTGGTGGGGTCCAGGAGGTCGAAGCCGTACGCCAGCGCATCCTCCTCGTTGACAACCTGCACGCCGAGCTCCCACTCGGGGCCGTTGCCCGACTCGATGGCGTCCCACAAGTCCTGGCGATGGAAGTCGGAGTTCTTGCCGGCAATGATCTGCGCCTCCTCCCAAACCAGACTGGCCTTGCCCTGACGGGACTTCCAGTGCCACTTGACCAGCTTCGACGAGCCGTCATCCTTCACGAGGCGGTAGGTGTTGACACCAAAGCCATCCTAGCAAGCGTTAGTGGTCGATCCGACTGAGGAGGTCAGTGAGGTCCTCACCATATGCCGGAAGCTGCGAGGGATGCCGTGGCCGGCCATGGCCCAGAACAGGGTGTGGAGAGTGCTCGGCTGCGAGCTGAAGAAGTCCCATGCCGAGTCGTGGGCGGTGGCGCCTTGGGGGATCTCATTATCCGGTCGCGGCTTGACTGAGTGGATGAGATCGGGGAACTGGATAGCATCCTGGATGAAGAAGACGGGGATGTTGTTGCCGACAATGTCAAAGTTGCCTTCGTCGGTGTAACTGCGCGAATGTCAGCCATGCTCATCTCATCTCATCTCATCTCATCTCATCAAAAACAACTCTTCACGACTTACAACCGAGTAGCGAACCCGTGAACATCCCGAGCAGTGTCGGCACTGCCACGGGAACCCGCCACCGTCGAGAAGCGGACAAACACAGGCGTCTGCTTGTCGGCAGCACCCAGGAAGGACGCAGCCGTGAGGTTGCTCCAGTCGCCATAGCTGGTGAAGGTGCCGTGAGCACCAGCGCCACGGGCGTGGACAGCCCGTTCGGGTACCTAACGAAGGATACGCGTCAGTCAACGTCTCGGGACCGTGCACGAACCGAGTGTCTCAGATGGGACCCGATCACCAACCAGGGCCGGTGTGTGTGCCTGTGGTGTATGTGTGATGAGTGCGAATGTGGGTCTTTACTCACCCGTTCATGGTCGAAGTGCTGAATCTTCTGGCGGAAGATGAAGTCCTCAAGCAGCGTCGAGCCTCTCGCACCGGCCTTCAAGCTGACCTGGTCTTCGATGGGGCCGCCCACATCCGAAGTGAGGTAACCTTCGCTGTCGTCCACCCGGAACTCCTCAAGGATGTCGTCTGATGCTGGCGGCGCATCATCCCGCCTCACGAGGGCGGCGGGGTCGGCGAAGGGGCAGGCTGCCTGGGACAGTCCCAAAAGACTGCCCCATGTGAGCAGGGTTGTGACTCTGCTGTGCATCGTTACCGAAGTTGCTGGGATGGCTCGTGGGGTGATGAGCTTCAAGCCGTAAAAGAAGAGAAGCAGAGCCGTGGTGCGAGCGGGACAAGCTCTTATACTAAACATATACGGGGGTCCGGTCACGATGTCGGCGGGTCCGGGGTATCCATGGCCATGGGGCAGCGGGCATTCATTTGATGCCAAGATGTATTTCCTCCTGCGTCCACGTAAATCTCCATCGGCCAAGCAGTGACGATCGGCATCGCTGTTCATCCACTCCTCCCCGAGTTACCACTCTGTTTGTGACTGGTGTGGAAGGCATTGGCCGTCCCAGGGGTATGCCGTCCCGGGGCAGCCGCACCCGGACTCCCGGTCCAACAACCTGGTGCCAAATAACAAAACATGGAAAGCTGATCGATTTATTGCCGTTTCTCTTGCTTGGCGGGAGCCAAAAACGGCCAACGACCAAACATCCAGCTAGCCAGCGCGTGCCGCTGACCTCGAGGGGCTTACCGGGTGTCAACACAAGACAGGCAGCTCGGGCTTCAGGTACACACAGTACGGATATCCATCACAGCACAACTCCACACAGTGTGGACATGTGTATGTATATCGGCCCGCTCTGTTGGGGGGTCGAAGGCCCAGGGGGAACGTGCATCGGTTGCACACACGGGAAAACACCAATGGCATCATCCACATTTTCACTGGCCCGTCAGAATAAACACAACCCCAAGAGCGGTCATGCCCCCCAACGAGTCAACAACGTGGTGGCACCTGTACTTCGTACCCACTCCGTCGTCAGCGATCCCGGTTGTGCGGGCTCAACCTCCGCTATGCCGCAATTGCTAGGGTTGTCGGTGTCTTACCCTTTCGTACAGTACGGTGGAGTTGCCAAATTCAAACAAAACCCCTCTCCCCATTCTTCGGTGGACGGTCTGTGTGCCTGCGGCGCGGCTCAACTGCAAGTAGCTACACAGTAACATAAGTTGTTTTGATTCCACACACTCACTGCATGGCTTTCCCACATGCCTTGGGGAGCACCGCATCGATGGTTACACAACAGGGCGACCCCTAGTCGAGATGTCGAGTCGGGTGGGGGCGATGGTGTGTTGATGGTTGGCTTGTCGTCAGCGCGAACAGCTTTGGCTGACACACGGCGAGTAAAGTTGCTTTCCGTTTCCTCTCACGAGATTGCTGCTACCTATGATATGTCATCCAACTCCAACTTTAGAGGTACCCGGCGAACAACCGCAGACAGATCAAACCCTACTGGAGCGGTTCCTGTGCGGGTCAAGAGGTTCCGAAAGATACGTCGGACGTCCCGGTCTCGGGGCTCGGGAGCGGCGAACCTCAATAGCCGTGTACCCGTGCCAGCCAAGGCAACGAGGGACCACTTCCATTCCGGTTATGACACGGATTTACACGGTATCGGGGCGATGGTGGATTCAAGTTTTTTTTCCCCATCTCCATAGCTCCGAGGAAAAGAATCATCGAGAAAGCAACGTCGTCGGTATCGGCAAGGCAAGCGGCGGTCGCTGTGTCTAGATGCAACGCTTTCCCGCACCCCTTAATCTCTCGAGATGACGGGTTGCGCTCCGGGGGTCGATACCGGGGTGCAAACTGCCGTCGGGGCGCGCTGGTCATGGCCGCGAGGGTTGCATTGCATCGAAGCGGGCGGCCCCCAATGAATGATGGAGCAAAAACCAGGTCAAGGTAGAAGAAGTTACTGCGTATGTGAGTTTTGCTGTCGCATCTGGAAAGTTGCACCAGCACCGTATCAACCCTTGGCAGTACATACGAAGCACCCAATTGTTGCGCAGTTGAGAACTTGGGAAACAAAACGGAAAAGTCCAAAGGCTGGCCAGACTCGCAAAACCACCTGTTGGTTCGGCAATGTTTCGGTTCCCGGTAGTACCTTCCTCCGCCAGGCCCCTCATGATCTGATCAATGTCTGGATTTGAGGAAGGTGCTTTCGAGTTAGGTCTTCTTGGGGAAGGAAAAGAGGAAGCTTTGTTGAAAACGGGTGGATCCCGCTGCATCCATCCACAGCGCACAACGCAAGGTGCCGCTGTATCATCCCAGGTTGTTTTCGACCATTTCGCTAGGGAAAAGATCGTCTTGCTTTCAGGCAATATATCGCGGCATGGCCTGCGGAACGACGATTGACTCTCTCGGAAAAGAGGGACACGATCGACGGGCTCAGAAACGCTGCGAGGGACCGTGAATCCGAAGATCTGGATAACCAGTCGCAACAACTTCTAGTTAGTGTAGAGAGGCGCCACACAAGGACTCTTCCACCAACCCCAGGATGATTCATCAGAATTTCCGATTCGGGCAGTGGGCTGCTACAGCTATCTTTCACCGACGGCCGTTTCTGCAGGTTTAATCGGCCGTCAAGACTACCCATCTCGTCACGCTATCACGTCTAATAACTAAGGCCAAGAGTAGCCCAAGGGCAGGTGACACCATTTATTTTTGGACAGGCATCATCACACTGAGTCAAGCAGCAAACGAACAAAAAATCGAACGATCCCAAGGAAAATAAGCGCCACACCTGACCACTGACCATCATTCACCGCCTGAACAAAAGAAGCAGATCCGTCGACGTCGGCTGGAAGTCCGGGCAGCTGGCCGTTTGCCCGGGTACAACGCACGCCATGGATATCATGCCAAGCCGCCGAGAGCAAACGTCCGATCCCATTGCTCGCCAAGCTGCAGATGTGGGCTGACGATTCCACCAACTGCCATTGGAGACGTCCGGCATGCTGGGATCATGGAATATTGTGATGCTGTGCACATCGAGACCATGAAAGATACTCGACTTGGCATGCAGAACGTCCGGGCCATCACATCGTCTCTCTCTGCGAATTCCCATTGTCGGGAGCCTTGGGTGGTTTGACCGCGGGTTTTGTCGGCGGCTAAGGTTCTCGGGCCTCGCTAGGCCGTTTCTTGCTAAGGCCCCGGCTTGGCGAGCCCGGACCCGTCTTCGAGCCGCTCCAACTCCCGCTGAAGATCTCCCCACGCGTTCGATTCACTGAGGAAAGTTTTCGGCTTCGATCCGAGTCCCGCCCATTGTGATCGGGGCCGCGGCTTGCGAAGGGCAGCAGGAGCTCATGGGGTCAAGAAGAATCTCCATCCTACCAACCTCAGATACTGTACCAACATATGGTGGTAGTCGGCCTGCTTTTCAAATTCTTCCATCATTATTTTTTCCCACTCGCTCTCGGTAATTTGTCCATGCATCTCGCATCGAATATCCCGATCAAAATCTGCCCTTACCCGAATCGTAGGTTGGTAGGATTGGGGGCAATGCGTGTGGGTGGATGCTGCACTGCTGCCAGGTACAGAGCCTTGTCATTATTAAACACCCATCACATCCCGCGCCCGCCGCAATATCGGAGCCGCTTTGAACCACAAATGGGAACTTTTGGAGGACGGGCTCGGTTGCATTGCTTCGCGCGAGAGCGACATCATCGAAAGAACTTCCAAAGGAAAATCGTTTATATCCCTCAAAAATCTAAACTTCTCCGAAAAGCCCCCGTTGCCTATATATAAATCGTAAAGTGGGTATCGATAACATGCAGCCGTAGTATGCCCGCGCATGATGAAGTGCTTGCTACCTTATCTTAAACAAGGACCAAATACCAAAACGGAGACAAGAAGAAAAACACCAGAATGGGAAATACAACCCAAACTCCAAGTCTCGACGTACCTATCCATCCATCCATTGCTTGTCTGACGAGTGAAACCCACCAATCCCACCTCCCGATTAAGACGTCACCTTTTCTCTTCGTCCCCAAATTCTGGCATCCTCAGCGAGCCGTGTTGAGGTCACCACGCGTTCTTCGTGTCCGCCGGGGTGGTTCCGCCGCTGGAGCCTGTTCCTCTTTCACCACGGCCGCCTCAACGGCGAGGACTTTTTGCTTCTCTTCTTCTTCTTCACCTTGATGACTCTCCTTACCCTCACCGCCCTTCTGACCACCTCCATCTGCTCCCAGCTGACTCAGTTCATCATTCTCCAGCTTACTCCCCTCCAACCTACTGCCCCCTTCCCCCCAAACCCCTCCCACAACCTGCTCTTCTCCAATCCAACCCGCTTCCACCGCAAACCGCACCACTTCCCCAGCACTCGGGAAACTCAACACCCCACGTGGCGCGGCCGGGTCCAGGTGTGCTCTCAGCTCTGCCGTCTCACGGCGGAATTGTCGCAGTGCAGCCCTGTCGCTGCTGTGGCTATCGCCTCCTCCATCATCTACCTCATCGCTCCCAGCGTCCCCTTTCCCTTTCTTACTCTTGCTCTTGCCCCCTTTCCCAGCAGCCGCCCTCCCATCCCCCTTATCCCTCCCCACCTTCGCCCCAAAGCTCTGTACCAGATACACATACAAATACGCCAGCCACAGAACGTTGGTATACGGCCGGTACGCCCGCCAGGAGATGGGGCGGTTGGTCACGGGCGAGATGGGGTACGGTGTGGTGTGCTGGCTGGGTGGGAGCAGCGGGACGCGGTCGTGGGAGATGAGGTGGGAGCGCATTTGGCGGTAGATTTGGCATTGGGGCGCGTGGGTGGATTGGAAGAGGGGGAGGTCTTTTTCTAGGTCGTAGGCTACTACTCCTGATGGGAGGGGTGGTGATTCTTCTTCTGGGTGTGCGGATGTTTGCACTGCTGATGGTGATGAGGCTGCTGTCGTGGTATCTTCTGTGTCTTTGTGAATAACACTGTCGTCGGCGTCCTCGTCGAAGAGGTAAGAGGAGTCTGGGTCGGTTGCGCGGGAGAGGCCGTAGTCAAGGATGGTGATGTCCAAGCCGGAGAACCCGAACCGGCGCTCGCTATCTGCTTCTGTCGCAGGTTTTGGCTTGGGAGGTCTGACCCGGCGGATACAGAGGTTCCCCTCATGGAGATCACGGTGCTGCAATAATAGTCAGTCGCCAGCCCAAACCCAGCAAAAGGGGTAACCGAGTAAGAACAGAGGGGGAAAAACTCACCTCAAACTCCACCATATCCTCCGCCCTAGCTAACGCCAACGCCGTATGCAAAAAGATATCCCACACCTGACTCACCGAGCTCAACTCAAAGTCCTCCAACGCCGTGCCAGCATCCCCAAGCTCCACCACCAAAAACCGCGTCTCCTCCAAATACCGACTCGGCGAAGGATAAAACTGCAACCGATCCGGATCCTGCCTCTTCACCTTCTTCTGAAACGCCTGATGCGTCTCCAACAACGCCTTCGTCCCCTTGCCCTTTACCACATACTGCTCCTTATACACCACAAACCCTGGGATATCCGCCAACCACTCCGAAATCCTCAACTCCCCCTGCATATCCTCCTCATCATGGGGCTCTTCATCAACCAAGCCAGACCGCTGCTGGGCTTTGGTCTGGGGCTTGATAGGGGAGGAGAGTCGCACGACTTTGATGATGGAGGTGCCTTGGGCGTTGGTGATGCGGTAGACTTCGGCGAAGGAGGCTTCGGCAATCTTGTCGATGCGGTCGTGGGGTGTGCAGACGTCGGACCAGGTGAGCGTGCGGAGACCGTCGAAGAGGGAGGTTTCGCCTTCCTCGAGGTAGGAGTTCTCCTCGTCCACTAGGCCGTCCTTTGCCGGCTCGTCAGGTAGATGGTTCTCTTCTTCCTGGGGTGACTGGATTGGCGTGGTGGTACGCTTGCTGCTTTTTGGAGCCTCTGGTAACGGCAAAGGCGTATCCTCTTGATCCCTTTCCCTTTCCCGCCGTGGCACCGCCCTCTCCTCAAGCACAGTAGATTCCAGTTGTTGTGCCAAATCAACCATCTCATCCCCAAGCTGCCTTTCCGAACTCAACTCTGCATCCCCCCCTTCCAATCCCGTCCCCATTTCCCGTCCCGACTCCTCCATCTCCAACCCCGACGACACCAGCCCCGTTTCCAACTCCGGTCCCGACCCTAGCTCCGACCTCACCGGCGACTTGGGGAGTTCCGCAAACAGCGCCTCAGCCGTCTGTTTCCGGGTCGTCCGCCCATATTTCCGCAGTGTTGTCGTTCTCGTCATGGCGAAATGTAACCGGGTTTCACTTTATCCGCTTCCCACATCGGTGCAAAGGCTGGTTCAAGGTCGAGGTCATGGCATTATGTCGAGGTCGGAAGGTGCTAAAAGTGGATCCGAACCGCTGCATCTCATTCGTGTTTGGGCAGCGAGAGATGTTGGCGGGGCAACCAATGTGCTCGATCGAGGACGATCAGGTGCCTGACATTTGAAGGAGGGAAAGTGTAACAATAGCATTGATCAAAGAACAGAGAATATATAGGCCATGCCATCCAAAAGTAGACATTATTTCATTTTGCATGATACAACGCATACGTACAATCGCTCCAACCGTCCCGCTCTTTTCACGACACAACAACCCGCTAGATCGCCCCCCCAAAAAACCCCCATATATATCCCCTGGCCCCGCCCAGAAAAATTATTACATCAGACTACCCCCTCATAGTCTGCCGCTTCATACTCTTCTTCAGCTCCTTCTCACGCTCACGCTCCAGATACTTCTTCTGGCCCTTAGGGTCCAGGGCATTCAGTTCCTGGTCGCGCTTGGCCTTCTTAGCACGCTCGCGCTCCAGCGCCCGTTCCTCGGCGCGGCTCTCCTCGTCCGCCTTCTGGATCTGCTTGGCCACGCCCTCGCGCGTCTGCTTGATCTTGCGGAGCGTCTCGGGCCGGAAGTGGGCCCGCTGCGCGAGCAGATCGGGCAGGCGCACCAGCTGCCGGAAGAGTGGGACGAGGTTGGTGTAGTCGTTGCTTGAGGGCAGGCGGTACTTGAGGAAGAGGCGCTTGCGGGGAGTCATTTCGTTGAGGCTGTGGTTTTTTCTTTTTGTCAGTACCAGCGGCGGATAGAGTAGAATGGAAGCGCAAAAAAGAAAGAATGCTTACCTCTTGGGCTTGTCAATCGGCTGGTCCGAGACGATTAGGTACTCAAACGAGTCGCCAGCAGCCTCAGCGGCCTTGATCAGCTCCGGAGTAAGCAGGGTGTTGGTCACCTCGGCATTCTCGCTCATGACGGTCAACCAGTTAGGCAGGCTGGAGTGGTCCTTGGTCACAGTGAGCGACACGTCGTAGCGGTCCTCACGGAGCTGCTTCATGCGCTCCTTATGGACCAGAGCCCACACAAACCCGTCATAGGTGCTCTTGCCGGTCTCCTTGGCACGCAGCTCGGCAGCGCCGGGAAGACCGGGTACGAGCTGAGCCTCCTTGCCGTCAAAGGGATACAAGGTAGCCTCGAGGACATCATGGCTCTCACCGACGCTGTCGACGAAAAAGCTGAAGGCGGTCTCGAAGAGCACGGTCAGCGGGTTGAAGCGCTTGAGCAGGGTGAGCTTGACGTCGAGGAAGGCGACGTTGGCGCGGCCGGTCGCATAAGTCGCAAACTCGAACAGGCTCTTCTCCTTGAGGAGGGCATCGCCCTCCTGCGCGTTCGCGTCGGCCAGGGCCTGCAGGAGCTCGTCGCCCTGCTTGCCCGACGCCCGCTGGGGGATGCCGGAGAAGCCGACGGACGCAAACTCGGAGGTCAGCGTCGCGGTGTGGGCGCGAATCCACTGCTTCGCCTTGTTCCGGTTCAGACGGGCGCCAACGAGATGGAGCAGCAAGACCGCGGTGATCACGGCCAGGATGATACCCTCGGTCTTGAACTCGGACAGACTGTGGCGTTCGTGGACATTGTACCACTTGCTGTAGGGCTGCAGGGTCTGGGCGGCACCGAAGGGGTTCGCGGACGAGACACCAGGCGCGACGGGCGCCGGAGACGGGTCGGCGGCTTGGGAGAAGTCGGCAAAATCTGGTCACGCCGTCGTCAGTCGACGAAGCTTGGAGAAATTTGGGGGAGGTAGCACCGATGAGACACTACACTGCGAGTCGAGACGCGCATCGGACTATAACAATTGGAGAGCTTGCTTACCGGCGTCACCAGCTGCCTGCGCAGCATCGGGGCCGTCCGAAGGCTTGGCCCCGAAGATGTTGTTGAGCACGCTCGCCATGGTACTTGTGGCCAACTTGTGTCTCGTGGCTTTTGCGCGTGCGTTCTACAAAACAGGGGATGGAATGGAGGATTCCAGAGCTTCAAGAAAACCAATCAATTGGGATTAGGGTCCGTGCTTTTCCACATGTGGCCGAGACCCACCCGAGCTGACCGTTGAGGATTTGCAATGATTGGATTACATCATCAATACTGAGGATCTTGTATTCTTTCATCCCATCTGCTTTCATACTTGTCGTGGTAAATTCAAGGCCGGCATGAACATGTCTCCCAATTTACGGAGTAAAACTGCATGATACAGTCAAGAAAATGATGAAACCCATAACAAAAACAAAAACAAAAACAAAGCCATGATCCCCACCTCCCTAACAAGCGCCTCCTCCCAAATATCCCTACGCCTCATCCTGAGCCAAAAGATCCTGAACCCTCTTCACCTTCTGCTCAGCCGTCTGCGCCTTATCCGTCCTTCATCCCCAAAACCACATTAGCCCTGCCAATCTCAAGCAACCCACCCACAGGAATAATCCCCAGGTCCAGTTAATGTAATTACTCACCTCGACCCAACCCTCATGGAAGTCTGAACCCTCACCACACCCGCCTGATGCACCACCGAATGAGCCTGCCCCACCACCTTCATGACCTCGTCCCAGCTCCCTTCTATACCCCAGTGTCAGTCAGTTTTTCTTTCTTTATTTTTTTCTAAAAAAAAAAAAAGCCATGCTATCATATCATCATCAACCAAACTCACCAACCGTAGTCCCAGCAGAGTGCATGGTATAAACCAACCCACTAGCCTTAAGCAGTTTCTGCACCTCGGCGACTTCCTTAGCCACCGAGACATTTCCGGTGCCGACCTAGACGACCAGAGTTAGTCATCCAGTGCTCCATTAGCACCAAGTGTTATCAACAAGTATCAACAGGTCAGAAAGGAATGGCTAACAGGAACCAAGCAAAAGTCAACGTAGCACCTGGCCGGGGTCGGAATGGTGGAGTAATCGGTCGAGGTCGAGGCCATGGTGTACCGTGGGATAGAGTGAGAAAAGCACCGAGGGAGAGGAATGAGAAGACTTTTAGAAAGTGGTGTGTATGGTAACCTTGAGGTTGGAGATAGCACGAGATGATGTCGTTGAGGAATATACCGGAGACACATCTTGGCTTGCACAAAGTGAAAAGGGATGCGGGAACAGAGCAGTGTGGGGGGCTTAAACACTGCAGAGATCCAATGGCTCCACTGCTGCTCACATCTTCTCTTCCGGATTGAAACGCTCTCTTTTCTCTTCCCTAATTACGAATTACTGCTGTGAGTACCTCACAAAAGAACAGGGGAGAACGCAAAATCTGCTTCGTTTCGCTTACATTCATTTCATTAATTCAAAGCACCAATGATCAGAATGAACACACCCAAGATATTTCTCCGTTTCCCCCTCGACAAAATGATTGACTAACCAACAACTGTCAATTTAAGAGTAATCCCAGCGATTGCTTTACACGCAAGATCCACCCACATTTATTCCCTTCGAGTCTGAGTTTAACCTCCTGAAAGTTCGCACGATTACATCCCATCCATCGCCGCCTTCTCCTTCGACTCTCCCATCGGTCTTCATCCTCTTCAAGCGTCCCACCATACGTCATTGTGCTTCCGCCATCCCCAACTCCAAGCCCCCAACCATATGGTCCTTCTTCTTCACCATGCCATCCCACACGCCATCATCCATCAAGCTCCCTCCCCCACCAACCCACCACTCCCCAACTCCCTAGCATGTGTACCTGTTGGCTTGTGTGCTGTCTAGTCTCTGCCCGCGCCATCAGTGTGTTTTTGCCCGCGCCATCAACGGGAATAGTGACAACGAGGAATTCGGTTCGCCTGTCGTCCCCACGCGGGGCGCAGCGTTTCGTTTTCGGTGTGCGCCTCTTCGGCCTGCCCGCCGCATGAATAACCCAAAGGCCACCGGATGAAAGGCCGCAGGGCGTGAATGTCACGGAGTCTCTCAACCTGTTGAGAGAGAGGGCGGTAATGGCCGGATTTCTGATGCGTACCCTCAGACAGTTCGAACCCCTTCCCTTCCTTCAGGTTGTCCCGCAGGCCCGGGTAGGCCCGTTGGTATTGCTCCCAGAATGTATCGGGCGGCGAGTGACTTTGAGTAACGGTGAGCGTGTTTTGTTTTGCGATGTGGAGGGCCGTACTTGGTGAAGCGGCCTACGACGAGAGCAGACGCGGGAGCGGTCAAGCGGGTGTTTTGGATTTCGGAGACCGAAGGGGAGAGGTACGCGGTTCCTCAGCGATGGCCCGAGTTGGAAGAAAGGGAGAATGCATGGGGTACATGAAGAGGTAGTAAAAGAACGCAGGGTTCGATGACGAGTTAGCATCCAAGGATTGATCTCCTGTGCCGAAGCGAATGGGATGTCTCCGAGTTTCATTGGGGAGTTCAGTTCGGAATGAACCAAGAGTCGGTTGTGTAGGCTGAAGGTGTGAAGCGTGAGTTGAAGAGTGAATTCTGATGGACGTGGACTGGTGAATTTAGGCTGGTATTTATAATAATTCAGGGGAGACTTGGATGCTTAAAATATGGAAAGAAGCATGGCAGTGTGGAAGGAGGCAACTTCGCCATGGGAAGGGAGAAACCACCCCTTTTCACAGGTCCTCAGCCTGCAGCTTCCTCCCTCCCGGCGGCCCTACCTCGCCATGATGTTTAAAGGGTAGTCGCATTGGCCGTGGAGAACTCTGTCCCTTCTGTTTCCGTCGGGCGTTTGGAGACTTGTCTAGACTGAAGCAGGTGAGATGGGACGCGAGAAAGAAGACCCGATGTATGTGGCATGAGGAAATGGCGTACATGGTGACAAGTTCGTATGGTGGCGTACTTGGTATGTGTTAGATATCGAGATACGAAACGGGGAGACGGCGGAACCAGTACGGGGCGGACGTGTGTTTAACAAGGGGCGCTGTTGGCAAGTAGGTAGATTAAACATTTCGGGTCTCAGTGACGAACATTTCAAAGGTGTCTCCTAAACTTCCGCACGCAAAATAGCACCGTGACCAAGTCTGGTGGACAGGACCAGATTATCGTCAACATGGTTTCGAGCAAGTACCGTGAGGGCTGTAAAAGAATACTTCGGGCCACCACTGAGTAAATCAGAGGCAGAAACATGTAAATGCATTATCATAATGATTTAGTGCGCGAAACTCGATTTGCGGCATCGCACATACCTAAAAAACAAATAACAACCTACAGAAAATAAACATACTTCAAAGACATCTCAGTTCCAAAGCCCTTTCCACCACCTCCTCGCATCAAACTTCCCAGCTAGACCACCTCTGTTAAACCACCCAACACCCAATCCCACCGCCAAATCCCCAATCCTCACACCACACCTCCATCTCACCGGGCAAGACACTCCGCCCCAAAAACAGCCGCACTCCCCAGTCCAAGCCCCCCAAACGCGGTCAACCCCCAAGCCAACGCAGCCGGCTCCCAGTCGAAATCGCCCTCCGGCACGACATCACCGAGCCGGGCAGCCGCCTTCACCGCAGGTGTTGGTTGGTATGTCTTGTCTTCGGGAGAAACATGGCGCTCTTGCTTGATCTCGCGTTCTGTTTCTGCTGTTTCAGCTTCAGCTTCGGGCTCATGCCCGGGCTCGGGCTCAGGTTCATGCTTGGCCTTGCGTCCTCGGCCGCGGCGTTTGGTGGTAGGAGCCGATTGGCTCTGTTGAGAAGACAGGTCATCGATACTAGAGATGCTCGCTTTGTTCTTGCGGTTGCGGCGGCGCAGGTTCATGGAGAGTGGCGGGGGGGAGGTGGACGTCGTCTCGTCCTCTTCGGGTAGGGGCTCGACTTTGATGGTGGATTCATCACCGTCCTGCTTAACGTCTTCGTTGGCAGAGGAAGAGGAAGGTTGGCGGGATGATAAAGCAGGGTAGAGAGAGCGGAGCATGTTCCTGACGTCTGTTGAGCGAACAGCCGCCCAGAGACCCAAGCTCAGCGCGGAGAGAAACACATCCTTCCCCGCAGCGGCCACGACGGGGTGGTCGGTCAGGGCATCCAGGACCTTTTCCACGGCGGTTGCGGTGCGCTCCCATTTCGACCGCTTCTCGGTGTCGAATGGGAATTTGATGCTGTGGCGGTGCTTGTACGAGCCCGGGAGGTTGTACAGTAGAGCTGAGACGGTGGATTTGGCCTGGAGGAGTGCGCTCACACCGGAAATGACGTTGAAGAGTTTGGTGATGTTGGGGTACGCATCGCGGGGGTCACGGTGGACGGTGCCCCAGGAGGCTGGGACTAGAGCAGGGATGGCCAAGGGAGCGAGGGTTAGAAGTTTTGTCGTTAGGACCGCGGCTGGGAAGGTTGGTGTGCCTGTGGTGCTGGGTAACCACAAGGTGGCTAGGTAACTGAAGATCAGGGGTACGAGCAAGAGTGGAAGCTTGGGAGTCCAGTCTCTGGGCTTGGCCGGGAGCACACGTCGTAGAAGTTGGTCGATCCTGGCCCGGTTAGACAATATATCCTTTGTCCTTTCACTCTACTCGATGGACATCGACATACCTTGTTTCCTCGGGCGGAATGGGCGAGGGCGTTTGCAGCAACGCTACATAAAACAGATTCTGCGCAAAGGACAGACTAACAAGATGCGGCAGCAGAGCATACGCCCAGAGATGTGGAATCTCGCGCCGGCGGCCTTCGATGGCCAACAGGGCCGTCCACGAGATGGTCGCGAGGTCCAGCTGCTGTCCCCACCACAACCTGCGAGACTTTTCCGCAATGATTTCCAAGGCGTCGGTGAACACGGGGACATCACTCAGCCAGTGCTGGAGATAGACCCTATCGATGGGTGTACCATCTGCCCTCTGAGTGTGATTCCCGAAAAAGTTGCTCCTATAGTCTAATATTAGCCTGTAAGTTCATACCATCTGAATTACCTTAGCTAGGTAAGGTAGGTAAATAACCCACAACTCAGGAACAGCCACGCCCCTCTGCGACGCCCACACCTTGTAAGACAGCGTCAGATACTCCAACCCCGAGGTGACTGCAAACACTAGCCCGAGGGCTGCGAGACTGCCAAAGGCCGTGGTGAGCTTGGTGCGCTCGGCTTTTCGACTGCGCGTGTCATGGGCTGGGCCGAGGGCTTGGTGCAACCGGTAGAGGCTGCGGCCGACGGTGTAAGAGGCATATGCCGCGGCAGTCACTCGTGAGATAGCTAGGGCTAAGGGGAGTAGCCTTGAGTACGGTTAGCTACATGGTCGAAATGGGCAAAGAGTCTCGCAGTACGCACCCGGGCTCGGTTTCAACCTGCACTGGGGCCATTTGTTTCTGTAGTTGACTCACTACTAAGATTTAACGGCTAAGTTGTCGAGGGAACAGCTTGAAGCGCATCGCATGATGTGACAATGAGAAATATCGAAGCATGTTCTTGAGGAATGGTGCAATTCTGTAAACATGTGAACGTAATGACGTCAGGTCTCACCGTCTTGTTTAAGGAAAGCCCAACGAAGCCAACAACTGACATGACAGGGGGCAAGACAGTTGAAAACGCATAAATTGCGGAAAGAACTTTTTGAGTACAGGTAGCTAGTAAGACTGTAGACTGAAACTTGAAGATGAAAATAATGACGGTTCCAACGAGTATCGGAGTAGTCACTTTGTGTTGGTGTCTACATGAGTTACATTGATACAATGTTACCACTTCCATCGGTACACCCAAGAGCAGAGCAAATCACAGTTGAAAGCAGAATGTCTAGATCACATGCTGTAATCCATGGCTTTGATTCACTAAAGATTTGAACCAAAATAGGGACAAAGTGTTAATTAAAGGGAGAACACCATCCCACTTGATCCAAGGCCATGCTATCTCCCCGAGCTCTGGTTTCTTAATGTCGTAAATTACCATCACACATTCACAGACGACTTCCCTTTCTGGCACCCGCCAAGCCCAAGTCCCCAGACCCCTGACAGCGCTAAAACAGACACCCGAACGTGGCATCGCGACAACTCTGGTGCTTTGCGCCGGGTAGCATCTCGCCTCACCACCACCGGAAATCCGACTCCCGAGCCCCGCGACAGCCCCGCGACGGCGGCCCAACAATCACCATACCATGTATCACCTCGCCAAAGGCCTTTACCGCTTGGCGACGAGCAAAGAGGGTACGTTTCCGACAGACCACCGCACTAGATTGAAGTATCACCCCAAAGCTGCGTATTAACAACCCACACCCAGAATACTCCGTCCTCCTCCTCGGCCTCGACAACGCCGGCAAAACGACCTTCCACGAACAAGTCAAATCCATCTTCCTCCCCGATGGCCCGCCCCCCAACCTCAGAACCGTGCCCACCGTCGGCCAAAACGTCTCCACCATCGTGCTCCCAGACATGTACCTCAAGCTCTGGGACGTCGGCGGACAACTATCCCTGCGCCGCCTCTGGCAGAGCTACTACGCCAGCTGTCACGCGATCGTATTCATCCTCGACAGCACCGACATCGGCGACGGGCGGTTAGAGGGGGATGACGAAGATACCGCGGGGCGCGGCGGGCTTGGGAGCAGCAGCCACGGCCATACCAATAGTATTACCACAACAGCAACCACCACCACCAGCACAAAAAAACACCGCCCATCCCCCTCCACATCCACCGCCCCGCCCTCCGGCCGACTCGAAGAATGCCGGCTCGTCCTCGAAGACGTACTCCAAAACAGCGAAGCCGAGGGCGTACCCTTACTCATCCTCGCCAACAAGCAGGACCGTGAGGACTGTGTCGAAGTGGTGCGCATCAAAGAAGGGTTGGTTAAGCGGGTGTTTGAGGGGGAGAAGGCCGGTGGGATTCGTGACTCGAGAGTGTTGCCGGTGTCAGCGTTGACGGGGACGGGGGTGACGGAGGCGGTGGATTGGGTCAGGTCACGGGTGAAGTGGAATAAGGAGTCTAGGCCGCCGGTTATGAGGTGATGGTGGGGTTTGATGGCCGAGGAACAAGGGGAGGGTTTATTTCATCGCTATCTGCCGGGATGGGTGGATTTTGATACGAGTGGGAGTACGCAGGGCCGGGCCGCGGCAGATAGAGGCGATTGGTCAACGGACGCTTCGTGTGGTCGGTTTGTTCTCTTGGAAGATGGGTTCGAGTTTGGACGACCTTGTGGCTCACTCAGGGGTTCTCATCCGGGCGATAAAACCTTTGAATTTGGAAAGGGTGGGTTCCAGGGCCGTCAAGTGGAATCGTCCCCTGGACAATGTCCGAATGCCCTGTGGAGGACGTCTCTGCGGCATCACCGCCAGCCCGAGTCGCGGCGCGAGGTACTGAGGGGCTTTCCGGTGAGAGTTAGGGAACAACGTCGTATGTGGGACGGTGGGTATACCCCGAGTTATTTTATTAGTAACTCGAAACGGCCAGCATTGGCTAAATGTCGAAGACGAATCGACATATCGCCCTCAAAGCTAGCGGGACCTCTTTCTACTCCAAAGATTTCCCAACATTTCCAGTCGGTTGTACCCCTCTAAACGCTGTACCCCTCTAAACACCGCGACCCCATTACCATGCCTTTTTTCTAGCCGACCACGTCCACCCTCTTTATTCTTTCTGAAAAAAACAGGTCATTCTCCGCGGGACTGTACTCGCGTTTTCCCACCGACCGTCCACCGGGGCGCCTTTGTAGGTATTATGGAACGGTCCGCCTGGAAGCCATCTCCATCTCTATCCCACCAGCCCATTCAGAGGTATCGTGAGAATCATCATAAAACCGTCTTGTCCACCAACCAAACAGCGTACCCTCCTCACCTATCATTCTCCGCCCTCAACTCCGCCATAAAGCCGCCCTTATCCCTCCTCTTCAAATCCTCCGTCAGCCTCCGATCCACCAGCTCGTCAAACTCCTTCACCTTCGCCAGCGCCACACCCGTACACTGCAACAGCACCACCGCATTCACCGGCGTCCCGCCCAACTTCGCAATCTGGCAAATCTCCCCATGCCGATTCAAACTAACCGTACAACTCCCCACCCTCACCTGCTCCTCCAACCATGTCGCATCCAACACCGCCGTCTCCCCCTCCTCCCCAAAAAAACTCCACGTCACACAAAACGGCGAATGCAGCCAGCTCAACGGCACCGGTTCCCTCTCCGCGGGCGTATACACCGTCAACACCCCCGCATCCATACTCGTATCCGGCTTGCGGAAATGCCGCAGGGCAGCTACGACAGCGAGACACGCGGCATCGGTCAGGTTACCGTCGTGGGAGAGAGCGTGGACGTCGACGCGGACGGACCAGCATTTTTGGCCTGCGACGAGGCAGAGGGATTCGGTGTCGAGGGCGCCGGAGCGGCGGACGGTTTTTTCGAGAAGGCGGGAGAGGAGGACTTCGGTTTCGGTGGGGCGGTTGACTTCGAAGGAGGGGGAGGTCATGGGGCTGAGTTCCGTGGCGATGGTGAAGATGCCGTCGAGGGGGCGGTCGGCGTAGGGGACGGTTACTTCGGCGGTGGCTTTGGCGAGGATTCTGGGGAATTAGCAGTGTTAGTTTTGGAAACTCAAGATTTAAGAAAGTAGAGGGTGGATATCGGCACAAAGGGAGAGATACCTCGTCTTGCCTAGTGTAACGTCCGCGACGCCATACTGCTCGCCAAAGGTGAGCTCCAACGGACGGTACTGGTCAAACTCGCGGCCGTCAAGGCGCAGGTTTTCTTCTAGCGCCTGGGTGACGAACTGCTTCTCATTGAGAGAAGGGTCGACTTCCCGCGGCATGGCAAATTGGGCGTAGAAGCTTTACGTCTTGTAAGAAAACAAGAGTGGAAAAGACGGGACGTGAAAAGAGGTCGAGACGAGACTCATCGAATGGAGTGGTTGTGTGGAGGGGCATCAATGGGAACGACTACTAGTTCTGCCGCTAAAGACCGCTAAATTTTAGTGGATTCTGCCGCATGACGCGGGCGGTGAGGACGGCCGGGCCCGCCAATCTGCTTGTCCATGCACCCTTGCGGCTTCGACTCCCGCTCTGCAGCACCCAACAAGCAAACCTCGAATTTACGTCGACCCAATTCCCATCGTGTTGCCCCCCGTCAATCGAAAACCACGGCGCATTACATTAAGACAGCAAGATGACGACAGCTCACAGGCCGACATTCGATCCGGTACGCCGTGCAGTCTCCTCTTCGCTTCCTCATAGAGCAACCGACTAACTATCCCAGGCCCGAGGCAAAGAAGCCCTCCGCGGACCAGCATACCACCAACGTCTACTCCCGGCCTACACACAACTCAAATTCCGGTATGCTACCTAGTTCCCTTCCCGGGCCTTGTACTCTCCCCCTTTTAACTCTTATACTAAACTCTCCCTCCAGCCAACCCGGCCAAGGCGGCGAATCCGGCAGCACCACCCGCGACCTGCGCGCCGAACTCGAAGCCGCCGAAGCCTCGCACTACGCCAAGCTCAAGGGGGCTCCCATTCCCGGCGAGGATGAGCCGCAGAGCACAAACAACAAGCGACCCCTCGCATTAACAGCCGACGGCTCACTCGCCGAAGAAGGAGCAGAACAAGGAGAAGAAGACCCCGACGCCAAACGCCGGCGCGTCCTCGCCGAGACGCGCGACATCGACGCCGACGACAGTGATTCCGACGGCGGGTCCAACGCCGGCGACAATGCAGACGATGACGACGACGACGACGATTCCGACGACAGCGACGACAGCTCGGACGACGAAGACGCCGAGCTACAGCGGGAGTTAGAGCGAGTCCGGCGCGAGCGACAAGAGAAGCGCGAGGCGGAGGAACGAGCGCGGCAAGCGGCGGAGCAGGAGGAGCGCGAGCGGGATATTGCGCTGGGGAATCCGCTGTTGAATAATAGTAATGACCAGGGCCGGAAGGCGGCGGATTTTCAGATGAAGAGACGGTGGGATGATGATGTGGTGTTTAAGAATCAGGCGAGGGGCACGGAGGAGAAGGGGAAGAGGACGGAGTTTATTAATGTGAGTACTCTGCTTCTTTCTGGTTGGGATGGGATTGTGGCTTTGGGTGGGATGCTGACTAGTGTGATAGGACCTGTTGCGGTCGGATTTCCACAAGCGGTTTATGAACAAGTATGTGAGGTGAGGGATACCAGTCCCGTGGGATACCAGTTCCGTGGGTGGGTCAGAAGGTGTATTACGGAGGCCCGGGTTTATTATCGGGTACCTATGGAGGGTCCATACCAGCAAGGCGATAGCATGGCGTCTAGAATTGAATTTCAGTTTCCTACCTCCCCTTCTTCCCCTTTTCCGCCTCTGCAGCCTGTCTAAACGCTGTCTGAATCGCCTTTCCACTCTGCCACAGCAGCACTAGAATCACGTTAGCCAGCCATCACCAGCACACACACACACACACACACCCACACACACACACACACACACACAAAAAAAAAAGAAGCAAAGAGAAAAGAAAACTTACACCAAGGAACAACAGCCCACGGCGCATTCATACCCGCGTAATACCCCCAATAATACAGCGTCTCCGGGCGCGAAAACACCGTGCCCCGCAACCGCTCAGCCAGTCCACACGTCCCATAGTACAGCGCCACGCCGTACAGATGTCCGACACACACTGTCGCCTGCGCGAGATGCCGCCAGCCTTGCTCGGAGGCACGGTTGCGGGCGGTTAGGAGGGCGGTGGTGAAGGAGAGGGGGGCCCATATCAGCTTTTTAGGGGTTAGTTTATCTCCGTATGTAGGGAACAGGAAATGGAAAGGAGGAAATGGAAGGGGAAAAAGAGGGGAAAGGTACGCACGACGGTAAGACCCTCGATGCAGAGCATGAACGGGTCGGAGGACATGTAGCGCGAGTCGGAGAGGGCGTATTCCTTCCATAGCTGGGCAAAGAGAGATTGGGACGCGGACAGAGTGGTGTGGTTCAGGACGTAGTAGCCCTCGAAGAAGAGGTGGAGGAAGCCGCCTGGCCCGGGGTAAATCAGTCAGTTATGAGTATATAAGCACGAAATATAAACCGCTTATTCGACAAGTGAACGGGGAAAATGGCCTCATAATCTTGATCTTGATAGGCAGGCAAAGACGTACACAACGCAAACCAAGCAACAACCAGCTGGTCCCCCTGCTTAAGTGTCGGACTGTACCATTTCGCCAGCATCACAGATCCAAAAACAAAAGCGCCTATGAGCCCGCCAAAGGAGGCTAGAATGAGAACCAGGGGTGTCTCATTAGGCGTGTACCCCCGCACGACAGCGTCGGGGGGGAAGTAGGGGTGTGGCTGGTCGGGCATGATTTTGACGCTCGCTGTGCTGTGTGGGATTGGGATTGGGTTGAGATTGGATGGGAGGTTGATGGCTTTGAGAATGTGGTCGGGTTTGAATACTTGGGATGTATTGTATTTCACGATGGCGTGTACCTGACCGTGTAAAGTTGAAAATAAAGTTGACGTTAGTGGATCGCGTCTGCCAACGCGAACCCGAACCCCTGTCCGGGTACGTTTTCCGGGGCTTGGTGCTAAATTCTGACCCCTAAATGAAGATCGACGACGGGCGTGCTGAGCCGCAGTGTAGCGAGGGTTATTTTGACGACATCGTGGGATTCTTATTCTTATGTCCATGAGGTACGATGTAGATATTTTCCATTATTTCGAATTGGGATCCATATGATCCGAGACCTTCATACTGTAAACATTCAGGATATCCCCGGAACAGTTAATCCTCAAAACCACCCCATTCACCCCCTGCTTCTTCATCCTCTTCATCATCTTCTTCATCACTCCCCGTCTCCTCACTTTCCTCACTATCTTCACTCTCTTCACTCCCGCTCCACCCCCCCATAACATCCCTCACACTCCTTCCCCCCTTTAACACCGGCATCCCATCCTCCCCCCTCACAATCCTCCCCTCTGAATCTCTCTCAAACGGCCCATCCTCCTCATCCTCTTCATCACCACCAAACCGCACCTCCACATCCCCCTCCACAGCTCCCAAATCCACCGCCTTCCTCCCACTCCCCTTTAACATCGGAATCCCCTGCTCATCCCTTACAATCCGCCCTTCGGCGTCCCGTACATACGGCCCGTCGTCATCACCCCCCTGGATCGCAGCAGCATCACCACTACTCCCACTGGTATTAGTATGACCAGGCACCAAATCCCTCACAAAACAAGCAACAAAAAAACCCATCGTGCCCCTCCCATCCCCCCGCTGCGCCCTAATACACGCCTGCGCAGCCTCCTCGTCCCCCTCACACGCGTCGATGTCGCCGCGGACGGGCCAGTCGCGCATGCCGCGGATTTGGGCTGAGCGGGGGAGGAGGCGCCAGGGGGAGTAATTGAGGCTGGGTGTCTGGGTTTTGGCCCAGCGCAGGGCGGCTAGCACGACGTGTTCGTTTTCGCGCGCGTGGATGGAGCAGGTTGAGTAGGTGACGCGGGTGGCGTGGGGGAAGGTGAGGGCGTGTTGGAGGAGGGCGAGTTCTGGTGAGAAGAGTTAGCAAAGCTGTTATCTTTGGGCCATGAATTAGACAGTGGGTGAGGAACGAAACGTAACGTACGAAATGAAGCCAGCGCCTCCAACCGCGCCTCCAACGCCTTCTCAGACGCAACCACCGTCTCAGTCCCATCATCATCCACCAATACCGTCGCCGCTGTCGGTGGTGGAGGAGGAGAGGGAGCTCGTTTCCTCTTTAGGTTCTTCTTCCCACTGTTCCTCTCTGACCCATTCTTCCCCCCACCTGTAGACGTAGCCATCTCAGGCAGATGAAACTCAGGCGTATCATCCCGTCCGACAATCCCGCTCCCCGAACACGACGGATCCAACAACAACGCCCCAACCCGACTCATCTCGGCCGAAAACGGATCCGTCTTGAGGAAATCCGCCCCCGGATGCACCACCGTGATTCCGTCTGACCCAGCCGTCCGCACCATCTTGACCAGCGTCTGCGCGCGGCGTTTGTCTTTTTCAAACGCCAGGATCTTTTGTTGGTCTCGTCCTTGTTGTCCCGGTGATGATGATGATGATGTCTGCCCCGGAACAAACACCACCGGCCCGCCCTCACGCCGCTCATGCAAAATCGCCGCCAGATGCGTCGTCTTATTCCCCGGCGCGCTACACGCATCCACCACATCCCCGTCCCCCGGCCGCGGATCCAGCAAATACGCCGGAAAACAAGACGCTTTATCTTGCAGGATGATAGCCCCCGTCTGGTACGCCGCCGTCTTAGTGAAATCCATCGACCCCGGAGACGCAGCAATCAGGTTGGGGATGTGCGGATCGAGACAGATCACCCTGCGCGGCCCCTGTCCTTTCCCTTTCCCTGTAAAAGGAGAAACAGCTTTCATAACCTCCCCCACATCCTTCACCACCTCAAACCCCCTAAACGTCGTATCCAACTGCTCATTCACCGAGCTCTTCAACCCATTCACCCTAATCCACCTCGGATGCACCTCCCCTCCGTCAACACCACCATCAACCACCCCCCTCAACTCCTCCAAAGAAGCACACCCCCTCCTCACCCTCGCCCTACTCAACTCCGCCTGCAACCTAGCCCTATGCCTCTCCACCGCAACCCTCAACCCATGCGACGCAGGGAGAGCAATCCCCTTTTTCGCCAGCAGCAGGTCATGCGTGAGGAGGATGGCGAGGGGCGGGGTGAGTTTGCGCTCGAGATGGAGGAGTTGGGAGTGCTCGACGACTTCTTTGAGGATGGGGCTCCATTTGCTGGATTCGAAGGCTAGGGCGTAGATTTGGGCGGGAGGGGATTTGAGGGGTTTGGTGGGGGGGTTGGGGTTGTAGATGCGGGATTTGAGGCTGCCGGTGGGGGAGGGGGTGGTGAGGAGGGAGGCGGTTTCGTGGTAGAGGGACATGGTGATGGGGGACCGTGGGTGTTTCTTGTGAGATGGGTGAGTTTGAGGTGCTTGGGAAATTTGTGAGAGAAGGTGGATCGATTAGATATGGTCCTTCGAGGGGATTTGCCGGTTCAATAATCCATCATGAAATTTAGGTAGTAGATATGTATATCTTGATGAAATTAGTTCGCCGAGTTTGAAACGGGGTTGTCGTCGATGAAAAGGAAATATCGACCTGAGATGAACTCGGAAGGTTCCAGTTCCAAGATTCTGCCAAAATTTATTTATTATTTTACTTTCAAGATGCAGGGTTAGGGTTAGACGTTACCCTAACCTTCACTAACACCATCACACCAAAGTCACCTCAACTTGTGCACATAGTATTCACTCTATTGGAATCCATTCCACTTATATTCCCACATTTCCAGTGGTCAAGCCTATATTTTAGAAATCCACCTCCCGAAATCCATCCCCCCCAAAGTCCTCTCTCAAACCACTCCTCAACCAACACGAATCAGCCAACAAAGTGCCAAAAAGGGCAAGAAGCGAAACAACCGCCTCGCTATCTCCCCAAAACGAATCGAAGTAAAGTAAAATGGTTAAATACACAGGTAGAAGCGAAAGAGCTGTAATTGCCGTTCCTAGCAACCAGCATCAAAAACCAACATCACCACCAACAGATAGTTCTGAGCCAACGAGTGTAGGAATGTGAAGTCGTCTCATCGTTAACCGCAACAGAAGAAGAGAAAGAAAAGAAGCCGCCTAGCGAACCTTTCCCACCGCACAAAAAACCAAATGGTATCCCGCCCTGTCCACCTCCTACAAGGAATCCCGTCTATGCCTATCTTGCCCCGCTTCACAAGGCGCCAATCCGTTGGGAAGAAATCCATCAAAAGAATAGTCAACAAGAAAAGAAAAGCAGAACATAGTTCTAAAAACCATCGATCGTATAGAAGAGACGACCGCTTAACGCCGGTGATACCTCCTCGCAGCATGCTTCGCATAATGCCTAGCCGCATGCTTCTCAGCAGCCCCCGTCGGCGCCGGTAAATCATCCTCATACACCGTCGTCGTCTCCCACACCGTCACCGTGTCCACAACCGTAGCCACATGCACGATCGGCTCAACCGGCTTCGGGGACGGTTTGGGCGAGGGCGCGGGGACTGCGGCGGCGGAGAAGGAGGACGCCGACGATGAGGGCTTTGGGTTAGGGTGCGGGTGCCCGTGGTGAGATGGACGCTTGGAGGGGGAGGGGATGGCGATGAGGGTTGTGCTCGGCGGCGGCGGCGGCGGGGGAGGAGGGGGAGGAGGAGGAGGAGGAGGAGCGGCGGCGGAAGAGGTAGGTTTTTCGACGGGAGGTTTGGTAGACGAGGGCTTGGTGGACGAGGACTTGGGCGGGGTGTTGTCGTCTCCGTTTCCAGGCTGGGGCTTCGACGAGGGAGATGGGGACGGCGAAGGCGAAGGAGAAGGCGAAGGGGCAAGAATGTCTCCACCGCCAAAGGCCCAGCCGGCGAGGGGGTTGTTACCGGGAAGCTTCTCCAGCTTGCCGTCGACCTTTTCGTCAACAGGGCACTCGATGGTGCAGGAATCGCTCGGGTCGTTGGCGCCGTACTTGAGGCCCGGGCAGGTGTCGATGCCGGCGTGGCCCGCGTTGCACGTATCGATGATGTGCTGGAGTTCCTCCTCGTCCCATCCCGCGATGAAGTCGCCGTGTGCCGAGAAGCCCGTGACGTCGCCGTTGGAGAAGACAAAGGGGCTGCTCTTGCCCAGGGTGCTCTGGAAGCGCGGAAGCAGCTCGTGGGTGTTCCAGTAGGTCTCGAAGAAGATGTGCGGGGTGTGGATCCAGCCTTCGGGGCAGTCGGACTTGCCGTCGCCGGCGTCGGTGGGGAACTGCATGTTGTTCTGGTAGTTCTCGAGGCCGGCCTTGGGGTTGTAGCACGAGGGGAAGTGGATGTCGACACGCAAGGGCGAGGCGTATCCGTCGCAGTCTTCAAATGGGAAGCCGATGCCGGCTCCCTTGTCGTGCTGCGAAGCAATGCCCGCCAGGAGACCCTTGGAGTCGGCCGGCCAGCTGGGGGGGTCGTAGCTGCTACGGGGGCAGGTCATCTGCACGGGCTGGATGGGCCCCTTGGACGGGTCGAGCTGGTTGTCGCCCGTCGTGGCGGGGGGCGTCCTCAGCATGGCATTGCCGCTGACCATCTTGAGGCCCACGGGGAAGGCCTTGATGTCGTCGTGGGTGGGCTCGAAGAAGTAGTAGACGTTCATGTAGAACATCTTGACCGGCTCCAGCAGCTTCGTGGCCGGATCCTGGAAGTAGAGCGTTGGGAACCAGTAGGCGCTGAGGTCGGCCTTGGCCATCGCCGTGGTGCATTTGGACTGGCGAAGCGTCTCCCCGGTCGCGTTGAAGCCAAAGTTGCTGGCACCCATGACGGTGTGGACGTGGCTCGATGGGCCGCCGGGGCTGATGATGGGATCGGCTCGGCAGGTAGTCAGAGGACCCTGTCCATAATGATGCAGGACCGCAAAAGTGCGTTTGTCTTTGGCCGCCGCAACGGCAGCCACAAGGGTGGCCAGGACGGTGGTGAAACGCATGTTGTTAGATTTATAAACGAATTTGCTGTGGCGTGGTTGATGATATTGGTGTGTATGTGTGTATCTGTCTCGGATCGAAGTTGAGCAAGTCGCTAGGACCGTGCAAAGTGGTAGCTAGGGTTCCAACACCAGTTGTCACCGAAAGAATGGAGGTTGGATAACAGGCTTGCTGCTGCTATGATTCAAGCGATAGATCGGTCGAAGTCGAGGTTTCGAATCTTGAATCTTGAATCTCGGAAAACCCACGTCAAGTGAGCAAAAAAGAGCAGGACGCGCAGAGCAAGCTCGCGGCAGTGGAAAGGGAGTGTTCAAAGTGCAAAGGCACTGCAGTCTAGAAAAGGAAGGACTGGCAAAATGCCGAAGAAAAAAAGAATGACAAAAAGGTAGCCCGGTGAGGTGAAGGGTTGAAAAGAGAGGAGAGCCCAGAAGTAGGAGGGTGTTTAGAACGGGACGGCCGGGTTTATAGCCCTCCTCTTCCCCTCTCTCCCTCCGTGGGCCGGCCCCAAGGCCTGGGTCGTCGTCGGAACACCCCCGTTGTCCCCGCTCGCTTGCATGGCTGGCCCACAGCTCCCGACGAGACCCAGCTTGACTGTCCAGCTTGACTGTCCACAACCCTCGTTCTTTGTCTGGCAGGCTTGGCAGGCACTTGCGGGTCCGCCCCGGGCAACTCGCTTCATTCAGTTCGTCCCTTGAAAGATGCGAGAAATGACAGGAGACGTATCAGGGAATAGCAGCCCAGGACTGCGTGGGTTGTGGGTTGGAATCTCCGAGGCCAAACCGGCGGATTGACTAACCTGAGTTACAACTCACCCACGACCTGGGACCTCGAACGCCCCCATCCGACGGTCCCGCCGAGTCTCCTACGTCGACGTCGAGAGGCTTACTATAAACCTCTTGGCCTTGAGGCGTCGACAGAGTGATTGTGACGTCGGGACATTTACAAACCGCACATATCGTTTTCCCTATCTCCCATCTCAATAATCCGCGGTCAGCTGTCCAGGAGGCCTACGATGCTAATTCGCTCTTCATAGATAGGGAACCCTCCTCAACAATAGTCAAGCAAAATAACCGCCGGGAGACGGGGAGACGGGGAAAAGAGGGCGGGAACGCCAGCCAGCCAGCCTTGAGTGTGTTGGTCCGTGGGTGCGTAGGACGGAGTGCCGAGGGGAAGAGGAGAAACTTCCGCCAAGGGCTCAAGGGGAAGTGAAGTGGGGGGTGGGGGGAGGTTGTCGTGGTCCTTGCGCTGTACCTGCATATCGCACATGCTGGAGCGTGCCATTGGATGGCAACCTGCGTTTTCTGGGGCCCGGCCTGCAGGTTATCGGCAAGCGTGCCTTGTTCTGATGGGCTGGACGGCTTGGACGGGAGAAAAAAAAGAAGAATTAGACAAAAAAAAAAAACGCAAAAGTTGCCACATGTTTCCCGTCTCTTTCTCGTTGCCGTGCGTACTTCTGTGGCGTCCAATGAGAAAGGGTACTGAGGAGGGGGAAACAAGATTTTGTTCCGGATGGTGTTGTCTCTTGCATCCCGCTGCTCGGTAGTGTACTGTTTCTCTTGCAAGCGAAAAACACAGAACTCGACGATCGCCGTTTACCGATCACTCACAGATGGAACCATCCCAAAAGTCCAAACGAAACAACTTGGCATAGAAATTCGCCGTTTTGGGGAAAAAGGATTTGGGGGCATCGTCTGCCAAATCGGGGATTTGGATGTCATAACCACGGGGCACCCCTGCACCCCCTGCCTTGTCCAACCCCCAACGGCCGTTCCATTTTTAAAGATTCAGGGGCAGACTTCCAACAAACGGCTTTATTATTGATTCCAAGGCCGGCAAATCATCCGGCCGGTCTAATTTCTTTGAGTTCTGCTTTCCCGGGATCTCGCAGTTCCCCTCACCGAGAGAGAGAGAGAGCAAGGGGCAGTGTGGCCGAACTTTCTCAATCGCAGTTCATCCGATCTCGACCTCCTTCCTTCCTTGTGCGTCGATGCCGCGCGGTTGATCGTCCCATCCGTGGATCTGTCAAAGCGGGCCGGAATGTTCCAAAATCCAGGCACAACGATCGCCACCAGCCAATCGGGTTGCAGAACCCCCCCAAGCCCAGGCCTTGAAGTGGGGGCAGTTCCGCGCCGACCCCGGCCCACAGTTTCTTGAAACGCACTATTGTGGTGAATTCTCGGCGGCCCGGGCGAGCCAGGTTCGCCAGGGTCAAGCCACAAAGTTCCAGGAACCGCCTTTCCACCCCTCTTCACCTGCAACCCCCCTTTCCCAATTCCCACGAACACGCTAGAAACAAAGGAAAAAGGGCAAAAATACTCAGAGAGTTTTCGGAGATGTCCAGAAACGGAACACGAAGCGAGGTTTACCTGCAACAAACGCAACCTCCCGGAATGTAAAGAGTAGTTTTTTGAACAAAGAGCGGGTGCCCGTTTTGTTTCATCTTCACAAAATTCCTCACTGCCAACCGTTTACCGCCCACTGCTGCAAGCCGCACACCGATGGAGGCCCCTTTGTTTTCCCCCCTCTCAACCAAGTGCGTAGGAACTGGACATCGGGCGCAGACAGAAAAGCAGAACGGCAGCCGCGCGGCACTCTTCAGGAGAACACGGCCGCTGTTCGGGCCACCGCCCTCTACTAGCTAGTTTGAACAACACCACCTGAACAACGCCGCAGAGGTTGGGGACGGGCTCAGTTTGTGACATTGTGACGGCGGAGGGGGGCCCGTGTTATTCAGCCAGCGCTCCTCCTCCCTTGGGGGCTGAGTGACACACTGACACCACAGCGCCTCAGTTCTTCACAATCGTCCATCAACCGAGCTGGCCACGCAGCAGCCATCGCGGGCCCCAAGGGATTTAGTTCGTGTGACAACAATTCCCACCACCGCTGGACCGCTCCGAAGAACCGACGGATGACGCCTTAGTGTATTTCGCAGCTAAAATTATCCATCCGCATGAGAAAAAGAAGAAGACGAGAAACAAAGAAGAATGAAAACAGACTATGCGTCCAGCCGTCTCCTGACCCTTGGGGTAGTGCAACTCGATCTCCCACACTTTCTGTGTCCCCGTCCCCCAAGACCAATCGTCAAACCTGCTCGTCTGTCTGTCCGTTCGCTCACAGAGGATGGATACACAACACGCAGCCCACGCCCGCGCCCGCGGTCTGCGCCATACACTAGATAGACACAACACCAGCATCCCTGGTTCATGTCCTCGTCCTCCCCCTTTTTGTTAGGTCTCTCCCCTTTCTTTTCTTCCCCTCCACCTTCACCACCTAAATCCCCCCTGCTGTGCCCCCTCCCCCAATGCCGTGATCCCAACCAACAGGAGAAATTATCACATACTATGTATGTACACAATGCATGATAATGTGATAAATGTGACGTGGCCTTGGCTCATGGGACCGCCGTCCGTCAAGCTAAGCTAACCCACCCCGCAACCTGCAAGCCGGAACCCGGCGAAGCAAGTGGTGTGGTGTGGTGTTCTCTTGATGATGATTCCAAACCGACCCAACCACGGCTAAGCAAGTGTTCTTTATTTATTTATTCTTTCTTTCTTTTTTCCTCTTCCTCTTTCACGCGGCACAGACCAGACGACAAAGGGCTTTCCATCATCTTATGTCTTGCTCCGAAGTGAGATGTAAATGCGTAGTGTAATGTGCCAACATCTAGTTACTGTTAGTCAAGGTAGGTGAGCACTCCTGGGTGGTGCAGCGATTGTCAATATGTCAATGATTGGGATTGGCCTGCAAGACATCTCGAAGGAAAGCAAATGGTCTCATGCGTCATGTCATGTCTTAACCCGTCGTTCAACAAGGAAGAACAGCAGTTTCCTGATCCTTCCGTTGGGAAAGGGAAGAAACAGGTCTCGCAATCACCGGGCAGAGTTGAGTCAACTCTTACGCGTCTTCTCGCACTTGCTCTGTTGTGGTATCTTCTCTCCCTGCCCTGCCCAACCCGCCCATCCTCTGTGCCTAACCGACCCGGAATACCTCACGGATAGCAACCTGCCTTTCATGTATGCATGCATGCAACCAACGTACCTAGCCATACATATCTTTCAGGCACAGAGGCAATAAAACGGAGAGAAACAACCAGTCATGCTTCAGAGCAAGCCCCCAACCAGGTTGCTGCTGCTGCTGCTGCTGCTGCTGCTGCTGCGGCTGCTGGGGTTTGTCCTCCCGATGTCAACGTCATCGCGCAGGGCTGATCTGTGGGTGGGTATTACTATGTAGACAGACCGACTACCTATGCAACATGTTGAACCTGCATGTCTACGACTGATTGTCTTGGATCCGATATAAATCCCTCTGGTGCGGGGGCTGAACACAACTGTCATGACGAAGGTGTCTTGGACTACTACATGTAGCACACGTTCAAAAATCACTCAGTTTAATGGGATTCTTCTTTTCAAAGTGCAGACAGACGTGACATATCGCATTTGCTCCTGTTTCCTTGGAACCCCTGACTTAAAGTGTGAGAGGGGGGTCTGAATGTGACAGAAACCACGATCAAGAAGCTCCCACAGCCAAAATGCATTCGATGAACCCGTTTTGATCTCAAACGCCTCGGAATGCTCCTGATAAAATTCCCCAACCTAGTGGGACACAAGTTAACCCCCAAAACGCCGGAGTAACAAACTCACATTTCCCCTCAACTAGCCCTTGCTTAACAACACCGAAACTGATGCCATCCGCCCCCCCATAATTAGAGTCAGTCAGTCCCAACAACCCTCAAACACCATCACTCCAAAACCAACCACTCCTCCGAAACCGCCCTCGCCCCCTCAATATCCCCCAGCAGATAACACAACGTGCGAATGTTAAACGCGGCCTCCACTTTCAAGTCCTCGTCTCCCAACAACCCCCTTCCATCTCCATCTCCTTCCTGTTCCCCATTTCCGTTTTCTTCCCCATCCACAGAGGCATCCGGCTTCGCACTCCCCTCAGCCAAAACCTTCTTATAATACTCCACCGACAACGCCGTCAACCCAACAAGCGAGTACGCCCGCGCAATATTAAAATGTGCCTCCTGTCTCTGCGCCACATTCCCCTTAGCCGTAGCCGTAAAACTCTCCATAGAATCAGAAGCAGTAGCAGTAGCAGCCAACCGATCCTCATAATACCGAAACAAGAACGCAAACCCCTGCGTGAGCAGGTACTGTCTGTTGGTGGCCTGGCGCTTGAGGGCGTAGTGTACGTATGCGAGCCCCGTGCTGAGGTTGATGAGCGGGTTGGAGGGGTCGAGCGAGGCGGCGCGGGCGAAGTAGGAGAGTGCGTAGGTGTAGGAGGTTGTTGTGAAGAGGATGTGGCCGTAGATTGTTAGGAGGGCGACGTCGAGGGCTATTTCGCCGTTGGCGTTGGCGTTGTTGTTACTGCTATCATTCCCCGTGGTCTCGGGGTGTTGGGGATGGTGGTCAGGGTCGTCGGCACCGTCTTGTCGCATGACGATGGTATCCATGGTTTTGATCTGTCGCAGAATAAACTTTTGCGCCGGTCCGGAGGTGTACCACGACACAGGGGTCTGACACACGCGGCACATGGCCGAGAACATGCGGTATGAATCGGTGCCCGGCATGTAGTCGCGCATGAAATAGCGGGCGATGGCCACGCAGGTCTCTTCATCACCGGCGTACACGGCGCACGACGCCCACGCGACGTGGATGAGAAAAGTCGACTCGCTCGACGTCCACACGATAGAGTCGCGGGCCGAGTGGCAGACCACGTAGGCCTCGCGATGGTGGCCGGCGCGGACCAGCGCAAAGGCGTAGTTGAGGAACAGGTCCAGCCAGGTGTGGAACGAGACGCCGCGGTGGTCGGAGGGGAACTTGATGGGCACGCGGATGGTCTGGTCCTGGCCCTCTGCGGGCGCGAGGTTGAGACGTAGACGTTCTTCCATGGCGGCTAGCTTTAGATTTCTAGCCGGCACTGCTGCCCCGCCGCCTTGCACGTTGGCTGCATACCCGAGGAACTTGATGTACTTCTCCCACGGGTAGAACTGCTTGTACGATCGGAAGTCGTCGATGAGGTGCTTGGCCGCTTTCATCCAGTCGGTCTGGGCTTGCTCATCCCCGGCAAAGGCCGAGTCCTGGACTTCGCGGAGGAGATCAAAGTTCTTGACCGCCTCGGCCGTCATCTCGAGTTCTTGCTGTCGCCTCTTCTCTTCGTTGATGAGTCGCCGGGGAACGTAGTTAGACTTTCTGTTTGGATCCCTCGGTTTCCGCGGCCGCGGCTTGCCCTCCCTAGGCTTCCTGGGTCCATACGGACCCCGGCGTCGTCCTGTGCCATCCCCCCTCCTCGCTTCCAAGTTCATCGCTTCCCGTACCAGTAAGAACGCCTCCTCGCGCCCTTCCTGCATCTCTTCGCCCTCATACATGTTCGCCAACTGCACGCGAGCCTCAATATGATCCTCGTCATCCTCGATCGCGGCAATAAAACACTCTTCCGCCGCGGCTTTCTCGCCGCGTGCCATGTGGTACCGGCCCTGGCAGACGGAGAAGTCGGCGTCCAGCGCCGCCTCCCCCGTGTCCGCCGCGATGTTCCGGTAGAGGTCGAGATACCGGATGGCGTCGTCCGCCCGCCCCCGGTCCAGCAACACAACCGCGATGTCCTTCAGACAGTCTGGGAAATCCTTAAAATCCTCCTGTCGCGTCGGGTCAAGCAGCTGCAGGTGCAGGTCCGCCTCGTACTCCAGTCCCGGCTTACAGCGGAAAACGTACAGCTTTGCGCGCAGGTCGGGCGGCAGCCCATTGCCGTAGCTTTCCAGAGGGAACTTGGCGGGCTCGTATCCGGGCACCATCACCCGTCTGTCGTCGATGGTATCCCATTCTCGGTCATCGTCGGCCCACTCCTCCCAGTACATCTCCTCCCGTCTGCCTAGTAACCACCGGGATATCTCCTTCAGCTCCTGCGCGCCCTGCTGCCATTGCTCCAGGATCGTAAAGAACTCGAGATAGATCCGCAAGTCAGACCACTCAAACCAGCCCTCCTCGGCCTCAAACGTACCCTCGCTCTGCAAATGGTCCACCAACCGACGATACGCGCCCCTCGCAATCTCCGCTCCTTTCCTCCTATCCTTCACATCCAGCGCAACATCCGCAATATTACGCACGGTACGGATATTCCACGGCCGATAATTCAACGCCTTCTGGTACTCCGCCAACGCCTTACTCGCATTCCCCTGCATCATAATCACATCCGCGCGGCCCGTCCGCGCCGTAATATTCGCGCGGTCCGTCTCTAGCGCCTGGGTATAGCACACATACGCCCGCTGCAACATCTCCTCGCGCTCCGGCGTGCCCTCCTCCAGCGCCTCCAAACACTCCAGCGCGTACTCGGCCGTGGAGATCCACTGCGGCACATCACGCGGCGTGAGATGGGCCGCCGAGATGCGGCACCATACCGCTTGCTCGCGGTGGCCGAGTGTTTCGTGCACCGTCGACAGCAGCATCCACGCGCTGAACACCTCGCTGTTGATGCGGATGATCTCGGAGAGGTGCGCCACTGTGCGGTCGTACTCCTTCTGCTGGAACGCCTCGTTGGCGAGTGACATGCGGAACTGGATGTCGGGCGGCAGCTTGGCGGCCTTGCGGGGGCCTGTTGACTTGCGAGGTTTACCTCGTTTGCGGCCCCCGGGACCGCCCTTTTTGCGCGCTGGTGGTGTTTGGTAGGGGATACCCAATGCTTCGGCGCGCTGGCGGGCGACGAAGGCTTCTTGCTGGAGGTCGAAGCGCTCGACTTCGGCGCGGAGCTCGAGCGCGTCGGAGTCGGCGGAGATGTTGCTGGCTACGTCGTCGTCGTCGTCGTCGTCCATCATTGGCATCGTCATCATTGTATCGGGTTCCGGGGGAGCAATCCCTGGGAAGAGACTTGGGTCTACCATGTTCATGGAAAACTGGGTTACCACCTGCGTGTTTGGCCCGGCCGGGCCGCTGTTTCCCATCCCGTCCATCTTGGTTTTGTAAGTGGGAGCCGTTGATAGGTTTCCTGTGTCCAAGGCCTAAGAAATTCGGTGTCGGTTGCGCAGAGTGGATTCAATGGGCGGAAGGATAGCTCGTTCCTTTCAAGACTTCCTTTACCACCCCTCTAACTCTTCAAATTCTTGAATGTCGATAAATACCACTGAAACCTCCTGATATCGCAGGTGGCGTTGACATCCACAGTGCCGCCGTCGCTATCGTTGGATGGAGTCAATCATCGAAATCCCGGCATGTTTGTTGTTTCAAAGAGGTCAATGCATTTAAAATATGACGATTAAGGTGAGGCACAGAAACGGTGGTGTTGTGTTGTTGAGCTTCTGTTCTGAAAAGTTGATGTAAAAGGGCTTTGAGTGGAGTCTACAATGAAGTTGATGCACAATGCTCAAGTGAACCACGGTGTGAATACAGTATTTATTTGCACTGTATGGAGGTTTCCTACTTTGTACTTGTGCTAACTATTGTCGTCAATCTGCAAAGACATGATAATTCTCCATTGATTCAGCGCCCAAGGCCATTAAACCGACGCTTTGGGCCCCTACACTCATCACAAAACTTGAATAGAATATGAGTCCATGTAAGCACCATCACTTAGCCTTGTTATGCTGAACTGGGACAACAACCGTCAGACGACAAGGAGTAGATACTGTCAGGGAGCAAAATCCTCTCGTTCAATTAACGTCATTCCCCAGTGAGATCAAATGCCCCATTACCTAGGTACCAACAACTCATCGCCTATATCGCCCATCCCTTCCTCTCTTCTCCAACTCAAGAGCATCGCCGCCAAGATCCCTCTTCCCTCTTTCTGCTTCTCTCTCTCCCTCGTACACCTCTACCGCCCACTAAAACCATGCTTGTGCTCAAAAACATAAATGAATTCCAAGACGGGAAACCCGCACGCCCACTTCAAGGGTCAACCGGAAAGAAGAAGAGCAGTAAGAAGTAAAGTGTCATGACCGGGCCACCTGCATCTCCATTCTGCGCATCCATTACTAAAAGCCATTAAAGCAAGAATGTTATTTAGCAATGATGCTCCCTAAGAATGTGGTTCGGGGCGTTCCGGGTTTTAATTTCGTCGTTCGTAAATTCATTTTCGGTTACCTCCACAGGCCGGGAGGTATCAAACGAGAGGAGGGGAGGACCTAGCTCAGCCTGCCCTCGTTTCTAGCCTCTGTAAAATCTGTTAGCAACGGATCTCAATCCTATCCACCCACCCGGATTACTTCTGGCTACTACATACCCTTGACCTGCTCAAAAACCTTGAGCATCTTGCGTCTAGCACCCAGCGCGTTGACACCACGCTCTTCCAGCTGCTTGTCATCCAGCTCAACGAGATCCGTCCACTTCATATCCTTAAGATTGTCTGTGTACTTGTGGAGTCGCAGACTCCGCAGCCAGCTAGGGATGTCCTGCAAAAGCGTAGGGTCGGTGGGGTCCTCGGGGGGCTTCGACATGCCTCTCCGACCGCGCGGAGACCGGCCACGCACCATGTCCGAGTGATCCGAGTGGTACCCTTCGTGGTGGCCGCCCAGGCCCATCTGGAACGGACCGAGATTCATTGGAGCCAGTCCATTGTTCATAAGGGAGGAAGCTCCGTCATAAGCGCTTAGGAAGCCGTTATTCTGCGGCGACGTGAAGGCCAGCGCCGGGCCGTAGTTTTGCACTGGAATACCAGGCGAATTCGGCCGCGACCGATGGGCCGCGAAGCTGAGGTTCTGCGACTGCTGCAGGGCCATCACCTGCTCCCGGCTCAGCGGCACACCGTGCTCGCTGACCATGATGGCCCCGGGAATGGAAGGCGCGCCGGGCGATAGAGGGTTCTGCGCCGGAGCACCTGGCGCATCGTTAGAACGGGCCCGCCGGTACTTGCGCACATCGTCCAGCGCAAATCTATTGTTCACTGTCGAAAGGGCGGCGAGTTTCATGGCGGTGGCATTGGCCACCATATCGGCGTTGTTCCCCTGGCCAGGCTGCTGTTGTCCCGGCTGTTGCTGCTGCTGGTTGAAATTCGGCACCATCGGCGTGTTGACCATCGAGGCCCAATTGCCGCTGGCTCCGTACGGGGACAGAAGAGGAAGGTCGGCCAGCTGCGGCTCCCCAGCCGTCAGAGTAGTCGACTGAATGTTAGTGTTGCCCGAAAGTTGCGGGCGGGGAGAACGCAAACCACCGGTGGACGGCGGGGGTTGCACAAATTGGCCCATGGGTGCCTGCCCAGAAGAAGATTTAGGGCGGCCCGGGTCGTTGGGACCCCAGGGAGACGCCGGGTTCTGGTTGCCCGGATCTTCCTTCGGGGCCGAAATCGTCGGAGTCACCAACGAGTTCCGGTTATCCACCAGGCTGTTCCGAGTTGAAGTCGGCGGGTTACCGGTCTGCTGGGTAAACTTGGCCTTCTCAGTCGCAATAGCCGCGGCGGCGTCGGGGAACATGGCGTTGATAGTCGACGAATCCAGGCCAGACTGTCGCTTGACGTTTGCGCCCGCACTCGGGCGAGCAAGCGAATTGCGGGCCGAGTCGACCGTGAGCTTGTTCATAGCATCACTAAGACGGTTCGACATCGGATCTGCATCAAAAAAAGAGAGGGGTCAGAATGTGTATGAAACTAAGGCGGGTATTTCGGGCAAGGCAAACCTTTGTCAAAGTTTGCGGGTGACAGAACGCCCGACATTGGATGGTTCTTGCCCATCTGTTGGAGAACCTGAATAAAGAAGCGAATTTGAACCTGTGTGGTCTGCTGCAGCAGTGCATACAGAGCAGCGGTCCGCTCAGCCTCACTAAGGACGCGGAACCACTGTTCGATGGCACTCAGTTCATCCTTGAAGTCCTGGTCAAGGGTCGCAGCCGCCATCTCCTCCAGAGTAGTCTCGTACTGGTCGATGTCGGCGATCCACTGCTGGGCTAGCTTATCCTGCGGGTCCATCTCGACATTGCCCTGACCCTGACCTCCCTGAACCTGACCATAAAAGTCGGAGGAGGGCCGGATCCGGCCGGCAGCAGCCTGTCCGGTCAAGGCGGCCATGTCAGCGGAGGCACGGAGGGCATGGTTGTTGGCGCCAACGGCACGCGAGGAGGGCGGACGCAGCGAAGAAACGCTGGTGGCCTCGGGCGTGCTGTTGCGGTTGCTCATGATGTTGGACATGTTGAGCATAATCGTCGGTGTGTGACCGAGTTGCGAACGTCGATAGACCAAGCGGCGAGTTGTGTAACAAGTCTATAAAACGAAGGTGGGAAAGAATCAAAGCGTGCGCTTGTGAGAGGCCGCCGCTGCCAAGTGCCTGGGAACGCTGAAACAGGGCTCGCGGCTATTTGGTGTGAGCTTTGCGCTAGGTCTGCAAGCTTCTTGTTAATCGCCAGGATCGATCATCATGCGATGGGAGATCATGCTCACATACCAGGGCGGGGGATCGCATGCGTTGCTCGAAGTTGGATTACTCGATGGTATTATATTTGCCGGCCAAGGACTTTCGAAGTCGGTGCGGGAGAGGGTGCGAAAAGGTGCGAAGATTTTCGAAACTCCTGCAGTAACCCGCTGGCCTCAAAGGAGGTTCGAAATTTCGCGAAGAAGGTCACGGGAGGAAACAACGTTCTGTTGCAGGATCGGAAGATTGAAGTCAGCATCAGTTGCAAAGGAGGCACCGGGAAGCAGCTTGTGACGGCGCATCTCGAGCTGAGTTGCAAATCGCAGAAACCGGCCAAGAAATCGCCGCGTACTATCCCCGGTGATATGGTGCGAAGACAGCGACAACAATACGGCCTTTGCAGAGTTGGCCCTTCATCGCTTGAAGGGGGCTCAGCCCGGTCGCTCCGTTCACGAACTTCCATCCAAGACGAGACGACGAAACATGGGGCGATCGGGCGGGGAACCCACAGAAAGGGGCAAACTTCACATACCCATTAAGAAAGCTCCTGAATATTCAGAAAATCCGCAATCGAGAAGAAAAAGACGGACAAGAAGGGAGGAGGGGGAGGAGGAGGAGGATGGCTGGCTCCGGCCTGAACCAGCAGAAAACTCGACGGGTTCGTGGTAAAGAGGGTGAACAAAAAGAAGAGGACCAGGAAGGGCGAACGAAAGGTAGTTTGGTTGATGAGACGGACTCGGGTTGAAGGCGGCGGGCAGGATCTAGCCGGCGGGGCCCGCAAGGGAAGAGAAGCCAACGAACAGAAAGGGAGCGGAAGATTGGCTGGAACGCACACACGCCGCTGAAAAGCGGGCCCCCATCGGCCTCAAGGCTCACAGCCTCAGCTGGTCCAGGCTTTTTCTCCACAACAGTCGTTTCGCCTTCCGGGTCTTGCTTTCCAGAACTGAGTTGCGAGAGCCCTGGTGCATTTCACCAATTAAATCGAGCATTGAACACCGTCTAACACCATTCTCTCAAGGATCTCGAGAGAATAGGAAGTTCAGGAGTCAAGTGTATTTCCTCACACCTCCTCGACTTAGTCTTCCTCCAGGCGGTACGCCGACGGAACCAGAAAGCTGACAAAGTTGAGCTCTTTTCTGTTTCACTCAGACAGTAAGGGTTCATCCGTGCTTGAGTCCGCTTAAGCCTGAACCCTGGGCAAGGCAGCTGCACCAGCAGGGTTTCCCAGCGCCCGGAATTTCGGGAGGTGGAGGACATTGTTCGGGGCTGCCGCGGCCACCTTAGGGAGAAAGGGGGTTCTCCTAATTCAATCATACACTCAGGTGCTCGGGATATCACAGGCGGATATGTCATGCCCAGGGCACAGTGTTTTGCTCTCACAACCCAAGCGGTGAAGTGCATCAAAGCCTCCTTCCACTTGACTCAAATTCGGACCCCCTCAAACTCAGCAAGGCTGGAACCGAACCTGCGGGCGGCGGGAGCGTCACACGCTCCCCACGATCCAACACGTTTCCCGCTGCTCGTGCCGTGAAATCCAGCTTTGAATATCAGACGGGGCGGCACATGAAACGGGCCCGACAATTGCACTCGGTGTTAAGCGGCTCGACTCCGCGGGGCGAGTTCGGCAGAAATCGAACTAGTGTACGGAGTAGCGCTCGTATACATAGTAAGCTGACGGTGGATAGTGACAGAGACACGGCGCTTGAGCGGCGTCGGGTCAAGGGTGAAAGCGTCCAAAAATGATCGCCACGGAACAGAGAACCCCAATGCCTGGACGGCACAACCTGATGTCATTTAAGGATATGTTCAAAATGCGGTCCGGAGATCACACGATGCGGGCGTGTCTGTGATAGGTCTTATGATTTTCTTGTGAAACGAGCCGAGGAGATCCGGCTTGGGATGCAGCGAGGTTAAACCGGATGGTTCCTCGGACGCCGGCAACTCAGTAAGAAACTTTATTTAGTACAGACTCAGATTCTCTCTCTGCAATATAGGAGAGTCGCAATGTAGAATGTAGCCTCGCTTTCATGCACCGGAGTCTTTCGAGAGAAGATCAGAGGTGTTTGGTAATAGCAAGGCTGGTCCGTCTCGGCACGATATAATCCTTCAGCAGATTGAGCACGGGGAGAAAAGCTCAGAGCTGTACACACTAATGCCGTTCGTCGCAATGACGCCCCCAGAGAAACCGCAGAAACAACTACAACAAGGCGAGGGTGAGAAGGGTGAGGGGCGGAGGAGGTTGATACCATAGTCGTGCGTCAATCAACACAAACATACTCAACTTTACACACCTTGTGAGCTGAGCCAAGACAGAGAGTCGGGGACCGCAACCAAGCGACGCCCTCGCGACATGCAGAGAGGGAGGAATGGGACGCCCTTTGGAGAGATCCGCCTCCCTGCGTGCGTGGAGGTCAATGCATTCCGATGGGGGAACTGGCCGAAATAACGCCCTAGGTAACACCTCCAAAAAGCCCGGCCCAGCAAGCGATGGAATCCGATCACCGCTTTGAAATCCCTTCGTTGTCGTTAAAAAGAGCTCATATTGTCCCACGCCCAAGGATGCATTTCCTATTCTCTCCTAATCCCGTCGAGACGCCGCGTAACAACCCAGGAAAAAGACAGATCAAGCAGTCTCCCGCTTGCCCTCACGGAACTCCTTCTGTACAATTTGTCAGCCAAGTTTCGGCGATGCGCTTGTGTGGGCGGAGGATATTCAAGCGGTCGGATCGAGGGAGGGAGATTCGTACCAGAGCCTTAGCGGTGCCGTGGAGCGCGTGCCTGTGGTTTCTTCGGAACTTGGGGTCGGTACCGTTGAGCGAGGGGTACCTCTGGGTCTTGGGCTTCTTAATGCTATAGTTGAAAAAACTCGATGTCAGCCTGGCTTCATGTGTGGTGTTGTCGTCGTTAGCTTCTCGCGATGGGTGCGTACCCGTTCCGGTGCGCCTTGCGCGACTGGTTGTGCTGAGACGAGTTCTTGGACTCTGCAAATCGTCAGTATCGTGATAATCTATACCCTAGAGCTAATAGGAGGTGACATACTGGCCATTGTGAAGAATTTCGGCTCGGTTGGCGATAACTGAGGCTGAAAACTGGGGTGAAAGGTTCAACGACGGGGAATGTCACCTGCGCACAAAAGCGGGAGAAATTTGGACTGCCCTAATTTGGTGGGTGTGGCTTGTGGAGTATGAATGTGGCTACAATGTGGCTGGCTCTTCTCGAGCGCCAAGAACTCACATGGTATTCCGTACGGTAACGTGAGTTCGTAATTTACACCACCCCGCCAGCCCCCGAACTGAACAGTTGCGAAGTGTTTTCAGTCGCAGTAATGCTATTATGCCCGCAGCAAAAATCTATATGCGCCAACAAGATTGTACAAGAAGCCTCCTATTCCCAGAACAAAAAAGAAAAGAAACTCTTCAACTGAGCCGACCGTGGTTGTACAAAAGTATTCACGATTACCCGACGAACTCCAACCCAATCACCTGCAGCCGAGGTCCCTCTTAGGACGCAATCGATACCTTATTTGACGACTACTGGCGCGACCAGCTTCGCAGCAGCCGCAAGATCAGTCGTTCTCCCCAACCTCCGCGATCGCATAGCCTGAAGGTAGCGGACGAAAAGGATAAACATGAGTTCGACACTACCCCACGTCAGCAAATGGCACGCTCGATACCCAAATTTTACGAAAATAACGTACCGCTCCTTTGTCATCATCAGAATACCCTGCACGAGCAAACCCTTCAGAATTTGGGGCCCGATACCCTTGAACAGGCTCCTGGGGCCTTCGTTTGCGATGATAAATTGCATCACCTCGACAAAGCTCTTGAACGGCTTGCCCTGCCGCGCCGGTGGCGGTTTCGATTGCAGACCGACCTTGGCCACGATCAAAGGCTGAGTGACAATGGTCGCGAGTGCCTTGGACATTGCGCCAAGCGCTACGGATCATGTTAGACTTGCCGCACGGTACGTACCCCAGACAATACTTGATCAGACTTACCGAAAGCCTCCCAGGGTGAAAGGTTTTTCTTGCCGGGATAAAGGACATCCTTCAACCGCTCGTACGCGCCATATGTGATGGACGGGTTGATTACCAACACTAAGCTCGCCTTGAGCCCCCTCCACAAGCCCGACACGCCATCCTCGCCCTCGATCACCTCACGCGCGGTGTCGATAATACCCTTCCTCTCCTCCTTGCTCTGCGTCTGCTGGCGGGTCGTGATGACGGCGACGGGGATGGTGAAGAGCTGCGCGAGCGCACCGGCGACCGCACCCAGAGAGAGTTCCACGACGGTCGACGGCGTCCCAGTGGACTTGGCGTACTTGAGGTAAACGGTGCGCACCACAGAGTACCAGTAGAAGTAGGCAAAATTGGTCGAGGCGACGCCGAGCAGCGACCCGCTCATACCGGCGTACAGGCCTGCAACACCCTCGGCCGAGGCGATCTTGGAGATAGCGTCCCATGTCCCGTTGTAATGCGTGTCCTCGAATTTGACTTGGTTCTTCTCGGTTTCGGTCTTCTTGACTTGTACTTGGAGTTTCGTCTTCACGCTAAGACACAAAGACACTCGAATTAGCAATCGCACGGGCGTTCGGTGCACGACCTCCGGTTTGGTCTTTCAACATACAGATCCAAGGGGTAGACGAGCGCATTGGCGAGGACCGCGCCGGCCGCGCCGGCCGTCGCTTTGCCCCAAGGCCCAATTGGGGCGGGTTTTGACTGCGCAGCCATTGCGGTATGCTTCGGCCCCTTTTACAGGACGTGGCGGCGGTTTTGGCGCAACGTCGCGGGGGCCCTTTAAAGTGTGTTTGTCGCGGTGGATCGGAGTGCAGAGAGGAAGTGCGAACCGAGAGTGCAAGCCGCAACGGACACCGGCGCAGGCTAAGAACCCTGCCGGCTATGCAAACCCCCACTGGTCGATGACGGCAGTTGCGCACGGGTCTAGCCGAGGGAAGGCGAGAAACAACGACAAACACAACAAAAACAGCAAGAAACTAGAAGGACCGGACGTTGAAACGGGGTTCGTTGGGCAGCAAAGTGAGTGAAAACGGTAGAAAATGAGATCCCGCGTTGAGAACGGGAACGACGGCCTTAGATGGACCCCGTTCCTAGGTTCTTTGATCCGGTCTGCGCTCGCTCGTGATCCCGGGACTGTCTTGCCGGGACCTCGGCTTTCCGCAATTCGGGAGTTTGCAGTTCCAGCGGGTCTCCGTTGCCCCGCTGCTGAGTGGATCCACTGAATGGCCTCGAGCTGCCGCTGTTCGTCCCCAGCATTGGTTCGACTTCTCGAAGTGTATCGTGCCTGCCAGACATGATAGATATTAAACGAGGAGAAGGCACCATTAGGTAGTTCCCCAATTCGCTCCTTCTTAAGAGGACATATCCAATGCCTATGACCCAAACAATGATATCCTCTTCCAACTTTAAGAATAACTAAAACTGTGGATTTGTTCCTTTGTGGCCATCAATCCGCCGAGGTTCGGCTTCTGATATTCTGTCGATCGGGGAAGCGCACGTTAAAACCTCCCGATCTGAGCAACTTCATTTCTCTTCCTTTTTTCATTCTTTCAGCCCGGACTAGGTTGGACAGCAAACCCCTGTACAAACTACACTTTCCTCGTCATCCAAGGCTCACTTCGTTGTATTTAGCAAATTTGGTTTGTCACCTCACACCTCAATCAAGAGCACAGAGGGTGGCTTAGAAGGTCTGGGCGTGCTTGACTCCCTATCAGAGCCCCTAAACAAGTCTTGGAGCGCAGCGTCTCTTATCTCAGCAGCCCGCAACTCGCCCAAGCTGCTTTCTCCACCAAGAAGATGCGGCCGAGTTTTAGTGAATTGGTTTGGGTAGAAGGACGTATTATTGAGTTATTAGCCGGAAGTTGAAGAAGGGACCTAGTGTCCATATTTCATACATTCTACACGGTATCTTTATTGGTGTTTCGATCTAAGACTCGGTGCTTCTCAACGCGCGGTTCGCCAACTGCATTTGTCAAGGAAACATTCTTGGTTGCTGCCGAGAACGCCTAGAACGAGCGCCGAGATCGCGTGGTCCCCCGCTCGGGTACTTACACAGCAGCTATGGAAGCTCAGGCGTTGGTGAGCCATTCTCGATACCAACCAACATGGTTTTCAGCACGTGTCTCGGGGCAACAACGGCTCACGGTAATGCCAGGAACATGAGCGTCGTTTGGCAACTGCCCAGGGGGGGGAGGCCTTGAAACACGCCATTGCCGCCGCTGAGCTGTACATGCAAGCGGCCGGTAAAGCGGAAATCCCAGAAGATCGCAAACGATTCCGGAGAAAATTTGCAGAGCTCATCAGCCTCGGGGAGCGTCTCAAGGCCAACAATGAGGGTTCTCGGACGGCCGCTGTTGCTGCCCCCCGGCTCCCAACCCCGGAATCAACACGGCCCCTGACGACCGCCGAGAAGACTATTGTCCTTCGAGCTTCGCGCCTACACGGAAACATATTTCGACCGTGGGAGTCTGCGCCCGGTCTTGAAAAGGCTCCGGATGGCCAGATTCCTGTTTACAAGTAGGTCGAGGAGACTAGTAATTCTTTTCTCTGCTAATATTAATCTTAAAATTCAAGTGACCCGTCCCCCTTTTCTCTATCACTAGAGCAGCAGGCCATTTTTGCTGGGTGGCGGCGCCCTGCCGAGCTCCCAGGAGCCAAAAATGGAGACAATGAAGAGGAATGCTTAGCACCGCTCATGGAAGCTCAAGCGGACATGGACCTTGCCCAGGATCTAGCGACGGATTGTTCAGTTGTGGCTAGTCTGTGTGCTGCTGCTCGCCTTCTTGGGCCTACCCAAGATTCGGTGAGTAGCCGCTCCCAAAGCCTTAACACCTTGGATACTGACTAACATGTTCCGTGGTAGCTGCTCGGGTCCTTGATGATCCCCTTTGACCACGAGAAAAAACGGCCCGCCATCTCTCAAAGCGGCCAGTATATCTTCCGCATGTATTTCAATGGGTGCTGGCGATCCGTCAGCATCGACGACCGCCTTCCCGCTTCCAAGACGGACCGCACGCTGTTCGTGGTCGATCGTCGGAACCCTCGGTTGATCTGGCCAGCCCTGATGGAAAAGGCGTATCTCAAGATCCGCGGTGGTTACGACTTTCCCGGAAGCAACTCAGGGACGGATTTACATGCCCTCACTGGGTGGATTCCCGAGCAGATTTTCCTTCAAAGGTGAGCCCCTTGTTTCCCATGCTTATAAGATGCATTGATCTAACCCCCTCCAGTGATGATATTGAGCTAGATGAAATATGGAATAGGGTCAAGAAGTCGTACGATAACGGTAACGCAATTTTGACCCTTGGGACGGGGAATATACTCCCTGAAGAGGAGAAGGTGTTGGGCTTGGTCAAGGAACACGACTATGCCGTCGTGGACTTGAAACAGGAGGACGGCTCCCGTCTCCTGCGCATCAAGAACCCATGGGTTGACAGCCTAATCTGGACTGGCGTTGGGTCCTCGGCAACGCTGAAGACACACACCGTCGGTTCGACATCCGATGAGTCGCCCAACCAGTTCTGGATGGCATTCGAGGACGTTCTGCAGCACTTCGACTCGCTCTACGTTAACTGGAATCCCGCGCTGTTCAGCCACCGCGAGGACCATCACTTCAAATGGGATATGTGTGACAAGACAGAAGAGCTGGTTTACACCCATAACCCACAGTACAGCATATCCTCTCCCTCCGATAATCCGATTTGGGTGCTCCTCAGCCGCCATTGGCAGGATGGCGAGCTTGACATTCTGCGCCAGCGCAAAGCCGAGAAGGACCGTGGGAGTGACTCACTCGCGACAGTCTCGAAGCAACTCGGGTTTACAGCACTCGCTCTGTACACGACTCCACAGCCCGGTACTCGTGTTCCTTTGTTGGATAGCAGCCGGAGACAGGCCCAAACGCCCTATGTTGACAGCCCCAACACCCTCCTTCGGTACACTCCAACTCCCCATACGCCGCAGACGCTCGTAGTCACCCAGACGGAGCTGCCCTTGGTGACCTACTCTTTTACCCTTTCCTTCTTCTCCCTCAACCCCCTGACCATCACGCCTGCTCAACATCGTCACGCCTTCAACATCCCTCTTACCGGTGCCTGGACTCGCCGCACAGCGGGGGGCAGCGCTTCTCATCCAAGTTACTTCACCAACCCGCAATACTCTCTCACCCTAACTTCACCGTCAGCGGTCTCGCTCGTGCTGAGTACCTCCTCCCGCGACATCCCGGTGCATGTCGCTCTTGTCTTCTCCCCTCCCTTAACCACAACCAACTATCCATCACAGCAGCAGTCGCATCAACCGCAGCACCAACCCCCACGGCGAGTCACCTCCCTCTCCGGCCGCGATATTCTCTGTTCCTCGACCGAGTACCATCTCGGCTGCACCTCCGCCTCCTCCCCAGTCCTAGACCCGGGCACTTACACCATCATGCTCTCCACCTACGAGCCCGGCCAACTCGCCCCCTACACCCTCCTCGTCTCCACCGACTGCGCAGGAACCACCATCAAACCCATCCCCTCCGACGGCGCGGGCCGTCTACGCACCCTACTACCTCCCTTACCACCCAATCCCTCACACCAACAATATTCCCAACCTACCGGCCCAACCCGCCTCCGCGCCCGCCTCTACCCATCCCGTCTCATTCGCCTCAACCTCCTCGCCACCCAATCTCCGACCCACAACAACAACAGACACATCACAGCCGCCCGTATCTCCCTAGACCTCGGCACCGGTCCCCACCGTACCCTCCTCACCACCTCCCACGACGGTGAGTTCGCCGATGCCGTCATGGGACTACGCACCCGCGAGGTAGATGTCGATGGGCCGGAGGCGGAAAGGAGGGGTGGGTTGTGGGTAGTTTGGGAGGAGATTGGTCGTGGTGGTGGTGAAGGAGGAGGTGGTAGTAGTTTAGGTTTAGGTGGCGCTGAGAGTGGTGGTACTGCTGGTGGTGGTGGGAATGGGGTACAGATTGAGGTTCTGAGTGATGGGGAGGTGGATGTTGGGGGATGGGAAAGGGCGGAGGAGGATTAAAGGCGGGGGCTTTTGGGTATCTGGAGTGTTTTATTTACTCTGCTTTGCTTTCTTGTTGGGCGGATGACATATCAAAGTGAGAGGGGCCAGCTATCAACTAGCTGCCTGGTGTTAGGCTACTTGACACTCGGTACCTACGTAACAACAAATTTCAATGTTTCTCGGAGTGTGTTCAGTATGCATTGTGGCAGACTGTTTCCGAGGACTCGATGACCCGCAAACGTCTTGGACATACACATCATCAACAGGTTCGGGGAGCGCTTGCAAAGCCTTCATGAAGGTGTGCAGAACCAGCACAGCAAAGATTTGTTGAATTTGCGTGAGTTCTTCAGCTCCACGTAAAGCCACTGACTATATTCCCGCTCCCCTGCGCGGTTTCTCCGTAGCGAACGCCTCGCGAGTCCATCTTTGGGGTTTGGCCGAGTATGTGTGGATCATGTTGTCGACTGTCTGTATGTACATACATACAGTACGCCTATCATCTGCCCACCCTCCCGTAGTGACTGGCCTACAAGCTAGCAACTGTAGCATAGCTCGCCATCATCCTTCACTTTTGGCCTACCCTTTCAATTTTTCCAAATCCCACAAAACAACCAAGAAAAGTAAAACGTGGTATATGGCGTGATGCCCAGACAACGCCGTAGACGCCCCTTCCCCCTTTTCCCCGCCTCCGTGATCCGCTGCGCTCCCTGGTGTATCATCCCACACAAACCCTCCGGAACCCATCAATCAGGGGTAAGTAACAAGCAAACCGTATCAGGGCCTGTAAAGAGCCAGGTATTCCTCTCAGTCTGCGCCAATAAACGCCATGTGCTCGAGGCAACAAAAACAAGAAAGAAAAAAAGGCCGCTGCTAAAATGATCAAGATGACATAGTAAAAGTGATAGTAAAGGGCTTTAGCGATGGAGGAGCCACTCCTAACCTGGCCCAGCTCTGCGCCTCCGGCCACGGTTCGGCCCGCCCGGTCGTTGTGCGAGGACGTCGCGAAGAAGAGGGTCGTCCCTTTGTTTGTCGACATGATGGACACGGACATGCCTTGAGATTCTGTGAGTTTCTCGTCTATCACGACGAGGGGGTCTCCAACAAGGTGACATAACATACCTCTGAAGATTGTCAGGTCGGGGGTATCGATGATCCCGGTCTGGACAAAAAGGGCAGATATACCCTGGCGATTCATGTACGAGTCCATGCCGAATCATCTCATTTTTCCGCTTAAACCCTTTACCACCTTCGCCACGGGGACAACCTTGAACCGGACAGTAGTGCGGCCTCGCGGATGAATGTACATTTGCGTGCGAATTGAGCAAGTATTGGGTCTGAAAGGGCGAGGCTTGGCAACCAGGAACCCTGCAAATGTAGCTCCCGACGGTTTGAATAGCCATGCCATCTATACTCATCCGGTCGAGCCCTTGTACGGAAAGGGGCGAGCCAGATTGGTGCGATCCAACCGCTTCCGGAGAGCTGGCAGTAAACTCGTGGGGGCGATGTAGGCCGTTCGACGGGGGATAGTACGCGAGTGGGTGAATGGGAGATAACGGATCGCGATAAGGGTCGGCCGGCGGCAGAGGGGGCGAGCCCAGTTGGGAGGATAAGGATGGTAGGCGAGGCATGCCAGTAGGCGGTGAGCCCGAGAAACTATGATTAAGGCCCCTCATTACACTTCCTGCTCCGGGGCTGTGGACAAGCTGCGGGATGTCTCCGAGTTGTGATCGGATTGACGGCAAGGTCTGACCGCTCGTCTCGTATCTCGGCGAGTTAAGTTGAAGGGGTGGCAGGCCTTCGCCTTGAGTGCTTGAGTGTATGCTCGCTGTGGGTGACCTCATGTCCGTCTTTGACGACATGGGCGTACTTCCTACCTCCCGGGGCGAGTAGATACTGGCAGGGCTATAGGGGGACGGCATGGTTGGCGGGCCTGTACGCTCGGGCTGCTGAGTCCCATTCCGTCTCGTATGTATCGGCATGGTAGATGCTGGCGTCGGATGCCCTTTCACGCTGACGACATCATTGTCGGTGACGGGGGGCGTGGGCCCAGCGTCGGGCAATGTGCGAGGTTCAGCAACAGCTAGCGCATCCGCTGCTAGGGACTCCAGAGCCCTCAGATCAAACGCGCCCACATTCTCTGTCGTAGGCCCCACAGCCGTCTTGCCCGGGGCATGAGCAGATTCTCCGTTGGCCGTCCGACTCGATGCGTCGTCGTGACCCCGCTCCATACCGGCGCGATGGTCGCCGGAGGGTGAGGCAGGAGACATCGACCGGTCGCGAAATGCGGGGTGCTTCGGCTCTTCCGCGTCCTCTGGGCCACCCGAGTCCTCGGTATCGGTGATCCAGGGATCGATCCCTTCATAGGCCGCGAGCTCGCGCCGGTGTCCGTCAAGATGGCCAATTAGGATGGCATCGCCTTGGTTTGGTCGCACCCAATTTCGGCGTTTTAATCTTCCATTGCGACGGCTGGCTGCTGAGCTTGTGGACGAGGAAGAGAGCGTGGGCGCCGGGCTGGGCGACAACTTTAGCCTTGGGCGGCGAGGCTCCAGTAGTGGGCTATCCCTGGGCAAAACGTCATCAGGGTCATATAGGTCGCTGGCTGGGAGATCGGAAGTAGCCTCCGTGCTCATTGCTTCGTCAAGTATTCCGGGGTTTAGTGCATAGAGCAGTCGTACATCAGCTCGCCATCGATAGCCGAGCTGTGGTGGCGCCTGTGAAACGAGGAGTTGGCGTGCTTGCCTCTTCCGGGAGAAGCGCCCGCTAGATCGGTTGCGTAGGACCGTCTCCCCTTAACAGACCCGCATCCGCTGAAGACAACCGCAACAAGTGCGCCGGCGGACGGCCGGGCCAGGAGAGGATGTCCGGGTGCAAGAGCCTCCCAGGTGTGGTTGGACCCGGAGGCGCAAAAGGCGGGGGGCCGACATATAAGAGCCGCAGGGGGCACCAAGCATGCGACAGGCACGAAACTGGAACACAGTGGCCAGCCGAGGCGAAGAAAGGTCGGTTGCGTTGCAATACGCTGGGGTGAGGTGTGGTACCTATAAAAAGCGGAACGGAAGGAAACCTGCGATGCGTTGATTGAGGCGGGGAACCGTAGATTGCACACTCCGTTGGGAGGGTGAGGGGGGTTGGGTCTGGCTGGGCTTCTCGTTGCAGGAGAATGCGGCTCAAGGCCGTAACTTAGCGCTGCGAGCCGGGGGTGTGGTTTGCCGGCAAAAGCGAGGACCAGATTAATGAAGAACCAGGTCCGTAACCGTTATGGGGCCCGAGCTCCGTTCCGGCCGGCACGGCAAGCGCGAAAACACAAGACGTGGCTTGATTTCTCTGGTGGGAGAATTTGTTTCGAATGTTCGAATGTCGACAAAAAGCTGCGGCTCATGGAAGGGCTGCTGCAGCCGGGGGTGGTGAGGCTCAAGCAATGAGCCGCAATGACAGCTGCTTGGGCGCCGAGCGAGCTGACTGGGCAGCCAGGGCCCCGGAGCTCTCCTGAGAGTGAGGTAAGACGGGCCAGACTCGAGCTAGTTACCCGAGGTAGGTAAGAGACTAGGCTTGGACTCGTTGTGTCTTCCAGGTTGTCGAGGGGCGAGCTCCTGTGAGTACGTGCCGCGCCTTTTCGGTGTCAACGGTTGTGGCTTGTGGTTCGTGAGCCACGGTGACGTTCATTCCTCGGCCGGGTAATGCCGTCCTGGTTTTGGCTTTGGGCGCACGAGTGGGATCGGATGCGACACGGCCAGAGCATACACTAGGACGTGAGTGATGGGATGGAGATGTTGCGAGGTGAAGGAAAGTGAACGGAATGAGGGATCCATCAGCGGATGGAATGCACTGTTGAGGCACCAGGAACTGCGGGGCACCCCTGTTGGGTTCCCATCGGGAAAGTCCCCCACCCACCAGTGACTGCAACAAACGGCTTCAGCCCAGTAATACGGAGTTCCCCCGGGGTCCGCTCCACCACATTTCACGTCTTTCGGTCGCTCTTTCTGTCTAGGTGCCATGAGCTATGAGACCACTGTAAACGGCAGTCGACTCCCCCATCTCCTGCTTTCATGCAGGCTTAAGAAGGAGACCCCCGGCTCGAGTATTGTCAAATGCGGCCCCTCAACTCTCGATATTTTCTCAAGTTTTTTGTCTACCTCGAAATTCCCGATTCCTTAGGCAAGCTCAGTCAGAGTAAAAGATAACGTTCCAGAGGTGGGTTGGTCGTGTGCAGCATTTACACGACGGTCGTTGAGGCTGGCATCTGTAGGCAGGGGCGATCCTCCACCCCGGACCCCTCTCGTCCCCCAGGGTTTCGGCGCATTCATTACCAAGTCCTTTCCCACACTGACCGAGGGCTCCAAAAAAAAAACCCCGGGCCCGTCGCGTCCTCGCTCTGTCTGAGAGGGCACGTGTTGGGATGGAAAAGAACGAAGGAAATAAAAAGGGCTTCCCTTCGCTCACTGCGTATCACTTGGTACATAGTGTACACTACTTGGGGTTGCCCCATGGGGTCGCATCTGCCATGTGTGTCCAACAAGGCAATTCCTATCATTTCCCTCCTCCCCAGATTACTGAAATTTCCCGGGGCATGGAGAAATCCGGTCGCAGCACATTTTCGCTTGGATCCGCTGGAAACGCCGGGCTGGAACCCCCGCATTTTATGAGCCAAGTTGGCCGGCCTCGGTCGATCCCTGATTCCCAGGAACAACCCCAAACGAGGAGAGAGCCGCACGGGGCGGCCTCCCGTCCCTTCCGTCGATTTTGTCGATCACCTCGCAACGCAGTTTCGCCCCCAACCTGACAAACGACATTCCAGAGCCGAAGAATAAAACAAAGTTCCCGCGACTCACCAGCTCGGAACCCGACCTTTTCGTTCTTACTTTCGTTCCGGTGCCGGAATCCCAAGAACCCCCGTTCGGGACCACAACCTTGCCCGGAGTTGTTCAGAACCCGGTCGATCGATGATGCCCAGGCACACCGAGGCTTGCTGCGTGCATCCACTACTTGGGCCAAGAACACCTCAGCCTCGCCCGCCGATAACTAACTAGCGCATCATGCGGCGGGCCAGTCCGCGTCTCATCAGAGCCAAAAGTCGCGAGCTTCCGAAGTCCTTGCATTCCCGGCTGTAGATAACTATTGTCCGCTCCCAGCCAAATCTCACATTGTCCATACTAAAGGGGGATACAACCCTCTGGCGCTCGTTGTGCTGTGCTATTCCTCCTCGGGTACACACGAAGAGAAGGAACTAACTTGAAGGGCCACAACGGGACGACGCCCCATCCGGACTGCACCCACGTCAGCGACGGCCTGCAGGCACGGCACGTCGCATTCAGAGCGCAACCTGACGCTGCAGAGTAAGCATCTGTCGCGAACTCTCCGTGCGACAAGGGCTCCTCCTCCTGTTTCAGGGCCCATTCACTGTTGCGATATTTCTTCGTCCTCCCTCATTGTGGAAGGTGACCGAACATCTAAGAGATGCGTCCAGAAAACGGTCCTCCCACTCGCCCGTAGTGGAAATGGTAGTTCGACGTGGAACAACAAGGTTTCTGTTCTATCCATCAAGGCCGTTGGTGTTGATGTGCCGTGCAATGAAACGGTCTTCTTCGTGCCTTCGGGCATCAAAATGGTTGTACCTGTTGCAGGCGGTGAGGTTTTCCCACTCAACAGCACCGACTCCTTGCAAAAAAACCCCGCGGGTTGAGGCGTGTCACCTGCTATCGCTCCCCATCAGGAGCCGGAGTCTTGGTTGGACCACGGGCCAGCACGTGTTCCCCAGAGGAGACGCCATGCAGCCATTGATTGCGAGTTTAACCGCTCTTGATGCCGGGCTTCTCAGCCGCGAACAAGAAAATGCGTGCCACTTGCGTTGTCGTGGAAGGAGTGGGTGTGACCGCCTCGTGTAAGCCTCATGATGGGGGCCTCGAGTCCAGTGCAACAAAAGCTTGGGAACACAACATGGAAACTGGGACGACTACCCAAGTGAACCTCGACGACAACGGCCACGGAGCCCGGAAATGACTCTAGTATTGCTATGAGACCTGGGAGTAGAACCACCCTTATCAACTAACGGTTGTGTTCATCCTCCCTGTGCGGCTCTTGGACGACACTGCCGGCTCACACCCTCCCACCAACAAGCGGACGTGCCAGCTTGGGGAGACGCGAAGTGGTAACGTTAATGTTCTCCCCTCCTTTGAGCGCACCGATGGGGGATACCCAACTTCATATTGGTACGCCGTCAACTAATAATTCGGTCGGCATCCTGCGGCGTCACTCCCCAAACCCGGCTGCCGCGGTAGTAACGTGAGGTGAAATGTCCCGCCATCTCCCATGCGCCTCTCATTCGACCACCTTCCTCTTGCTCCGAAAGGAGCAGCTGCTCGGAACGAGGATCCGTACCGCCGCGGCCTTACCCCCCTTCCCCTTTTCCTTGGGTGGCGGCCGGGGAAATCCTACCTCCCCCTATACGACGCTTCGCTTCGTTGCCGATCAAACGGTTGCCTCGTGAGGCAACTTCTAAGCCTGTTTATCTTCGATATGGTGTCTGAACGGCCCGCCCCGCAAGACAAGCCGGATATTTGCTGGGCATTGGTCACCTCTTTCATCTTTATCGTCCGAACCTGACGACGCCCGTTCCACTCAAGCTCCAAGCCAGTTACCTTGGTCTCCATATTAAAGGACATAATAGCGGATCAGACGCCCCAGCACAAAACGTTACGGGCCGGAGATGGAAGCATTCCCGACATCATTCTCAGATCCTTCGATCGTGACTGGATATCAGCAAAAAAAGTGAGTCAGCCTCAAAAGTGGATGCACCCGGGATCGAACCGGGGACCTTTCACAAGGCGCATCTCGAGGTCAATGCGAAGCGAAAATCATACCACTAGACCATGCACCCATTCATTAAGCAGGGGTGATAATATCATGTTACATAAAGCTGCTATCCAAGGCTTCCAGTAGAGCAATTCGTCCAGCCCTTGCCCGACTCACCGGCTTTCAGAGGAGTTGCCAGGTGAGGTCGCGGACATTGTAAGCTCTTGGTCTCGATACTAGGTGGGAATTTGGAGTATTTAAACCAGGCGAGAAAAAGAAGTGGCTCGTTACTCGTGTAGAGAGAAATATACACAGTCCTATTACACACGGAGTGGGCTCCAATATTCCGTATTGCATATGATTCGGGCGAGTCTTCAAACGATCGCATATTGGGCACACTAATGCTTTACAGAATAGTTCCATCGTCAGGTAGCTGCATCATGATATGATGATCAAGCAAAGCGTGAAGTTCCACTCAGGACGCCCACTTGTCAGTGGAAACTGACAAAAACCAAATAACCACCTCCTTAAAAAATTAGATTGGAATCCCTAAAACAGTGACCTGAGGCTCATAAGGACCCCAGTTCCCCAACCAGCGCCAAGCACATAACATCCAACACCCCGGCATGTCTGAACTTCCAGCTCTTATGAAGGCCGTGGTCTTCCATGGCCCAAAGAAGGTCGCCGTTGAGGACCGGCCCGTCCCTAAATGCAAGCTAGCCCCCTCAGGACTTGCACCTGAAAACAGCCGAGGAGCTCCGTCGTTATGGCTGACTCAAGCTGAACCCTGCAGTGCAAGGGCCGGGTGATATCATTGTCAAAGTCCAGTCCACGGCCCTCTGCGGATCGTATGTACTTCTTTCTGTTCTGCTCATTGTTTTCACCCACTATAGCTAGTCTATATCAATGGTGCTCTAACTGAACGTTCTCTTCTTTCACGCTCAGGGAACTCCATGTCTTCCGCGGCCACCAGCCGTCCCCCACGGGCTACATCATGGGTCACGAGTTCGTGGGCATCGTCGTCCAAGCCGGCAGTGATGTCAAATCTGTCTCTGTCGGCGACAGGGTTATTACCCCTTTCACTTTGTCTTGGTAAGTACATATATATATGCCCCCCATCCACACGCACCCACCCCCTTTTTCTAATTACTGCCATAATATCTAACATTCCGGTCTCGGTACCCCCCCTCCCAAAAAGCATGAACTGCTTCTACTGCACCCACAACGCCTCCTCCCGCTGCGCCGCCGCCTCCTCCCTCCTCTTCGGTTCCCCCGCCCTCGACGGCGGGCAAGCCGAGTACGTGCGCGTGCCCTTCGCCGACGGCAGCGTGCTAGCAGCCCCGCCCGAAATCACGGACGACCGCGCGCTGGTGCTGATGGCGGATATTTTCCCCACGGGCTTCTTCGGCGCCAAGAATGCCTTTGAGATGCTGCTCGCGCCGCAGCGGATGGAGGCGAGCGAGAGTGTGGTGGTGGTGATCGGGTGTGGACCGGTGGGGCTGTGCGCGGTGATTTCGGCGTTGGAGTATAGGCCGAAGCATTTGTTTGCGGTGGATAGTGTGCCGGCGAGGTTGGAGGTGGCGAGGCGGTTGGGGGCGGAGCCGTTGAATTTTGCGGAGGTGGGCAAGGAGAGGATGGTGGAGAGGGTGAAGGAGGTGACGGGGGGTAGGGGGGCGGATGCGGTGATTGAGGTCGTGGGGTTGAGTCCGGCGCTGAGGACGGCGTATGAGCTGATCAGGCCGTTTGGGGTTATCAGCAGTATTGGGGTGCATAATGCTGAGATTCCTTGGGATGGGAATGATGCGTATGAGTGAGTTAGGCCCTCGTCTACCCTCTCACACAACCCCTGAGTTTCCGCTTGTCTGACTGCTCGCAGCAAGAATGTCAAGGTCCAGATGGGCCGCTGCCCTGTTCGTTCGGTGTTCCCAGAGGCGCTACCTGTGTTGGCCAAGAACCAAGACAAGTTTGGGTAAGTCGGGATGGGTGTTCCCCTTCCACGGCCCCTTTGCTGACCGCAATAGCTTCATGTTCGACAAGATCATGCCGCTCTCAGAGGCGGTCGAGGGCTACGACCTGTTTGACCAGATGAAGGTGCAAAAGGTCATCTTCAAGCCTTGAACATAGCCTGACCAGCTAAGGCGGGCCAGATATCGTAAGAAGTATGGTAGGAAGCAAAACTCAGTTCTGCCTCGGCTTCACCAACCCATCAAAAATCCAGTAGTACGTGACCGTCGAGTCGTCCTGCACCGTAGCCAACAAGATCCGCTTCCCGCGTTTCGGGCCCCTCCAAAGCCTCCAATGCTCCTCCACGCCGCCCTCCGCGTCCACCGCGTGCTCCCGATCCGTTCCACCGGGCGGAATGGCATCGATGGCGTCGAAGACAGCTGCAAATTGCGCTGGGGACCATTTCTCGGAGAGGTGTAGCGGGAGCACCCACTCCACTTCGGGTTCTTGTGGGATGGGTTCCCCGCGCTCTTTTTCAGCCTTGATGATGTCGATCTGCTCGTCTGGATGCACGTAAAGGCGCTTCGGGGGCAGGCCGTAGAGAAGCGATCGGGAGAGATTGGGCCGGATGCATTCCTGTACGTCGGCCCAGTCGTGCTGGAATTTTAGGTTTTTGAGGACGACATTGATGAGCGCGCCGAGGTGGTCGGGGGCCGCCATCTTTGCTGTTTGTTGTGAGATTGATGTGTTGATTATTGTTGCTGTTTGTGGAGGAACTTGATCTTGAAATTTCGACCGAATTTGAGTTGTGTAACTTGTGTAATTTATGATGTAATTTGCAAGTGAGGAGATCATTTCGCTGTGTTGCGGACCGGGGTCCAGCGTAATTTCAATATTGAATACAAGGCCCCAAGTTTGCCTATTATTAGGCACGGTTCGCAGGCTCACAAAGCCATCACAGGGCATCAATTCATTTCATCAATCTTTGCCTTTCTTCAACCATCTCGGCGCCAAACTTGAACCTTTTCACTTTCGCATCCCGAATCCACCATCAAGACTTCAACAGTTCTCACAACCACATACAAAATGGGCTCCGTTCTCCTTCCTCACTTGCCTTCGGGCTGGCATGTCGACCAAGCGATCCTTTCGGGTAAGTGTCACTGCTTCCAACTCCAGCCACCTCTATCTTTCTCCGCTCACAACCCGAAACCTCAAGGCCGACTTTTCCATGTCAACAGCAGCTAACGGTACTCATCACAGAGGAAGAACGCGTAGTCGTCATCCGCTTCGGCCGTGACCATGATCCGGTATGGTTCCTTTCCTTTCCCCTCCTCAGTTCCACATGCCCCAAAGCGCAACACTCGAGCCAAAAACCTAACAACCCCCTCTAGGACTGTATGCGCCAAGACGAAGCGCTCTTCAAGATCGCAGAGCGGGTCAAGAACTTCGCGGTCATCTACCTATGCGACATCGACCAGGTGCCCGACTTCAACGCCATGTACGAACTGTACGACCCGTGCTCCATCATGTTTTTTTTCCGAAACAAGCACATCATGTGCGATTTCGGAACCGGAAACAACAATAAGCTCAACTGGGTTCTCGAAGACAAACAGGAGCTGATCGACATTGTTGAGACGGTGTACCGCGGTGCTAAGAAGGGGAGAGGTTTGGTTGTGAGTCCGAAGGACTATAGTACGCGGCACAAGTACTAGGTGGGGCTTATGGGGGGTTGGTTTGGGATATCGGTGCTCTTTCACTTTATGAGGAAGAGTTATGCCATGGACAGCAGTGCGTGCGACGTTTTCATCGTTGGATTATAGGTATATCCGGTACGGCCTGTCTACTTGAGGGGTGGGTTACGATACTTGGGGACTGATAGATCCAAGAATCGTGACCTAACGGACAGTGCAGCGGGCCTGGGGAAGCACGGCCACGCCTTTGATGGAAAGGAAAGCTTGGAGTTGGTAGACGCTACGAAGGCGTGGAGAAAGGGGCCATCATTCAGGCCTGAATGGACACTATGGGCTTTTTGGCCGGTCGACTCCCACATGGGGTAAAGATGCGGCTGATAGTGCAAGGGCGGGAGTACCTCGCTTCCATTTATCGGCACTGCTTTGCCCCGAACCCTTATTGCGTTTTAATGAATTTACCAAGGGACGAAACTTTGACAGTCGCCTCAGCCAACTTTCACACCTCGGAACAGTGAACTGTTGGTCGTGGGTTATAACAAAGCCTATTCCCAATGCTATCAATAGGAAAATCACGTTAGTCATTTGCTCAACAACTCACAAGCACCATCCCACTCTCAGAATATCAGTCATCATAATGTGACCGTGAGGGGCAACGCATCACTAGTAATGTAGTACTAGGTAGTACTAAGTTGGGACACAGTTGAAATCTCTCGTGATCGAGACTGCTTGGCGAAGGACTGCGTGCCACGGCGTGGTACACCTCTTGAGAAAGCAAGCAGCGAGGGACTCTTCTTCCCACTCCTCGGATTCGATTCCCGACAAGCGTCTCTTCTCGGCGTTGTCTGCAACTCCCAGGCCAACCTTCACGCTGACCTTCCTTCCCTCCCAACCTCAGACCACACCACCTGCCCACCCTTTATAAGCCAGTGCCCGCGCAACACATTCCAACCGCCTCCCCACAACCGACACCGACCGAATGGCGCAGTGGGCGGGCCGTGGGCGTCCATCTGGTACACCACGAATGCCGACCTCCGGGGTTCGAACCCCGTGAGCACCACCGAGCAAAATCCTCCCGTGGATTTTCGTAACCCCCCCGCTGAGCGGGGGGCGAGCTTTTTGATGTTTTTTAGTGTTAGTGAATGTTTTTTAAAATAAATTATTGTGACAAGGGTTAGAAGCGGCGAGTGGATGCCGCCCCTATCTCTCTAGTGTATAAGCTCGGGGGCGACGGTTGGCTCTTCGTCATACTTCTTGAACTAGATGGCTCGGAGCTGTGAAAGGTTCTTCTCCCCGCCTCTGTAGTGCGAGCCCCGGCTTCATTTCAGATGGCCTAACCCCACCCCCCCCCACGAACGCTTCTTTGACGATACACTGTGTCCAGATAAAGTTTTGGTCCATTCACTACTGTGAGATTCGTCTACCTTGGATGGGACAGTTGTATCATGAGATACCTATTGTTGATTCTACCGACGGGGTGGGAGTGTGTGTGCTCTTGAGACGCCGATCTCAGCAAAGTCCTCCGAGACAGTTTCGTTGCTCTTTGATACACTGACGAACACCGAAGGCGATGACAGCTTCAGACTAGCACGTGAAACCCGGCCGAGTGAGTATGGTCAGGGACCCTCGTCTCCCACTGCCCATGTTCATTCGATAGTGCGAGGTTCCCGGGAAATCAAGCAGAGCCTCGTGCCGGTGAACAGGGGGGCATCTCCAAAAGCCCAATCGGCCGCCGGGGCATGATCCTAAAAGTTTATAAACCATCCTCTGAGTTTTCCTTTACAACTGGCCTTAAGCGCGTCTTTTTCTATACCTCCGACGGCGCCTTGACTTGATGGTGGTCGCCACCGGCCCAACAAGAGACCTGAGGGTGCGAATCATGAATCGAACGCCATGATCGCCGCTTTCATTCGCCATCCTAATCACTGCTAAGTAGAGGTGAAACTCAATGGATAAGATGATAAACTGGTAGATTGCGTCGACTTTTCTGATTAATTCCTCCTTGAGGAACTTAAACCTTTCCTCGTCTCTCTCGGCAACTCTTTTGAGCAACTCCTCCTGGAGGGCGGAATCAGATGGAGTTGGAATCGCACCCCGTGTTGCTTTGGGCTTCTGAATCCAGGCTTGGTACGCAGGGTCGTTTTGGAAGACCTGCTCGCCGCGTACCAAGGCGATGGCGTCCGAGACTGGGTCCCCGGGTTTAATGCCGAGCAGCTCCTCCTCGCTAAAATCGGTCTCATCAGGATTAATGATGAACCAAACGCGGTCAATGTCCGCCAGGGTCTTAATGTACCCAATCCATACCGGCCAGTCGCTCGCTTCACGTTTGTGACTTCCTGGAGAATAGACATATTCGGCAGCGCTGTGTTAAAGATTCGCCAAGTCAGCTTCAAGCTGAGTATGGTCGTCTGTTAAGGTTAATTAGAGCGCCGGGTTTATAATTCACACCGCAAATTAAGACTCACAAGGGGGGATTTGTAGCGGCAGATGGGTGTAAACGGGGATGTATTGCATGTTATCTCAGTACGTAGAACAAAGGAAATACTGGAATGTGTGATGCCCGTTGTTTGCTACTGGTGCTGCTGTCTGTTAAAAGGTCACTTTTGACCTAATTACTCCATACTGTACCAGACTCGAGCCGATCAGGCCCTTAGCCAAACATCCAACGTAAACAATCAAGTATATGTGATTGGCTGGGACCTGGATTTGACTTGTTTGTATTTGATTTGATTTGATTTGTACAAATATATTTGAGTTGCGGCGAGCTTTGAGTAGCACTGTTGCACTGCGGTAGGAACCTGTCTCGCCCGTTAAGCGCTACTCGTGGTTCAACCTTGAACGCTCCTTCCCGTCTACCTCGGCCTGCTGTTCCTTTTGATTAATACGTTCACAGGCAGAGCTTCTGGGCCTTCCCGTACACGCTTCGCCACAACCATCATGACGATGCACAACGAAAATACTGACTTGGTTACCCGGTAGAACACAGCGATGTCAACCCGCAAACGCAGATTTTCTTTCCACAAAGACTATCGCAGATCACCCGGTAATCCTGTATGAGGGGCATAGGCATATATCAGGTCCTGAGCGGAGAGCAGTTGAAACTGGAGCTAATCCTAGGCGTGCAGTTGCTGTGTTGGATGGGTGACATCACCAATCCGCAGCCCAGCCCTTTTCATCATCCAAATCTTCCATGTATTTGAAGAACAGCTGCTAAGGTTGGAAGGCCGTGCGTGTTTACATTGTGGTTGTCTCTTACATCTTCCAGTGTTCATTTTTCCCCCTCAAAATAGAATGCAGCTCCCCGAGGGTACATGTATTCATACTGCCTGCCCGGGCGATACTGAGTTCCCCCTGGGGGCGGCTGCCATTGAGGAATGTTTCGCTTTAATGGCCGCTTACTTTGGGTGAGCCGTTATCCAATGGCCCTGACCTAAGAGCCAATTTCTGAAGACTCCCCTATCCCCTCTTACAAATCTTCCTTGACCGCAGCTTCCATACCTTGAACTCCGGATTTGATTGTGAATGTGCGTCGCTGTTCAGCGCTTCGTCCCTGCTCATTGTAACGGGGCATTCACACGTCCATAAGGTTTGTTTACAGCTCGTTGCTTAGGTCGATCTGAATCGACCATCACATGCAGATCAGCTCGAATTACACTTCAGATTGATCACCAAGAACGCATAGTTATACCAACTTTATACAATGAGTGTCTAGAAGAGGCTCCGTGTCCAAACCCTCTTTTACCCAACTCCTTACCACCTCCCTCATATACTACTCCCAATCCAACATCATTTTCCCCGCATCCAAGGACCCCTGTCATCCCAGCGCCATGGGAGCACGAAAATTTGCCCAAGGGAATCAATCTTGTCCATACTGAAAGAGGAGGGAGCGTTGGATGAGAATTTAAACTACACGCCCGCCTCGACAATCCATTCAGCATATATAGCGTACAAGGCCGCCGACAAAGCGGCTAGACGGGCTAGTATGGCCTATAAAAGACAAGCTACAAGAGCTAAAGACGTCTAAGATCCCGAAGCAACAGCATCACCAGCAGCTTGCCCCTCTGGCCGATAACGCTTATAAGGCCGCAAAAGAGTAAGCTTTCCTCATATCAAACCAGTGATATTCTGAGCTAATTCCTGGCGACCGGCCTTATGATTAGGCATACAGAGCAACGCGCGGCCTTCAATGAAAAATACAAGGAGGTCCTGCTAGCACAGGGCCCAGAAAAGTACCGCGGCCATGTCCAGGCGGCCGAAAATGCCAGGAACAGCATGGCCCGCTACAAGAAACATACCATCAAGCATCAGCGGGGCAGGCAGGGCGTATGAATTCTCCTGCTTTTTTAAGGATTAAGCTAGGGCGGCTTGTTTGTAGGGACTGCAGGCCTCCTGGGGAGACGGACCAGAATCTTAATTAACAGTTGTTTCTCTTACTTCACAAGCAATGGGGTCTGCATCGGCTCCTACGAGTTTTGCTTTCGTAACACAAGGTACATTGAGCGGTGACATCACGGATGTCGCAGCACCGCCAGGGCCCAGGAGGGGCTTGTGATGCCACCATGATGTTAGAGGACTGGTTCGGGTTTGTCCAGCCCTTCTTCTCTTCCTCGTTTGATTTGTTTAGTAAAATTTATTCGACTCCGTTTTCCCTTTATATAGTCCCCCTCCCGTCATCCTCGCTCCCCCCACCTTCCCCTTGTTTCATCTGAGTTGTCTATTTTCTGTTATTCTATCATCCCTACCTTTATTGCTTTCAAGCATTTCGTGTCCTTTTTTCCTCTCTTAATTATTTTTAATTCCTCATATTTTTCTTTTCCCTTCCTCTTATCCTGGTGACGATTACATTGGAGCCGTGATGATGATGCGTTCCATCAAGATTATCATGAACCTCCCATACTTAGCATGCCGGAGGGCCTCTAGGATACTAGACTGCCACCGGTTTCGCACCTCCATTGAGTTTAGACGCCGCCGCTTATCCACCCCCTTCAAGGAAAATCAAGGTGTCGGTGTTCCAGATGTTCGCCTCAATCCTCAAATTACACCGGCCCTCCTTCCATACGCAATCGCCCTTGCAGAAGCATCGCGTCTATCTCGTAAACGCGATGAGAGTGCAGTCCTCTCAGTACTCGATAAACTATATTCCCGGCAAGAGCATGGCACTACCTCTGTTTTGGAGCTGCCAGGTAGCTCTGTGCGCCAGATCAACCGTACTTACCGAGTAATGGACTCTATGGCAACCGACTTTGCAGTCTGTGCTTTGGAGCGCATCTCGCCGACAGGCCATGCTGTTTCCAAGACGAGTCCATGGCTTTCACTCACCGAGCACTTTCGCTTCTGCCGCGCCTTTTACCGAGTGGAGTTGTTCCTTACTCTCTTTCGGGACGGCAAGTTCGCTGACGAAGTGAATCAATGGTTCTTCTGGAGACACCCCCCCTGGGAGAACGAGCAGCTTGCTTGTGTTTATAGTTACCTCGGGACAAAGCTTGATCCAGGTACGTTAATATGAATGTTCGATTGTGGGCGGAGAGCATACCCGACCTGTGCTGTTTATTGCGATCTAACGCCGTTTTGCAGAACTAGTCGAATCACACAAAGGCGAGCCCGAGGTGCACGAACAGGACAAAATTGACGATGAGTTACTCAAACCATCTTAGGTGCGTTGTGTTATCCTCATACCTCTGGTACCTATGGGTAAGCTAATAAACGTGCGAGGCGGAATGCAGCTCAAGCGCGGTGTGCAGTTCGTCGAGAAAGTGGCAAAGGCCCCGAATCCCAAATCAAAACGGAGGATCCTATGGGCCGCCATTCGCGACAACCCGCGCCCGTTTAACCTTATGTTGGAGCTACCCGATCTTCTACTGGACGTGTATTTCGGTGACCAGTATGATGAACAAATGTGCGAGTCGGTAGCCCCCCACCACTACGGCCAGCCTAACGACGAGGATGTCGACTGGGGGCCATACCAAACTTGGCGTGATGAGCATATAGGGGATAGCGTGATAGACTCGGTTTTTTTACCGAACGATCGGGCTCGCGAACGCGCATATGTGTTGTGGGATGGTGACCGGGTTAAGGAAATGGGCGGGATCAGGGCATGGGGTAATGGATTGGTGTAGTTCATCATCGCGACACGGTCCTGGGGAGCATTAGCAAAACAGCTGGGGAAAGCTTGAGCGCGCTCCAGGTGAGAAGCAGAAGTGCAGGTTGGTGGCGGCTCCTTCGCCGCGATCACTCTTCTCCCGTCATGACAACAGAGTCGAATTTCCCGACGAGACCAAACAAGATGGAGAGGGGTGCTACTAGCATTTTGGATCATAGCCCTCAGGGTATGGTTGTATGTTGTGTGCAGCAACACTATTAGACCATCTATGCGCTTTTGACTTGGCAGAACGCTGAGAGTCCTGGACGGGGGATAGTAATTACTCACCAAAATCCAGAATATTACCAAGTCAGTGTGGATTGATTGGAGGGCTAGGGACCACGAGGAAGTCCAGACGTTTTTCACATACAATGTGTTCATCTCCAAATGTATGTTAGGTTCTGAGGCGTTCAACAGACAAGAATCCAAATTCTCCTCTCAAGAAATTCCAGGCACCAAGCGAGAAATAATGGCGTTTTACATTTTGGCTAAGTGCTTCGGGGGGAAGAAGCACAAAGCGCACTACAGAGAAAGAAAAGAGAGAGTAAACCGGTATAGCGCTTGATCACATTTGCTGGCCACACAAACGCGAACATAGGCTTATATAGACCGTCAGATAAACTAAAAGTTTGTTCTCCAGGGACCTCTTACAATATAGGAAGGAGATATAGAACTCCGGGCCTTCTTTGGCAAAAGGACAGTAGATATTCACGGAAGTATCTACATCCGTTATATAGTCAGGTATCTTGATAGCCTCTCTAACTTTACATCCTAGAAAATCTAATTTCCAGAAAGGTTAGATATATTGCAATCTGCCTTAGGCTCGAAATATACTGTAGAGCACGTTCTCGTCTTAGATATCCACCCCTATACCACTATCAAGCCTGATTTACTCGTTATAGGTGAAAGAGGTCGAAGAGGGGGCGGGGGCCGATCAAGAGGAGAAAAGAACAGTGAGAGAGCAGCGAGATAATAACGTATAGTCTTATCTAACCCCCTTTCTAGATATGATAGCTGAGTGCTTTATCCCTGTAAACATCATCAACAACCCCTCTTCCACCAGACTTGCAGCATTGCATATATCAGTAGGGCTACTTCTTGTTCACCATGACATGATGCCTGACAAAGCTGACCGCCAGGTTTATAAGACAACTGTACAAGCTAAGCTATATCTCAATTCGTTGAGATACACATTTTAAAAACATCATCCCATCTCCTTCATATCAGGTATGGGGAAAACAACGTCCGAATAAAATTTTATCTTGCATGTTTGCTTGACTAGCTGGAGAAGGGGGTGAGGTAGAACAATCCTGAACGCTCAGAGCACGAAGCAGGCCCCTTGCTCCTGACCTGGAGAACAACCATGATAACTGCCGGTATGTAAGGTTGGTCATTTACCTGATGCCGCCAAAGGGGAAGTCACCCGGACCGCCGGTAAATGGCCTGACCGTAATGCTTTGTCCCAAAAAGCTACAAACACATAGTACAACTTGGTTAGCCCCGTGGATCCAGTCAAACAAGTTCCAATGCCGAGTGAAAGGCAACTTACTCCTGATCATTTGAGGCCGCAATTGCCGCGTTGGCTTGATCCTGGTCGGCATACGTGACATATGCGGTGGTTCGGTTTTCCAGGATTGCCTGCTTCAGCGTCAGAATCCGTTCATGGTTAGAGAATGTACGGAATCTGAACGTACGGCCTCGACGACCTGGCCGAATTGCCCGAAATGCACTTTCAGGATCTCTTCGTTGGCATCCGGAGCCAGATTGCTATTTAGTTCCAACATCAGCAAATTGATCCGAGCAAGAATCCTTTTCCGTAAATGCGCCAAATAGTCATACCTGACAGCCACCTTGTTGCTCGCCATGTTGGGCAATGTGGAGTCGGTTGCTTTGGTGGTTCGTGGGATGGTGAGAAGGACAGGATCGAGAGAACAGAGGACCCGGGTGGCCGTATTTATGCCCGTTTGTGAATTATCATTGCCGAATCATTGAATGGTGTGCTCCTACCCCCATGCTGCTGGTTGTGCATCGTTGTGGTGGTTGTGGTGATGGTTCAATGTGGTTGCTCGCTTCGTGATTCGACCGTGAGGCAACCCGAGCATCCACTCTGGTGGTGTGTTACATATCCACCTATGCACGTCTCGATTCAGCTGCCTCGAAACACCGCAAGCAGCATCGGGAACACGTCTGGTTGGCGAGGATCAACAACCTGCAGCGTACTGACGCCCGAACGGGTAGTCGACAGGCGGCGGTGATGAGCATGAAGTCGTGATCACGCCACGGCGAAGTGGCATGAGGTCTACGATCTCCTGTTGCAAAACCCGTTTTCGAAACTTGATGCAGTGATCTGGGTTGCGCCAAGGCGGGATGGGAAGATGGGACATCCACAGAGCGTCGACAAACGCAGCAAAGAATGGTGGTTTCCCGTTGTAAATATCGAATAGCCGCGCTCTGCGCCGTATTGCTCACTTGCAGTCTAGTCGACTTCGCCACACATTCCTGTGTGTGTCGTCATATCGGCAGACAGTTGGCAAACCAGTAAATCACATTATCACAGTGTTGTGTCCTGGTTATTTTTGAACAACCGCGCTCCGCGCCATATTTCTCCCCTTCGCATCTTGGATGTCACGAGCTCACGGGCCGACTTGGCCCCACCCTCTCATTCTGTTCCATCACGTCTTGTGGGGGTATATGAGTTCCAATACTACATGAAGATGCAATATGATGCGCAGCGCACGACAAATGATCACATTTTATATTGCTCACTGCCCAACTTCTAAAATCAAAAACTAAAAGAGCGGACAAGAGCACCGAATGAGGAAAACGTCTAAAGCAAACCCAACAAAAAGGAGGGGAAGAAACAGACCTCTCACCGATGACCCGCATCGGGCAGCCTGAGAGAGAGGGGGTTGCCAACTTTGTCGACGTGTGCTTGGCCAGTGGCGTCCCAGCTCCTGGTCCGGTCGCACCTGCTGTTAGAGATGAAGGTACGAATGCGCTGACATTCCTCTCAGAGGCTTTCCCCCCCTTTCCCCCTTTTCTCTCTATCTGTCATTCTTTCTTTGTCTGATTTCTCTCGATCTCTCTGTTTCTCTTCCCTCTATCCCTCTATCCCTCTATCCCTCTATCCCTCTAACCCTTTGCCTTTCTCTCTTCTCTTCTATCTGCGAGAAAAGAGAGACTTCTTTACAGCAGGTTAACCACTTAGTCTGGCAGCCGCAGGGTTGCTAGGTCCCTGAGTGGGAAGTGGCCGAGTCTGCGGCCCGTGAGAGGGAGCCGAGGGACGAGTCTGCGGTGCGTGGGACGGACGATGTTGAGTGATGGGGGCTGGGCGAGTCTGGTGAGTGTTGGATGGGCGAGCGTGCGGCGGAGGAGGAAGAAGAGGGTGGGCCGCGTTGAACCCGGGGCGGGGCAGCGGAGCGCGAAGGTTCGGCGCGGGAGCATGCCGAGAGGGGAGCCTTGGCGGTGTCCTGGGACTTTGCCGACTTTTTGATGGTCCGGCCGGATCGAGACTCGAGGGTGTCTCTCTCGACGATGCGGCCAGTGGTGGTCTTGATGTCTAATGATATGAGTTGAGTCAAGTTAGCAAGCCGCAAAGGAGATGGAAGTAGTCATAATTACGGGATCAAGGCAAAACATACAGGTCGCGTCCCACCACTGGACGTATTTGGCATGGCCGTAACGGTACCGCTTTGAGATGGTTCCGTATAGATAAACGTTTGCCTGGTTACGCGTGGGCGAGTTCAACATGTCTCTGGGATGCGTGATGATAGGCCCATCGCCCATCTTAGACTCGCACCAAATGGGCCGAGACGTGGGGTCTGTAATCTTGTGGGCGTGGAGGGGCACCCCATTTCTAGTGTAGACGTACAACGGGTTATGATTAGAAGGTAACCAAGAAGTGGGAAAGGAAGAGGAGAAGTGGGAGCCGGAAAGGGGAACTGGGCAGATGGAGCTGGATAACACACCTCTGCGTCATTCCGCACCGCCTCGCCGGAGAGCAGGACTTCGAAGAAGCCACATTGGTTGTCTCGGGGACATACTTAGCGTTGAACGAGAGTATCTCCACATATAGAGCGAGGGGGAGAACACAAGGATGCACCACTTACAGGTATCATTGAGTTCCCGCATGGTCGCAGGCGTAATCCTGCGGTTTGTCACGTTGACAGCTTATGCAAAGCAGTTGTAATCCCAGCTCTCAGTGCCCGGGTGAGCGATGAAGTTTGACCCGTCAAGGGCTGCGGCCGAGTGATCCCGAATAATATCGAGCGCGAACTGGGCGAGCGTCGCCATTTCTATCAATGGGTCTGAATTACTCTGAATGCTAGAAACAAGGAGTAAAGCGGCGGTCGGTTAAACGAGTAATCAACGTTAAAGGGCAAGGTTGGATGGTTAGAGTTTGCTGAGTGACAAAAGATGGGATACAAGATCACCGAGCCAGTCTTGCCTATATTTATATCAATTATCGCCCAAGCGGCCCAACTGTTATCTCGCCGGCGGGATACTTGATCCTCACCGTGTAGAAGCTTCATGCCCACCTCCTTGCCGCATTCGTTGTGTCATCGGTTTCTTGACCCCTTGACCCAAAATCCTACACCACGGCCATTTATTTGACCCTCCTCATCATTTCTGGGCCCTGCGCCATGATGACTCGAGAGAAGCGCGTCTCACTCCTGAAAACCATGGGCCGGGGAGGGCATTTTGGGGCCTCGAGCGATTGATCTGGGTCATGTTGCTGGCGGGAAACAGCCCTTTTGGGTATCTCTAACACTCACCTTGACGTGGCGACGTACGTACCTTACCTACATTGTCTAAGAAGCTAGGTAGTGAGTTGCCTTGCGCATGACTAGGATTCAAGCCTAACAGGCCGCGCGCGCGCGCCGCTGATAAAGTTCCTCTCAGTTGAGTTGGCCCGTAGCTTTTAGAACAACACCGTGACGGCCCATCACCTTCAGCATCAATTTCTAACCGAGCGAAAAGCCTCAGTTTCGGGCTGTTCTAGGCGGAAATGCGATTTATTACCACGGTGGCGGTTGAGGCAAAATATGTGCAAAGTTAGGTGTGCACACACCCCAAATAGGTTTAGCGCAGCGTGCCAAGCTGACTTGACGTTTTTAACAGACAGTGAGATAAGCCAGCTCCCCACCTAGTGGGCAGACCCCGTACGTACATACACACTAACATTAGCTACTCTACTGTGTAAACTGTGACACTCTCTAATTATTAGCATAGGTAGGTAGTAAGGTTAGTTCCGGGTTCTTGTTGAAAAAAATGAACGAATGCCAGAAACCGCGTTACGCCGACTTGGTTGTACATCTACGCTCTGGAATGCGACTGACTTAGGGTTAGGGTTAGTTAGAAGATAGTCCATGGAAGGATATGTGCCAAGGCCATTGCCACGCAAGCGCTCGCTGCTGCGGTGTTGCTTTCGCACACCCAAGCCTCGGATCGGGGGCTGCGGTGTGTCGTCACTCAACATGCACTGTGCCTCGTTCCTGCCGTGCGGCTTGTCCGTCCCGAGCGCCGGTCCCGTCCGTAACGTTAGTTGTTGGTCTGAAGCCAGAATTGATTTTGTTTCGAGGTGCCCCTCGCTGATAGTCGGGCATCACCAACTGGTTTCACGATCTGCCAAACGTCACTGTGACCTGTTTTTCGTTTTCTGCTACCTTTCGCCCTTTGTCGCTGGACAGTTAGCGTTAGCGTTAATTACCTTCCAATCCCCTGCTCTTCCTCCTCTCTCCCCTTTCCTCCCATTCAAATCAATCATTGACCGAGGTGGCGACTCGCCCCTCCAACAACCGACCACGAAATAGTTCAACTACATTATCGACAATGCAAGGGCTGTCACAGGAGCTTGCGGCATCGCACCCACCACAGGGACTGGCCGCGGCAACCGGCGACGTCACCTCCACCGTAATGTCCCGACCCCTCCAGCACAACGGGCAAGCAGCACCGCAGGGGATACCGATAACGATGACCACGACGAGGGACGATGTCTCTTCCGAAGAAGCGAACCTTACCGGCCCACCACCATACACACGCGAGTTGACCGAACCGTTCGAGAACGGCTACCACTTCCCACCAAAATACACCTGGCAAGAGTCGACCATACAAGGGCTGAAAGCGTTTTGGAAGTTCTTCACCACCCCGATGGGGTTTTTCATCACCATCTACGCCCTCAACGTCGTCGCGTGGGGCGGTATGATCTTCCTCCTGCTCTGCAACGCCGCGCCCGCCATGTGCTACCCGACCTGCGACGACATCGACTCGCCGCGCCGGAAATGGGTCGAGTATACGGCCCAGATCCTCACGGGGCTATTCTGCGTCACGGCGTTCGGCCTCGCACCGTGGCGGTTCCGCGACTGGTATTACCTCCTCCGCTACCGCATTTTCAAAGACCAGAGCGCCCTTCGTCGGCTGGCTGCCATCCACAACAGCTGGTTCCGTCTACGTGGCACACAGGCGCTGCCGGTGCACATTGGGCCGGGGAACCTCAACTCCGGCGTGCCTGAGAACTGCATTCCCATCCCCGAGAAGGACATGCCCAAGCCCCCGCTGACCGGGACGCGGGCGCTTGATACGAAAATGTGGAAGCTGGACTTTGTGATCTGGTCGATGGTGGGGAATACCTTTGCGCAGTGCGGTCTCTGTGGTATTATGTGGGGTATGAGCCGGTACGACCGGCCAAGTTGGGCGACGGGGTTTTTGGTGGCTATTGCCTGCCTAATTGCCATGGCTGGGGGGCTTCTCATCTTTCTTGAGGGCAAGACGGTCAAGAGCATCGAGGGCGTGCCATTGACGGAGCAGGACCGGGAACGCCTGGAACGGGACAAGGAGTTGGGGATCGCGCATTATAATAATATCAAGGATAAGATGCCGAAAGACAAGAAGAAGAAGAAGTGGGATAAGGCGGACGTTGGCGGGCAATAAAACGGGGAGAATACATTGAGACGGGAGACTTTCCGCCATGTCAAGGAAAAACTAGATCACGGAGTTGGGTCTGCGGATATGGGTTCGGGTTGTAATATTGGTTTCTATTTTTCAACAGCACAGGATACCCTCCATGGCGTTAGAAACGGGTCAAATACTTAGACGAGGGATGGATCTCGCTCGATTTGCATTTACAGATTAATCATTTGGTTGAGAGCCAGCAAGTGTTTTCGCCATGACTCCCTTGTTTTTTGCATTTTCTGTGCTGTCTCACAACCGGTGACGATCTCGATGCCCAGTTTGCGAACATGTGCTCTTTTGCGTCTGTTCAACTGGCCATTAAGGTTCTCATCAGTCATGGCCGATCATTCCATTCGCGTTGGGCGTAGCTGCGGAGCTGCAAGGCGCTGAAAGTCCGGGGTTGGGTTCCACTCTCTTCCGAGTCACAGTGCATGGAAGTTGCCTGTTGTGGCCAGTTGCCAGTGAGCGATAGCCTATCGGTCAGCAGGGCGCACCCGGGAGATGGGCCTTATCTCAGGCGGATCGTATCTGTGATGCTGCTTCTGGAGCGGCTCCACACAACTGCATCATGCGGCCAGACAGCAAGCCACCTCAGCCTTTTCCCGAAACACACCTCCAACCTCTCCAGGCGTCAGCTGCTCGGTTTGCTTGATTGCCTCGGGCTCACCTCATTCCTCCCTCGCTCACACCTCCAAGAGGAGAGCGCTGGGCTTTGCTCTTTCTATACAACTCCAAAACGAGCCAATTCAGGGAGACGGGCACAGGTTTAATCATAGTTTTTTGGCTGTTTGGAACGGCCACCCAGTCCCCCGCTCCCGCTCGTCGGAGACGTTGTCTCTTTGACCTTCAATTTCCTCCCTGATTAGAATACCATCTCGACGACATCCCACAACCGCCCGTTGATACGCACCTCCATCGCCAGCCATGGCGGGCTCAATCATTCCCGCGCGGGCTATCATCCCGTTTCTCGTTGCCATGATGCTGTTCACGGGCGTTTGCAACACACTCTTGACCAAATATCAAGTCCGTCTTGACCTCTCCATATCCTCCTCTGCTGCCCCTTCCACTCACACCGAGAACTAACTCTCTACGCCATCTAGGATAACCAATGCGTCCGCGACTGCGATAGCCCCGACCCCAAGAAGCGCCGGCACTTCGAACAGCCCGTGATCCAGACCCTGCAAATGTTTGTCGGCGAGATGGGCTGCTGGCTCGTCGTTGGCCTCGTCTCGCTCTACCGCCGCTACGTTTCCCCGTCGTCATCATCAAGCGCTACCTACCAACCTCTCCCTACCGGTATCAACGACGACACTGAAGAAACCACCAACCCGCGTGATGACGCCGACAACGAGAGCATCCGCTCCACAACCCCCCTCGCCCCGTCGTCCCGAGCCGGCAACCCCAACTGCGATGTCCCCAAGCCGCACAACTGCCCTTCTGTCTTGCGCGGCTGGCGCGTGACACTGCTGGCTCTGCCTGCCATCTGCGACATCCTCGGCACGACGCTGATGAATGCTGGCCTGCTACTGGTAGCGGCCTCCATCTACCAGATGACGCGCGGTGCGCTGGTCCTGTTCGTCGGACTGTTCAGTGTCGTCTTCCTCCGGCGCCACCTGCATGCGTTTCAGTGGCTGTCGTTGGTCGGTGTGGTAGCCGGCGTGGCGGTCGTTGGCTTGGCCGGCGCGATCCAGCCGGATAAGAAACACGCGGATACGGATGTTGACGGCGGCGCAGGGGCAACTGAGGTCGGCGCCGACGCCCTGATGGTAATTGTTGGAGTGTTGATGATTGCGGGCGCGCAAATCTTCACCGCCACGCAGTTTGTCCTGGAAGAATGGATCCTCGAGCGCTCGGCGATCGAGCCGCTCCGCGTGGTTGGCTGGGAAGGCGTTTTTGGGTTCCTCGTGACATTGGCTGGTATGGTCGTGCTACATTTCACGATTGGCCGGACCGATGCCGGCCGGTACGGTCCCTTCGACATGGTCGAAGGCTGGCGCCAATTCTGGGAGTACCAGTCCGTCTTCGTGTCCAGCGTGCTCATCATGGTCAGCATCGGGTAAGCCCCCCCTCTCCCTTGTTTCCCCCCAAGATATGCACACAATACTAACCTCCCCCCTCCCCTCAGCGGCTTCAATTTCTTCGGTCTCTCCGTCACCCGCACCGTCAGCGCCACCTCGCGCTCCACCATCGACACCTGCCGCACCCTCTTCATCTGGATCGTCTCTCTCGGCCTGGGCTGGGAGACCTTCAAGTGGCTGCAAGTCGTCGGTTTCGCCCTGCTCGTCTACTTCACCTTCCTCTTTAACGGGCTCGTCCAGCCGCCGTTCAAGTTCCTTCGGGTGCGCGAGGTGGAGGAGTTGTTGCCTGAGGAGCCTATTGAACATAGCTAGATGAGGATGGGCCGTGAGTGATGGAGGAGAGGACAGGAGCTAGGATGCGGGTGTGTTTTTTTAAGTGTTGTTCTTTTCTTGGCTAGTTGTATGTGTGAACACGACTCTCCCGTCGCTCTCCACTTCACCCCTTGACTGTCGAGTGAATCGAGGTGTCGCACACTATCGGACATACCAGATAGTGGCGTTTTATAGGATATTTTCAGGGCTTCTAGGATACGGAATCAGCATGGGATTACGGGAACGGCGTATATTGGACTTTCTTTTCTCTCGCTCTCCACCTTTCCCTCTCCCTCGCGTACCATATCTCATATCAAACTGACATATCTCACCGTCGTGGAGTTGGGCGTTGATTAGTTTAGGCTTCACTACAATGGTTATATCACTTGTTCCTGTTGCGTGGACTCGCTCGATTGCATGAAACACAAGTCCGAGGCCGCTTGATTTCCCTTGTACGTAATATTGGTGCAATAATAAATAAAAACAAAGGCTAAGAAGGCTCCTGTGGATGCTGATCGCCAACATCGCCAGCAGCCCCAGCATCGCTAACCTCGCCCACCGGAGCAGGAAGCGCAGGTAAAACAGCGCTTGGAGGCAGACTCCCTTGAACCTGCGGTGGCTGCTGCGGCGGCTGCTGCTGAGACTGCTGGATCTGCTGCTGCTCCGTTTGCCTCTGGTCCTCCATCTGGTGCCGCGCCGGGCCCCATGTATCACGAAGAAATTCCAAAGAAGGAAGCACTCTGAAACCTCGAATACCCTCCCGTAGCCGTAGTCCTAAGCCCACTGATGCCCCGAGCAACTCGTGCCGCCTCTGAAAGGAGAAGAAAAAGTTGAATGCCCAACCCTGTTCCGTGCGCGCCGCCTGAATGGCTGCTAGATATCCCTGGGCGCCGACTCGTCCTAGCGGTACATTCTCACGGCCTTCCTCCCACTCGCGATATGCGAGGGTGTAGTCCCAGGATTGTTGTGCCGGTGCCACGTCCACGTTTTGTGATTCTCCTGGTCTACGGTTCGCAGGCGGTCGTTCCATTGGTTGCAATGATGATGACGGTGACAACGATTGTGATGATGATGTGGGGGGTGGCGGTTGCTCCCGTTGCTCCCGTTGCGTTTGTTGCTGTTGTTGACTCCTTTCCTCGCCCGGTTCCGGGACGACTGCAGCCCCCCGTTCCACAGCCCCCGCCTGGCCAGCCACTGCAGTTTCAGGTCTATCTTGTTCCACCCTCGAACCAACCCTCCCATCCCCCTCTTGTCCATCACCGAGCGCAGGAGCCGAACCGCCTTCAACCCATCGCCGCATCGGCAACACCCACTACGGCGCTCCCCTCCCCACTCCACGCCAAAACAGACTACGATCCCTGTTGCCATTCTCGGTGTTGCCGTTGTCATTTACCCGGCCGCTGGGAGCGCCGCCATTGTTTCCATCACCCCGGCCACCGCGATTACCGCCACGACCCCGACCTCCACCGTCACCCCCGGTGCTGGGAGCGCCGCCATTGTTTCCACCACCCCGGCTCATCCGAATCCAACGATTACCACCACGGCCCCGACCTCCGCCGTCACCCACGGTGCTCGGGCCGGGACCGTCCCCAGCCCCATCGACGCCACGGGCCCCAGCCCCAGTCTCGCTGGGCTCACCGCTGCCCTCTCAGCTAACGGTACACAGCAGCTCCGCTTCGAGGATGAACTTGCCCTCCTTGTACTTCTCGGTCGGTTCGTAGGCCTTGTCGTACTTCCATCCGACGACATCGCCGCACACCCGGCACGTAATATCACGCACGATATGGCGGCCCGTCGTCATGCTGCGCTCCCCGGGGTCGCCCGCCTCGATGTTGACTACGCTGTTGAAGAGGAAGGCCTTCCCATGCTGGCCACGGAAGTTCTGTGTGGGTGGTTAGAAAAGTTGAAGACCAGTGATCAAGTTGATGTCTTGGGTGAGAAATGGTTGCAACGTTGTCGGGGAAAGGGCCGTGGGTGAGAGAATGAGTAGGAGACATATTTAAGTGGAAAAGGTACATACACGACTAATAATGTCATCGTGGTTCGCCAGGTGGGTTTTGCAGTTCTTGCAGCCGTAGACACGGGCGCTATTGAGATATGTGTTGTAGGCGAGGCCCATGGTTGCTGATGGCAGTGTGGCGGATGAAGTCTTGTAGAGGAGGTTGTTATCGTGTTGCATCTAGGAGCAAGGCTTGAAAGTTCCCTTGCTAAGATGTGTCGCCCCTGCTAGAGGCAAGACAACCACACGACAAAGGGAACAAAATGCTGAGTCGCCAGGCCTGCGTACGGCTCAGCTAGGTAAGTTCTCCAAGTATAAAAATACTTGTCTAGCAGAGAAAGGCAGAACCAAAAACTTGATAAGAATGAGAAAAAATGGCCCGTGGGTGATGGATGCCTTGAGAGGTAGTTCAATGGATTTGGGGGGAAGTCGCATGTGCGGGGCCGGGGGTCAACTCCGGTTCTTTTGGTGGCAGGTGAAGGCTGTTGCTCACAACCGATGATTAGTGGAAGGATGGAGGAACACTCCGATGCGGAACTTGGTCTTTTTAGTTGGGCAGGTCGTGCAGAAGATGGTAGTTTGGCCTTGTTCTAGAAGTTGCCTAGGGAGGACAAGAGGACAAGACCGAAAGCGGGGAGACAGAACGGAAGATGAGACAGGTGAGAAGGATACAGGTATTTAGGTCTATAAAAGTAGGCGTCGACGTTGCACAAACAATGATGATAATGATGACTGAGCGGCCTCACATGAACAGGATGCCGAGGCCCGTCAATGAGATGGAAGAGAGGGACCGTGCCAGATAAGCGACAGTTGTCAAGAACAAACAAACAGTGATGTTCGTAGCTGGGAGTGTTGGCAGGTGGGGGAGCTGAGTGAGTGGGTGGCACTTGCTTGGGGAACCTGGAAGGTGGGGCTATGACATTCGCCATTCATCATCTGATCCAACACCTGTAAGACATTCCTTTGTGCACGTACAACCACGCAATAATTAGGCCTTTTACGACTATGAAACAACGAAATCAAGGAGAAACTAGCTAAGGAAGTAGCAGGGCTTTCGAAAAAGAGTTTTCAGAAATTATCAGACAACTGCCGAATTTGACGACCTTTAAATACCCTCAAGCACCCAGCCTTCCTAAGCCCCCATTTCGCCAACTTCAAAACTCTCCCCAATCCAATGAACCTACTTACCCACCTGCCGAAGCACGAGAATGCAGTGCAATCTATTTTTACGACGTCATATGCACTGAACCTCAAGTCACACAACAAACACAAACACATATCTCAGGAGCGACAGGCATCCTCAATTCATCGTCAAAGAAAGTAGGGTATGTATGTACCAGAAGTCCTCCCCCGCTACCACCAAGAAAAGAGAGATAGCAGCAAGCGACAACAGCATCAAAAAAAAATGTACAAGAAAAGATCGTCATCGACGCTAGTTCCTCCCTTTCCCAGCAGAAAAACGCCGCGCCATGGTTGCCCAAAAGCCAGACAGACAGACAATCGTCGTGATACTTCGGGGCGAAAAATGCCGAGCAGAGCTACGCAAGCACCAACCCGCCCTAAGCCGCTTACCGCCTTATATCCCAATCCGAGTTCCCAAATTCCCAAATCCGATGTTCCCTGGTCCATAACCATACTCCGACATTCGGAGTAGGTAGTGCGTCATTCATATCGCCAGCTTAAATGCCATAGATCTCTCCTATCCTTTTCCCTCATCTCTCGAAATCCCGTCAACCATCTACCACGAAAATGCCTCTTCCACAAAGTCGACATTCCCTTGGTATTGGCGATTCCGCGCCGCCCGGCGGACCTCATCGCTCAACGCGCCCGGCCCGCACACCGACACAGCCATCGTCCCGATCTGGTTCTCCATCTCCATACCCAGCAGTGTGTCGATGTTGGGCCGCCCGGGGAACATCTGCACCGTCGCCGACGGCGAGTGGATTTCCTTTGTCGACCGCGGCCGGCTGACGAACAGCATGACGCGCAGGACCTCACGCCGCCGCTCCATACCCAACACCTCCGTCATCCACGGCCGGATCCACTCGAGATGCTCCGGTGACTGGATCGTCCACACCAGGACTACACGCCGCGTCGCTACCGTGCCGTTGGTGTACCCGGCCACCAGATCCCGCACGTGCGGGACGGCCTGGGTGATACCCACGCCGCCGGCGAAGAGCACCACCGTGCCGTACGAGTGCAACCGGCTGGAGCCACGGTAGGGACCTTCGACAAGACACCGCGTGATCATCTTGCCGTCTGGTCGCGACGCCGCCTGGTTGTACAGCGCGCCGGTGAACCCGGTGCGGCCGCGGATGACGAAAGAGAGGGTGGATTTCTTGACGCCGAGGATGTCCTGGCGACGCACTGGCAGCTTCTCCTCGCCGTCGGCGTGGTGGGAGTCGGCCTCTTCACTCCAGGCGACCGTGAACGGGTGCGACTGCCAGAACCCGATGGTGGGCATGTACAAGTAAGCGTGCTGGCCGGGCCGGAAAGTCCAGGGGCGCGCCATCGTCACGGTCACGCGGCATGCGCCGCCGGGGAGGGCTTCAACGAGTGTCTTGGTGCCGCCCGCGCCGAAGTTGCGGTAGGCGATGCGCAAGAAGCGCGCGAGACGGTCCAAGGCCCAGAGGAGGATGGTCGCGTACAGGTACTTGATTTGGGGCAGGTTCTTGAGGTTGAGGTGGTACCACACGCCGATGACAGCCAGGATGGCGAGCGCGATGTGGATGATCTTGAAGGTCTCGTAGTAGGCGTGGCGGAAGATGCTAGCCGCTTGGATGCCGATCGCGACGAACGCGCAGGTGGCCTGTTTCTCGGTTAGTGACCCTGTGGTTCGTGGTATCTGATGGGGAGCAACTTACGATGAACCCCCACAGCATGTAGGGAACGGTGGTGGCGGTCTCAAAGGCAGCAGCCCAGCTTTCCGAGGACGCGTTACCGGCAAGGAAAGCCAAGGTGTGAGCGAGGGCCTCGAGGATGACGATGCGGCCCAGCCAGCGGTGGAGCAGGTTGAACGTGTCGAACGACATGCCCAACAGCGGAATGAGCGGGTTGTTCCGCCCGGCCATCAAAAACAGTGGGATCATGTTGGCCACGGCCAAGTAGCCCGTCCGGTTCCGCACAAGCTTAGCGACGGCCTCATACGATCCGGAGAAGTCGATGGTGGCGACGCAAAACGCAACGTTGGTTGCAAAGTAGCCGATCAAAAACACCAACTGCATCCGGGTGGGCAGCGTGCCGACGTTGACGGCCGAGCTGAGCTGGAACTCGCGGTTGTGGCGCTTGCCCAGGATGGGTGCGTACTGGATGTTGCGCTTGAACCACGCGTACTTGCCGGACGTCTGGGCGAAGTATCGCTGTGTGTCGTTGTAGAGACATGTGACGGTGCGGACGTGGCGGACCAGGAGCGTGGTGAGCCTCCAAGCGAGTAGGACGACCGAGATACAGCCCAGGACGAGAAGCAGATAGTCGGAGAGCATCTCGTTGACGACTGCGGCCTCGAGGCTCGCCTTGGTGGGCGGACCGCCGTGTCCGCCTCCTCCTCCTCCTCCTCCCCCCCCCCGCGATGCCGCCGCTTGCTGGTTAGCCATGGTGACTGGTCGGTTCCTTCTCTGTTCCCTTCCTTAAGTTCCTAAACCCTGTCCTTCTATTCCTCTCTCTTGCGACGAACCAGGTCCGGTCGTCCAGATACAATATCAATGTCCTCGAAAAGTTTTTCGTCAAACGCTCTCAAAGCGTGGGTTGGATCCCTCAAGGTTTTCCCAAGTGAACGCTGTCGCGGTTCCCAGAAGTCGCCGAGTCCTGCTGCGGGATGTTCTGGGAGTCGACTGCCGATCTGTATGTTATTTTCCGGGTGATTGTCTGCAGGTCGGTGTGGGGGAGTGATGAAAGTCTGTTTGTTTCACTGAGTTGCAAAGGCAGGTAGGTTGTGGTTGTGATGTGGGTATCAAGACTGTTTTTGTAAAAGGAGTGAGTATATCGGTTCCGAAATGGATGGCCGAAATAAAAATGCCGAAGAGATCGCGGCGTCCAGCGGCAGAGTGGTTTCCAGTGTGTGAACTAGTCACAGTCGGTGTTGATGTGTTGTGCAGTGCTGTCACTTCGTGCAGTGACTCCTCGTGTAGGTATTTTGGATGTTGACTCGAGAACCGGCTCAAGCCAGAGAGAGTGTGATTCTCTGTGCTCGGACGAGAATATCGACGGAGAGAGAAAAGGGTGTCAAGAAAAGGGCCAAATCTCCAAAATAGGCCAGCTACGGAAAGTGGGAAGCGGAGGGAAGTCACGCAGAAGAAGAGAATGATTCCGTGTTGTGGTCTTCGGATCTGACCCAAGGATCAGGGCTCTCAATGCAGATGAAGAAGGGCCGGCTCAATTTGGATCAACCCCTCTCTTCCCCGGCCACGCACGTCGGTACCAGGGGGAGGTAATTTTCACGCCAAGGGGCCGGGTGGGGCACACTCTCGGGGGTACTCCAGCCATTCACAGGTCCCGTCCCGAAGAAACTTGCCCCCTTCGAGCCTGAATTACGGGTTACACTTAACAATCCCTGATCACCTCGGTCGGACGAACCCCCCTCCTGGGAAGCTGTTCTTACGGGAGTTATCAAGTTCTCCTGAAGCGTGCTTTTCTTTGCTCCCCATCGAAGGCAAACACGGGGCGTCTCGAGCTCAAACTCGGCAGATGTGGTATTTGCCCCATAAACCGGAAATACTTGACATGTAAAATTGAATACATGAGGTGTGTACACATCTTGTCATGGAAGTACCTATCTGGGCTACGCGCGCGCTGTTTCGAGTCCTGTTAATGGAGAGGAAGCTGGCAAACTGTCGCCCACATGCAAGACTGCCCTTCAAGTCCCGTCCGAGTCCCCAACTTCTGTAGCCAGCCCCTCCAGGGCGCGGAAGCGACTCGCCGTCCCCGGCCCGCCTAGGACAATGGCGCCCAAGCGTTCCAGAAAGTGGCATTCGATCGCCGGCAGGCCCGCAAACTCGCCCGCAAATCCTCCACTTGAAAGCCGGGCAGACTGGGCGCTTGGCATGCCGACAAAGCCGGTGTCGTCGCTCTCATTGGCCACAGTCGCCTCGATTGGGTGACCGCTGAAACGCGCATGGACTTCGCTGTCAGGGGCAGAGGGGCTCTTTCCCACCTGTCACTGCCTTTGCATGAAGCAGCAACTGTCCTCAGCCACTTAAAAACTCCCGACTTGACGGGGCGGATGGGGAACTTTTGGCTTCTTTTTCAGCGGTCTTGTTCGGCGGCCGCCCGCTTTGGGGGAATCCGTCCGCCCACAAAGCTTCTTCCTGCGAGGCCTGGGTTGTGGCCGTGGAGATAAGATGACAAACAGATATCAGATGGGATTCGCCACGGCCGGCGAGAGCGATGCAGCCACGGAGAAACACGCAAGACACAGTAAGAACCCGATTCAGGAGAATGTGCTGTTTTTTCCACAGACCCACGCTCGATCATTGGAAGATTCTAAATTGCGCCCGGTGTTTGCCCGCAAGCATCCTGAGGCAGCGCATCATGTTTCCTGGAAGAGGAAGTCATCCGCAGACCCCAACGGATCACCAGCGAACGAGATCATCCCCTAAGGCCGTCGTCTCATCTCTTGTCATCCCGTCTCGGAACAAAAAAACGTCAGCGTCAGTGCCGCAGCCGGTACGCGGACCGACAATGTTACTTGGCAAGAGCCAAAGGGTCGCAACTCGAGAGGGCAACTTCATGCGAGCTCCTTTCACCCCCCTGTGCAGCAACCAATCAATGTGGTACGATGGCAAGGCGAACCGCGAAAAGAAAAAGCTTGAATTATGGATACGCTACGACCGTTGCAACGGGTGGTCTTTTCTCACGTTCCAGGTTCACCGAGACAGTTTCGGTCATTGTTAAAGAAGTTTGAGACCTCCCGTCATGTTCGCGTTCACTGTTTTGTCAGGTCTTTGTCAAACCTGTCGTCTCTAACCGATACCCACACGAAACGCCCGTGGAGATCGACGCCCAGAAGACTGAGGGCGGATCTCCCGCCAGATCTCGTTTGGTGTTTCAACAGTCAAAGATGACAAACCCGGGCGGTTGCGGAGAAGAGGAGCGGGAATGAGCGGGAAAGGAAGACTGGAAGAGAACAATAAAACTCGATGCAAGGACAACGTGGATGACGACAGCAGCGAAAAGCCATCGATTCATCTTGAAACAAGCCGCCCCGCCAGCTCCGACAATGAGCATCCACCTCTTCCCATACGACTGGCCAGCCCCGCAGGTGTGGGTGGTGTGGCCCGTGTGTTGAGAGCCGCCCACAACCCGTCGCGTCGTCCTGCAGTTTCCGGGTTTCTTCTCACGGCTGTGGCCGTCCGCTGAAGACATCCTCATAATTCCGTCACGGGCCAAACAAGTTGGACCATCTGTGTCTCGGGTCTCCGTCACCGCCTCAGCGGCTACTCGCGACAACAAGGGCGGCTGCATTCGTTGGGAACGGCGCCTTGCAGCTCGGGACGAGAGGATCGTCCAAGTGGTAAGACTCGAGAACCAAGTTTATTCAACTCATCCTACATACCGAGCAAGGACTCGAAGAGGTCAACTCGGAAACCTCCGCATCAATACACGAAACCAGAACATGGACCAGGTCTCTCTAACCAACCCACATCCCGCATGTCCCACGGCCTCGTCCCCAAGATGATGATAAAGAAGAATCAGATAACACGAATCTCTCCGGGGGGCAAATTCAGTTCAAAGGAACATTGTTCCGCCAGACGGGTATTGTCCATCCACAGCATGAGCAGGTTTGGTTACTTTCTTCCACGCCGAGAGTTTCCTTTTTTCCATGAGACGTCTCCCCGACTCATGTCCGGGTTTCAGTTCCGTCCCGTCCCAACCCGCCTTTCTTCTTCCCTTTATCTTTCAACCGTCTTGTTATGACGTCTCTTCGCCCGCTATATGGTACTAATTTCCAAGGCGTGAGGCCTGGAAATCTCGTGGTGTAGCTGAAACCCCGTAGTGGACGACATAGTTAGTGTACTAGTGTAGTATAATGCGGTCTTAGATCCTCGGCCCTTTGTCGTCACTTTGAGACATGGTAATCTCGTCTGGAGCCGACCCCTTGCCCTGGACATCCACGTAACTAACGTAGTTACTCTCTCCTCCTCGCCCGCATATCTCCCTCTTCCCCTTCAATCTCGCTATCCCAAATTTTTGTCTTTAGCGTTCTGCGTTAGGATCCTCCGAGACGAAAGAGTCATCCGTATCAGATGCGGAAAAGTCTTGTGTAGTAGAGTCCGACTTAAATTACCTAAGTTTCAACACCTTTTTCTACCATGCCATTCCCCCAGATACGGCGACATGATCAAGAAGGGTACAGTACGAGAGATGATGCTAGACGTTAGGGGTTGTTTTTGGGTTTCATGGGGTGTCTTTCTCTAACACGTCTGATCCTATTCTCGTCTCTTCTTAGCCCCCCTTCGTTGTCTGGCTTAGCCTGTCCAGGCCTGGCCTGGGCGGCTATTATTATGACGGGTAAATGTTGTCCCATGGTATTGCCTTCAATATTACTTCACTTCGTCACAGAAGTGATTTGTGCTATTCCGTGCAGCATCTTATTGTGTCCCATATTCGTAGTCCATACCCGTAACCTACACTCTCGATAAGCGCTCCACTAGCAATGAGCCAGCGTCGCGGCGGTAGTCAACAGCCAATTATGCTTCTCCCCTTTTCTCCAGGCCAAGAAGCAACACCCCATGATATCACTCCCCCAATAATAAAAGAGAACAAGTACTTCGTATCGAAATCTTAACCAGCAAACCCAACAATATGGCTATGTGTTACCCTGATCGATGCCCAAATCCATAATCCCCACACCCCGTCTAAGGTATCCAGACCTAGCCTTCCAATATTATTCCTTTGCCTTGACGTTAAATAAAACTCAACTCATCATCACTCCCATCCACATCTAATTCGACTCGCCTAACAACACCCTCCGATTTCCGCCTCTTCAGGTCTCCTTTCTCGTTCCCCCCTTCTCTATTCCGTACCCGGACGCCAATGTTTGGCTGCATATACACAAGTGAGGCTCGCGCCACTCTTTTCCTCCTGTTATTGTTATTGTCCGCCTGCGCGACCACCTTCCTTTTAGTGGTGTTTGGCACTGGTACCGTCTTCGTAGTAGTATCCGTAGCCACAGGCCCACGACGAGCGGGATTGGCCGGTCGGACGAACCGTGCCGGCTTTTTGCGGCCGAGCCAGTTTTCCTCGTTTTCTACATCCGGACCGTTACTACTGGCTATGTGGCCAATCGTACGCCTTCGGTTGGTGTTTGTAGAGGTGATGCTGCTGCGACCGGTACCGCTGGGGCCGATACTGCGAGTGAAGGCCGTTGTGGTGGTTGTCGTCGTAATGGTATCAAACGCTAGCTCGTCGCGGGCGCGCGTGATGGTGAAAGGGCGGGAGAGACGGCGCGGGCGAGCCGCAAGGAAACTGCCTTGTGGCAATGGTGGTGTGGGGGCGGATGGTTTTGGTATGGATGCCTGCTTCTTTCCAGAGGGGCTGGAATGGGGAGAACTAGGTTTGAGCGGCGGTTCTGGCTCGTTGTCTGACTCCAGTTCGGCTTCTGAGGCGGGGTTTGGTTCGAGACACTGATCTGAGACGCAATTGGAGACAGGTGATGCTTCGGTGTTGGGCGAGAGTGTCGTGTCGTTATGTTCCTCTTCGTTATCCTCGCCCTCCGAGTCTGTGTCGGAGTTGGTGCTAGAGGTGTCGCTCTCGTCCGGTGTGGGCTGTTGGTCGTGGTCGACATCGGTGTCGTCTCCATCCACACTCGCCTCCGACTCGCTTCGCTCCGTGTTGTTGTCGTCCTCCGCTATAAACCGGGAGCTTCTACGGAGCTTGTCCGCAGGGGCAGCACGAATTTCCGAGCCCGGTGTAGCAGCCAACCATTCGCTGATCCCATCATCCCACCGTATCCCTGAAAATGACTTTGGCTTTCTCCCTTTTCCTCCAGACCTTGCCGGTGTAATTTGCGCAGGCTCCGTGACCTGCTTCTTCCGGAGCCCTTCGGCCATCTCCAAGTCCCTCAGGTCTCCGGTAAGCTCGGCCAACTTGAGCGCGCCATCCACGCGCATGTTAGATAGCGCATTGGTAGGGAGCCCCAGAGTCTCGAGCTTGTCACAAAACCGTGTCAGATAGAAATGAGGGGGGAGGCCGGTGCCACGGCTGCAGTGGTGGGCCATGGCGCTCATGAGGGCGGTAGTGGCGTCGTATTGGAGTAGGAGTGCGGGATCATTGTGGCAGCTTTGGACGTTTGCCCAGGCTGCCTCCACAGTAGACGAGGCTGGCGCGGTGGAGGTCTCGGAGGAGGAGGCTGGGAGTTCCGAAAGAGAGAGGAGAGAACAAAGTGCTAAGAGATAAACACCTAGTTTGCGCGTGGGGGCTTTGCGACGTTTGAGATTGGCGGAGAATGTTGATGTGATGTATCGGATTCTTCGTTGGATAATGGTAGTACGGGTAATTGTTGGGGTTTCCGTGGTCTCGGCTGACCCCTCTTCGCTCAGGAGAATAACGGACCCAAGAGCCGCGATGGCACTGACTAAAGTTAATTGAGGTCTCCCCTGAAGGCGTTTCTGAGGTACACCCCGTGGTTTCCTGGGGAAGGCAAGGGCGCAGAGAAGTTCAAGGGTAGTGATAGTAAAGCCTAAAGTAGCGTCACATGGTTTGGTATGCGTAATATGCCGGATCGTCGAGGGCCACAAGGCCTTGAAGGTCTTATTCAACACCCAGTCGACGGGAAGTAGGTCGTTGGCGAAAAGTTTGGTGAGGATTCGGGGCAGAATCGATTTCCCCGTGGGATCGCAAGCCCGGAGAGTACTGAGCGGCCGAAGCGCGGAGGAGGCGAATAAGTCGTCATCGGGAGACACAGGTTTCGGGTATTGGCGGACAACGAAGGTCTCGATGAGATCGGTGCACTCCGTTGACGGCATGTACTCGAGGCATACCCGTACGAACAGGCCAGTCACTAGATCCTCCATCAACTCTTCCGCCACAGCGTCTCGAATAATCTGAACTGCGTGAGCCCGCAAGAGTAGGCACAGATGAGTCCATCCGTCCACCGCGCCGAGAGACTCAAGCTCCGAGTAAATCTTGAACGACATCCCAGCACCCTGAACGGCCGCCTTCGTGCCATTCTCCTCGGCTTCCTGCCTTTCCCACTCCTCTATCCCCGCAATGTAAGCCGGGACTTTCCGTAGACACATGGCCATGAGCGACCTGGGTCCTTTCGTATGGCCTCCCCGGGGAGAGGTAACCCTCAAAATGGCATCGAACGACTTGAAAACGGACTCGTATAAGCCGTGCCTAGCAGAATCGACAATAGGCCGGAACCCAGCTAACTCCACCGCGTAGGCGCATTTCGTCTTGCAGCTACCACCGCTGTGACTACAACGGCTGCTTGCGGGGACCGGCTCTTCCTCATGAGCGTCGTACGGAGCCTTGGCTGGTGAAGAGAGCTGGTGGTTCCGGACACGGCGGAGAAAAGGTGTCGGCAACACGACGTCTTGGGGCCCCTTAGGGCCCGGCTGGCGGCGTTGCCTTTGAACATTCCGCTGGGGCGTCGCTGACTGGTCGCTCGATGATGATGATCTTCTTCTGCGGGATGTTTTCCTGGAGTATTTTCGATAGGTCTTTCTTTCGTCTTTGTAGTCTGAATCAGAGCTCGGATAACTGCGTTTTCCCAACACGTTCCTTCGAGATTTTGTTGCCGGTCGTGAAGTTGATATCGAACCGGAAACCGCTCCAACTTGCACGAACGTCCTCCGCTCCTTTTCCTTCCTAAGAGCGGAAATATGAGCGAGCAGCGGTCGCAGAAGGCGGTGGCACCTCGTGGCCGTCCATGACTGCGCTGGCTCTGAAGCTGATAACAATGAACCACCGATGCTTTGTTTAACGTGTTTTGCGCTACCGCAATGTTTTGACGATGCTCGATAATCCAAAGCTTGGGGCTCCATCGGCCCTTCTAGCGGTCGCGCCCTTCAGATGTCCGTGATGGGCAGCCGCAGCTGTATAATTGGATATGTTAGGATGTTGATAAGTGTGAATGAAGATGATGGGATTGATGGTGAGGACGTGATTTGTGAATGAAAGGCGTTGTTGACTTCTGACAACGTGCTCCCAAATTAGGACTCGGACCACGGCGCCTCATTGGCCCGGAGCCTTCAAAGTCAACAAACCCTGGCGGCCGGCCAAGCAGCCAGGGACCTGGGCCGTGCGCCCGGTAGTCCGTGGCGGCTTGCACAGTACCCCACTTACAACAACCTCGGGAGCTCGAATTTCTGTTTCAATGTTCTGTGCCAGTACATGTCCGGTAATTTTCATATTTTGGGTGTGCGGGATCTGAATGGGGCTTTGATCCGCCGAAATTTCATACTGCAGTCGTTTTTTCTTTGCGTTCACCAATTGCGGTCGGGTATAAAAGACAGCAAAGGGACGAGAAGGAGATCACCCCAATAATCTCTCACTTATGAGAATTCATGCTGTTCACGCGATCTCGGGTGGCTCGGTGTGATGTTGCAGGGGTCTATGGGGAGCTGGCGGGACTCCCACACAATGGAGTCTGGTTACCGGTCTGCCCACCCCACCATTCAATCGGCTCGGACCGGCCAAAAAAAAGTTGCAAAAAAATCTCGATAAAACACCAAAACTTTAAACACTTTTCCGGAAAACCACTGTTCGACCCAGGTGACTGGAAGGCTATCTGGACCTTTTGATTCTTACCTGGGATCGTAAATACGGTCTCTTCGTTCGTTTCGCCACTCCTTTGCGCTACGAACTCTTTTACCTTTTTTTCTTTGCCCCAACCTAGAGCAGGTCTGAACCCTTGGCTGGGCCGCGATCTGTAGTACCTCGTTTTGTATCCCACTATACCTCGGAAACATATATCAACATGGCCGACACACCCTCTAACAACGCCGCCGCCCCTGCCAGTATGTGCATGTGCCCGCATCGTTCCTTTTTCCGCCTAAAAGTTACCCCCACTTGCCGCAGCTTAAACCCCGCGACTAACACATTTTTTTTCACCTTGCTCCCAGAGAACCCGGACTCCGAAGCTCCTGTCGAGCAGGACGCACCCACCACCGATGTCCAGGAATCACAGCCGGAGGAGGATAGTGCCGAGCTGCCTGATGGTTCGTTCCAATTCGACTCGACCCCTACGACCCCGCTGGACACCCCCTCTAACTCGCCCACCAGATGCCCCGTTCGTCGTCAAGGTCGTGCTCCCGCACGACAATGAGCCGATGGAGCTCCCGGTACGTTATGGCAGGCAATAAAATGCACGCACAAAGGGGGAAAAGAGTCACATTCTAAAGCGACACAGGTATCCCCTCTCGAGCAAATCCACGAGATTCGGCAATCCGTCATCGAGCACCCGGTAGCCGTGCAATATTCCTGCTTCCACCTCGAACACAACGGTCAACGTATCAACGACTTTGTCCAAGTCTCCGACGTCGAGGGCCTTGCCGCCGGCTCCGAGCTGCACGTCATCCAGGACCCCTACACGGAGAAGGAGGCAAGAATTCACTTTATTCGGATCCGGGAACTGATTGGGGCCGCTGGGGATCGTACCGACACCGCGTTGGGCATTCTCGCCGGTGCCTCGATCCACGATGATATCGTCGCTGCGGCGGCTGAGGAGGCTGAGAAGGAGGTTCAGCCCTATGATTTCACATCAACACCGAGCCTCTCGGTCCTGCTTCCGAAAGAGCTACCGCCTGCTCCCAAGACTGTCAAACAGATCACCCTCTCCCCATGGAACCCGCCTCCGGCTCAGTGGCGGCAAAAGGGCCACCTGCTCTACCTAGCCATTACCACGAACGAGGGCGAGCAGTTCCAGGTGACAGCCCACGCCGGTGGGTTCTTCATCAGCAACTCTAACAAGGACAAATTCAACCCGACGGCCCGGACGGACGCCAAGGGTGCCTCGGCTCACTCGCTATTCACCCTTCTCGACAAGATCTCACCTTCGTTTACCAAGTCGTTTAACGAGCTCCAGCAGTTTACGAGCACCAGAGAGCCCCTGGCGACCTTCCAGATCGGCAACACCGTCCCCTCGGCCCCCTGGATCGTTCCCTCCGCGACATCGCCACTGCTCGCTCACATCTCCGACTCGACCCGGCCGCAGGAGACTTTCTTGCTAAGCGGCGCCGAGAACACGGATTCGTTGCGGGACTGGAACGAGGAGTTCCAATCCGCCAAAGAACTCCCCAAGGACGGCATCCAGGACCGCGTTTTCCGGGAACGGCTGCTCGCCAAGTTGTACGCCGACTACAACGATGCTGCGGCCCGCGGTGCGGTGCTCGTAGCCCGTGGCGAGGTTGCGCCCCTCAACCCTACCGAGGGCCGGGACGCGCAGATCTTTGTCTACAACAACGTCTTCTTCTCCTTCGGTGCTGACGGTGTCGGCACCTTCACGACCGAGGGTGGCGATGAGGCTGCGCGGGTTGCTACTGGCAAGGATGTCCATGGTGTCAAGCTCGTGAACCAGCTCGACATTGACGGCCTGTACACCCCCGGCACCATCGTCGTCGACTATATGGGCAAGCGCATTGTCGGTCAGAGCATCGTCCCGGGCATCTTCAAGCAGCCCGAGCCTGGTGAGAACCAGATCCACTACGGCGCTTTGGATGGCAAAGATAGTGTTGTTGCCGACCAGAGCTTCGCGCCCTCCTTCGAGAAGCTCGCTCAGTCCCTGCGCGTCAAGAAACACCCGGTGTGGGACAAGGATAACAAGCGGTTTGACCTAGAGGCTAGCGTTGAAATGAAGGGCCTTCTCGGCACAGACGGGCGCAAGTATGTCTTGGACTTGTACCGTATCACGCCCCTGGATATCGCCTGGATGGAGGACAGCGACCTCGAAGGTGCTGAGTACCCCCACCGGATGCCCATCCTGCGCCACGAGCTTGTGGAAGCTCTCGGCAAGCAAAAGGCTCGCGAGTTCGTCAATGCCGAGCTCCAGAAGCGCAACGCTTTGAAGGGCCAGGGTGAGGCCGAGGGTGCCAAGGATGGTGCCAAGGAGGAAAAGTCTGAGAAGACTGAGAAGGCCGAGAAGGCCGAGAAGCCCAAGAAGGAGGCCGAGGAAAGTGAAGAGGAGAGCGACGAGGACAGCGAGGACGATAGCGAAGAAGAAAGCGAGGAAGAGAGTGAGGAGGAAAGCGAAGAGGAAGACGATGAGGAGGAGGAGGGTGATGAGAAGAAGGAGACCAAGGAGACTAAAAAGGAGGTGAGCAAGGAGAAGAAGGACAAGGAGGAAGAGAAGCCGGACAACGACCGGATAGACATGTCTGCCTTCAAGTTCGCGCTCAACCCGGATGTCTTCAGCGGCCAAAACCCGCAGACGGACGAGGAGAAGGCGGAAATGGCTAAGGACGAGCAAGAGGTCCGCGACGCATGCACCTATCTGCGCGACAGCGTCATCCCCTCACTCATCCGGGATCTCAGCGAGTCGGACATCAGCTTCCCCATGGACGGCCGGTCACTCACATCTCTCCTGCACCGCCGTGGTATCAACCTGCGGTACCTCGGCAAGCTGGCGTCGCTTAGCGACAACAGCCGCCTTCAATGCCTCCGCGATGTCTGCGTCCGCGAGATGATTGCCAGGGCCTTCAAGCATGTCGCTGCCAAGTACCTTAAGACGCTGCCGCTAGCGCTTACCTCGTCTTGCTACTCTCACCTCTTCAACTGCCTCTTGGGCGCCGAGTTGAACCCCAAGCCGGTGGCTGAGGTTGACGAGTCTTACCGTTCCCTCTTTGACGAGGCCGACCTCGCCTTCGAGAAAGTCACCCCCGAGAGCCTCAGGGAAGAGGTCCGGGGAGAAGTTGCTCGCCGTTTCAGGTTCGCCCTGTCCGAAAACTGGTCGACCGAGGTCCGGCGTGTGCAACTGCTCCGTGAGATCAGCCAGAAGCTTGGTCTGCAGATCCAGATCAAGAACTTCCGCTTCACCGAGGCCGACCCAGTATCTGCTCCCCAAACCAACGGCCACGCCCAAGCCGAGGCCACCAGCACAAGCGCTAGCAGCAAGAAAAAGAAGAACAAGAAGGCTCGGGAGAGCTCGCCGTCAAACACCCCGTCGCCCGTCGTGGCGCCTCACACCTTCAGCCCCGATGACTTTGTCAACATCGTGCCCATTATTAAGGACTCGTGCCCGCGTAGTACGCTGGCCGAGGAGGCTCTTGAGGCCGGCCGTCTCTCCATCTACCAGAACCAGCGCAAGCTGGGCGAGGACCTACTCCTGGAGTCCCTGTCCCTCCACGAGCAGATCTACGGTCTCGTGCACCCGGAGGTCGCGCAAATGTACCACACGCTCTCGCAACTGTACTTCCAGCTCGAACAAAAGGACGCCGCCGTCGAGCTCGCCAAGAAGGCCGCCATCGTGGCCGAGCGCACCGTCGGCCTTGACTCAGCTGAGACAGTCCTCAACTACCTCAACCTCAGCCTATTCCTCCACCAGCGCGGCGACAGCAAGCTCGCGCTCGGCTACGCCAAGCACGCCCTCGACATCTGGAAGGTCATCTACGGCCCGGACCACCCCGACACCATCACCACCACCAACAACTACGCCGTGATGCTGCAGAGCCTCAAAGCCTACCACGAATCGCGCCGCTGGTTCGAAGAATCCCTCCGCGTGTGCGAGAAGGTCTTCGGCCGGCAGTCCATCAACTCAGCCACGCTGCTCTTCCAGCTAGCCCAGGCCCTGGCCTTGGACCAGGACGCCAAGGCCGCCGTCGACCGCATGCGCGAGAGCTTCAACATCTTCCGCACCGCCCTCGGCCCAGACGACAAGAACACCAAGGAAGCCGAGCACTGGCTCGAGCAGCTCACCCACAACGCCGTGTCCATCGCGAAACAGGCTAAGGACCTGCAGGCGCGCCGCGCCCGCGCGGGTTACCGTTTCGCCTCGCGTGGCGTTAGCGTCGGCACCACGGGCGGTGCCGCGGCTGGTGGGGGTCCTGCTGTGGTGCCTGGTGGTGGTGTTACGGGCGACCTGGCGGGCGGGCCGTCACCGCTGCCGTCGATGGATAGTCGGACGATTGATGAGTTGGTGCGGTATATCGAGGGCACGGACAAGAAGAAGAAAAAGAAGGCTGGTGGTGCCGGTGGTGGGAAGAAGCCGGCTGGGAGGGGCAACCCGAAGAGGAGGGGCGGCGCAGCTGGGAGCGCTTAAGCTTCCTACCCAACTCTCCCTTCGCTCGCTATCTTTCGCCTCGGAGAAGGTCTAGAGCTGCGTGGCCAACTGGATGTAGGTCTGAAGTATGAATGGTTGGAGGGGAATTGTAAATATACCGGGGCGGTTGGATGGAGTTGGACGTGCACAAAAGTACGGCGGATGTCAAGGTGATGGATGAACATGATGTTTTGATTTTGTTTTATTTTTGCTCATTTTTATCATCTTTTCCTGTTTCTGTTGTTCTTTTTGCTTTTTCTTTTGTTCTCCGCTTACTTCACTCATCACTTCATCAACTCATAGCATGGGGGCCGGTTCAGAAAAAAGTACGAGAGGCAGTAAAAAAAAGTTGGAGCTGTTTACGAGCATGTATGTACATGATGAGATGAGAACGGATGGTATTCACGGCATTTTTCTGTCGACGGAAGTGGGAAAGGAGGTTGGGTTGGTTGGTGGTCATGGGTGGATTGAAAAGACAAAAAGAAAAAGAAGAAGCACGGCTTGGAAGCACGGCTTGGAGTGAGAAGAGGAGGGGTCTTAAGATTGTTTGCTGAACGTTGCTGTCGCTGTTGCTATTGCTTGCTCGATCTGGTGGAATGGGACGTTGGTTGGTTGGTTGGTTGGCCGGCGGTTGGGTTTGGTGTTGGTAATGCATCAATGGAATACATCTTCACTCTTCACTTTTGGAATGCTTGTTATTTCTTCGTATTTTTTTTTGCATTTGAATTGTGGGATGGATCTAGTGGGGGAGCGGGGGTTTTTGATTGACGATGGCTGGTGTAGCATACATGCCGGCAACCAACCTATTTCGGAAGATAAGTAAACATTTGCAAGCGATATTCACAAATCCGTTCTTGGTTGCCATCCTTCAGGGTATCCCAAGGGCCTTGTCTTGTCGTGATTGTCAATCGGGGTGGCTGGGAAATCCGTCGGTGATCCCTGGCTTCTATCGAGAACAATCCGAAAGAGTTGGTGTGAAGGGGAACTCGTGGGAAGAAAGGCACCGAGGTCATACGGAGCTCATACATCTGGCCGCACAAACAAAATAGATGTGGCGAACCAATATTCCCGCCGTGCATGATGCAGCGGACTAATCTGGATCGGGCTTGTCTTGTCTCTCAGGTGACGCAAAATGAACGCAAGTTCTGTTCTGTAACTAACTATTTCGTACATGACGAGACTCCGGGCTTGCATGGGTTGATGCACGGAATACGGATACCGCATTGTTCGAGAAATCGCTGAACCTTGCATGTCCCGCCTGTTCCTGTTCTCTTGTTGACTTTTTTTCTAGGGACCTTGAGCTGGTGGAAGAAGGGGAGGCTGGGAGAAGAGGTGGGGGGGGCTTGGAGAGTGGGTCGTGACAAATGTTCAGAACCTCAAACTCAATGGAAGGACCCGTAAGTGCTTCCTGAGCATGTCTTGGATGGGTGTGTTTTGGATTATCTGGTCTTTTTCAGAAATGCGAACAGATAGAAAGATATGATATAAAGACTGAAGAGTGAAGCACGGTTCGGGCAAGTCACTGCAACTGCAGCGCACTGCAAGCACCCAGCTTGGGAGTTGTCATTCTTCCGGATCGAGTCAAGTTCCCTTGGTTGAATGACGAGCTTCTCGCCGCACGCCGTTGCAGAAACACGTGAATGCCCACTTCTTGCCCCACCAATCCCAGAAAATGGTAGTTGATGATTGGCCGACAACCCCTCCGGACCTCCCTCGCGTTCAAGGCGCGAAAATCCCCAAGTCAATTAAACAACTTGAAATGGGAATTCTCCCCATCCTGCTCTTTCCAACCCGCAATCGCACACGGTTCCCGGCCGCCAGTCGCCCGAAAACGCCATTTCATTGACATCCCACCCACTACGATATACTAGGATCGATTAGGGTTATAGTATATCTTCCTCCGACACTGCGCGCAAAGCTATACTTCACGTGTCGCATTCAGCGACAGCTCCAACGCTCTTTGCTCGTGTGTGTGGATTGTGGGCAAAAGCGCCGCCTCCAACCTCACTCGCCGAGATTCGACACACCACCCCAAACTCCCCGGCCAGCCCCTCTTTTACCACCACGATCTCGACCTGATGGTCTAGCGCAACCACAAGATGCCCACGCCTCAAAAACGCGCTCAACGCGCCCGCAGGGATCTTCACAGCGATGCGATCGCCGAATCGTCGTCACCCACTCGCCCCTCGAAGCGGCGCAGAAGGGTAAGGATATGTTTTTGCTTGCTTAAGCTCCCCGCCCACGCCCTCGTCCCTGGTCGCGCGCGCACCCTCGAGCTCAAGGTTCCCCCTGTGCTGTGGCAATCGCCAGCTCGTTTTCACACGGGCTTTTGGTCGCATTGTCGAAAGCTCAAGCTGATGTTTTTTGGGATCAGAACGATGACGCTACCGACACTGCCGACAACTCCGAACTGATTGACGAAGGCGACTCGTCGCATCTTGCCGATCAATCCGCAATCGAAGATGACGACCAGCTAGTGACCCGTGTCTCCCAGCATCTAGTCGCGCCCGCGACACAGGTCCAAGCGAGCAAGGACCACTCCAACAGCATCCACGAGTCGAACAGGGAGGGGGTAAAAGCGTATGCTAAGATCTCCGCTTTGGACTGGACCTTCTACATCACGAGGCTCACCGTCAACATTGGGCGCTCGTCCGAGCCTGCGCAAGCCCGCGCCGACCAGGATGCCGATGATCCTGATGCGATACACATTGACCTTGGCCCCAGCAAGCTCGTCTCGCGCCTGCATGCGGTCGTGTACTTCAACCGAGACCAGGAGAAGTGGTGGTTGCTTGTGAAGGGGCGCAACTCTCTGAAGGTGGATGGCACGCAGTGGAAGGCGGGCCAAGCTGGACCGCTGCGGAGCGGCGAGGTTCTGGAGATTGGTGGCGTGGAGATGATGTTTGTCCTTCCCATCGATCTCGGCCCGCTTCAGATCGCGCAGCCATATCTCGAGCGGGCCGGTATTGTCAAGCCCGAGCCCTCGGCAGCCCCCGCGCGCCCGACGCGCCACCCTCTCCCGTCCGGCGATGGCGCACATTCGAGCTCGCCCACCAAGTCGTCGCGCGGGCAGAGCTCGCAGAAGCCCCTCGCGCCTGCGCCTCCCGACTACAAACGGCCCGGGACTCCTCCGTCTGCCGCTCGCGGCCGTGCTGGCGCGGCAGCTAAGACGCCGCTTGTTGACCATTCCGCGGGCCCATTGATGATGAGCAGCAGCGACGTCGATCTGAGCCTAGATGAGAATAAGCATATCAAGCCCCAGTTCAGTTACGCGCAAATGATCACTCAGGCTATTATGAATACGCCAGAGCAGAAGCTCAACCTCGCCGGGATTTACCATTACATTCAAACGCGATATGCCTACTATCGGTATCAGCCCGCTACTGGCTGGCAGGTTTGTGTTTACCCATCTCCGAGTCTTTGCTTCTGAGTCTTGCTTTTGGTCTTTCTCCAATATGCGCGCACGCCCTATGACACAAACGGAGCTAACCCGCCACAGAATTCGATCCGGCACAATCTGTCATTGAATAAGGCCTTCGAGAAAATTGCCCGATCCACGGACGAGCCTGGAAAGGGGATGAAGTGGCAACTTGTCGCTGAATCCCGCGAGGAAATGCTCCGCACGGCCTGGCGCGGCGGCCGCGGCGGCCACCGTGGTTCCTCAAACCCGTCGTCCCCCAGCCAGCTGAGTTACATCACCTCGGGCCCCCGGGACATGGCCGCGAGAGACCCCATCTCCGCGCGCAAACGCAAGGTGTCGCCGTCAGGGTCACCCCAGCCCCGTTCGTCCCTGCGCGACTCACACCTAACTCCTGTGCGCCCGATGCGAAAACCGCTACCGGACGAAGCCGGCGCCGGTACGGACGATAGCCCGCTCCCGCGCGGGCGCAAACTCAACAACACGGCAAGCGGACTGGGCCTGGTGGAGAACGCTCCCGGGTCACCGATCCTCACATCGTCGTACCTGCAAGACGACGGTGCGTCCTTTGTCACCCCCGCGCCGCATCGGGTGCACCCCAAGCTGGCCCCGCCCAGCACTGCACAACGGCCCAGCCAGCACATGCCGACTTCGTCCCCCGCGCCCTTTTGGAAGTACGCCGACATTGGGAGCACCCCGCTTAAGCCCGTCCACGCCCCTTTCGACTTGAGCCCGTCGAAGCCGTCCAACCCCGGCGGTAGCCTTTCTCTTCCTCCGCCCGCGCCAAGCAGCAGCCCGCCCCGGAGCAAGTCACCTCTACCGCCGAGTCCCACGCGGCCGAGCAGCCGCACGCCGGCGGACGAGCCTCCCAGCCCGGCGGGTGATGAGGATGAGGGCGGGTTTGATCTGACCAAGTATGTGGTTTTCCCCTGTTTACTTACGCCCCTAGATAGCATTCAGCTAACGGTTTTGTTATAGGGGGTTCCAAAGCATCGGCAGTTACCATGCGCCTGTTGGGCACGGCAAGCAAGTCCAACCCGCATCTAACGGCGATTTGTCGGCTAGCGGCAGCGCTTAGTACGCCAGGCCGCGCCGCAACACTGTTTGATCTGCCTTCTTTGTTTTTTGGGGTTTTTTTTTTTTTTGTTTTTGTTTTCCCTTGCTTCTTCTCCCTGCGTGATCAAGAAAGGATCAGGCAGGCCGGTGGACGGGTGGAGAAATTCCGTTTCCATGTGCCGTTTAGTGGGTTGGCCTGGCTCTCTTTTTTCTCTCTCACCGGTTGGCTTGGCTGCTTGGCTTGTTGGTAGTTCGGGTCGGCTGTTTGTGATACTTCGCTGTTGCTTGGGATGGAGGAGGGGAGTATGGGTGGATGGTAGCCTTTTTTTGCCCTGGCCGAGCCACTTTTTCACTGTTATGGGCCATCATCTTCTTTGCCGGCAGGCCTTGTTTCCAACCCCAATGTCACGATCCTTATTTTCCGGTGGCGTCACATTCTCTAGCACGAGATGGGGCCAGGAAATGGAGATGAGATGCAGGTTATGTGATGGCGGGCAGGGCTTTGTGTTTTTCTTTTTCCCAGCGATTTTGATTTGGTATGCCCCCTGGGGTGCATCCTCGTTCTCTCCCCTTCGACGGATGGATGGATGGAATGCATGATGCTTGGCTGATTCGGTTTTCTACGGAGCTACGAGGTCATGTTTTTGTTTTTACACTTTCACTCTCATCACCCCTCTCTTCATATCCCACATCACTTCTCATGCATCATCACCGTCACTGTCACCGTCCCGAGGCAACACCACACCACTTACTCGCCTTTACTTGTTTTTTAACGCTGCTCTCCGAATAGGGGGGCGTTGGCAGGCATTCTTGCAGAGCGGTTCTTTGCGCTCGTTTGGCGGTTGGTATTTGTGGCGGCCGAGGGTCTAGGCATTATGGCATCAACTTATCGAGTAGCTGGTAGGACAGCATAACTTGCTATATTCCATCTTCCATCTATCTTACTCACGTTATTTCCACCATTTCCCTGGCAAAGGGGAAAAAGGGGGCCACACAAACTCTTCTCAGCGACAACACCGACGGGGCGGTGACCCCCAACGCTGATGATGTGGCCTCGTGAAAATCGGTGACTTGATGAAACGAGCCGTCCTTTTGCTTGTAACACAGCACGGTACGAGTACGACAGTGCCGGCCGGAATGTGAGTTTGTTGGCGGGCTTGAAGTCGGTGAGTAGATGCCAGCTGAATATGTCCATGTCCCCCCCACACACTACCACTCTACTAAGTACTATGTAATCACCGAATGCCCTGACATGGCGTGGTTTTGCGTCTAATTCAGCTTCCTCGGGTTCTTCGCGGTTTGGCGTTCGGTCTGAGTAATAATTTTCTTGTAACTATTTTAGAGGACAAATTGGGTACGGAAAAAGAAACGGCTTGGAAAGGGAAAATGTGAGCGCGTGGGGGTGTTGGTGTGTTGGCTTGGCTGACGTCCCGAGAAATGTACTTTTTTCTCGGGCCGAGAAAAAGAGACTGGCACTCGGGCCCGAAATCAGTTCCCGGTCTCGCTGAATAGAATAGCTTGCATCGCCAAACTACCGCTTCTCACCCATCCCGTTCAAACTTGGCTTCAATTTCATGATGAACCCATACGTAGCGAACCCGGATAACATCCCCGCCACCGACCGGTACGCAGATGTGCCGTTCTACGGCCGATACTTCCCCAGAAAAGACGACTTTCGCGTCGATCCCCAGCACGTTAACTCCCAATCCCCAGTCTCTCTAGAATACTAGGCGTCGGTTGTTGCTCCCTGCAATGGGTCTGTCAGGATCTACCCCGCCGACGAGGGCGGCCGCGACGTGTTTGCCCTGGGCAGCGTCATCGTCAAGTCTAGCCATCTTCACAGTCCGGGGAATGGCCAGCATACAGAGATTGACTACCCATACGCTGATGCCAATGAATTGCGGGCTGTTGATATTGCCAAGGGCGTCCTGAAAGACGTTAGAGTGCCAGAGATGTTCTTTGCTGGAAAGGTGCTTGCTCTCTCTCTTTCTCGCTTCGTCATTACGTCTCTAACGCTTCGGCAGATCGATGGTCGCCAGGTGCTGGTCTAGGAAAGACTCCCGGGCGTTAGTTTGGCCGTCGCATGGTCGTACTTATGGCAAGGCCAAAAGGAAGCATTTAAGCAGCAGGCACGGGAAATACTTCGACAATTACACGCAGTAAAGCCCACCGATGGACGTCTAGTTCGCTCCCACATCGTCCCAGACCCCAACATCCTCAGCAACGGCCGTATCCATCCCCTGGAAGGAGATATCCTCTTCCCAAACACCAACAACGACCCAGACATGGGTTTCATGCACAACGACTTTACCGAGTCTAACTGCATAGTTGACAATGACAGGATTGTTGGGCTTATTGATTGGGAGATGGCTAGCTTTTTTGGCTGGAAAACGGCTGGCGAAGTCCACCGGAGGATCAGAACGCCTCAGAGGGAACATTTGGTCAATGCCAACTTGAGTGAGGAAAGGCTTCAGGAAATCATGTTTTGGAATGATCTTTATGACGATGGTATACCTGAGTTTTGAGGGTATTGTATTTTTGCGAAAGAAGCCCCTGCGCGATTCCTCGAGAGTCCAAAAAATACACTTTTCTCGGCCCGAGGAAACAGACATGGGCACTCGGGTCCGGCCTCACCCCCAAGCTCGGCCGTTTGTGCGCAGTGGGGGCATCGACTTGAGTTCTTTTTTATTCCCTCAAAATCCCAGCTCAGGGCGTCGACCTTGTCTCAACGACTTGAAGTTTTGATTGTGCTTCCAAAAAAGGAAAAGACAACATGATGGCGTTGGCAGGAAGGAACAGCTGAACCTTCGAGCTTGCCTTCTCGTTTTGTCGTGCGGCGCGCTGCGATTGGCTGCGCTCCCTCATGCTCGACCGTTGGAAGGAAGGAGGCAGCTCCAGCTTACAGGTACATACATGGTACAGGGAGTGAGGGTGTCCTTTCCCAACGTTTTCTGTCCCTCCATTCACCTCCTTTCGCTCTTCGCCCTCATCGAATTCCTCCATGGGCAGCTTCGGCTTTCTGCCATGGCCGGATTGGGTTCGAGGTCGGGTTTTCATCTCTCCCTTCCAATCAATAAATCTTTGGAATGTTACCCGCCCCTGCACGATTCCCCATCAGGTCCTTGACTTTGCATTCAGCCAATATCCACCCTCTTCGACCGCCCACCCGCCGCTGCCGCCCTGCTTCTCGAACTTCAAGGCTTGCCGGAATGTGTGATTGAGGTATCAAAACACGGTAGTTTGGGAAATACCATCCAACGAGATCTCGCTTGCGTAACGGCCCGTTGAGCGCGTAGACCACTCTCCCGTCCACGGAAATAAGGGAAAGGGTTCCACAGGAAGGGATTCCGTGGGCACCTTCGTCCCCGGATTCGGCATCCCGGCCTCCCGTCGGCAGGGCCACTTCCAGATTTCGGGGCTGTTCTCTTTTTGCTCTTTCGGAGACTGGAACTGCCGCGCTGCTACGGGACCCTCGGGATACAAGGTCGGTGACAACTGGCACTGGCTCGTCCACCGCCTGTCGGCTCCCTCCCAGCCCTGGATCGTCCCAACCGGCCCGGTGATTGTGTGGTTCTCAAGTTAGTGAGGCGGGCATTGCGGGCTCGCGGGTGGTTGGCCGTCCTTCATTCCAGGATGACCAAGGGCACGCTGGGCAACATACGAGCCTGCCATTGCGACGGAGCACACAAGCTTGGGCCCGCCTTGACAACCCTCCCCCTTCCTTGTTCGACCTTTCCCAGGGCCACCACGCTCCCCATCGTCTCTCCTTGGCTTCTTCGCCTGCCAACCGGGCTAGCGCCACAAAATATGGTCGTTGCTGCGTGGGGTGCTTCATACATAGCAGTGCAGCAGAGCGTGCATTGCCAAGTCCTTCGAGAACATCGACCAGGCCGGGCAAGGCCCTCGATTCGCCACTGTGTGCGTTGCTGCTGTCCAACGTGGATGAGGGAAACACCCCCTGCGGGATCTCCGCGTGAGGGAGGTTACGTCGCTTTTACAGCTGCGGCCCAGAGCTCGTCCGCGTCCCCCACATCGATTGCATTAGGTCGACCCACGCCCGTTTGGGGGCGATCCTGCAGTCACTCCCGTCTCGCACAACGAGAGTGGACTGATGTCCGCACCGTCCCCCGGCAGAAGCCGTTTTGAGCACGCGTTGGCGTGACTGCCGGGGCAGAAATGCGGCAATGTTCCTAACGGTAGGGCAGGGTTTCGACGGCCAATAGTCTACCGGGAACCCACCGCTGAGAGAGGAAGCAAGATTCATGTGCGTGTCATGGCTGAACTAGGCTACCTCGCCCGTCACTTATATAAGGGCGAGGAGGCCTTTTGGTTTCGTGGGGGGCCGTTGAACTGTACCTTTGCGACCAAAGCGACCACACCTTCATCGTTGACCTTTCTACTGCCGTTTGCCCGCTCCCTCCTCGACATAATGGGCCAAGTTCTTTCCTGTCGACCCCTCGTGCCCGGCCGTTCCCGATCTAAAACTGGGAAGGACGTGACAGAGTCATGCTCAGATTTGAGCCGCCCTCAAACACCCCTGGAAGGGCTCCCCGTTCTGAAAAAGGCAAAAGGCCACTACTGGTATCCCTCGAATGGTCCTAAGATCCTCGATGCTTGCGGCGGTGCTGGCGTGGCGTGCCTAGGACACGGCCGCCCTGATATCATCAAGGCTGTGAACACCCAGATGAAGTCGGCCACATACGCCTCGTATGCTCACTTTCAAACGCCACCGGTTCAGGAGCTCTCTGACTGGCTCATCAAGAGCACGGGTGGCGAGATGCAAAAGGTTTATGTCATGTCATCCGGTACGTTATCTCCCTCCCTCTTGGTTTATTAAGTGGAGGCTCACAAAGGAGGTCTAGGGTCGGAGGCCATGGAGGCCGCGGTGAAGCTCGCGGTCGAGTACTTTCGCTGGCAGGGGCAGTCAGAACGGACCAACTTTATTGCCCGACACGACTCTTACCATGGGACCACAATAGGGGCTCTCTCTGTATCCGGGCGTACGTACTCAAATTACCCATACTTCCACTCTCAGAATACTAACGACTCCGTTCCAAGACCACGCCCGCCGCGCGCCCTTCTCCCCTCTGCTCTCCCCCACCCGTTTCCATCACATCTCACCCTGTAACCCCTATCGCCAACTCCCCTCTTCCTCCTCTTCCACCCCAGACTGGCCCGCCTACATCGCCGAAAAGGTCGCCGAACTCGAAGCCACATTCACCACCCTCGGCCCACAAACCGTCGCAGCCGTGGTCCTAGAACCCGTCGTCGGCGCCGCCCTCGGCTGTGTACCCGCCGTACCGGGCTATCTCGCGGCGATGAAAGCCGTTTGTGAACGACACGGCGCGCTGCTGATTTTTGACGAGGTCATGTGTGGGATGGGCCGGACGGGATGGTTGCATGCGTGGCAGGGCGAGGGTAAAGAGCCGGCGGGTGTGGTGCCCGTGCCCGATCTCCAGGCTATTGCGAAGGGGTTTGCGGGTGGGTATCAACCTGCTTCGGCACTGCTTGTCGGGCGGAAGGTGGCGGGCGCGATGGAGCGGGATGGTGGTGGTAGGGTGTTTACGCATGGGCATACATATCAAAATCACCCGGTCGTGGCCGCCGCGGCGTTGGTGGTGCAGCGGGCTGTGGAAAGGGAAGGGTTACTGGAGAATGTGCGTGTCCAGGGGGAGTTGTTGGGCAGGTTGCTGCGGGAGAGGCTGGGGAGTCATCCGAACGTGGGGGATATTAGAGGGAAAGGGCTGTTTTGGGGGGTGGAGTTTGTTAAGGATCGGGTTACGAAGGAGCCGTTTGAGCCTGGGCTGGGGATTGCGGAGAGGGTGCATAAGGTGGCGGTGGGTGGGTTTAGGGTGCTGGTATATCATGGTCAGGGGTGTGCGGGCGGTGGGAGGGGGGATCATATTATGATTATGCCGGCATATACGATCTCGGAGAGGTTGGTGGGTGAGATTGTGGAACGTGTGGCGGGGGCTGTTGAGGAGGTGTTTCGAAGGTTGTGATAGTAGTACTCTAGAACTTGGGTCGGGTATGTGACAAGGCACACACCGCCGTCGGATGTGGCTCCTTCCGCAAAATTACACTAGATCTCCCCCCCCCCTTCCCTCATCACTTGAGCTTAGGGGTAGCTTTCAGGACGTCAGTCCGCCCGCAATTAGCCGTCGTCTGATTTCTAAACCCAGGGGTTCGGCTGTCCCTCGCATGGCCAGGAGTCATCAACAAGTGTATCTAGACGCGATGTGGTCTGGAACGATCCTGTTTTGTTTTCGCAGTAGCTAGCTAGCCATGACCATGGAGAATGTATTCGTTGATTCCTAGGTTGTCAACTCTTAAGCCACCTAAGCATCATATTCCCAGTTCATTCGAACTAGCAACACCCTGTCTCTAATTATAACACACTCTCAAACTGGATAAAGGCTATTGAATTGTGGTAATACAGTGGTGTTTGGTAGTTGTCTACTGACCCCCGCTGGCTACGGAACCATCAAGACGGTGAGGGGCGAGACCTCGCCGCCTCGGAAGCGCACTTCCTGTTTCCCTCAAGAACGATGTCCAGGGCGTCCCGAATCTGCGTCAGGCGCGCGCCCTTTCCCCAATCAAGAATGTTTCGTACCTGTTTACGAAAGTCCTTGAAGCCCTCTGGGTGTGAGAGCAGAAACGTGCCAATCCGTTGAAAGTAATAGCTCCGATCGTCTTCCTTCCATGAGATATATAATTTGGCAAGATTGTTATCTACAGCTACGCTGTAGCACAAGTTGTCAATACGTTCTGTGCTCTGGTACTTTTGAAGCGCCCAGTTAAGTTGACTAACAACGTTAAGGCAGGCTGCTGAAGCGCCCGCACACTGGTTTGTAGCAACCCAGAGGTCACCTCGTGTACCTCCAGCGGCTTTGAATTCGACTACGAAGAAGGGAAAATCGAGAGCCTTAGACGTAGCAGTCGCATAATCTGGGTGCTTTGGATGGAGCATGGTTTTGGCGAGTAGTTGCGGTTCAGTAAATGCTCCTGTCATCCGCCCCGAGTATCCATATAGCTTGTCTGGTTTGGGTTGTGAAACTCGGTATGGACTTGTAGGAGTAATCGGAACGAGATGTTGGGCTATAAGCGTGCCGGAGTTGCTCGTCAAGCCTGTACCAGGCCCATACATTGTATCGGTTGTGGTGTTCGGAAATGCCGTATTATTAAGTAGGCCAGCTACCTGGTCTTCGTCACATCCTTCCTCAAGGGTGTCCAGTTGGTATATTGCCTGGCTCAGCTCATCGGGCGAAAGCCCAGGGGAGTCCCGCTGAGCGCGAATTGAGTCGATGCAGCCGGTAACGAGGTCCGGGAGCGGTGTAGCTGGGTGTCGGATATAAATGTGATTGAGTAGTAGGCTGGTTTCACGGTATCGTGGATGGCGGGGGTTGCCTGTACTAGAAGCCAGGGATCGGTTGAAGTCGTCCCCGGAATCGATTCGGGATATACGCGACCTGGAGGAAGCCGGCACCGCCGGCACTACAAAGCCATCCGCACCCCGTGTGGAACTCATCTCCGGCGCCGATCTCGTGAGCCGCCTCGAAACCGGGCCGTGGTTTGAAAGGTGAAGATGGCTATCCGACAGGCAATGTTTTCCCCGGTCTGATCCGACAGACTCGAGCCACTTGGACACAAAGGTGTGGATAGACCCGAGACCGGGGTACGGGCCGATTGGATCGACGAACTCCTTGAGGAACGAAGCGTTTAACCGAGGTCGAGGCCGAGGATGTCGTAAATTCGTCTGCGTGACCTCCTCTGTTAGTGGTTGGCTTGTATCGGGGGATGCCTATATACTTTGTCTACCTGTTCTGCTTTCTGGGCTCCAAGCCACTGTTCGTCTGCTCGCGTCAACCGGGCCTTCTTTGCTGGCGACGGATCGCTTTCGAGTTGCCTCTTCGCCGTCGGCACGGGTGCTGCTTCTTGGGTGAGGCTCTCGTTCGCTGGATACTGCTCTTGGTGGTTCTGTAAAAGCTCTGTGCTTGATATAAGTTAACAGTCATCCGCTTCCATGAAACTTTGTTGATGACTGACCTGCACCCGTGTCTCCAACAGCGCCCGGGAGCTTCGCTTGCACAACCTTGGATGGTGCAGCAAGAGAGCGGCGGGTCCGCTCCTCGGTAAATCCCCAGTTCATAGTAGAAAATTTACCAACGCGGATGGGTTTTGTATCGACCGTCCGACAGAATGGCCTGCGGAGACCCGTCAGGTCGTGGTGTTCGGTACATGTAGTCGGAGTGTTTCACGAAAAACAGCGTGTCGGGGCGAGCGGCTGCGAGGAGCCTGGACGACAAAACAGAACATTGACGCAACGAAGCCGTCGGGGAGCGCAGCCAATCGCAGCGCGACGCACAACAAACATGAGAAGGCAACCTCGGAGGTTCCTTCCTGCTAACACCTTGTGCCGGCTGGACCATTCTTTCCTTTCCTTGGAAGCGCACAACGTCATGGATAGGTGCTCGGCGGGGTTCGCACACTACAAATCTCCACATTTGAGCAGCAACCGAACAAAGAAGAACTATCAAAATACCTGTAATTGTTACAGGGTAGATAGGGTAAGCAAGAAGCATGATGATAAGGATATATAATAACTGGAGACCTGTTTCAAAATATACATTCAAGCTGTTCAAAGACCTTAACATCCCCAGCAACGGCTATATCCATCCCGTAGAAGACGTCCTCTTCTCAAACACTAACGACGACACAGACCTGGGTTTTATAACAACTTTACCGAGGCTAACTATATAATTGACAAGAATAATGTTATTAGGCTTATTGGTTGGGAGATAGCTGGCTTTTTTAGTTAGAAAACGGCTGGCAAAGTCCATCGTAGGATTAGAACACTTTAGAGGGAATATTTACCAATGTTAACTTGAGCGAGGAGAGGCTTTAGGAACTTACATTTTAGAGTGATCAATATGATGATGGTATACCTGAGTTTTGAGAGGAGAGGTATATATAAATGCTAAAGTGCAACGCCTGCTCTCTTTCTTGCATTCCGTTTGTCGTGATTTAGAGTTGCCTGCATCACAGGGTGAGCCGCCGAAAGTATGAGAAGTCGGTGCCCTCGCATCCAGTCCCAATTCGGAAAAAAAAAAAAAACTGCAGGTGTAATACTCGGTGCATAAGCACTCGAGAAAGTTTACTACTTGGATGCGGGACCCTGGCCCGTCTGGGAAACATCACAATCCCCCCAACTCCCCCACCAAACTAACACCGACCCTTCCCATCTCTCCCACATTGTATCCTCACACCACCACCCTCACTCTTCAAACTCATCTCTCATCTCCCCCCCAAAGCCCTCAACGCCTCCTTAAAATCCGGCACCTCATCCGCACTCTGCGCTGGCTTCGCCCACGTCACCAACCCATCCCGATCCACGGCAAAGGCACCGCCAATCTGCCATCTACTTCCGCTGTTGGAGCTCCGGTTCCTGGGTTTGATTAGTCCGTGTTGATTTCCTCTATTCTTTTTTGTAGGAGAAAGAAAACACGAAGAAAGGGAAGAAAATAGGGGGCCTGGGGAAGATAAAATAAATAAGGGGGAAGGGAAATATCATACCAAATCCCCTCATCAGTCCCCAACTTCCACGTATTCCACAGCGCCACAGGATTAAGCGCATACCACGTCGAACTGAGCCCTAGACCCCAAGCATGGAACAGCGTGCGATCTGGGTCTGCGAGCACGAGGACGTCCCATTCCCCTCCTACTTGGACGATCCTGTTTTCTCCCCCTCGCGATTAGTCTCGTCTTGTAAGGGGGGGTTGGGTGTTTTTTTTTGGGGGGGGATTTGAGGGGAGGAGTTGGGGGGTACATGCCATTTATCTGTGTCTTCTTGTGTTGACTGGGATATGGCGACGAATTGGATTTCGGGGTGGTGGTTGGAGAGGTTGGAGAGGATTTTGAAGGTTTTTTCTGCGACTGTTTGTTTGTTTGTCGGGATGGGTATCACAGTATATTAGTTTATAAACTCCCCTCATAACAGAAGATAGACAACAGTTGAAAGGGAAAAGATAAACTAAGGTACTGCTAGTGGGGAGAAGGTGGCAACAAGAGACATCCTTGGGTAAGTGATACCGAGAAGAACGGCCCGAGCAAGGTATAATAAAAAAGAAACAAGACCTACACGGACAACCACAATGCCTCAAAAACACCACCAACACCGGTTTATCCGACGGAAAGTGGACTTTATCACCCAACGACGGGGCCCGGTCGCCAGCTTGCGGGACCGGCACGACAGATTCGTCTTCGGCTTCTTTTCTGGTGGGGATTTTCGGTTGTTGGTCTTGTTGCTGCTGTTGAGGCTGGGGCTGGGCCATGATGTTTTTATTTGGGTGGTTGAGATGAGAGGATTATTGGTGTGAGATTCGTTTTGTCCCTGTTGGCTAGTAGTTCGTGAGTTCTGCTAGATTCAACTATTTCCACCCCTTGTTTTGCCGTGGGTGATTCTGCCGTTTTGGGGGAGAGGTGAGAAAGGCACGATTGCGATATAATCAACCACTTGCTGCGTGTCTAGGTCGGTTCAGCCTCGTCGGTAAGCGGTTGAAGCTCGAGTGAAACCGGCTGGATATAATCTCAGTTCATCAATTACTGGACCGGTTCGTAGCTGTCGGATGGTAAAGTCATCACATATAAAATCTTCGCGGTTTGAATGCTGTACCGCAAAGGTGAGATTCATTAAAGACGAGTGGCGGTTGATGTCACTCATAAGCCCGTGAGGTTGGGGTGGTGTGATCCGAGGTCCCCGCAGCTCCCGGCTGGGTGGGGCCGATCGAACTGCTGCGGTGTAAGTGACAAGTGGCCAACCAGGAATTCCGTGGTTGTTGGGTATTGTAGTTTTCTGTGTTGCAGTTTTCTGGCCTGATCAGCTCTCGGGCCTGGTCAAAAGGATGGATGGAAATATGTAATATAATGTATTGCTACGTTGCTGTACCTCTCCCATCATGGGAGCTGGTCCTTCTGGCCTATATTCAAAACCTGGCCTCAAAAACGAGCCGAGAATCACTCTCAAAGCGAAACCGGCCCTTGACAGAATTGAATGCCTACCCATAAATCGCTAATACCAAACCCGGGTATCTTCCCTCATGTATCCGCCTAATTATGCTCTCTTATCCATCCAAAACGCCACCAACCCATACCCATACCCAAGCCTAAACCCACAAGCCCAAGCCGTAAGAACGTTAACCACACCCATACAAACAAACACCTACGCAACCGCCATATACTCCGTCAACACATCCCACTCCGCATTCAACCCGCCCAACTTCCGAAACAACATCACCCAATTCGTCCCATCCTCCTTATCTGGCCCAATAATCGACTCGTGCACACGAAAGTGCTCCGGCACATCATACGGCGCGTCCGCGCTTCGCCGTCCCGTGGCCGGACTAAGCTGGCCCACTCTCAACCCCCCGCTGTACCGTGACTGGTGGTGGTGTGGTGGTGGTTTCGCGGTGGTGCTGTTGCTGTGTGTGCCGAACATCGCTGTCATGGACATCGACCCGGCCACGTCTGTCCCCATCACAGGCTGGTTGGGAGAGCCGTCCGGCGTGGCGAACGATGAGCCGCGTGATCGGGAGGGTTGTTGAGAGTGGGATCGCGAGTGGGTGCGGGAATGAGACTGTGAATGTGATTGGGACTGCGAGTGCTGCTGTTGGAATGGCAACGCCGTGAGGTATGGGCTGGTGTCGCTAAGCGGCATACCGCCGGCTTCTACTGAGATTGAGATGTCTGGTGGCTGCTGTGAGTTTGGTAATGATACTGGATTGCCCCATAGATCCGCCGGGGCGTCCGCGGCGGCTGAGGTGGCCCCGACATACGGCGTGGACGTCGCGGACCCGGTGAAGTCCTCGAGCGAGGAAGTAACTGAAGGAGCGGCGCTGTAGGGATGCCCAGCTGTGTCTTCTGTCGGGTCAAGGAACAGCGTGGGGTCAATGGGCATGTGCGCCGTAAGGTCGTCTATGCTACCCATCTCTGCGCTCCCCGTGAGGGAGGAAGACGAGCAGGACGATGTGGTGACGGTCGGCTGGCTAACTTCGTAACTATCAAACACGGGTCTGCTCATGCATGCGGCAGGCGGGCCGGGGTTGCCGGGGCCGAATGCGACGGGGAACGAGTCCAACATCTCGGTGGCCCACGTGTCCTCGCCCAACCCTGAGGAGCCCAAGAACAGACCTGACAGTTCGGGTGGCGAGGAACGCCGAGAGTGTGGCTGGCTGTCCGGGCGTAAGTGCTTTTCCTCCAGCCGCATCGTCTTCTCGGCGATATCGGCCATGACATTGGCCCGCCAGAGGTTCTCGCGCCGCGATGGGTTGCGCCGGAGGAGGTCTAGTGCCGCGCGCCGGATGATGGGATGTCTGCATTTGGCCCCGACAAAGTAGAGCGGCGCGATGATGGACATTTCGAAGGTAAACAGAGACGAAAAACGGCGTGTATCTGTCCCTAGTGACCCGCCCGTTAACTGGTGTTCAGGCGTGGCCGAGGGCCTAGAAAGCGAGGCGATAAACTCTGTGGCTAGCGGAATAATGGCGGAAAATGTGTCGACGTAGTCGTCAAAGACCGTCTCGTTCTGGCTGAGTGCTGTCGAGATCCAAATGTAGGTGGTATGGACGTGTATTTGTATTAAGGAGAGGGATCCCGTGAGAGACGCCCGGGATTTCGTGGAGCGGTACATCGAGAAAGCAACATTGAACTTGGCCAACTTCCTGAGCAGGGCTTCCTGTTCTGTCTCGTATGCCCTCATCGTGTCGGAAGGAATGCTGCTGAGCTTGGCTAACCGAGTCTTCTTGGCGAACCGTAAGCACTCGTCCATAAAGTCGTAAAGCGCGTACCGGACCTCGTCGATCGTCTCGAACACCATGGGAAGTTCGGTAAGGGTTTTGAGCGGTTCTGGGATTTCCACGGGCTCGCCGCCAAACATAAGTGACGTCAGGCTCAGCCTGGTGTACATGGGCACCAAGTGCTGCTTGATGAGGTTGATCTCGCGACTCGGGGCAGCCGTGCCCTTGCGGCCGAGTTGGCTCAATATTTGCCGGCCCTGGTCAAGATGTAAGAGCGACTCCCTGTCCTTGCTTTGCATGAGCTCGATGCATACAAAGAGCACGCATGTCAGAAGAGGGACCAGTGGCTTCGCGTCGACTGTGCGCATCTGGTCTAGGAGAAAGGCAATGGCTCGGTTATACTGGTACAGCGCGAACGAACTGCGCTCCTCGCTGTTGGCCTTGACGTTGACGTTGACGTGGGATGTCCCGGTGGCCTGCACCATTCCCTCGTGCAAGCTGCTGACGGCGAGGACGGCATGGCGGACCGCGGGTTCGGACTGACATATTTGGAGCACCAGGACTCGCCAGAACGCCCCATCGAGGTCTCCCGAGAGGCAAGGCGCCGTGATGTGCTGGAAAAAGTGAAAGGCCCGCCTCTCGTCTGCGGCAGCCCAGTCGTAGAACAACGAAGGGGGCGCTCGGGGTTCCCCCACGCTGCTGATCATGTGCACGGCGGACCGGCGCCGTCGCTGCGACATGGTTTTGGCGTCCAGGTAGCCATCACAACGGCGGCCCGTCTTGGTGCAACGCATGCAAAAAGGCTTTGCTTCGTCACACTTGACCTTGCGAATCCTATTCCCGCAGCGGCATCAGACCCTAGGTTAGTCATCTTCTTAAGCCATGTAGTTGGTGGTTGCACGGGCGGTTGATACCTACTTGCATGTTATACAGCCGGTCCTGACTTTCTTTGACCCTTTCCTCCCCGAGTGTGGGGCCCGGGTCATCGAGTCCGAGTCAAACCCCATCTTGAACATCGAGGTTGGCGCGCCCGGAGTGTTCCACCCTGTAGCTCGGACTCAGGCGTGCCTTTTACCAAACTTTGGTGTGTTTGTGCCGGTCCCCCTTTTCTCCACCAGTTGCTGCTCCGTCGGTTTGCTGGTTCGGTGCGAGAGGGATCGCCAAATCGCAAATTCAGATCCGAGAAAAGAATGCCACGGGAGGCGGGCGAGCGAGATGCGGTCGGTCTCAACCATATAAGCTCCCAAGGACTACCACACCTTTGAATGCTGCCTCTGTCCTTGGACGGTTTAGGATCTGACCATAACCTGCCGCCCCCTCATGCGCCGCCAGTACCGGGATGACGGGGGCCTGGGCATTCCATGTGTCCCCTCAGGCTCGCAGGCCGTCCCCGCGGTCACCAGGGGTGTGCCAAGCAGGCGCCGACTTTGGCGGGACGGAGACACATGGCGCAGGCGTGCCGCAGGGGGACAGCCTGGTGTACAGGGGATTTGGCTGGCTGGCCACGCAACAAGCTTCCGGGTTGGGGGTGGGTAGCCAGGATTCGGGAGTACACCTTATCGCCGAAGGAAACCTCACCTCCATGATCCATCGACACGAGCGTCCAGGGTGTTGTCCGCATCGCGCCCTACTCTGCGCCCCCCAGACGGCATACTATCCCCTTCCCCTCAATAATAGTTTGCGAGCGTTAATTTGGGCAAATGACCGCAGCAAGAAGCCCCTCAGATGCAGTCACGATCTGCCTCGATGTTGTTGGATCGTGCTACCCCGACCACAACAAAACCCAAGCTTACCTGCAGCAAGCGCTGCGACACAACCAGCGCTTAGTGGCCAATCCGGGGCCGTGGATGCGGGGGAGAGAGAGATGGGCGGCGGAGCGGCTCACCAAGAAACCCCGTTGCTACATGCGGAATTGCGGATGTTGCGGGCGGGCGACGTCCTTGAAGCGATGTCACTTCACCGCTCTCCCGCGTGCGCATGCCGCAGTCGCCGAGAGGTTTTCCAGGACTGAAGAAATGAAGTCGCGTTTGAGGGATGGCCAAGCCAGAAGTGCCAGAGAACTAACTCCACGCAGTATGATTTGTAAGATGAAACAAAGAACAGCAGAGACCGGGTTTCTGCCAATCAGTGTCTACGCGGTCGAGGGTTCGGTGTTTAGGGATTTTCAAATGAGCGGCATGAGACTGAAACTTCTCTTTCTAGGTTGCTAGATTTTAGCTTTTCCTCGCGGCTTGATTTTGGGTGGTTCTTTCCAGATGGGATGAACGGCTTGGCCCAAACTCAACAAAGTCTCCGGGCCCGCTTGCCCTGTCAAAGCATTAACGTTAACGTTAATTAATAAAGACTCGGACAGTGTCACGAGAAAGGCGGGGCCGCTTAAGTCCCCCTAGTCGGCCGGGGCCTGTCACAAAATCAAGCCCAACACCTCAGGGCGGCCCGAAGGGGCTGGGCCGGCCGGGCGAGCAAGTTCTAGGCATTCGCAACCCTCGATAGAAGGCGGACCGGCGGGTACCTTCAGGTAGAAAGTTTACGGAAAAGACATGAGACAGACTGTCTGCCCGGTAAGTTGGCGACGGCGGCGAGCATTTTAGCAGCTGGGCCGCTGTAAAACTACCGATTGGTCCGCTGGTCCCGTCGGAGCCGGACGGTCCAATGTCCCGGCCCAACTGATTTTCTTTCAACAACACCTCTCAAGGACCGGTGTGAGGTGACCATTGGTAGCTATCCGCCTCTCTTAACCCGGGACCCTCAATATTGCCTAGGTTCTTGTTGCGTTGGGCACTTCATCGCCCCAGCGTATCGGCCTCGCGACAATCTGAAAGTGCCGAGATGATCATTAACGTTACATGTAACGGGCCTTACCTTGCTATGCTGACCGTTGCGAGGAGCTGCACTCCTACACTAGAGAAGTGTGGTCTAGGGTTCGGCACCTCCGCCTCATGTAGTACAAGGTTCTCGCTATTGCATCCGTCTCCTTTTTCATTGGTAGCTTCACGGCTGATAGCGTTAAACTCGTTGACGTCGGCCGTGCGTCTCCTCAATTCGATTCAACGTTGAGACGGCTCGTCAATGGACATCACCAACTTCTAAATGCCGAATATTGCATCGTCGAATGTCATTTCTCTCTCAGCATAACTACTTGTCCCCTGATTTCTTCTTCATCACGGTGTCGGCAGCACAGCCTTTACACTAAGCCTATTCTGGTTTCCTTATGTACATCTTCCCTCTCGCGTGGAGAATGCGGCACAGCCGTTGAGGCTGGTGCTGTCTTCCTTCGAAGGCAGAGAAATTCTAGAAGGTTTACGCCTAGAAGCTGAAACCACGACCTCATTTCTTCAATTCCTCTCCTTCGCTGCCTTGGGCCTTTCAATCTGCCTTGCCTCGACCTCATTGGCGGGCCACCGCGCATGGTAAAGGAGATCCGAGATGCGAGCTCACCTCATATGCAGTTGGCAGCCCGCAGCATCGGCTCTAGGTCGCTTCTCCAGCCTCTCATGGGGGTAACAACTGTTTGCGATCACACTCGTGCTTACTTCGGTGTCCGAGCTGAATATTTGAGGGCTGTAGATGCCCAGCCGAGTGCGACGTTTTGAGCGGCTATCAAGCGAGGACCTTTGAGAGGACGATGCCGGTTCCAATAATCGGCATTGGATAATCGTTCCGTAAATACCACGACACCCCATCTTCTTGAGATTTTGTTTCGTCGCTCATGCTACGGCAACCGTAGGACCTACATATCAGATCTCTTGTGGAACAACCACGGTAGTTGCCAGCTGATGGTGAGTCGCACGAAGCATGCAGGACAAACAAATCGGTCAACCTCTCAGCAGGACTCGGGCCGTGCAATAAGGTTGCACGATTTACAGCCCTATCTTCCGCCCACCCCAGGACATTGAGTGGTATCGGCCAGACTCTTGGTTTGTGCGCTAGCTTTTTGATGATTCAGCTAGAGCATGCCTCTCCCATCTGGCCCTTGCATATGAACAGCCGCGAGGCTGGTAGTCAGCTAAGTGGTTTATTGGAGTAAACCCCAACTTTTTATGCTTGTTTTCCATCGCCGGCAGTCGGTAACGACACCAAACTTAGCAATCAGCCCTTGCCACACGTTGCAAGATGTGCTATGTATCAATAAGATCCAGTCTCGACGTCTCTCCGGATAGACCGGATCGCCCTCAAGTTCTTCGGCGTCTTGCTGGGTTTTGTATTTGATACGAAACATGCCAAGAGCCTCAATCATCCCGCCGAGGTAAAAGGTTATAAACATTCACAACGTTAGTTTTCCAGACAAGCGACACCGCCCGCAACGTCGGCTTTCCTGCGGGCCAGACAGAGGCGCTCCGGAACTGACCATCGCTTCCACAAGCTGAGCATCGACAGGCGTTCTCATTTAATAGGTCAAAGACTGTAAATTTGGCAACGAAAACCGGAAGCGGATAACAAGCTCCAGCGAGTTAGCATCAACATAAGGGGAGTTAGACAGTCGGACATTATAAGTTCTAATGTCAGGTATGGCGGCTTCGGTCGGATTCTTCCGGTTTGCGGCGAGCCTTTATCAACTGCAGGTGAACTTTGCCAGTTGGAGGTCTGAACACCCATGGGATCCCAGACCAGTGGAAATGCATCAATGATCGGGGGTCGAGATCGGAGGCCGAAACTCTTGGTGGGGTCCGTGGCAATGGGGGTCGAGTATGAGCCGCAAAGATCATGATGGAAAAGTCTGAGTGGCGTGCGCAAAATGGTGCTTACTTCGAGGGGGCTTGAGGGGGCAATATTTGCGTGTTCCTTTATCGTAAAGCACTGATGATAGTTGTGGATGTTGGTCGTTGACAAGTTGCAAGTCGCAAATGGAAACAGTTCGAAGCTTCTCCACATTCTGAAAATGGCTTGGTCACTGGTCAGCCCGCCCGGAAGAAGCTCGGGCCAGCCCAGCGTGCCTGGGAACGCACGGGCTTTGCCGCCCAAGCTCCGCACGTCACTGGGTTGCGGCCTAGAGTTCGCCGCCTGCCCTCCCGAAAGGCCAGCCAACTCCCTAACAATACCAAACATTGACGGAAGTTTGCCAAAAGTCAAAGGCATTCTTCCTTTCTTAACAGGACCCCACACGCCGCCCTCAAAACCATCTCGCTCCTTCTATTTAAACTTTTTTCTCCTTTCGTTGCGCAAGAGCACCAGCCTCTTTCCCGCGACACCACACCACACCCCGCAGTGCGCGGAGCCTTGATCACCCCGCCGATTTCAGCAAACCGTAAACCAAGTCGACAAGATGGCTCCCGAGCCGACTGCCGACCAGCCCGAGAAGAAGAAGGTCAACTTGGCGTATGTTGATAATTGTGGTTATTGATGCATCTTGTCATTTTGAGGCTGACCTCTGTTTGTAGCGACGTCTCGGGCGCTGAACGCAAGGATGACGATGCCACAGCTACCGCTATTCTCAAGAAGAAGAAGAAGCCCAACCAGTTGATGTAGGTGGACTCAGCGACTCGTTTTCGATCTACGGTGTTGGGCTAACGAGAATTAGGGTGACCGATGCCGTCAACGATGACAATTCGATTATCGCCCTCTCAAATAACACTATGGAGGAACTCCAGCTCTTCCGTGGAGACACAGTATTGGTTCGCGGCAAAAAGAGGAAGGATACCGTCTTGATTGTGCTCGCCGACGATGATCTCGATGATGGCAGCGCCCGCATCAACCGTGTTGTCCGCCACAACCTGCGGGTGAAGCATGGTGATATCATCACGATCCATCCGTGCCCGGATATCAAATATGTAAGGATCAAAAAGGCACTCGAGGGGTACGCAAACGGGGCTAACCACCAAAAAATAGGCTAAGCGTATTGCGGTCCTTCCTATCGCCGATACCGTCGAGGGCATTACCGGGTCCCTGTTCGATGTTTTCCTCGCTCCTTACTTCCGCGAGGCCTACCGGCCCGTTCGACAAGGCGACCTCTTCATAGTGCGTGGTGGTATGCGGCAAGTCGAGTTCAAGGTCGTCGAGGTGGACCCGCCCGAGTACGGTATCGTAGCTCAGGACACAGTCATTCACTGCGAGGGCGAGCCGATTCAGCGTGATGAGGAGGAGAACAACCTCAACGAGGTCGGTTACGATGATATCGGTGGCTGCCGCAAGCAGATGGCCCAGATCCGTGAGATGGTCGAGCTGCCGCTTCGCCACCCTCAGCTCTTCAAGTCCATCGGTATCAAGCCCCCTCGTGGTGTGCTGCTCTATGGTCCCCCCGGTACCGGTAAGACGCTGATGGCTCGTGCCGTTGCCAACGAGACGGGTGCCTTCTTCTTCTTGATCAACGGTCCCGAGATCATGTCCAAGATGGCCGGTGAGTCCGAGTCGAACCTGCGGAAGGCTTTCGAGGAAGCCGAAAAGAACTCGCCTGCCATCATCTTCATCGACGAGATCGACTCGATTGCCCCCAAACGTGAGAAGACGAACGGCGAAGTCGAGCGCCGCGTGGTGTCTCAGCTCCTCACCCTCATGGATGGCATGAAGGCGCGGTCCAACGTGGTTGTCATGGCCGCGACTAACCGCCCCAACTCGATCGACCCCGCTCTCCGTCGTTTCGGCCGTTTCGATCGTGAGGTCGACATTGGTATTCCGGACCCAACCGGCCGTCTTGAGATTCTGCAGATCCACACCAAGAACATGAAGTTGGGTGACGATGTCGATCTTGAGCAGATCGCTGCTGAGACCCACGGTTACGTCGGTTCCGATGTTGCTGCGCTCTGCTCGGAGGCCGCCATGCAGCAAATTCGTGAGAAGATGGACCTCATCGATCTCGACGAAGACACCATCGACGCCGAGGTTCTCGACTCCCTTGGTGTGACGATGGAGAACTTCCGTTTTGCCCTTGGCGTGTCGAACCCGTCGGCTCTCCGCGAGGTTGCCGTTGTCGAAGTGCCCAACGTCCGCTGGGAAGACATTGGTGGTCTGGAGACTGTCAAGCAGGAGCTCAAGGAGAGCGTCCAGTACCCTGTTGACCACCCGGAGAAGTTCCTCAAGTTCGGTCTCTCTCCCTCGCGCGGTGTCCTCTTCTACGGCCCGCCCGGTACGGGTAAGACAATGTTGGCCAAAGCCGTCGCCAACGAGTGCGCGGCCAACTTCATCTCCGTCAAGGGCCCCGAGCTGCTATCCATGTGGTTCGGTGAGTCGGAAAGCAACATCCGCGACATCTTCGACAAGGCCCGCGCTGCCGCCCCTTGTGTCGTCTTCCTCGACGAGTTGGATTCCATCGCCAAGGCTCGCGGTGGTTCTGTTGGCGATGCCGGTGGTGCCTCTGACCGTGTCGTTAACCAGCTGCTGACCGGTAAGTTACTAAAATTGTCTTCTCAAATATGTGAGAATCACCACTAATAGCGAATCTAGAAATGGACGGCATGACCTCCAAGAAGAACGTCTTCGTCATTGGTGCTACCAACAGGCCCGAGCAGCTCGATCCCGCTCTGTGCCGTCCTGGGCGTCTTGACTCCCTAATCTACGTGCCCCTTCCCGATGAGCCTGGGCGTCTCGGTATTCTCTCGGCCCAGCTGCGCAAGACCCCGGTTGCTGGCGATGTCGATCTCAACTACATTGCGTCCAAGACACACGGCTTCTCCGGTGCCGATTTGGGCTTTATCACTCAGCGTGCGGTCAAGCTTGCCATCAAGGAGTCTATTTCCCTTGATATCCAGCGCGCCAAGGACCGCGAGGCGGCCGGTCAGGAGGACGTCGAGATGGAGGACGAGGAGGACCCGGTTCCCGAGCTCACCAAGCGCCACTTCGAGGAGGCCATGCAAATGGCGCGCCGCTCAGTCAGTGATGTCGAGATCCGCCGCTACGAGGCGTTTGCTCAGCAAATGAAGAACGCCGGCCCGGGTGCCTACTTCAAATTCCCCGAAGGCGGTGTCGAGGGCGAGACCGGTGGCAGCGGCAACGGGTTTGGTGACGCGGGCAATGATGAGGACCTTTACTCGTAAACCAGTGGGCAAGCGGCTTCTAGAGGGTTATCTGGGATTTCTTTGTGTATTCTAGTTCTTCTATTCCCACGACCTCGCCCTTTCCTTGTTCCCCTACGTCATGAAATCATGAGGTCATGATGGTTTCGGTGGTCTTCATCTACACGCGCACCCCCTTACCTTAACTGGTCTATCAGTCAGTCAAACTGATTAGCAGATGGCCATTGCTAGGTAGCTCACGAAAGAGGCAAATGCCATTGATAGAAAGAAAGATGAACGTGACAGATGATCCCAGTGAACTTGTGCATGTTTGGCTTTGGGCGTTTTGCTTTCTGTTTCCCTATTGCTATCGTGGTCTCGAGAGGGGATACCCGTCACAGAAATCGAAATGGGTAGGAACTGAAGAACGAGCAACGGTAAGCGGAGCAAATAGAGCGACCGAATCCTAAACTACAACTTCAGTTTTTGTTTTCGGTTCTTCGTTTCTCTATCTCCCCCTTGCCCTAATGTTATGGGCCATGATTAAGCAGCGCTGTTGCACACCTACCTGGCGGTCGATGGTTAGTTGGGCTCGTGGTCGGCTTAGCTGGGGAGGTATAACAAGTATTGTGTCTATGATGGAGTATCATAGCGTGTACTCGAACATCAGTAGCAACTTAGTAAGCAAAAAAGTAGAGGTCAAATCGATAAAAAAAAAAAAAAAAAAAGGAAAAAAAAACACAAAAAACTCACCACCAAGCGCGTATTCCCGTCCGGAGGGATAGCGGTTGGTGGTTACGAAAATCTTTCCGGTGAAAGATTTATCTTCGCTGGCCCCGGGAATCGAACCCGGGGCCACTTCAATTTACGACGGGGTTGGCGAGACCCTCCTCCCAATGCCGCTGAGCTAAACCCGGCGGTTTGATCTCTATTGGGAGGAGCTGGTGACTGGGGGAGTGGGAAAGGGGGTTATATACCCTAGTGTGGTGGTGGTTGGGAGGTAAGGTGCTCAAAATTATTCCAGCAAAAAAAAAAAGAGATAAACACATCCGCTTCGTGTCTATCAATAATGACAGGGGCGTTGTTATCTTACTCCCTCTTGATTATCCAATCTATTTCTATTTATCGAGCCTTAGTCGGGGTTCGAGAAGTTGGGGGCCACGAAAAACCTTACCTCTCGATTGGCCGTCTGCCTTGTCTTCTGGTAATTAAGCAAAGCATTTGATGCATACACAATGCTCCCACAAGACGGGGCTCCAAGTCTGCTCGAGAGGTGTATATAATGTGATCAAGACGCAGAACAGTGCCCACCCACCTGCGGAATCCCGAGAAGATGGGCCATTGATATGTCTCCTCAATCCCTCATGTGGGCTCAAGCCGGGGAAGCATCATGATGCCCGGGGTATTACTTCGGTAGCTCGGGATAGATCAATGGTATCATTGGAATTAAAATTGCCCCCAAATTAGAGAGAACTTATAAAAAGCAAGCATTTCCCAACATTTCCGCAACGCCTTGTGCCACCCCCGGCCTTCTCGAAAATGCATCATAGACTTTGCCCTGACTAGTGTACAACCAAGAACGTATCCTTCTTCTTCTGCTTCTACCTTGCATATCTCTCATTCCTCCACAGTGGCACCAGGTTGAAGGTATCATTTTTATAGTTCCCCAACCGAGCAAGCGAGCCAGTGAACGAACCTGCGAACCTGGCGGGCCAACGGGATGTGAATTCTTGGCACGCTTCTCGTTATCCTCTACCAACCTCCTCCGAGTCGGTTTTTTGTGACCTGCGGATATATCCACATGGCCATGTGATGTTCCAGGGGTGCCAACATACTTTTAAATACACCCTGCTCCAGTCCCTACTTGGACGGACTGCGGTGTCATGATCCTCCATATACGACACTTGTTGATTTTCCAGCACATCGCGAAGTTGACGACCGTATATACAAGTCCTAAAGTTGTTTGATGGGGGTGTAGGGCTTAGAGCTGAGCAACGTGATGATGCGATGGCCGGTGATCGGTAGATTGGTGCAATTTTTGTTTGTTGATCAATTGGCCTTGGACCCCAGAGTTTGTGATGACATGCCCAGGAGTCACGCCGCAACATTCTCGTCAATGTCAATAACCGATTCGAGGCAATCGCGGGTGACCTTCAGCGCGTCATCGACAACGTTCTGGGGCACGGCGAGGCTTTGTTTTGCCGAGGCACCATTGGCTCCGTTTGTTGCGTCACTCTTCTTGCCATTCACGGACGTGCCGTTCTCTTCCGAGGCGCCATTGACTCCCTTAGAGTTGCCGTTTGTGGAGCCGCCGCTGGGCGCGAGGGCAGTGTCTTGTCGGACATCTTCGAGGACGCGGCGGAGGAGGGCAGGGAACGAGGTAACTTCGCCTGAGCGGAGCAGGGAGAGCGCATGTGTTTGGATAACGGTAGGCCAGTTGGATTGGTGGGAGTGGAGGGCATGGAGGAGGCTGTCCTGGATTCTGTATAGGGAAAGTGGGGTTAGCGTGTCGCTCGAGTGGAAGAGGACAAGGAGGGAGATGGGTTAGGAATAGGGGAGAAAGGAGAGCGAGGTAACACAAGAGCGCTGGACATACTTGGAGACGTGGCCTTCTTTGATCAGAAGTCCGTTGATTTGTGACCTGAGGTCCTGGTCTTGTGTGGCAGGGGTGTAACTGGCGGCGGCAGCGGACACCTTGATGGGTGTGGATGGCGCTTGAGTTGACATGATGATTACCTGGGGTTGGGCAAAGGACCGGGCGGTCGAGTGGGTGGTTGGGAAGTAGGCGATGGAAAAGAGGCTTGAGGCCTCTTCGTGCCCAATTAAATGTCGATGGTAGGCAGGGCCTCGGGTTGTTGGCTGTGTCGTGCTTTGGCAACGGCAAGCAGTGGACAAAGGCGAAAAGGAGACAAAGGCGAAAGAAACTGGGTCTGCGATCGCGTGAGGGCGAATGTAGAGGAAAGGTTGGGAAGCCTTTAATACAAGAAGTTTACTGCAGACGGTGGGCGATGGATGGAAGGGGAGACGAGCAAAGCCAGACGGCTTAGGTTCGCGTTGACAATAATGGCGGGCGAGGGCCCGGCTAAGGTTCGCGTTGACAATAGCGACTGGCAAGGCTGAACAATGGCCAAGCAAGGCTGAAAACGCTGAATTGGTGGAGGGCCACGGTTGAGTCGCGTCGCAGAACCTGGCAGCTTGGGCCACAATAAGCAGTGTGCGCCACAGTTTAGCCACGGACAGCTTACACAGAGGCCCCAACAATAGCCCCATTGTGCCCAAGAACTTCCCACCTACAATAATCAACCAAGCATGTGATTCTTCAAGCCAATCCAAAATTTGTTACAGTATCCATATCATCGTTAAGGTGTTTCAGTTTTCCAAATGGAAGGAACTTATTGTCCTGTACGTTCCTTGAAGTTCATTTGACCATCCTCGCTCCGGTCGCTCCCCACGCAAGCGACCGTGCCCCCATTCCATCACGGTTTACCTGTTTCTTGTTGTTTCTTTCTTCCATCTTGAGAAAAATTCTTATCAATACCCTGTCCTGCGGGGTGACTTAATGTTGGTACCGGATTCCCTCTGCCTCAATTGATGTCCATATGCCGATGCCAACAAGTCTGCCCTACATCCCAGCCCAACCCGACAAATCTTGCTCATAACACAATAGCTTGGGTTGTGGCCCAATCCATCGGAAAGTTCCCTCGCTCTGATACACACAAGCTCATTTTGTTGTTTCGAAGTCGATAACTCAACGGCCGACTGACGTCATTCCGGCTCGCTGTCGGTCTGTTGTCGGGCACACCACTTCTGCGCTGTTTTGTTTTGACCGGTCAGCGCCGGTCTTCGTTTCAACGTGTCGCTGCCTGTCAGCAGTGGCTTGCCCACTTCACCGGTTGCTGTTGTGCCACCCCGACCCATCAAGTCCGATCCTTTATCGCTTGTCACCGGGCTGTCGAGTCGAGAAGAAGGGTGAAAAAAGGGTTCTTCGAGGTTACCATCTTAGTGATGAAGTCGGTTAGGTCGCTAAGTCCGAAAGTGAGGCGACAAGTGATGTGTTGTTCTGAGTGGCTTTTGCCAAACCGCCACCAACAGCCTATCTGTCTTCCTTTCCAAGAAGGACTTGGGCAGAAACGCGCCATAAGGCTGTACTGAACGTGTTAGCCGTCAGAATCCGGCATACAAGCAGCCACCAGCAAGCGTAAGCCGGCTCGCGTAGCTCATCTGTCAATTGGCCGAGGACCATGGTCGTTTTGAAGATGGCTCGAAGGTCACCCAAAACCACATTTGTTTACCCTCACTTTTCACACTCTAGGGTGATACCAAGGCTCTTGGGCCGACGCCCAGGGAGCACACTCATCACCTGCTCGGGATCATTATTGTTGATCACACCACACCAGGCTTCAAAATACCGAAGAGTTACGGCCCATTCGAATACCCGTCCAAGTCGTGTAAGTGTTACAACCGTCCCCATGACTACTTCTCTTTCCGGTCCGTGACCAACCGTCCATCTCGGTCTCCCCAAACCCCGGACCCGATCGACAAAGCACGTGAGCCCTAAATGATGCATGGCGTTACGTCTGGGAAAAGACCCCTAAAAATGACCCCGGTATATCGGGATGCCGATACAAGCGGGGCAAGCGAGAAACAAAATGAGGGTCCTCTCAAGTTCCAGGCCTTGTCTTCCATTTTCTGCCCGTAATCCAAGGTACGCAACAATCTGAGCAAGCAAGCCTCACCGATCCCGTCGTCCGATTTGGAATAGCCCCCCGGGGGGGGAGAGGGGGTTGTGAGGGCCGCCAGCAGCCAAGGCGACAGACAGCTGTGTGAGTGTGCAGCGGAGAGTCGTGAAGGAAGAGGGGGGAAACGCGCATGCATGCACGCCACTTTCTGTACCACGTCAGATCCGGCCACGCTTGTGTCGGGGATGCTGCTCCATCATATCTACCCAGCTTGCCAGGGACTATGTTTCTGTTTTGGTGGGTGGCTGCATGTCATGTATGTGTAATTATGTTATGTATGTACCAGTATGTGGTTGAGTATGTTTCAACGGGCAGAGAAATGACCTTAAGTACGGATACATGCCCTTTCTCCCTGATGATACGCCAATGGAGGAGAAGCCACAGCATCGGGCTGGGCTTAATCCACGTTTTCTAATGCGAGAACCTTGCATACAAGGGTCCAATGTCGTAGGCTCAGCGGCTCTAACTGTCCGCGTCACTATTAGGGATTAGGGTTGACGTTGTGGCGGTATTGTTGTCTCGATGACGGTGATCACTAAAATGACAAAATGACAGAGACAAGAGATAGGAAAGAGGGGGAGCAGCAGGGGGGTGTTGTCAACTGCAAGTTACCCGATGACATCCGGCCTTAGTTTCGCAGAGTCTGTATGTCTTGTACTATGTATGGATGTCTGTATGGAGTAGGTATGGACACCGCGGACGCAACTCGTCTATGCATGTCTCAGCCCGGGTCTCACTGGTTGACTGACAGCGAAGTGAGGAGCCGCCCAGCCGCTCGGCTGCCGGCCGAAAGAAGCGGAGGGTGTGGACATACTATATTCACTTCCCGATTGACACTGCCCTTGGCCACAATTCAGGGTCCCCGCACAGGGCTGCCCATTCGGTACTGGGATCGTTACAGTACGAAGCATTTCGATCGGGAGCCGTAACTTTGGGGAGAAGAGGGGTACGTCATGTAGCAATGCAGGATTCGACACTACCAGTGTACAAGACAGCACATCTACAACTGGGTACTCTGCATGTCACAGTATGGGAAGAGATGAGATGCCGCAGCTCAACGGGGGGAAGGAGGCCTACGTACTTACTCTCAGCATGAGCATGTTGCCGCTGCAGGGTGATGTGATGCTGCTTCCGCGATGACTCCCGAATGCACGAAAGCTACGAAAAGAACGTACTGAAACCCTGCAGGTAGTGTAGTATACGAAGAGATATCCTAGCAAGGTTAGTTCAAACGGGAGAGGGGAGGTGTGTTCATATATGCGATATGCCGACCCTGAGAGCCGCACACCTGCACACACCCACACACACCATCGTGGATCCTCTTGGCACGCCTCCGTGTCATCCAGATTCCGATTCCAGTGAGAGTGGAGAGAAGGGGGGGAAAGTGCAGAGGGGGGGAATGATGAATGAAGAAAGAAGTGGGGGGCACGGCTGGTTGGGCCTTCTTCACCGAGCGCTCTGCAGCTGGCTGGTACCCGGTGGTTTGGGTAGCTGGGGATGTGTTGGCTGGCCGTTTTGCCTCTCCTCTCACCCAAAGTAGGTCCCAAAGCGAGTCGGACGGTCACCGTAAAGTAGAGACAGAGGTCAGGTGTGGGGGTCATACCGGGAATGGAAGACGGGAACCGGCCGACATCGTCACGGCCATCTCCCCTTCTGCCCGGATCATATGAACATTACCTCGATTCCCTTCGGACGATTTTACCGCTTCGATGCCTCCGCATAGTCAAGAAGTGCGAAGTAGTACTGCGTCGCGCTACTAAGGCGAGAAGACGGGGACGGGAAGAAGAGAAGAGGGGGTACATACGTTCGTAACCGTTAACGGAACGGGAATAAATGAACTGACTTGCATCACACGATGAGACCGAGACGAGACCTTGACACATTATGTGCCATACTCGGCCAATCTCATTATTTTCGGCGTACTGGCCTTGCGTGCTTGTAGAGTGTAGACCTTAGGCAGACGTCGTATGTGATAAATAATTCTTCCAACATAACTAATGGATGACTCCACTCACACTTGAACCCCGCAACACATTTAACAACGAAAGGCCATTGATGCGACGAGAACCCTTCAAAAATCACCAGTTGGAATCCAACCAACACGAGAATACCACAGTAAGTCATCCAAAAGAAAGGGAAAATCAAATCTAGACCACTCGCTCGCTAATTGTCCCCATGTTCCTACATGTCGTGATGTAGCCAGTAGGAGCCGCAAACGGCCAAATAACGGGTTGGCCTGGCGAGCCTGGCTTCTTGTTGTTTTGCATCGTGCATTCCTGCAAATGCAGCCTGCCCGATTCGGAAGTCTTGGAGGGCGGGTCCCAGAGGCCAGGCTGCGGGTCTGGATCGGGGGGCGTGTTCATACCACGATATGGTTTCCCCACTCACTCACCCACCGATATAGTAAATAACATACATGTTGAAAATTCATGATGGTCAGCAAGGATGGTAGGCTGGCAAGGCTGGGTGATGGACTGATGGTGTGTAGTAGTAGGAGTGTAGTGGTGGAGGTGGTCCCTTGATGACGTCTCGTCCTCGGGGGGGTTTTGATAGTGAACTGCACGCAAGAATGAGGAGCAGATGAGACAGGATTTCATTTTCTCTACCGTTTCCCTTTTCTTTACTTCCGCAGATACCAAGTATCCATCCAGAATGCTATTGTAGAATCAGGCGGGCATATGACCGACCAGACACAAGTTCAAAAATATCCCAACCAAGAACAACTACTTCCTAGCTGAAGAAGAAGAGAGTACCCGGCTAACGACGGCAAAAAATCAAGGCCTTTCCCGTCACGGGTGTCTAATGGTGTGGTGCAGTATAGGTGGTGTGTCCAAACATTGTCATATGGGTGGTGTGGGACTCGGCCACATGGGGTCACTCAGCCACCAAACCCTCCAACATTCCCGGGATAGAGCTGAAATCATGCTACACACACTCGCACCGAGGAGAGAAGTGGAGTGTTTGACTCTGCGACCCACCCCACATCTA